CGGATCATCTCACCACCTCCCTAGATGGGGGGAGGAAGCCGTGAGTGCCTCGGCGATGTGCTTTTGTAATCAACAACTTGGATCATAATCTCTCAGCTCCGAAGAGTGGTTTGCTGGCAGACGCAGGAGGGTTACCGTCATTGGTCTGATCACCATTATGTCACATACACGTTACCGGTGCGGAACCTCGTCGACGGTCGTCTGAAGTCATCTCCTGCTTCACAGTGAATCCCTCCGAGGGCTTTTGACAAAGATACCCAATTTCCAACATTTCGGACCGGTGCCCAAATCTAAATGAGCCCTATGCCCTGGCTCGGGAAATATCTCCCACGCCCCCTCTGAGGGCTTGATCGATGCGCCTAGGGGGCTTGGTGCAGTTCAACTCCCGTTGGAAGGGTCCAAATGTTTGCCACCACGGGCCTGCCTTGCCGTCCTCCAAGCCATGAGCTAGTGCTGGACAGGCATATGGACAACCCGGTGAGAATCCGCAGTGGCGCGGAAGTTTCTCTCTTAAACTCGGCCGGCCTGTTCAGGAGAAGAGCCCTGTGGGAGAGCTTAGCCGGCTCCAGACGATGCTTTGGAGTATGCATATTCACCACCTTGGCGCCGGGAAGTACGCTAGGAAATGGTCCGGGTTGATGGCAACCTTGTGAGCAGTAGGTAGTCTCACGGGATACTCCAATTCAAACATGCCATGTATTTTGATCGCCCGGCGGGATGGGGGAGAGGGACTGGCTAGGTTCGCGGATACGTTAGTCGTCATACCAGAAGGCTTCGTTGCACACGTATACACTGGCCATCGGTTTCTGCTCTGAGACCAAAACCAACGTTAACGGTCTGCGGTGTGGCGCGTTACTAATGCCAATCTCCTGTCAACCGCACCAACCAGTTCCGTTGACACTCGCCACAATGTTTGAGCAGAGTATGCTTCGATCTGCCAGACTATCGGATCCAAAGCAAAGTATGTTTCTTCGAAGAGTGTGGTGCTCTTGTCATTTCCACGTCACCGGGCCGGTTTAGAGCTTGAGGATATAACCGGAAGAGAGCAACGACGTTGTTGTCGCGGCCAGGGGGGAGGGGGGGCATGTTTACACTTTGACCGCGAGTCAGGGCAGTCCGTCCAGAATTGCATTTCTCGACAGGCTTTATCCGTCGACGGCCTATTTAGAGATGCCGACTGTATGCCGCTGCTAGGCATCCGAGGGTTTGGGTCAGCGAAGAGCTGGCATCATCCATTCCCCGTTGAATGTAATAATGAAGGGGAAGGGGGGTTGAGCTGGGCAAACTTTGGGCCTCGGCCGGGTCTTGACACCGGCGCATCCCGTCCGAATAGGAGGGCGGCAACGGCGATTACCCCGGCGTGTTCAGGATTCACGGGCCAGAGGGCGGTGCCGTAAGGCGGACGACCCCTTTGTCGTTGGCGAGGTTTTGGCATATCGGATCAAAGGGGCTGAGAAAACGTTATATCCTTGACGAGTCGCGATCCCGCTACACCGGAACTTCGGCACACGAGAGGGCCTGGAATCTGTTGAGATTCTGGGCGCGGATATGGGGGTCTGCATTATTTGCGAATCCCAGGGTGGGCGAGGGCCATCTGAATCGACAAAAACTCTACGAAATTGCCAGCCGGAGAACAGGGAACCCGCGGTGGCGGCGGCGACGGCGGTAGAATGAGCAGACGGGATTCAGTCGCGAATAGGGGGGGAAACGTAAGTGGCTTAGAGTTCATGTTCTCTGCCAAACGGTCGGATTTCCGCCCCAGGTTGCCGGATCTGAAGAGATCGGACGAGGGAGTGCAGACGACGGTGCCGTCCGCACGGCGTTGGATCTAACGAGCATCTTGGTGAGTCAGGCTTGAGGCTTTCGAAGGATTTGGATTGCCTAGTCAGCGCCCGTACAGGTAGTCGGAGGCTCGTGGAGACGGGTGCCAGTGATTGACATCGTTGGATACGACTCAAGTCAGACATTGTGGACAAAATTGAGCGCGGGCACGTAACTTTTTCGCCGAGCGGGACGCTGGGCTGAGCGGAGCGATAGGGCTGTCGTGGTGAGATTAGAAGCTGCGTCTACAACGTCGGATATTGCAAAAACAAGACGAGTGAGTGGCCCGCGCGGTGTTATCTGGGGGTTTGGACACCCGCCGCGATTACGGGTTCGCATTCAAGTGTCGAGGTTGACGGGGATTAGGCAGCCGCCGTTTTTGTAGGTGTGTGAGGTATATCACATGTCGAAGAGAGTGGATTTTCAACATCAGCTCAAATCCCCGATGGCACAATTGGCTAGCGCGTCAGACTGTTAATCTGGAGGTTGGTGGTTCGAGCCCACCTCGGGGAGATAGAGTGGTTGGATTCCACACCCAATTGAGCACGTTCCTTTTTTGCTTTTGGCGTCCATGCTGTCTGAGGTCGCGATATCATTATTGCATGGTGCTTATTCGGCTTTTCACTTAGGGTAGCGTAGGAGGTGTTTTTCCTCAGTGCTCGCGGGGTGATCGTGGGTGTCTGTCTCTTGATGTGGTGGGTTTATTTCTGTAGAGTCAGCGCGGTTGATGTAAACCCGTGCGCCGAGTTTTGCACATCTTTGGCCATAGAGTTCGATGGTTCTGCTTGTGCCCACTGGACCTGAGAGGCCTTAAAAGCAGGCGGCCTCTCTGTACCTGTCAGAGAGTCATTTTTTCGATACAAAGAATTGCGGGCTATGGCCCATACGGCATTAAGGCCCTTCAGCGAGCTGCAAGACTGAAGATGGTCTTTCCCTGCTCCGTACCCTCTGGCACAGCTATCCCGATGTGTTCGTCTATCTCATCCAGCACTACCGGGAGCATATGGTACATCCATGGGTCGACCGCGGGACGCAGCTTGCTATTCAGCCTCGCAGTGTGCGGCGTATAGAGCCAGCCAGAACGGCTGGGCTGCTTGGCTGCTGTTTGATGATTCCGTGATATGGAAGATCTGTTCTAGTCAAGGAGACGTGGATTCATCTTTTCTGACCTGTAGCTCCTCCGCCTGGTCTTTCAGTATGGCGAGCAGTTCAGAATCATCATGTTTTGCCCTGTTGGGTGGAATCAATCAAATGCGGTAGTTCAGAGGCAACGAGTAGACGCTGGTCCATTCACGCAACTCCCAAATAGCATGGGCGACATTGGTGCCGTAGACTTGTTGGCTCGTGAATTATAGCACCACGCGTACGTGTTTTGTTTAACTTGGTGCCGGAACGCCACAGAATGGCGGAGGCATCAGAAGATGGCTGCGATCGAGCCTGGAAGGCACGACAAGACTGCGAGCATACCGTACACTGAGGGAGAGAAAGGAGAAGGTAGAAACAATGGTGCCCAGGTACGCTTGGCCTTCATTCGACGCGAGCGAGTCGTTGGCATGTCTGCCAAGTGTCCCTCAACTCGGACAAGGAGGGTAAGCGTGCCTGAGGTTCACCACGACTGCATTGAGACTATCGCACCCTGCCCGGGCGTCTGGATGGTCCCTTCAACGGTGTTATCGGTGCTTCTATGCTATCGGAGCTCAGCTAGTACATGACAGAAATGCTTCATGGGCTTGAACATCCTTTTTTGTACACACCTCTCCTCAGCTCAACCATACCTGCTGGGACACGTTTTGTAGAACCTTAGAAGCCATAGGATTCAGTTAGTCCATGGTTGAGAATGACCTCTTCAGTTGAGAGGCAATCTCTATGGTTAAGGCTAAAGGCACGTTGATGATTTGAACTGCTTGTAGGCAAGAAAGATCCTTGTCTTTAACCAACCTTCAGTTTTTCAATCCAATATAATGCGACATAACATATCATGCCTCTCGTACGTACCCGCACTACCCGTCACTCACCCCTTGGATCTGCCTGATCTCCCAAACAAACAAAAACTAGGAGGCCAAGTAGGTATTACAAGCTTGCGTACTCGCTGTGCTCGCTTGTTTTCCACGCCTCATCATCCCCCGTTCCAACCACACTCCCATCAACTCATTCAAACACTTTGTTGAACATCCGCCGTCTGGTGAGGTACTAGGTCAGAAGCTTCGGAAACCGCTAGGTTGCCAGACAACAAGCTTGTGAGAAACTAAAAGGGGCAGAAGTGTAAGAACGATGGCGCAAGAGCAAGACGACCAGGTGACGAGAGCATGAGAAAACCACGGGCAAGAGCGAACTACATGTATTCCTGATTGGGGGAGCTTACCACGTTCTGGAAAGGCCTCTGAGTCGCACCTCAGCACCCACAAGCCTCCCCTTAGCTTACCTGGGTCGTAACTAAAATGTATTTCAGGTGCACCTGCCACACTCATCAGAGTCTTTGGCTACCAAATCACGGGTCCATTCCTCTGAGCTGAGCGTAGGTCACTGACACACAAGACAATTCAGGAGTAGATTCCGGGAAGGAGCGACCGACACTACGGGGTCTTAAAACATCCCGTCATTTTATCGTAAGTTGAGGATGCTAGGCACACCCTGTCGTGTAAACTGAGTTAAGAGTTTGTTAGGACATTATTCTTTCGAACATCCTCTGCTTCGCCGATTCCGGATCTAGGATGAGATACCGCACCTCTCGTAAGTCGATTCCATTCTAACGCTGGCGTCGTGAAACACTCGGCACATCGTGCTCTTCTCCTTCTCCTTCTTTGGCTTTGGTAGTATGAGATTCTCTACGAATGAATCGTATGCTACACTCCTTTTCGTGAGGCAGCTGCGACCCCCCGAGCACGCGGCGCAACTTGATAAAGGCCGGCGAAAGGTCCGCTCCTTCTTTTTTCCTTCAAGGTCAGGTCAGCTTCGATTCTGTGCTGGTTACTGAGTTTTAGGTACGCCAATTAGATGCTGCTTAGGTTACTAGAAGGCAAGGTATTTTGAGCTGTACTATAGTACTCAGAGTGATGTAGCTGCTCATGCGATCCACTAGCCTCTATTACATACAAAGAACTTCCAGGCTGTTTGTCCATCTTCAAATCTCATCTATGCTCCTTACGAACCACAATCGTTCTCGTCCATCCTAGTTAGAGATGTCTAGGGCCAGTACCTCTTGGGTTCGTCTACCCCCCAAGATCCGGCACGAGGTGCTGAGCATTCTGCCGGGTCTTGGCGGTCGTTGCAGCCTGCTTGCTACCGTGTCACAAGAATGGCATGCGGTCATTGAGCCGCTCAATTTCGCTGAGATCAGCCTGACGCCACCCTGCCTCTCCAATCCTGACTCTGCAGCTATTCTCTTCCGCAAGAGAAGTCAGATCCGTCACATATGGTTTTGTGTGGAACTGCAGCAGTACAACTGTGGACGATGCCTACCAAAAAACCAAGAGCATTGGGGATTAGATGATGCTGATAACAGATTGATCACGGACGCTTTTCAGAGCTTGTTCTCGACCTCAAGCAAATGGGAGCCTCGTAACAACTTGGTTCTCGACATTAGCGTTTACTCATGTGATACACGGCACTGGTTCAAGTACCTCAGCTTCCACCCAGATACCCGCCTCGGCAAGTCTTCCTCGCTACAGCGCAGCAGAGATGAGCTAGGGACCCCGATTGATGACCCAACTCACGGCTGGGTTGCCGGGCAGCAAAAATTTCCTCTCAACGAACACGCCATCGAAAAGGTATTCAACGAGATCATGGCCGAGGGACCATTCGAGGACGAAGAACCGGAGATGCAGTGGTGGCAGACACTACCCCTTGTCCCCGCAGTTGCGGTTGGTCTCCTTCGTCAGCAAACCCGCCGATGTTGGAAGCCAGTCGCCCTCGCGAACATACTCACGCGATTCCCTAATATGAAGGAGCTCTGTTACGAGCCTTGAAGTGAGTGGTGTGGCAGCATGGTCCAGCTTACTGATAAACGTAAGTGTTGTAGCCGACCACCTGACCGACTGCTGACCAACCCCGATCTTGACACAGGCAACCAGACACTGATCGAATCGCTTCCCCTGACAAAGGTATCGGAGTTGACAATTTTCGAAAACTTCAACCAGGCATACCCAGGAAATTAGTCTCAATCCCTTGCCATCAGGGTGCCGATTCCTGCCGTAAGCCACAAACTTGCGAGAGCCAGTCTGCAACTCGCGACGCTGTCAGCCTCTTTCATGATCGACGCCAGCTACTTCTCCCAGGCGTGAAAAGGTTCATGGAAGTGGGAAAACCTCACGTGTCTCGCGCTGACTTCGAGGGTACTCACTGACGATGCGGACGTTGCGGACATCAACGAGATGCTACAAGACGCTGCGGCTGCTGCACTCAAGATGCCAAAGCTCGAGACGATGGAACTGTGGAACGGAAGAAAGGGCATGGCAATGCTGTTTCGATACCAGAAGGCCCGGGATGGGCAGTCAGCTATCATCACGATGCGGAGGACATTTGAGCTTGCTCTGGGGTCTTCGGTTACACAAGCTTGGGATGAGGTCGCAAGCCGGCATCGCCACGGCAGGGTTATTGTTCAGAGTTCCTCGATCGATCCAGGTACCATCCGATGTCACGGCGATGCGATATGCCAGCTGGAACTCTCGACAGAGGTCATCAGACCTGTCTCGCTGCGACAGATCCTCGACGAACACGAACGTCGGGCCGGGCCGACTAATTGGACGAGATCACGAATAAGGTCGATTCCTCCCTAGAATCATAACCACAACTTACGCCACAAACATCAACAATATTGCAGCAGATCTCCAGCACCCTACAAACCTTGCTGCCTTGTACACCCAGTAAAATAGAGCTACGGCCAACGAATTCATAGTCCCTCGCCGTTTATTAGACATCATGTTCATTCTACGTGCAGCTCCTACAACCGAGGACCGCTTGGTTTAGTGGTAGCCCGAACATTGGCGCAGAATGCTGGAAGCCCGCGCGATTAACCGAAATCAAGATCTATGCACTTTCCTGCGTGGACCAGATTCTGTGCCGGTATGCCTAGGAGCACCTCGTGATTCACAATACCGATGGGGAGACGCAATATCATACCGGCCACCCGCGCAGCAGCGAGGGCCCTGACACTTATACGCCTTCGAATCATCAAGACATATGGAATTAGAGGAACGGACAAGACGACAAAAGCAAGCTATCAAAGGTCCACACAAACGCACGTGGTGACTATCGGTTGAAATAAGATTCTAGTCCTCCAGAAGGTGTGTAGCGTGGCGGGTGTACGTGTATTCTTCTTCTTTTTCTCTCTCACGTTCCAATTCTAGTTAGGAACGAATGGAGAAGAGGAAACGGGTCCCCTCCGTTTCGGGTTGGGTTATCATCCATCACGGTAAGTGGGTCTATGTGGGTGATGGAAGCAAAGCGCTTTCGAGATGGCAGGCGAGATGGAGATGACGGGTGAGTGCTAGGAGAGCCAGAGGAGTAGTCGGGTCGGAGACTGTCAGCGAATACCTGGTGTTTTCTGGTTTTTCTTCTGGGTTTTCATGAGTTTTTAACTCCAGTACGACTCGTTGAGTAAGTCGTCCCTGAAGCCGGGAAGCGTCTGGATGGCATGCCCAATGCTGCGTGAGGTTCAAAACGTGGCATTGTCAACCTTGATATCACTCGGCCACACAAACAGCCGTCGACAGGATCTGAACCTTGAGTGGCCATATATGGAATACTCCTAAACACCGATATGATTGATGCAGATATGTCCGTGTAAATATATGGTCCGCGCTCTCGGGCGACGGACAACCGCCACGACTCCTACTTTTTTGCGAATTCTTTCGTACATTCGGAGCGGAACAGAAAGGGTTGGACATGGGGGGGAAGAGCCATACACACACCAATCCGAACAAAAGAGAGCAGATGCGTCAATTCGATGATTCGCGGTTGGGTCCAAAGGTATCATGACTCTCGCGGCCGGACCAACCTGGTTAGAAAAAAAACACGAAAAAAAGCCCTTTCCATTTCCGGGATTCCCTCTCCATAAAGACAAGCCAGCATCCCGTCTATTCCAAAAATGCCAAACTCCTAGATCGCCAGGTTTGGGGGTTTCCGCGTGCTCTGGCCCCAAACACCACATTATGGCGGCTTTGACCGCTTCGCCATGCCTCAACTCCGTGCCTCTCTCGGTAGGTCCACCGGCTGGCTGTTGTGATGCTTCGGGTATTGTATCATTTCGTCCTGCCCAGCAGTTTCAATTCAAACATCATTGTGCGCTCTGCGACCTCGACCGGTTGCCGTGTCGGTTAGGCCGTGGAGTGCTGTTCCCCTCCCGCCCGGCGCCGGCTCGCACTGCGTCGGTATAGCTGGGTATCGGCGGGTGCGAAGGTCCGCCGCCGCCGGCCGCAGAGGCGCCCCGACTGCGGTTGAGAACCCGGATCAGTGGCGTGTTCTCGCTGTCCGTGCTGTTCCGGCGGCTGCCGGCCTCCGAGTGGTCGGGGCTCGTGTACTCGGGTGGAGGATTCAAGGCGTCTTGAAGCCCAAGCCCTACGACGCTTTCCCCTTCGTGCCTGCGATTGCTGCTGCTGCTGCTGCTTGGCTCGCCGCCCTCGTCGTCGGGCACGAAGTGCGTCAGGGAGATGTCAGTTGGGCTTCTTACGGGACCGGGGCTCCTCGGTGGTAGTACTCTGAAGTTTCCGCTTCTTGTCCGCCCATGCTGAGGTCCCAGGCCAGCTTGTGAGTATGACTGGGTCTGCGAGGGTGCTCGCTGCTGCCCGCCCCCCGTGTATCCGTCTTTACGCCCGGCCTCGAGGAGGATATCGCCCTGCTCGGAGCCGTACGGCGGCGGCGGTGCGAGGCTGCCGGTCATCGGGGCGAGTCCCCACTTCTTGACGTTGGCCTCGATGAAGACAAAGCCGGCCTGGCCAAAGTTGACGTGCACGATGCAAGGCCCGTTGGCGCCGACGGCGGGGAAGAAGTTTTGCGACTTGACTCCGTGGATGACATCCTCCAGCTTCTTGCCGTTGCGGGTGAAGAAGATGGTGCCGGTCCGAGGACGATAGCCCACGCCAATCACATCGCCCTGCACATACGGAGGGCCGTAGGGGGTCGCCGTGAAGGGCTGGTTACAACGGCGCAGGCCCGCGGACAGATAGGCTGCGGAATGTTTGTGGAAGCCTAGACGGTTAGCGTCATGCGGTTGTACACGGGACTGGAATGGCATACCGGGTAGTCTGAACAACGGGTACGGCTTGGTGGCCATGCCAATGCTGATCAACGTGTTTTCGGGCTTATCGTAGATCTTTGCCTCCCAGTAGTAGACCTCGTTTTGCTTGGGCACGGGCAGGTTGCTCATGACGGTGCATTCGGAGTCGAAGAACTCAATCTCGGTGCGACCTTCGACAAAGCAGTTGGCGATTTCCAATTCGGGTTCGAACTCCCACGCCGAGACACCCTTTTCTTGGATGGCGAGGTATTGTGACAGGGAAATATCGGTCTGGACGGACTCGGGCGGGTTCGCTTGGATGAATGCTGCACTGAGGTCAGTAATCTGCGGGCTATCGCGGTAGTGTCGACGGAGCGTAGGCCTACCTTTTGCCCTGAGGTACTCGGTCCTCTGCATGTCATCCATGGACTCGAGAGCCTCGGCCTCCTCCCTGGCGAATGCCTGCTCATCGTCGTACTCGCCGGGTCGTCCGATGCGATCGAGGAAGATGCGGCCGCTAGCCGTGTACCTGAAGAAGTAGATGATGAGGAAGATGACGGCGATAAGCACGGCGGAGCCAAAGGACGACAGCAATCCGATGACGACGCCATTCAGCGCCGATGATGGGGTTGTCGGTGCCATGACGGGCAGGCGGCGACGTTTGTCGATTCAATCCGATCGGTCGGTCGGTCGAGAGGGGAGGGACGATAGACGCAAGGTGGGATCGGTCGATCAAGGGGAGGGACGGCTGGCGTCACCGCCGCGAAAGCAGCATTCGCGGGCGAATCGACACTCGTGAAAGCAAGCAAAGAGAACAGAAGAGCGATAATACGATAAAGGCGAAATGGGCGAAGAAAGAAGGAGAGTCGTCGTCGACGGACCAAAAAGCGATTCGCTGGGTGAATTGAATCGGAACGGGAGAGGGCCGTCGATGGGTTGGGTCGGATCAGGTTGGGTCAGACGAGAGCGTCGTCGTCGTCGTCGTCGTCGAGGCCTTTGGTCCTTGGTCGGTCGGGCGGTTACAGTATGGTGCGTGCCGCTACGACGGTGGACGAGCAGGCGGGAGGGAGTCTGGGCTGGCTAATTGAGAGCAGTGCGAGAGGTTCCGTTGCCACAGTTCTCCGACTGACCCAAGTCGCAGGTCGATGGGGCGTGGGCGGGCTACCTGGTTGCTTGCACAGCTGCTCTTGTTTGTGGCGGGTCCCTTTTTCAGCTGAAATTGGGGGAGAGGGAGGGCTGCTGGGCGCAGTGGGCGCTGGGCGTGCGGCGCGGCGCGGCGCTGTAGTATAGATAGACTCTCGGCGGCTGGCTGCCTGGGAGCGCGATAGCTAGGTAGGGGGTAGATGGACCGGGGGAGGAACCAGGTATCGGTGCGGTGCAACGCAGGGAGTCGTCGAGTGTTGGGACGAAGGGGGGAGAAGACGAGGGCGCCAGTAATGAATACAACACAAAAAAGTAAGGTGTGAGTAAGAGGGCTGCACACAAAAACCGGTCGTTTGGTCGGTAGTCTGTACGTGGTTCGCTGTTCGTTGGGCGGGCACGCGCGGGGATGGAGGGAAAATCGAGGTTGAGGAGGAAGAGGAAGGTTTAACGCAGGATCATGGATGGGCAGCGTCCCAAAAAGCAAAGGAAAGTCAAGCAGGGACTCGGACGCTGCAGGATTTCAGTCAGTTGATATGTCTAGCGCTCCAGGCACGCGCAGTCGGCAAGCTTGATTGTATAATTCGACAGTAAGGGGGGGGTCGAGGGGGGCGCCACAGGTTGAAGAAGGCAAAGGAGGGAGAGGGAGGAAAAAGGACGCCGAGAGAAAGTCGTCGTCGACGGCGTTGTCGTCAGGTTCCTGGATCTGCATCTGCGTCTGCTTCTGGCGGAGGTCACTTGCAACTTTGGAACTGGCACTGCCCAGGACTACATAGGTAATGAGAGGAGGAGGAGGAGAAAAAGAAGGTGTACGGGCGCGGGCACGGCATCCAAGGCAAGGATACTTCGTGTACCGCATGTACTTGGGGGTCAGGGGTCCCGATACATACGTCCTGGCCGGGTCCTGTTAGAGCCTCTGACCGTTTTCGGTGCCGCATCCTAACGGGTGGCGGGGGATGCTGCGTACTGCGGAGTCGCCGCGCCCAGTCCCTGCTGGCCCTTCTGCCCAGTTCCAGGCGCAGATGACGCTGACTGACGGGTCTTCCAAGCTCCAGCCGGCCACTTCGCATGCCAGTCCTCCTGGGTTACCAGTCGAGTGCTGGTCACTCGTTCCCTCACTCATCCATCTTTGCGCGGTACCTGAGAACCCCGTGAGCCCACCCGCAAACCATAATGTACCTGCGCCGCATAGAGTGGGTTGTCCAACAACTCATCCGCGCAACACACACTGACTGGACTGGCCCAGATTCGATGCACAATGGAGTCCCAGGTGGAGGACCTCTGAGGGGACACCCGCACCACGCCGAGGGGCCCGATGAAGCTGCAGCAAGTCGACCGCCGGATGCACTGGAACCACCGGAGAGAGGCGGAGACTGGACGAAGACCGGGCGGGAAGAGCAGAGTCTTTCTTTCTTGTCTCTCCCACTCCCTCTCTCTCGCTTGCGCTTGACACCTCTCGCATCGTGCGGAGCGACTGTGCAGCGTCGGCCAACCAGCACAGGTCTTCTCTGTTGTGGTGTTGATGACTTTCTTTTTCTCAGCTTTCGCGTGCACCAGAAGCTCATCCCTCGGACACCAACGCCTCAGGGTGCAAGGAAACCGTAGATAACACATCGACCGACTATCGACCTTGTCCCGGGTTCTTCAGCCACCCTCTGCCCGCCGGGTCCGTTGATCGAGTCCCTCGAAAGCCCCCCTTTTCCCCCCTTAGCCGTGCCAAAGCCATCATCCGTTAGCAGGCAACTCCCGAGATACAGACGGAGACACCTCACAACGAGGTCCCGCGGGAGCAACGATGGATGAGGCAAAGGGCACGCATGAACAACAACCGCCCGGACGGTTAAGCCCAAGCCATGCCGGGTCAAGGACACACCCCCACCAGCCGCCGAATACGTAGCCGGATCCAGCCAAGGAGGGCTCTGGAATGGCAGGGTGGCTGGCAAGCCTGGTGCAGCCCACTAGTTTCAATCGCATTGGGGTTTCATGCTCTGGGCCTATTCTTTGTCCAATGCCCCTCTCGGCGGCCGTGCTCAGCCGGAATCCCCTTGTTCTTCTTCGACTGTTCCATTGTGTCGTCTGCCGCGGCCAATAATGCCATTCTTTGTTTGCATCCGGAACGCTACAAGTCCAAAATATTGCTCAGGGGCACCTGTTCCATTGGCCGTCGCGGCCGTCGTCGATTAAGACAAACCCAGTCTCCTGTCACCCAGCAGCCAACGCTCAGGGTCCGACCCCTCCCCCTTTGAGAGGAACGTTTTATGCTACCGGTCATTGAGTCGACCGTTGCGATGCCTTCGTGTCGCCTTCAGGCGTCTTTTCATTCCTCACGACGCCCGAAAGCGTTACCCACGCACCCATTGACCAAGCTCCAATCCCTCCTCCGTGTTTCCAGAGCCCATCGTCAAAGTGCTGCATTCCAGCCCTTCCCCCGTGTCCGTGTTCAAGTCCGAGAGGGCCCGTTCCTCCATCGTAGCTAGAAGAAAAAGAGAAAAAGAAGGCTGCGAACGGCCCGACCGACGGCAGAGGTCCGTCAGTGCTGGCGGTCGAATCCATCGACTACGGACGCTGTCAAAGTGTCAACCCGTCGACGGCGTCCGACGCCTTGCCGCCTTGCCGCCCTGCCGCACAGTCGCTAATCGGAGAGCGAGGCGGTGGGCGGTGGGCGGTGGGCGCCCATCTGCGATGCAACTCAGCACGTCAACTGGTCCCCGCCTGTAGGGCCGGCGCGCCCCTGCCTGCTCCACCTTGCTCCGATGCGGGAGATCGGCCGGACGCAGGGCTGCTCCACTTCGGGAGCCGGATGTTCCGTCCAGGCCTGCTCAGAAGTCGACGTTGCGTGTGAATGAGTTTGGACCACGATCAATATGCTACTTTGTTCGGACGTACGATTCACCCTTGCGCATCGTGTCCAAAATAGTACCCAAACAGCTGCCATTCATCTGCCTCTGTGGTTCTCATTGGAGTCTCGCCGTCCACCGGCAGCGAAACTTGCCCGGCCGCCGTGTTTGCTTCCCTGCTCTGAATCACTTGTGATGGAAACCCAAACATGCTTCTACTCATGGCGCAGCGTCACCAATGCCTCAGCGTCCCGGCGCGGAAACCAACTCACAGCGTCAAGCAAGTCATTACAATCATCGAACAAATCACATAGGTGCCTGGGCATGCGCTTAAAGAGTAGGAAGAACGACCCTCGAAATGAGGACCAGAGTTGGTTCCAACCCATGATGATACACCGTCCTTCTGTCCTATCTCCGCAACACATTCACCACCACGACTCCAGCTCCTCGTCCGTCGACAAAACCTTACCTGGATTCGCCAAACCCATCTCCGATGCCCTCTTGTGGGATCTAATACGACACCATCTCTTCCAGAATTTCCAACCCAGAAATATTCCATGAACAGCACCCACCCCCGGGAATACTCACTACCAGTCTCCTTATAACTCCAAGACATACCTGACATCTCTGAGAGATGATCGCGATGGCCTCTCCCAACGTCGTTGCCCTTTACGCTGGGTCGAAAATACACCCTCTGAAGGAAAAGCGGAGTACCTGCCGTCACTTCAAGGAGGGAAAATGTGTCTTCTGGCAGACCCCAGACATGTGCAACTTCCCTCATCGTCCCCGGCATGCACCGCGCCCCCCACTGCCCGTGGAGACCTCTAATCTGGCTCAGCCCGTGGATGGCACGCCTCCCCTGCATTCCCTTAAGCCCCTCGGCCCACAGCTCGCAACCTACCTCGTAGCTCACACACTCGCACAGGTGCCAGCCATCAGCCCAAACTCGGATGACGGTCGACATGCTTGGTACGGAGACGAACCTCAGTACTTGAGTTATCACTTGAACAATACGGCCCCTAACGGACAGGTCAATTTCCAGCCCTGCCATCGTCTGGTGCCGTCGCCGCCGGGTTTCCCGTTTGCGGAACCTCGCCCGGTTCGTGTCGAGTACTATCCAGGGCATGGGATTTACTACCACAGCCCTCCAGTTCCCTCTCAAGGCGGCGTACCTTACAGCTACACCCTGTACACCCCACCAGACTCTGTACCCGACTCGCCCACCGGGCTTTCCCCCTCGACTTGCTTCCCGCCTCTCTCAAGCGACGGATACAGTGCCGCGCCTTTCGCAGAGTGGGAAGAGGGTCCTCTCGTCGACCCAGAGAAGCTGAGGCGAGAGCGCAGCAAGATCTGCTGGTATGGCGAGGATTGCAAGAGGCCCAACTGTTACTACCGCCACGATGTCACGGAGGACGAGGCCGAGGACGAATTCTTAAATTCCGTTTTCACTGCCCGTTCGGTCCCCACTGATGTTTCTCCTAACGCTACGTCACAGAAGGACAAGGAGAAGAGTACCGCGGGACGGGCAGAGCGCTCTTCCGACTCAGAGTCCTCAACAAAGGACGGGGCTTCTAGGATGAAGCCCTCCGACAACCGGGGACGCAACGCCTTCACACGTGCTCCGCTTGTGGTGGACGGAACCAACTGTCGCCGTCGTGACGAGGACATCGCCGCCTAAATCGGTACTGTACGAGCGGAAAGGTATTATCAAGGTTACTTGTCGTGACGTTTGACAAGAGGCATAGAGAGGCATAGCGAGGCGGCGTTCTCTTGGCGCAGAAGCTCTAGGTATTGGGGCCCTTGAACCCCACGACTCCATTATGGCGATAAGGACTGCTTTATTCACCCTTGGTTCAGTATGCATTTATTACTTGCTTGTATGATATCGCTGGTAATTGCATGAATAGAACCCTTCAAAATCCATCTTGCCTGCCTAGCAACCTGCAATGCATGTTTTCACTTTGCCTTGTAGCCTGGCCACAGACCAACTACAGTGAAAAAGGATGGCGTTTTGAACGATGTGCATTTTCTCAATCCCTTTCCAAAAAGTGTGGTCCAGCGATTTCACCCCTTTTTGTCCCTGACAAAAATCATGACCGTGGCTTCACGGATACGGAAAGAGAGGAGTCAAAGGAAGACAGAGGCAGAGACGAGGGCTCTCTCCAAAAAAAAGGTTGTCTTACCTTTCGTCTTGCCTTTCGTCTTACCCAGTTTCTTGGTCTCCCGGACACCAGGCCCTCCGGTATTAGAGGCAAAAAAGAAGCAAAGAAAGAAAGAAACCCCCGAAAAGAGGCGGCTGCTTGTAGTTCGGGAGAATTGGCTGATTGTGTCGTGGAGGGCCCTTCACGACTGAGCATCACGATTCGTGATGGGTCAAAACCTGGGTGGCGGAATTGAGGGTAGGCGCACGATGATGTTGTGACGAGGTGATGGCGTATTGACTGTTTGCGAAGGAAAATCAATACATTCATTCACTGGTGACCTTCAGCAAGGCACAGAGAAAAGCATACACAAAAGGCTGGTGCTGAACTAAAAGCAAGAATGCATTGATGTTATGGTTCTGATCCCAACGCTCTACACCCGACTCCATGCGCAAAGGGACGTCCTCGGAGCGTCCACTGGGTAATCTGTATTGTACAACGATCCTTGCCACATTCCATCCCGGATCCCATGCCTCACTACGCCAATAGGGGCTGCTGTTCCTCTGCTTGTCGCTGGTCCCCTCCATGAGTCTCTCTATGAGCCTCGATTGCGTTCTCGGGTTCGTTACGTCCTACGTCCTCATTCGTCTCGTCATTGTTTTGGGGTTCAGTGTTCTCAGTGTTTGCTGTGGCCTCTGCGGCAGCCGCGGTAGCAGCCTCCGCCTCCTCCCGTCTCTGACGCTCCGCGCGTGCCTCCGCCTCGAGGTGGGCGATGTGGCGTTCGGCAACGCCTGGAGCGATACTAGCAAGGAAAAGGAGTCCAGCTCTCTCGAGCCGGCGCACCTGATCCATCAGCCAGTTCGCGTTGTCGTGTCTTCGCTGAGCCACCAGTCTGGCGGCAGCGCGCGTCGGATCCGGTTGGCCGTTGGGTCCAACCACCGGTTGGCCGTCTCGGGGACGGACAGGTTCATTGCCGTTGTTCGGCGCAGCAAGGGGGATCAGGTTCTCCATATGACGTCTGACCGGGCCCACGGCCTGGTCGAAGTAGTTGTTGAGCAGACCTGTGTTCAGGACGAAGATGCTAACGGCAATGGCTACCACAGTGAACCATCTCGACCAGCTGGCGTTGGGCGAAGTGAACCACCACACGAACAGAGCAAGCCTGACGACAAGCCAGAAGTGCGGCCACACTTGCGCAATCAACGGGGCGATGCCTGGGTTGTTGGGATGGGCAGGCACAGCGGCCACTGGCGGTTGTCCTTGTGGCTGAAGCAATGGCTGCGCTTCCGGCTGCGGCTGCACCTGACCTTGAGGCTCGGCGGGCTGGGCCAGCTGCTGCTCCTCTTGGTGGGCTGGCGGCGTCATGAAAGCTGACGGCCAGGCCATGTGCTGAGGACGAGCTCTCATTCTAGCTAGAGCCGATGCCGTCTGGTGAAGAGCTGAAGTGGTGTGCAACGGCATCCTAGCAGAAGGGGTGTAGTAAGAGTCCGTGGCGTTGTTGATCAGGATGGCCCGAGGGCCCTGAGGCGAGGATAGGATGTACACCTCCGGACCAGACTGTGCTTGTCGCTGAGCATTTGCAGAGTGCCCGCTGCCACCACTGACCGAGCGCGCGGTTGGATCAGGCGTGGGTCTTCTGCTGCTGGCTCGAGAGCCGGGTGTCGGGTAGTAAGGGGTCGTGACGCCCACGGAGGAGCCGCCGTTTGCAAGGGAGGTGCTTGAGGCACTCCTCTGCATGGCATTCGTCATGGCAAGAGTTGCTTGGTTGGTATCAGCTGCTCGGAGGATGTTCTGGACATCAGCAGTCGACAGGGCCGTCGTGGTGCTCTGGCCGCCGGGTTGGTGGACGTTCAGTGATCCGCCAAGGAAGGTTTCGTTGACCGTCACACGGTACGGCTGGCCGTTTGGCATGAGGCCCTCCCTTACGTACATCTGCCCGTCTAGGTTGCTGAGCGGGCTGGCCCGTCCACGCGTGGGCTCAACAGGGTTAGGAGCCGCGGCGGGTGCGTCGCCGGCACCATGCATGCCCATCGAGGCTCTCATGGCCTGGTTTTGGTTGATTTGCTGGTTGGCCATGGCCCTATTCATTGCCTCGCGTTGCAGCCCATTCATCCACGCCGCCATGCTCTGGTGCTGTTGCGCCTGCATCTGCTGGAGCTGCTGCGGCGTCAGGTTGGCGGGTATCTGGGACGGCGTCACGAAGGGGAGGGGGTTGTTCGCTGCGGGATGCAATGGGGTTCGTCTCGTGAAGGCTGCCGCTGTAGGCTGGCTGCCATGGTGATGCGTGTGATGAGGCTGGCCAAATGCATGGTGGAAATGGGCGTTTGGCGGTGCCGGGCTCGTGCCTCTAGCGGCTGCCGGTGTCGGGGTCGTGGAGCGCTGGGGCTCGGCAACGTCTCGAAGCACGAGATGAATCGTCTGCTGGTCGGTGGTGCGAATCTATATCCAAGTCAGTCAGCAACATGAAGCATCATTAACGGAGGAGCGAGACGCACGACTTCTTCGCCGATAACGCTCAGGAGGGTCTCTCCATCCGGCTGCAAGACCCGTCCGCGGTAGATCAGCCGCTGCTGAGAATCGGTCGGTTTCAAAGGTAACGCTTGACGTATTTTTTCCTTGAGCTGCTTGACCGTGGTCGTGGCGGCGAGGCCGGGAAACACCAAGGGCCGGTTGGAGTTCGCTGCAGTCGATGGCGACAGCACCTGCAGGTTTACGGACAGGTGGTCAGAAGCAGCCTCTGGCGCGGGGTGCGCGGTCGAAGACGAGCCTTCAGAGGCCATGGTGAGGCCTATCGGTCATACCACGCGAAGCGCAGCGCGGCAGCTTCGTCGGAGAGTTCGCGAGAGGCGGACGTTCGTTGTTGCGCAGGGACACGATGCTCATGTCACCGTGTCGTTCGTAGACGTGGAAATTTAGGACATGTGTTGCTCTCGGACTGCAGTCTGTAGCTCAGGTACGAGACCCGCTGGCCTCACTAAAAACGGGGGTACGTAACCTGTACCTGGGGAACCGGAAGGCCCGATCCATGCACACCGTCCCAATTGGGCGGGATCTGACAGGTCGATTATGTAAGCTCGGTGACGCGATGCATCGAAATCTCCCGTCCTCTAAATGTTCACCGGGGTTAAGTACATTGTGTAGGATCAACATGGCTTCTGTTGTTTTTTCTAGGCTAGGTAGATATAGAGGCAAAATCTAAACATACAAGTCTCTCCTTTGTCCCACCAGATTTCTAGGCATCTTCCCTGTTTTTGGCGAGTCTTCTTTTAGTATTCCGTGAGTGCAAGAACTCCACTGCAGTGCTTTACACGCTCCACGAACTCTTCCCCGTAATGACATCGCTCTGTCACAGCCATCTCGTAAATTCTCATAACAAGTCTAACCTGTGCTGTTAATTCCGGTAGTATAGCCAGACTGTTTCTCACTTCGTCCTGCCAAATATTCCAGTAACTCCCGCATTGTTGTTCGAAGTCGGCTATTGCAGGTGTGAGAGGAGGAAAGGGAGCGGCTGCCGTGTCCTCAAACTAATCGAAAGTTGGTAGACAGCGAGACCTAGACTCACGTTGACATTGTAATTACAGTAAAATCATATGATTGCCTGGGGTTTCGCGGGCGTCTTGTCGAGAATCTTAATGACCGCGTTGTCTTTGGCAGGTCCTATTAGTGCCATAAGGTGTGGTTTTGCCAAGTTCTTTTCTGAGCTGTAAACCATAGGCGCGAGTTCTTTTCCTTTTCTGCTTCTTTCGCGCTGAACAGGCGAGGAGACTGTAGGTGGGAGCACTTGTCGCGATGACAATTGCGAACGCTGTATTCCAACTTGGAATTATGTGCGAGAAGGGAACATTGCCGAGCCGTTCGGCTGTTAAGCAAAAGATGGTCTTAGCGACGCTCGCTGTAGCCATCTTGAAGGTGGTGTTCTTGGTTAAACATGTGTAGCAGGTTCGTTCGAAAGCTGGAAGACGAGTCTGCCGAACATGAGACGACAGGGTTCGATCGACACATGCGGAATCCGAGTTATTGGCTAGAGACCCCAGCGATGGGAGATTTGTAGAGGCCATCTCAATAGCCAGGCCTAAAGAGTCGTCATTCGAGTCAGCAAATATACCAACTTTTGAGGATACAGCAGCTGTGTTTCCAAAAGCTGCACCACCATTTTTCATGGCTGATTTTGTTTTACGCAGACTTTGACAGCCCTTACGACCATGCAGACAAGGAACTGCTTGCAGCCTTCTCGGGTTTGATATTTTATCTGATAAAGTTCTCCATTGGGCAGTGACGTTTTCTTTTTCAACCCTCAAGAGCCATGAAGGGGTATAATACACATCCAGCTCTATAGAATGATATGCATCTCCCGACCGGGTGAGTGGTGTTCCCAGACGAAACAACGTTAGCTATCCGCCCAAAACAGACTAGCGCCCACATGGTTTGTGCTGCGTCATGCCACAGCTGTCGCCGACCTGCAAGATCTTATCGCAAGACGGCTGCTCCTCCAGACTGTCATCGCCTGGCCATTGCCCCCCGCAAACCCAGCAAAGCTCGAGGCCCCCCGAATCCTGCGCGTCGACTGAGGTCCCTCAAACATCATGGCCACGCTGTACGCTCGCCAGAGCCAGCTACGGGCCACCAAGTTCTTCTCCATCCAAGGTCCCTACGCCTCGACCCGATTCTTCTCCCAGCAGCAGCAGCGCCCGCGATTCTCATCCCGCCTGCGCCACGCCCTCAAGAACTCCAAGGTCCAATGGTACCAGATCCCCGTCGGAGTCGGCATCGGCTTCCTGGGCTTGGTCCAGTTCTACAAGGTCTCATCGCGCGAGCGCGAGAAGCAGGAGAGGGGCGAGGTTCAGGATGGCGCGCCACCCAAGAAGCGCGCAAAGATCAGGCCTGATGGACCCTGGCAGGTCCAGGTCATGTCAACGCTCCCCCTGAAGGCCATCTCGAGACTCTGGGGTCGGTTCAACGAGCTGACCATTCCATACTACCTGCGTGTTCCCGGATTCAAGCTGTACTCATGGATTTTCGGCGTCAAGTAGGTTATGCTGCGGTTCGCAGCACAACGGCACACGCACACACATGCTAACACCGCGACAGCTTGTCCGAAGTCGCCGAGCCCGACCTGCACACGTACCCGAACCTCGCCTCCTTCTTCTACCGTGAACTCAAGCCCGGCGTTCGACCTCTCGACCCGAACTCCAACGCCTTGCTCTCTCCGTCCGACGGCCGGGTGCTGCAGTACGGCCAGATCGAGGGCGGAGACATCGAGCAGGTCAAGGGCATGACATACAGCATCGACGCCCTCCTGGGCAAGAACACTCCCGCACCCAGCGTCGCAAGCGGCTGGTCCACGCCACAAGAAGCCGAGGCGGAGAAGGCGAACAAGGTCTCCCCGAGCGAGGACCTTGTCAAGACGGACGAGGAGTTCGCCCGCGTCAATGGCATTTCCTACACGGTCCCTAGCCTTCTGTCGGGCGCAGCCATGTCCCAGCGGAGAGGGTCTCTCAAGGACGAGGCCGGCGAGCACCCTTCGGCCTCTGCCGTCTCCGAGGTCCGCGCCGACCTCGCCCTTGGTGAGAAGCCCTGGTACGACCTCATCTCGCCCGACAACAAGACCTCTCTCTACTACGCCGTCATCTACCTCGCACCCGGAGACTACCACCGCTTCCACTCACCCGCAAACTGGGTCGTCGAGCGCCGCCGCCACTTCGCCGGCGAGCTCTTCAGCGTCTCTCCTTACCTCCAGCGCACTCTGCCCGGCCTCTTCACGCTCAACGAGCGTGTTGTCCTGCTCGGCCGATGGCGCTACGGATTCTTCAGCTACGTCCCGGTTGGCGCCACCAACGTCGGTTCCATCAAGATCAACTTCGATCGCGAGCTGCGCACCAACAGCCTGACCACCGACACGGCGGCTGACCGCGCCGCCGACGAGGCCGCGAGCCGCGGCGAGCCGTACATGGGCTTCGCGGAGGCCACCTATGCTTCCGCCAGCCCCGTGCTCGGCGGCCACGCTCTACGGAGAGGTGAGGAGATGGGCGGTTTCCAGCTCGGCAGCACGATCGTGCTGGTCTTTGAGGCCCCAACCGGGGGCAAGACGCCCGAGGACAAGACTGGGTGGAGATGGGCCGTCGAGAAGGGCCAAACGGTCAAGATGGGTCAGGCGTTGGGCTATGTCGAAGAGGAGTGAGAAGCTCTCTTGTCTCAGTAGGGCCATAAAATCCATGTACATATATAATCGGCCAAAAGCGTCGCGCAAAGCATTTACCAAAATACAAGACCATTCTATTCCAATCGGGCGCCGTGCAGCAGCGTCAGCGGAGCCCTCACCAGGAGTCATGTGGCGCATCAAGTCCAGCGGCTCGGCGTCAGATGCTTAATTTTCAAGCCACCCGGTTCAACGAGCCGCTCCCACCCGACTGGCCGATGGCTCCCACACACATGCAATGCACCTCGAGATCTGCGACGATGGGACGACGACGTATAATCATTCCAGACGTTAAAATTCATCAAGTCGACCGCTAAAAAGTACTGTCTATACTACCAAAATGGGACTGCCGCTCTTTGAAAAAACTCCATCAGATGCAGCTTTACATTGTATTTTCCTCCACTGACACCCCCCCTTTGTAAACCTCGCGTCTTTAAAATAAAAAAACGTTCTAAGAGCTGAAGGTCTTGAAGATGTCCTCAATGGGCTTGAACTCCTTGGGGCCGGCCTCGCCGGTCTTGCCGCCAAAGACGAGCTGGGCGTTGAGCTTCCAGCTGGCGGGGAGCTTCCACTCGGCGGCGACCTGCTGGTCGACGAGGGGGTTGTAGTGCTGGAGGTTGGCGCCGAGGCCCTCGGCCTCGAGGGCGGTCCAGAGGGTGAACTGGAGCATGGCGTCGGACTGGTTGGCCCAGACGGGGAAGCGGTCGGCGAAGATGGCGAACTTCTCCTGGAAGGAGTTGACGACGTCCTGGTCCTCGAAGAAGAGGACGGAGCCGGCGGCGCCACGGAACATCTGGATCTTGCCGCTGGTGCTCTCCCACTGCTCGGGGGTGACGATGGCCTTGAGGACGTTGGCGGTGATGTCCCAGAACTTCTCGTGCTCGGCGCCGTGCAGGACGACGACGCGGTTGGACTGGGAGTTGAAGGACGAGGGGACGTGGCGGAGGGCCTCCTTGACGATCTCGTCGACGCGCTCGCTGGAGAGGGGGATCTCCTTGGTCAGGGGGTAGTAGGAGCGGCGGTTCTTGACGGCCTCGAGGACGGCGTTGGCGCTGAGGGCAGACATTTTGGAGTTTGTGGTGGTCAAGGTTCGGGGGAAAGCTTGTCTGGTAGGGATGGTAACGATGGGGCGGAGTTGGGAGAGTCTGCGGGTTGCTTGGATGGCTGTTCGAGTGATGGATATCATGCTGGCTGCGGCTTCTTAGTCGGCAGGGCGCGTCGACGGGTTATATACTACGAGGTGCAAAAGGGCCACGACAGCTACACACGGAGTTGCGTCCATCCCACCTTGTTCCCCCTCCTCCTCAAGGTACGTCTCAGAACCCATTGGAACTCCCCACATCGACAGCACAGCAACAGCAGCTCCCCGCTCCAGAGGGTGTCGAGTGTGCCCCTCCATCCGTGACCCGGCCCCCCAATCATCAGACAAGTGGCCTCGTTGGTGCGGGTTTGCAAAACTCCGGCTCCCGCCCCCTTGCTGCTGCCAGTGCCATGGGCAGAAAAAACAACAAAAAAGAGAGTGCTCGGGCTCGGCCGCTGAGCAATTGGTGTGGTAATCAGAGATCAGATTACCAATGACACATGCCGGGTCTCTGATGGCGGGATGGGCGCCTACAGTCCAAAGAGATCTGCTGGCGGGGTTCAGTGAAAGGAGCGTTCCCCGACAGCAAAACGCTGCAGAATCCCACCCGCCACCTCCTCCAGTCCCTACCATCTGTCCCAAACAGGAAAGGCGGGATGATGAAGCGGGCGGTTCACGGTTGGCATCACCCCTCTGGCGGGGTCCCTTTTCTGTCTGTGTTCCCGCTCGCTGCTCCGCTCGCTGCTCAAACTCGCCCGGAGGTTTGCGGCCCAGGTACTCCCCGACTGCTTCTGGCGCCTTACTCGCCAGTCTCGCATTTGGGACCTGGAAGGAATTCAATTCCGCGCGGGTCGCCGACCTGGGCTTGCAGACGACTTTTCCCCGTGCCAGGGCAGCTCTCCCCTCCAGAACGACGTGATGGCGTTGACAACTCGGGGAATGACCGCGCCCGTCGACACAACCGCGCGGGATTGCACAAGAACCACAGACGCTCACGAAAATTCTAGAATGCCCCCCCCCCCTCCCCTCCCACCTCGCATGCCCACCTCGTGGGCGGTGAGAGGTAAAAGCACTTCTGCCTGCTTGCCTGCTGGAGATGGCAGAGCCCTGATGGCACGAAGAGGTCGTTTCCCCCGGGCCACTGTTCTGCATGGTCTGCCCACTCGGAAGAGTAAGCGCCCTGAATCCTTCCGTGCAGAGCCTCTGATCGTCTGAGCTTGCTCTGGGCTGCGGACGTTGCTTGGGGGACGCATCTCAACTCTCCCCGCTGCGCTCCTGCTCACATGTTCTGGATGCTGGCGGTTTGCTCCTGCATAACGCCTAAACCCAGCTCCTCGGGGAACCCAAGTGGCATGTGTCTGCTATTCTCCCAACAGGCTCCCGCGCGCGGCTCGGGAACTGAACGCTGAGGACACACCGTATCGAGCAAAGATCATGTCGCCTGGATGACATCCGTGCCTCGACCTTACGGTGCCTGCTTACATATGAATGATTGTGTCAGCTTCTCATCACCTCTGCCCTGTCACGTCGGCGCGAGGTCTGTCCCTTGAATCGCTAATAGCCTCGCACGATCAATCTCGCGGCCAGCCCAAGACACAACTAGTGCGTTCGTATGGTGGCTTCCCGCGCGCGCGCGAGAGCAGTCTTCTCTCTCTGTGTGGCGACAGGCCGATGACCAGCCGCTGATTAAGCCCACCAGTCCATAACCGCGCGGGAGGATCCACCTCACTAACAGGCCTCACCCCCCGCCGGCGAGTCGCTGCCGGCCCCGCTAGCCATTGCGATGGCGCAATGGTACCGTTGCTACATGGCCCAAGGTTGAAGAATGCCCACTGCTAGGTATGGCCCGAGATGCTCGAATTGTCACCGGCGCGTAGGGCAGTTCCGGCCTCAAATTGCTCCTCGCCCGGAGAAAGTTACACCCGGGCAAGGGCTCCAACTTGACGCCCTTTTCACGGCACAGGCTGCTCCAACCCGCTCCGACAGGCTTCCGCCAGAACACCCGGTTCGGACCCGGCACGGCCAGCTGCCCCGATGTACATGTCTAATAGAGGGGTCCCAATGGTGTGCTGACCGACCCCGGAAATACGGATAAACATGCTTCGGGGCCACGGACTTAGACGCCGGTCCTCACTCCAACGCGCGCACATGGCATGATCGCAGAGTTCTGGCCTTTGCATGCTGGAGACTTGAGGCCACCTTTAGTCGAAGTCCATTGCCACCGACTGCTCTGGGCGGAGACGCTCACCACCGATTTTGGCAAGACGGGGTGCGAGTGCCGTGCAGGCGTATGCTGTTTTGCGACGCCGTTGTGGACAGGGGACGGTGTCCGCTCTGCGGTTTCTTGATCGGCCCGGATTTCCCGACCACGCTGGCAAAGTCTCTCCGACGGGAAAGCCAGCTGGGCAAGGGCCGAGACCGCAAGAGCGTGAGCGTATGGTGGTTACGCGGGACGAGGCCGAGTCCATTTGGGACGGCAAGCAGCAATCGCACTTGAAAGTCCCGAGATACCAAAGACTGGCCGGCAACGCACTGCTCGGAGATTCGAGACGTGCCGTAAACCCCGCCGCCCAATGTGAGGTAACCCCCGAACGTGCTGATGGTGATGTCTCCCGTCACACAATACGGGAAGCGGCGGCCTGAGTCTTATATTCATATCCTGCTAGCCTAAGCCATGAGCAGCATGCGCCGGGTGGGGGGGAAACAAAGGGTTATTGTTTCTGATGCCCTTACTGTACTCGTCGTTCCTGTATAAAACGTGTAGGGTGTCGCTAACATGGTACTTTTCCAATACGTCCAACTCGACGCTGTTGTCACTCGGCCTCATCAGAGCAAACCATCTCAGACACTTCCCACACCGATCCCGGGGGACAGTAACCTCTTAAAGCTTTGACCTTAGTACTATAACAATGCTATCACTTATATTACACATGTGCAAGAGACGCTGCAATCTGCAAAAACGCCAGAAACAATCCAATGAATGCTTTCTTTGTTGGTGGCCATTGGCATGTCCGTGGATTGCCATCTCGAAATGCGGACCCGTTTGCCCGTTGAACCTCTTCCCATGTCGATGAAATTCCCTGTCTCGCAACAGTACATCAGAATCTTTGTTTTGATATAAAAAAATCACATAATCACTCCGAAACGCCGTCTAGGTGCCATTTTGTGAAGCGGTACGCCTTCGCCCATGCTCTTTTTTCTTGTTCGTTGTTTCCGGCCGCCGCTTAGGTCCGACGACCGAGGCCGCGCCGCATCGTAATCCCCGAGACTGTGGCACGGCACAGCCCCGATTGGTCACCCACGTCAGCAGCAAGCCCGTCATCATTAGAACCCCGAGGGACCCCTCCGGTGCATGGGGGCTCTCAGACGATTAGGTATTAAAGTGGTGGGTCTCCCGCCTACCACGTCTCGGCGATGTACTGGCCGGCCTCCTTCTTGAGGTCCCAGTACTTCTTGGCTTCCTCGCGCTCGAGGTTGCCCTTCTGCATGGCGACATCGACGAGGGCCTCCTCAACACCCTCGCCCATGCCCTTGGTGCTCCCGCACACAAAGACGCGACCATCGACAGCGTTGGCAATGTACCATACGAGGTCGGCTTGGTTGCGCACCTCCTCTTGGACGTAACGACTCTCGCCGCGACGGCTTTGCACGACGCGCTTGACCTCGTCCTCGTGTACGCCCCACTCGCCGCTGTAGATCTCGTCGACGAGCGAGTCGCGGATGCCTTGGAGAACCCAGACCTTGTTTGCGCAGTTGGCCGTCTTCAGGCGACGCTGGACAAAGCCTCTAAACGGGGCAATGCCGACACCAGCACCAATCAGCAGCATGGGACCGTCCGAGACGAACTGCTTGGCAAGAGGGTTGGCCATGAGGCCCTTGAACATGGGGATGTAGATCTCGGGGGTCTCTCCGCTGCGCTTGGCCTCGAGCCACTTCTGGGCCTGGCGTTCGAAGAAGCCGGACCCGATACCGGTGCGGAGACCACCACGCCAGTCAGCAGTCTCATGAACTGTGACGGCAATCTCGACCAACCGGTGCACCTTGCCGTCGCGGGTCTTGTAGGCGTCGTGGGGGTCGTTGGAGAGGGAGTAGAAACGCGGCATCAACGTCTGCAGAGCAGAAAGCAGCAGGTCCATGGGAGGGTGGGAGCTGGGGAATGCGTGCAACAGCTGAGATAAGGAGACGTGGGGTCCGGTGCGGAAGTCGCAGAAGACGCCCTGGCCCTCGGCGGAGCAGAGGAACGTCAAGAGCTTCTTCTCGTTGGGGTCCTCGGCGTACTCGGCGAGGATGCGCAGGAGCTGCTTGGTCGGGGGTAGGACTGGATGTCGGAGCACCAGGTAAGCAGGTCCCGGCGTGTAGTGACCAGCTCGCGGGCCTGGTCGTCGCCCCACACGGTCGGCCATCGGCCCTTGGTGGTCTTGAGGAGAACCGGCTTGTCCCGCAGGAACCGAGGCACCATGAGCGCGTCGAAAACGTCATCGACGCGGGCACTGTCATTGGGGGCCGTGACCCCAATGGCACCACCGACTCTGAAGTCCATGTCCTCCCCGCCCGGGTAGCTTGTGATGTCGAGGTCAAAGTGGTAAGTGCGCTTTTCGGCGCCGGGCTTCGTCAGCTCGCGAGCCGAGTCGATTCGGGCGGCGTAGACGTGGTACGGGGGGTGCGGCTGCACATATCGGGGGGGTTCCTTGGCGGTGTCGGTGTTGTCAAGGGTGAAGTCCTTGAGTCGGTCCTGGACGGTGGCGAGATCGGCGTCCTTGTTCTCGCGAGCGTCGGCGCCCAGCGATATGGCAGAGTCTGTGGGGGAGGAGGTGGCCGCGGCGGGCCGAGGCACTGGCTCGAAGAAGACGGTCTGCTCGGGCAAGTCGGCAATGTTGGTCAACTTTGTGGGGATGTCGCCAATCTTGAGAGCGAGTGACTTGTATGCGTCGTTGTCGGGCAAGGGGATGCTCTCGTACTCGAGGCCCTCCTTCTTGGCCCCCAGCTTCATGCAGCAGCCGCCACCGCAGCATCTCTGGATCAACTGGGCTGTTGATTCGCCAGTGATGCGTTGGATGTCGGCGGGGCTCTGTGCAATCAGCCGCGTCGAAGCGCGCCGTCTGCGCGGGGGCTCGGCTTGGGGCTCTTCGTCTTGGTCCTCTGACTCTTCCGAGTAGGTGAGAGAAGGGGCGACGGAAGAAACGCTGGGCTCCTCGGGAATGCAATCGCGAGTGGACCTAACCAGAGAGGACGCCATGGCAGTGGTCGCCATTGTGCTGTGCATCGCAATGTGGTCGCGTCTGTTGTCGACGAAGTTGCTTAGGTGGCGGCGGTAATGATGACCTATGCTACTTGGGTAGGTGACAGGGGATGTGTTGATTCCGGCGTGGAGGATGGCGCAAAGCAGTCGTGAGTGGGAGAGTCCGGGGGCGGAAAGTCAGTAGGTATATAGCATGCTGTCAAGGCAGGACAAATGGGTGCTGTGTGTTGTTTGGTTGACTTGGGGGTTGGCTAATGGATGAAACCAGCGGGTGTGGAATTCTCGATCAGATAAGTTTGATCAGATAAGCGGTACCGGGTGGTTATATCAGCAGCGAGGGGGGGTGGAGGGGAGAGAAAGAAAAGAAAAGAAAAAAAAACAGGAGAGGAAAGGCTCGGATGGAAGGAGCAGAGGAAGAAGAGGGTAAAGTTTTCTGGGACGTGGAGGTCGATGAGGTAAAAATTGGAGGGAAAAACCTGGCCAGCCGGGGAGAAGGAAAGGCGTGCGTGCGGTTGAGGGTTCTTGTCGATCTTGACCGAGGAACAGTGCTATTTTCTCTACTATGTATGTATTTTCCCAAGCTTGACTGGACCGGCCGAACTACCAGGTACAGGGCCTCAAGAGATGATGAGAGAAACGAGATCGGTCTGTATGGACGGGCTGCAATTCGGCATGGGGCTCGATTCCAGAGCGAAGTGAGGAAAAATGAAAGGTCCAAAGTCTCCGTTCTTGGGGCGACAGGGATCCCTGGACGCCCCGGTTAGGCTTAGCCGCCACCGCCTCGTGGTACCGTCATAGTGGCCGCAGCCGGACAGTGAAGCAGTGCATGTTTTACACACTGTAATGGTGCTGCCGCGGGCACCGTCGGGGGGCTGGCCAGTTCGCCGGGCTTGGTGAGATTTAGCATGAGGTGAGCATTTGTTGGAGAGTTCTCGGTAATGGATTATGAGTGGGCAGCGACTCCAGTGACACTGCTGACCAAGGCAATCGCTCGATTACAGGAAGGGGGGTGGGTTACACGATGCGCAAACCAAAACGAGCGTCGAAAAAGCAAAGAACATGTCGGAACCACCCCGTGTCGAATCCATCGTATTCCAGCACACGTGCTCGTGCTCCGGGTGTCTGTCTGTCTGTCTCCAGGGCCGATTTCACAGTTATCAATCAGCATCCGAAATGCACCAACCCTCGGATGCCGCCGGCCATTGAGCCATTGCAGGCCGCTGGGTCCCTCCTGTCTTTCCCTCCACTTTCGACGCCGCCATCTACGCCGATGTCGCCCGCACCGATGACGAGGAGACTTTCTTCCCTCCTCTCCTGTCACTCTGGCTTCCAAGTGGGCAGCATTCGACCTCGGCGGCACGCTCGAAACAACCCCAACTCCCCCAAGCAACTGTCGACATCACTGCGTGCGCCACTGCCTTGCGTACGTACATGCATTCCCGCAATCAGCATCTCCTATCTTTTCTCCTTCCACATTCCGATCCGCTCCTTGGTGCTCCCCCTCCCCTTTACCCGACCCCACTCCCCTGCCCGACCTATTCAAGTCGCCCACGCCTCGTTGCCTCCTTTCCCGGCTATTCTTGCTCAACATTGAATCCGGCACAGCCAGTTCTGGGTTCCCGACCCCATCAACCGAGGTGACCTGACCCGAACCGGTACGCGGGACGCTAATGGGGACGTACCTACCTACACTGTAAGCCCAGCTTCAGGGCACACCAACCTCCACTCTCGTTGGGGCTCTCTCTCTCTCTCTTCTCTCTCCACAGTGTTTGGCGTTTTGCTGCGCCGCGGCATCCATCCCACAAGCCTGGAAACCCCAACGACTGGCATCGCTTCGTTTTCCGAACCGCTCGTACATTTGCCTGTCAGACTAAGAGTGTGGGGTTTTGGTGCCCGCCGAAGCACTCCGTGATCCATCGACGCAGTCCATCATTCTGGGCCCAGATGCGCTGGACTCGCTGGCCATTGGGATGACGCCCATTTCACCATAGCCCCTCACGATTGCGCTCTCCCGTCACGTATTGCCGCTACCATCGTGCAGCGGCCGCGGTGCACGATGAGATGGCTTCTCCCTCCACCCTCCACTAGGTATCTGTCGGAGATGGACGATACCGGTACGGCAGTCTGTTGCGCCACCTCTGCTACCCCATCGCGCAGCATCTCGAGATCCACCCCGTTTGAGGAGCTCCATGACCGGCCTGAGCCCTATCTGCTACCTACGTACGGTATTGCGACGTTCCGGAGTCGCCCGCCAGGCCTTATGCACCATAGACCACGCATACCCTACAGTGTGGTCAAGCACGTGGGGAATCAGCCACTCCGGCGTGCTACGTAAGCGGTAAGGTTCGTCCCCGACATCTTCATTTGGGGCTCAGCCCCAGTCGCGGACAAACCTCGACGTCTAATGAAGTAATCTCTTCGCGCACCACGCTCGTTCGATGAAACCGGCGCCATGAGCGAGCCCAGAAAGAACGAGTCACAATGGCCTTCACCCGCTCACCGAGTTTTGCAAAGTGAACATGTCCGGCAGGAGCAGGAGCAGAAGCCGGCGGAGGAACTTGTCGGGTCAGCCCACCTCACCGAACCATCAGCCGTTGGATCGCCACTCGTTTCCGTTGGTTTCCGCCCTGCACACTGTGTACCGATGCCACACGCCGCCGTCTGATTGTTGCGCATCAACTGCCAAACCCCAAGCAGACCCAAGAGTACCAAGCAAACCTTTTGCTGCATGATTGACGAAATGAGCCCCTCGGAATGCAACACCGTCGGCCGCGGTAGGATTGGGTGGGATTCGCCGGATCTTACATCTACACCACGGGCTACCGCAGCCGTGGCAGGCCGAACCGAGCAATTCCGGCCTTCTCCCCATCTCCAGACTCCAGCGCCAACGGTCCGCTCCCAACAAAACCGCTCACGTGAACGCACAAGTGGCTCCGATACCATTGCCAACATGATTCAGTCCGTGGTCATCGGCTGCATGATGCATTTCCACCTCGTCAGACATCTCGAGAAACACCCCCTCTTGATGCAAAGCCTACGTACGCTATGATCTCCATCTCCGAAAATGTTGCGAATACAAACGTCACGGGCAGGTATCATCACCCACGTCGAGCCGAAAGCTAACCGACCAGAGAGAAGTCATCATTCCGTGTTGCTCAATGATCCAGCCACTGTCCGCACCTTGCATCCTCTGACGGAATGCCACATGCATTGGCCTATGCGATGCCCGTCTGTGACCCTTCGTCCAATCATGCAGCCCAGTCGACTCAACCGGGGGCTGTTTGGCTTTTTCCGCGCAGCCATGGGCAATCTTATCGCACATTATCAATCTCATCAAATCAATCGCATCTAATCTGATTGCGCACAATCTCCGAGACCGGCCCCTCGCCCCTTGATGCAATGCCAGCGAGTCTTCCCAACCCAAGCAGACATCATGGGGCTGCGCAACCGAGGCCCGCCCCTGTCTCCTCTCGCGCCTCTGTCTCATCCTCATTTCCAGCTGCTCGCGACCATCCTCCCAAAGCTCCGGCTTGAGCTCCCGCTGCTAGTGTCGCGGTGCTCCACCACCGCCAACGCCCATGGACATGGCATGGGCTCGATCTGATAACTTTATTCGCTTCTCCCTTTAATCAAATGGGTTGGCCGATCGACACTCTCGTATCTTTGGCCGCTGACCTTGGCAAACCGCTGGCCTCGTTCGGTGACTGACGGCTTTTTCGCCCTTGCCCTATTTCGATCGCTCCCAACCAAGCCTCACTGTCGCTTCCTACTCGTCCTGTTTCGAACGCTCCCAACCAACCTTACCGTTGCGTCTGCTCCTTTGGGCTCGGAGCTCGTGCGTGTGCGATCCGGGCGCTCGACTCTCGCCCCTGGAACTGTTGAGGAATCCTATTTCTGTGCATCCGGCCACGGCTGTGGCCTAACAGGCCGGAGTCAAGAGGACACGTATCAGCGTCATTTCTTATGCAACAGCCAGATCACCGTGCCATGGCCGCATTCTTGCTCGTTGTTGAAGCATCAGGTTGCTATTATGACTCCGAGGACGCCAGAGGTCCACCTCGGTGTGCGTCTCCTGAAATCGTGTGGCTTCCAGGGAAGATTCCTTCCTCCCAACCTCCCATGTCCGCCCCAGCATCTTGGTGTTCGCACGTGAACTCTACATCACTCGACATAACCCACATCGACATGGTTCGTCGATCACTTATCACAGTGCAAATACCGGCCACTCGGTCTCTCCACAACCACTGGCGCGGCGCCAGTCCAAAGGCGCGTTCCTGCGTCTCCTGGGGGCCCTTCATCCTAGCCGCCGGTCCATAAAACTCCGCCCTAGTTCTGGTCCAGTCCCTGACTCTCCTGAGACCGCTGTCATTTCATTTCGGCTGTCTTACGGATGCCATCTGTCCACGCCCGTACGGTGCCAGCGTATGAAGCGTACCGTCAGTGTGGTTGGAACAGGGCTGCAGCCGGGTACCCCAGCCCCCTTTTCATGTCGACATGTTGATCAAACCCTTCGAGAAGCTTGAGAAGCGAGATGATGAGTAGACGGGCAATCCTAGTAGTAGCTGGTTGTCGGAAGACCGAGGGCAGACCGAGGGCAGACCGAGTTTCTCTGTAGTCAGAGGCCACTCCTGATCAGGGGGATTACTCTGCGAGTGCTCGGCGTCCATACCACGGAACGTGCGATGCAGCTTTTGCCTTCTGCTTCCAGACCATTCGTCGTACACTGGGTACGTACGCAGCGACTGACCATCGAGAGTTCCAAGCTGATAGCTTCCCCTAAGAGGTCTTGAAGGATGTGGCTCGAATGCCTCGAGGTTGTAAGACTGGTGTGGTCTTGAGCTGTTCAACGCATTCTTGCCCATTAGCAGCGAGGCACCAGTAGCTAACTGCTGACTATCGGCGACACAGCACTGTTGAGCATTGGCACAGCCGAGTTCCCTTGACAGTGGGCAGTGGAGATGCCGGAAGGACCACGTAAGGATACTATTCGTGCCCGGATCCAACTTCGTGGGCACTGAAAACGACCCGGCGGAGGCCGATGCTGGTTGAGCCTCGAGACCGGCTCTGTATCAAGTCGGTGGTTCGTCGTCCCTATCGTCGTCCGCCATGGACAGTACCGCGAAACAAATATGTCCGGAGCCCTCCTGGGGCGTGTAAGACGGCGTCGCGCAGATGCTCAACACCTGAGCACAGCCGATGGCGACGGTCTCGATGTTCCACATCAGTAGCTAGATTGTATCCCTCGTTCGTGCCTGCCGCTTAGGTGCGCAGCAACCACCAAGTGTCTACGATGACCTCGAGATGCAACTCATCCGCAGTTGAGGCGTGTCCCGCTGTCTCCCCTGTGAGCTCTGAGAAGGAAAGGCTTGTAGAACATGTGGCAGCGACTGCTGACCCGATGTCACTGGAGGAGGCAAGCTGTTCCTGCCACGCGAATCTGCGAACCTCCGACCAAGGCTACATTTGGATCAATATCATGTCAGCACTGGTATAATGGACGTGCTGTCCCTGAAATCCACTGGCACGGAGCCCGCTGGGTTGCTTCCTATTTGATCGTCCGCTATAGCTTTATGGCGCTAGTAAACAGTCTCTACGGGCTCTTGCTATGAGTCTGTGGAAGCGTACGTCGCTGAGGAGATGTAGTACGATGGCTCCTCTGCCTCGATACCGCATCAAACATTCCTTGAAAGAGGAGGGAATAGATGGTTGCACATTCAAGCAGGCTATGAGACTCGACCAAACGCTCAAGATAGTTGCCTACAACTGAATGGAGGCGTGTTGAACCGACATTGTGGTCGACCAGCAGACCGCATCGCAACTTGGGCATCACGCCCCCTACCGGCTAGCCACCCGCGGCGACAGATTCTGGCCATGGCACGGCCACGACATGCACTGCTGGCTGCCCAGAGAGATACAAGCGTTGTGCATATATTGCGACGACTCAATTGCGACTGGAGACAGTTTGGCCATCAACACGCTCTCATTTCCCCCCTCTTCGAAGCCGCGGCGCATCTCATCCTCGACCACACTGAAGTCCGGCATGCGCCGCGTCCCATCCTCAACATCAGTCTGCCACCCGGGTCACAGAGTATACAGGTAACCAACCAGCTCCCCTCCTCGGCCCCTACCGAAGCTGCGAGCCTACATACAGCGTTCGCAGACTGTCTCGGGAAACTCCGAGGACGATGCCCTCCCCGCCAAAGCCCGGGCCCCTCGCACTTCTCGCCCGTCGCTTCGAACCAGCACCGGCTCCCTGGACCTCCAAACGCCCGCTTCCCGGTGTGGACACGCCGGCAAGCCAGCTTTCGGCTTCCCGAGGATCGAACCACTAGCCACGCCCCCGCGGAGGAACAAGATTGATCTGAACATCCCTGGACCGATACGCATCGTCGATGGAACCGAACAGGAAACAACTCACCACCCCATATTGAAACGGCATGCCAGAGGCCAAGGGCCGACCAGAAACCAAGGCGCCAGTTAGAGTTTGTCCCAAAAGTCGTGGGATATCCCTTGAGCTAGTTCGTCTTCGACTATTCTCCGAGAAAGACACAGCATCACTGATTCTGCATGGGTCCAGCGTGCCGGGAGGAAACGAGTCAATGGATGCATTGTCGAGCCTACAGGTAGTATGACTAGAGTCGACCCCATTGGATACAAAGTTTATAGTGCGTACGCTTGAGATGGATGTCCGGGGCCGCTGCGAGTGGCATGTCACTTCGCTGCGTGGCTGCCTTGGGACCGAATGGTGGATGGCCGGCCTTCGTTGAGGCTCTGGCTGCAGCTCCTTCCGCCATGCGTCGCAGCTCTTGGCAGCGCGTCTATCATATTCAATGCCATCGTTGATGGCCAAGCCCAAGATAGCCAAGTCCGTCGACGATATAATGCGGGGCGTGATGTATCTCGGCCAGAGGGCCCATCCTCAGTACGCCCTATCACCGTTTTGATGCCTCGGCAGATCGTCGACGGGTCCGTTTCCTCTATACGATTTACCAGGTGCCCATGCTCGCTGTCCAAGAGGTTGCGCAAGCCCCTGAGAATGGAGAGGCCCAATGCCCCCAGCTCCAGAAACAGTCGCCTGCGGGTGGCCAGGCCGCATTCTGGTGGCCAGAACCGCAACCCAACGACAAGCGACCACAGACACTGATGTATCAGATGAATCTGGCGGACCTCAGTTGTCGATCTGTAAGCACTTAAGTCAGCAGCCTCTAGGACTTCCAGCCGCCATGAACCAAAGTAGTTGGGAAGAGAGCAGCGGTACTTCAATGGCCAAACACACAAGGTCCATCAGACCCGATTCGCGAAACCTATTTCCCCAAAGGCTGAAAGAGGCACACCAGCGACAGAAATTTCTGGCGCGGATCCGAGACCACAGATGGGTGTGAACCCCAAAAAACCAAACAGTCAGATGCCGTTTAAGTGACGCGCGTCCCCACGTCTTGCGGTACACTCAGGCCATCAGGAGGCACGCGAACAGCACAGGATGCTTCAAAACGAGCGAGAGAGAGTTTGCGTTTGCTGAAAAGACGCCCGTACCACTGATATTCATTGCCGTGCCTCGTGGGTCATGAGCCCGCGGCTTGCGGTCTTGGGCAGCCGTCCCAAGGACTGGTTCCTGCCAATGGCTTCCGAGCACCCCCCCGCCCCCTTCAAGCCGGGACACGCGCAAGCGAATTGAGACGGTCCAACAACCAACGATGGGGTGTGGTGAGCCCTTGTCCCAAGGGAAGGGTTTGCCGTGTCTGCGGCAGTTTGCAATAGATGTTCGTGCTTGTTTGAAGAATCCGGGAAGCCATCCTCAAGGCTAAAGACGTTTCGTTCAACTTCTAACTTCGAGACAAGTCGTCGTGACCATAAGCTCGGAAACCGGTCTCAAGTGTACCCAAACTGCCGGGTATTATTTCCTCAAGCTTCTTTCCTCCCTACGGCACTAGTCAGTCAGTTAGTGTGCCACGCCCGACTCAAGGCCCGTCAGGCTCGGGAGGCGGCCAGCATACTAGCCACAGGAAAAGAAATTCTGTCCCCCAGCAAATCTTGTGACAAACCATCACGAAACCCGAACCGAGATTCGTTGTAATTCCTTAGTGAGACAATCCGCCGAGATGGCCAAAAAGATGGACAATCTGGGAATCGAACCCAGCCAGCATTGACCGTTGCATCTTCATCTGTCTCGTCCCCCCAGTTGGCCGAACCAGTGCGCAACCTCTGTGTGCACTGACTCAATTCCCCAATGAGCTCGGTCTGTAGGACTAAAAAATTTGGGCCGAAGAAAATCCGGATTGTTGGTTCAAAGTCACGCTAAGCGGTCATTATACCACCAAACCAACCGCCCTTGATGTGATCTAGCCCGGACTTGAACCGGAGACCTTCAGTGAACAAACAGAGACCACTCGGAAGTGAATCGACTTGTTAGACTGACGTGATAACCAACTACACCACCAGACCATCTTAATTGTTGGGAGCCATCCACGGAAAGATGACCATTACGGCAAGGGTTGTTGGTGGGGGGAAGCAATCGCGAAGCTAGGCAGAACCCAGCACCATGGATGCGGCTGGGTGGACCCAGAGTTTCCGGACTACTTCGCCGAAATTCCAGATGACCAGGTCATCGGGATCCAGCGGTGAGGGACGACATGTGCCTGAGTCCCGAACGTTGAAAGACAAGGCGGTGCTGAAAAAAGATTGGGCTAATGGAGGTGTGCTCTCAATTTCGAAAGGCTGTGTGTGCTTTGGTTGCAGGAACGCTGACTCGTTTTCATGTCTAGACCTCAGTGGCCAGCTTGACTGCCAAAACCTGCGCTTTAAGGGAATTTGTCGAGCAAGCAGCCAAGGCCACACTGGCTTGCATCAGTCATTGAGGCGAATCTACATCGAGAGGATTGTGGGGTGGGGTCAGCCCTTGCTGGCCCTGACGATATATCCCTCACTGCCGATTGATTTCATCGAAGATCGTGGCGGACATAGCTCAGTTGGGAGAGCGTCAGACTGAAGCGGATCTTATTCCGAGAAACTTCATTCAATCAATCTGAAGGTCGTGTGTTCAATCCACACTGGCCGCATCTTCGATTTTTGCACCCAGAACGTCCAGTCGGCTGACTGACCACTTTTAACATAGGTCATCATCAGTCAAGGTGGATGAATGTGATGGATGTGTTTTGAACCCATTGGGAAGACTAATTTCGTGCTGCCGATCTGTTCCTCACTTTTTGGTGGCTAGATGCGCTCGATGGACGCATGGCATGTGTGTGTATGTATGGCTTGCGGCTCTGCGAAAGAAAGGTCGGAGACCGGCCACTGCACGCGACGTTATTCGACCGAAGCCGCGTACGGGGACGATGGACCTCATTGCGTTGATACCGGCTCCGGCGTTTCTTGTGGCTGAGTGGCTTCTGTGGATTCCAGGGAACGTCTCGGGACGTCAACACGATCGCAATGGCTTCCATTCATCAGTCCATTCACTGCCATCAAGCCATCATGTTATCTGGCTCTCGACACCAAGCTGTGTCATCAGGAACCGAAAATCATGAGCTGTGACCTGTTTTGCTCATCCGGTTACGTTGCTCGATACTTGGGATCAGGTTCAGATGGGGGAAGTTCAGTCACTCGTTTGGATTTCCGCTTGTGGAAGTGTATATTTGTGTCTCGACGCGTGCCGACAGAAGGGCAATCCCCAAGTCGTCAGGTCAGTGCGAGGATGGGGGCTCTTCGCAAAGATCAGCCAAGGCTGCACATATGTCGCGGAAAAACCACAAAGCCAGCATATACATACCTGCGATGCTTACGAGCCATCTAGTGACATTGTTGAACGGACCGTCAATGCCCGAGCCGCGCTGTTGTGTTTTTCGGGTTGGCGAGGTTGGTTAACTGGACCACAAAATTGTGAGAGATGGATTCGACACGGAAAGTGATGCATACGCAACCCTCCTCGGAGCCGACAAAGGCACTGTCCCCGCATATTGTTCATGTGTCGCATCGTAACAAGCTTTGCAGGTATGGAAGCCGGCTGCCGTCTTGGCGGAGAGACAACACGGTTAGGGAAGGCTCTGGCGCAACCAGTGAATAGTTATGCTGGAGTTTCTCCATACCCACTCGCCATATCGCTTTGAACGGAAGACCGTGGCGGCACCTCAAGGTTCCTCGAGTGGGATAAAGACACCCTTGTCAGGGGAAAATGAACGATGACGACTGGGAACAAGCTGGGAGGCGTCGTCTGCTTCAAGGGGTGATCGTGGCCGAACCGTGGGCAACTGTGAGTTTGTGGTAGCTGTACATGGTTGCATGCCGCAACCCTCTGAGTTGCGGGAAGCATGTCATTGGTATGGTAGATGGGCCGCGTAGATCCTCAGCATCCTCAGGATCCCTCCGAACAGGAGGGAGGCAACAGGCCGATACGGAGTACACGCGGCCATCATCAGAAAGCCCGGCCCCAAATGTGGTAGCATCTGAACCTCTGTGCACCGCCTTCCTAGCGGTAGTGAACGGCCGCTACAGGGCATGGATGGAACTAGCCGGAGACGCTGACAGGCAAGAAATAGCTAAGCGTTGCGGGATGTCGCTTAATCCTGCCCTCGCGGAGGATTACCCTTGTGCCTATTCTGGGACATCGTTCTTGGCAGGCCATGTGTTTCCTCAAAGTCACAAACCTTGTTTGTGCTGGTGACGAGCATTGACTTTTGTCTAGTTTGAAAAGACGCCGTGGCAATTTCAGCTGCGCGGATAAATCGATAAGCAGGTTTGAACCGTTGCAGGGAACGAAGTGGGACGAAGATGACGAGCGGTCCAGACGGAGACGGCGACGCCCATGACCATGCCGGCGGCGAGAGGCACCCAGCGGCAGGATCCGAGACAAGGCTTTGTGTTGTCGTGGGATGCCTGGATGTCTTCGGTTGGTCGTCAAAGCAGGAGGCTCCAGAGGACCTTGTGACCGGAGGAGGGCGGCGTGTCTGCTTCTTTGGAGCGGGCGGCTTTAAAGTTTGGGCTTGGCTCGCAGGAGATCTATAGGTTGGTTGATATCGAATATCGGATTTTCCAGACGCGTTGCATTGGTGGGACGGGGAGAGCTGGTTCGGAGCGGATCCAAGACTTTGACGCAAATGAGACTGCGCAATCGAAGAAAAAGAAGAAGAAGCTTACTGCGAAGGTAGAGATGGCGCTTCGAGAAGGTGAGGGCTTGCGCGGGTTGAGGTTAGAAGATGGTCGGAGATGGGATAAATGTGGAGGAGTTGCGCAACACTAACAATTCCTGGCGCGTCTCGGCCACTAAGCGAGCCGAAAGATGCCCCTGCGTCCGTGCCAGAGTGTGCATGTACACCCCGAAGCCTAGGGACTGTTCTTGGGTGTACTTCCCTTGGCGAAACAGGAGGGAAAGCACTCGGCAGGTACCTTGTATGATTGCAGTAGTCTCTCCCATGAGGTACCGGAGGCAGCTGCCCCTTCCCATTCCCAAGGGGAAGATTACCTAACAGGCCCGTCTCACTTGATGCCCCAAATCCCTAGTGTCTTAGCTGCTGGGGCTCAATGCGACAGAGGGTACGTACCGTCTTGCACCCGTTGGTAAGGTGCCGTCGGTCGGGTTGTTGTTCTCATCCTTCGTTCCCTTAACGACGAACCAACATCAACACCCACAACGATAAGGCCGGTAACACTGTCGACGTGCAACCGTGGGACCAAATCAAGTGATGCAGTCGACGCAAAGACGCTGGGCGACCGATGGAATCCAAACATCCGCCTCGGCCATCAGCGGCAGATGTTTGGGGCTCTTCTTTGAGGCACGGGTGATGGCAGCAAACTAAAATCCGGAGGTGGCAGCTCCCGAACGACTCCTGTTGACTATCCATGTTTCAGATGTGCCTGGCAAGTCCGCGAAACCGCCCTCGACGTCCAAGGCAGCAGAAGTCGATCACGTCCCAGTCGGTCCAAACTCCCAAACCCTTCGGATTTCACTCGTGCCCGGTCCAGGCGCAAGGACAAGCTTACCGTCCTCGAGGAGGGAGAAGGGCCGTTGAGGTCGGGGTTGCTTGTGTTGTCTTGCTTGGCCTTGTTGCCGGGAGGAAAGCGGGAAGCCCTGCTTTGCCTGTGTTGCATGTCGTCTGTGTTTCTGGTATGTGCGCTCGCGCGCCGCTCGCTGCGATGCAGGCCTAGCATTCATTTTCGATTTGACCTGTCCCTTTTCTCTCTCTTGTGTTCGTTTCCTTTCGCTTTGTTCCTCCTTTCCACTGCTTCGAGATCCAACCCGTTATTTTGACCGTTTCCCGCTTTGTTTTCTTCCTTGAACCCGAGCCTCGCAGCATCACACTGAAGTCGACACCAACTACACGCTGGAAGACGGGTTGAAGAGACGGAGAACCGAACGGGATACGGCCAAGCAATCGATTCTTGTCAACTTCCGCCACTCGTCCATTTGAGTTTTGTCTCTTGCCGACAGCCAGCAACCTTTATGCGATCATCGGATCGTCAATCTTGCGCCAGGCCTGGCTGTTAGTTTACTCATTCTAATGGCCAATGTCTTGAAGGCATACCTAAGTCGTCTTACTCCCCTTTGTGCTTCGGGAAGCCTTCTTCAGCAGGCGACTCCTACTGTTCCGCGACAACGACGCGATCTGATTTCGGCATCCGGCATTGCTTGCATCAACGCGGCGTCAGTTTGATACCCTTTAGACTTGTTCTGAGGACCAATCCTCCACACACATCTCCATTTGGACACGACGCCTTCAAACGTTGACCACGTCCACAATGAATCGGACATCGACCATGTCCTCCATGCCAATGGAACTTAACCTGCCTCGGGTGGTGCCCGGGGGCAAACACATCAGCTATTATGTCGCCATTAGCACGATACTAGTAGTAGCCTGGCTATTTCAGTCCAGGAAGAAGAAGCTGCCCAATATGCCTTTTTACAAAGCCGCCAAGACGAAGTGGATGTTTGACGCAGAGACACTGATTCGTGACAGCTATAGCAAGGTAAGCTGGCGCATCCAAGGTTCATTTTCGTCGAGTTACTCACCATCCCCAGTTCCGCGACACCGTGTATCAAATCAAGGCCACGGAGGGTTTGCAAGTACTGGTACCTGCGAGACTGATCGGGGAGCTCAGAAGCCTGCCGGAAGAGGTCCTCAGCGCAACGGAGGCTGTAGATGAGGTATATCTTGAGTCTCGTGCCACCCATCTAGTATACTGACTGTCTAGGCTATGTTGAGCAGATACACAAACTTCACTCTGGGCAATCACGCCGACTTGCTATCAACACTCGTGAGGTGCAAGCTTTCACAGAACCTAGCGCGGCTTGTGCCCCAACTCAAGGGCGAGCTCGAATATGTCGTGGCTACAGAGTTTCCCGAGTGCAAGGGTAAGTCGCCAGTCGGACCATCCGCCTCGCACTACTGACCGTACTAGACTGGACGCCGGTGAAGTTCCAACCTTTCGCGCTGCGAGCCATCGCACGGATCAGTGGACGAGCTTTCGTTGGTGCCGATATCAACCGACAGGAGCAGTGGATGGACATCAGCATTAACTTCGCAATCCACGTCTTCGTCGCTGTTGTGAAGATGCAGCTCTTTCCCGAATGGGCTCGGCCCATTGCGCAGTACGGGGTATCGGAATTGCGACAGATTCGCAAAGACGTTGACAAGGCTAGCGCGATGCTGAAGCCAATCATCGAAGAGAGGCTGCGGGACTTGGAGATGCCGGGCTTCGAAAAGTCGCCAGATGACTTGATCCAGTGGCTCGTCGAGGCCCTACCGGAAGACGAGAAAATGGACATCAGGTCCCAGGCACACTTGCAGCTCATCCTGGCGGCTGCTTCAATTCACACGACCAACAATCTGGTTACCGACTGCATTTACGATCTCGCAGCTCACCCAGAGGTGCAGGACATGCTGCGGGAAGAGGCGCACCAAGTCCTCGAGGTTGAGCACGGCTGGGCAAGGAAGGAGAGCATGGCCAAGCTGAAGAAGTTGGACAGTTTCATGAAGGAGACCCAGCGCCTCGCCGGAAACATCAGTGAGTTGAACGCCATGCAGGTCGCTGCCCCGACTAACACCTCTCAGCATCCTTCATCCGCAAGGTTGTCAAGCCGATTGACCTCTCTGACGGCACTCACCTGCCTTCAGGCACTAAGGTGCTAGCTCCCCAGGCTGGCATCTCGCACGACGAGAGATACTTTGAGGATCCCGATACGTTCGACGCGCTGCGCTTTTACAGACTACGGCACAAGTCTGACGAAGACGCCAACCGGTGGCAGTTTACAAGCATTAGTGATACCAACATGAACTTTGGCGCCGGCAAGCATGCCTGCCCAGGCCGATTTTTCGCAGGGAACGAAATCAAACTGGTCTTGGCATATTTCCTGCTCAACTACGACATCAAGCTTAAGGATGGGGAGACGCGGCCGAAGCCAACGGTCATGGTGATGAGCAAGTCGCCCGACCCGAACGCGGAGGTCTTGTTCCGGCGGCGAACGGCGGCGCCGTGAGCCCTGCGGTGCAGAGGGGCTGATTGATATCAAAGAGAAATGAACCAAAATTCGGTAATAGAAAACATAACCAAACGGGCAGCTATTCCGTGTATACCGACGATATACACGCATCTTTCTGACAGCGGGGCCTGGAGCTCCAGGGTCTTGGATAGACTAATTTGAGGGTGCCCGTGGAGGAGATACCATTGTACATTAAACCACATAGGCATATTTACCCGCATTATTCATTGTGGGAGTACCGCAGCTGGATATCACCATAGGCAAGCACACCGAGAGATCACCTTAGTTTCGTCGCGTTTCTGGTGTTTCTTTCGATGTGCTTGTTGCGGGCGTTCGCAGACGAGGTCATGCGACCGAATACAAGAACACAACTATCAATGGTTGCATGGAGCTTAAGATGTGTTGTCCTTGTGGAAGCCACATTGGCTTGAAGATGGTAATGGAACGTAAGAGGGGCACCCCCACAACCGATCACCCCCCACAACCGATCACCGCTTTTGGCCACACTTTTTCCCTCATCCAACACCAACCCTGATTTCTGCTGCAACGCGTCAATAATCAACAAAATTCTAATTAATATTTTGGAAAATACCAATCGATTCGCTATGCCCAAATACGCGCCTGAGCACCTTTATCGCGCCGAGATGGACGTGTTGGATGGGAAGACCATCCGAAAGGCTGCCTCAGATTGGGGGGTACCCTATGCAACCCTCTATGGCCGACTGAAAGGCGCACGCAACAAAAAGCAAGCGAAAAAAGAGTATCAGAGACTTAGCAGCTTCCAAGAAAGCTCCTTAGTTTCTTGGGCTCTTATACAGGGCGAGTTAGGCTTTGCCCCAAGCCATGCCCAAGTCAAGATGTTCGCAACTCAGATTGTCCAGCAAGGTGGCAATATACGTCCACTTGGCAAGAAATAGATAGAGGGTTTCCTGCGGCGAAATCCTGCCCTGAAGACGCTAAGGGCACGGTCAATGGACACAAAACGCGTCAAGTCTATTACTACCAATATAATCAAAGCATTCTTCAAGATTCTAACTATTCCAGAAGTCCAGGCTATACCCCAGTGCCTCAAATAGAACATAGACGAGACGGGTTTAACAGAGGGGAGCAACAAGGACTATCTAGTACTTGGGAAGTCTACACATCGAACTATCCATGTCCAGAACCCTGAAGATAGGACCTGGACGTCTATACTCGAGTGCGTCTCTGCAGATGGCCGTTACCTCCCTCCGCTAGTTATCTTCAAGGGCCAGACCATACAACACCAATGGTTTCCTGACGAGCTATCTCCATATGCAACCTAGAGGTTCACATCATCAACTAACGGCTGGACCTCTAACGAAATCGGGCTAAGATGGCTCAAGGACATCTTTATCGTTGAGACTCAAGAGGAGGCAAAGAGACGGAAGTCAAAGCGGCTTTTGATAATGGACGGCCATGGGAGCCACGTCTCAGATGAGTTTATGTGGGCATGTTTCAGCAATGATATCTATCTCTATTATCTACCTCCTCATTCATCGCACATCACCCAGCCTCTAGATGTATCGGTGTTCTCGCCCCTTAAGACATCGTACAGAAGAATCGTTCGAGACTGTGGCCTCCAGCTGAACTCGGCTCCTATTGGCAAAAGGAACTTTCTTCGCTGCTACTTCCAGGCAAGGCTAGAGGCCTTAACGGTCAGGAATATTACTTCAGGATAGGTTACAACAAGGCTATAGCCAGTTAATATAGCAAAGCCATTAATAAGTAAATTTCTCGATCATACAGCAGATACAGATATCCCACGGTCTCTAAAATAGGATCCGTTGCTTCCGTCTATTCCTAAGACGCCCCAGGCTTTCCATATATCTACCCCTAAGAAGTCAGGAGATCTTCAGAGGTTTGAGAAACTATGGAATCCTGCAGCAGATGGCGAGGACTATGACCCTGTGTCACGGAAGCTGGTATTTGAGAAGGTTGGCAAGCGTCTAGACGCACAGAATATTGCCCTTGCTGGCAGCCACGTGCTTATACACTCACTAGAGGCACAGGTTGCTCGCTGGAAGCCAGTCTCGCGGGCAAAGGTAAGGGAAGATCCAAATCAGCGATTTGTACAGATAGAGGCTATTATGAAGACTAAGGCAGAGGTTGCTGCTCGGCCCGTCAAATTGTTCATTAATACTACAACGGGAACAAAGGCACAAGCAGCTGAGCTTGCAAGCTGGTGCTCAGAGTTTCAAATTTAGGCCTGTGTTGCAGCCAAAATAAAAATCTATAGTCATGGTGGTTGAAGTGCATTGCCTGAAAATGTGGCCAAAAGCGGTGATCGGTTGTGGGGGTGATCGGTTGTGGGGGTGCCCCTCTTAATTGAAATTACCGTTTGGCAGAGCCGGCAGTGTCTGTGGAATATAAATTCGGCCACAGCTCATTCTGTCATCAACAAGCCTTGTTGGCTAAGTGGTATAGCGTCTCACTAGTACTCTAGTGTCATGAGAAGATCGGCGGTTCGATTCCGCCACGAGGCATATAGTTTTGTTTTTGCCAGTATTCATCCAGTGGTGGTGAGGGTTTTCAAACTGTGTAACAAGCAAGACCTTATTGACGACGATATTTCTCTTTTTGTCCAGGCGTTCGTTCGTTCGTTGATGGTCAGTTGTTGAGTGAACGATGTTGATTAGTACACATTACACAATGTCGACGCAACCCATTCCCTTCGCCAATCTTCATCCCCCTCCACTTTGTTCCGCTGAGCCAATGAACCAAGCATATCCACTTGGCGACTGAAGACGAATCAGTATACCATGCGATAACAATCTGGCTTCCAACCATGCTACCGGTAGCAGAGCGGCATTGTCACCTTGCATTCACCGGGCCACGCCGAGCAAGGTCACGCCGCTCCCCGGCCCGTCGTCACCTGCAAGGTCCTTCCCTCTCGACACCTGCCAGCCGAGCCAGGAGTCCAGAAACCAGCTCGGATCACCCAAATGTGGAGAGAGAAGGGCGACTTCCTGCGGGCAGTGGACTAGGTAAGGCAAAGCAAAGCATAGGCCGTTCCATCTGGTCGGGCTCGCCTCGCCTCCTCGTAAGGCTGGCTAGTTGATACGACGTGGCGTGGTGCTTGCCTGGGAAGGCTGCCGCTTGTCAACGTCCACCACGATGGGTTATTTGCGACAACCATGGCCGTTTCAACAAGAGCAGACAGATCAAGAAAGAGGAGGCTTGTCGGGGTTTGCTTTTCAGAAAAGAGCGAGCCGAGCAGGAAAGCTCGTAACAACGAGCAGACGTGACCCCCAACCCGACAAGCTGACAGCAGCATGAGCCCAAGAATACGATCGTCACCGCCAGAAGCAGGCTGCGAACTTGTTCCCGCTCGCATCACCAGAGTGACAAATCCCATCCACGTCCCCCCCCTCCTTCGGCACAGCTCAGATGTTGGATAACATCCACCCAACAACGTGTTTTTCACAATGCCCGTCGGACTATCCCGCAGAGTGACGTCTGATGACTCGATCGGAACGTGGTGTCAGCACCACCACCGCCGCCGCCAAAGACGTCGCAGCCCTACGCACAACGAGCCATCAAAACCATTGGAATTTCCAAAATCTCCCATCAATGGCGCCGGGGTTTTGAAACTTTGCCTTGAGCTCTGTAGGTGCATATCTGATTCGTCGCCTTTCAAGTGGAACACAAGGCCGCGAGCTGTGCAACCCTCACAACTAAGTATAGTATCCGTCCGCTCTGGTCCGGCCCCCTTCCCTTCCAAATTCCGTTTCCAAATTCCAATAAAAAAGCCTGCCTGTATTTCCCAAGCCGTCACCGACACCCTACCAAGAATATCTGATTGGCCATCTTGCTATTGAACCGTCGAACAATACAATAAAATAAAATAAAAAGAAATCGAGAGGGCTGCCACAGATGACCGCCAAGCTTCTCACGGACTCGGCTGCAGTGTGGTCATCAACCACCTCTCTTCCTCGAGACGGTGCCCCGCATCCATGACGAACCACCGTGAACTACCTACCTACCCTCTTCCGTCCGATGGGTGCATTCTTCACAGCACCATCTCAAGCGGGGGCACAGACATGATCACATGCGCGCGTTACCCCCTCACTTCGCTCGGCTCCGCACCTCTGACCCATTGTATAATGCTGTGCAGGACTTGCATTAGTCTCTGGCGAGATAGCGCTCATGTACCGGGTACATCGTCTGTCCGATTTACAATTCCATAGCCCGGCTTCGCCATGGCTCGTCCCGACGTGTGTGGGGATATCGCTCCCGCGCGCGCTAGCCAAAGTGATGAGTGACAGGATATCGGCTGAACGGGCTGGTCTATGCTGCAAACTCAATTGCCTCTTGTTATCAGATTCTACCAATGCACATAAGGAAACACGATTGCAACCCCTACGTGTATTTCTTTGAAGATAAAACCGTGGATCCTCGATATAACCTAACAGTATACATAGCCCATAGTCCAGTCCGGAAAACAACCCATACGATTATCTGTACACACCAATAAAACACTGGGTATCAAAAGGCCGCCCAAGCAAAGAAACTTTATCATCCGAATCTGAATACAATCAGCCTGGCCTCGTGCCGTTCTGTATCCGAGGCGCACAAAGTCTGAGTCGATCCTGGCGCCGCGCACAACCGAAATCAAGAACGCGCTCGCTTATTAAATTCAACAAATTGCTGTAGACAGGCTTGCATCCTCGTATGCTTGTCGATTATTGCTCATACAGTCTTCCGTTACTGCTCTCGATGGCGTAGAAAACTGCGTGCCGCACTCTGGAGGCAGCGAGGTATGCTCCGCAATCGTCTCATGCCCGGGCCATACTCTACCGCTCCCCGTAAGTGGACCGAAGAATTCATCTGGCGATTTCACAGCGCCGTCTCTCCACCAGTGGAAGAGCACGTCTTGCTGCCAACGCTGAAAGTTTCCGATCTTCAGGCGGATCGTCTGGATGAAGGTCGAGTAGAGAAGCTCAACTTCAAGCGGTGACGTCCGCAGTTGATGCAGAAGCCACCTGGTGATGAAATCAGACTTGTCTTCCCCTTTAAACTCGCCGATCAACCTTGAGATGCCATATTCCTTCTGGGCCGCGTACAGCTGCGACTTTCTTACCGGATTGTCGGCAGGAAGTTTTGCAGCTCGTTTCAGCTCATCCAGAGCTGTTAAGGGTTCTGGTCGGAGAACATGGTCTGGTTGGGACAGGAGCTCCGGGAACTGCCGGTGAGCGAGGGTCCCCGACTCTGGAGAGGGACTGCTAAGCGAGAGATCCTCTCCGATATTCGGGTCTAGAGCATACGCGATTTTGAAGGACGGATGCTTCTTCATTGCTCCCTTCTGGTTGCAAATTTGCTTGAGTCTGCTAACCTCCTCCGTGAGGCGGTCGACATATTCCCGCTTCTCGCGTTCTTCTTCCGGAAACTCGTCCATGAACTCGATCTCTTCCAAGCTAGGCGCTAATCCTGCGGATTTTTTCACGTCCATGCTGTAGGTATATTGATTGTGGTAGAGAAGGAGGTCCTCGTATTCTTCTCTGGCGTTGCTCAAATCTCCAACCGCAGACACGAGATCTTCCCATAGTGGATGGGCATCGTCAGTTGGCCCATTGCGAGATATACCGGTCAGTTCATATGGCATGTCTGTCGACTCCTCCGCTTCGCCGTCCTCAGAGTCGTCCGTGTGAGGGACTGACCGGAGATTCCTCCCGCTTCCTGCGGCCAGAAGGCTAAAGAATCGCGTCTCAACTTTGATGAGTTCGACCTCTTCCTCGTCTAGAGCGAATTCGTGTCCCTCGTACCCAGACTCGAGCCAATGATACTCTGTGCGAAGTGACTGCATCTCGGCAAAGCGTTTGTCCAGCAAATCGTTAGGGGTGCCCTGTAAATCTCGCCGGCCCCTGACAAGGATAGGGCGGAGCATATGCATGAAGGTGTTGTCGGCTTCATCCTTCTTACGACGCAGCTCCTGAAGAGCTTTGCGCTTGATAGCCATTTCCCCTTTGAGCGAGTTCAGCCGTTGGCGACGCTCCTTCATCTGAATCCAAAGTTCCTGAACACCATCGTCCTCCATCGAGGCCACTGATGCTGCCGAAGAGGCATCGGATGCAACCAGGCTGGGGACGGAGCTCCGAGAGTGTTCAAGACGCGAGACCATGTTAGTGATTGAGTTGGTCATCTGTTTTCTTTCTCGCTCGAACGTCCGGCCTTGCGCACTGGGCAAAAGGGGCGGAAACATGGTTCTATTTTGCTGCTCAAAGTAGTCGGCATCCATGGAGCTAGTTTCCGACTCCGAACTGGTGTAATCTTGATGCCATGATCCCGAGGATAGCGACATGGACGGAGATAGGCTCCTTTGAATCGGAACATTGACCGGCCCTCTGCTCTTGAGGCTTATATCCAGAGTCGACAGCGGTGGAGGAGGAGGTGGTGGTGGTGCATGTAAGAACGTGGTAGAGATAGGTGGTCGAAGTCCGAGAGGCGGCGGCGGCGGTGGTGGAGGAGGGGGAGGGAAGTGTTTAGGCATGTAGCCTGCTCTTTGTCGAGCACCTCGAGACGCAGGACGTGGAGTGGTCGGCCCCGAAGTTTGAAAGGCAATGCGATGATATTGAGACGTATCAGGCTCTGTTCGTGTGGGCAGAATGACCCTCGAAGAGTCAAGGTAGACTACGTTCGGTTGCATCGATGCTGACGAAAGACGAGGAGGATGAGGTGGTGGTGGTGGTGGAGGTGGAGGAAGCCGGACGTGATCAAAATCGGTGCTATCGGTAGACATCACTTCGGAGGGCATATCATGCTCGTAAGATGACTGATCTTTTGCCGGGCTTGAGGCAAAGCCCCGTCGGTCGGGGTAGTCGATCGTAGCCATGAAGGGAGACTATGGTGCGTACAAATCGTGATACTGTGCCATCGCTTTGGGGTGTTTTGATGGACGCGAGAAGGAAGAAGTCGTCGTTAACTGCCCTGGAATCGGAATCCGAAAGTGAGGTTGTTGTGCGCGTGGTTGACGCGGCTCGTTCCAGTCACCACCACCTGGCGATGCTGCTAATTACGGTTGCATGCCAACAGCAGCAGCAGCGGTAGCAAAACGTGTGAGCGGAAGGATGGTTACAGACCGAAGCGTGAGGCCGCTGGGGGAGCCACCTTGGCCCCTTTTCGGCAAGCGGGCCCACTTAACTCCCGCGTCCTAGGCCCCTGGCGTAGGCGGAGACCAACCAGGAGGTTCGCTGCTGCCATCCCGACACTATGCCTAATATGTCAGCAGCTCAACTAATGAGCCCGAGCTCCCGTGGGGGTGAGCCGTCAACGACCCACTGGCAGGTGGACACGGACAGCGCGGGGTCGCGGTGACTCCTCGTCGCTACTGGCGGGAAGACGTGCCACACCCAAACGCAACTCGACTAAAGGCGCAGCCTGATTCCGTTGTCCTTTTTCCATTCGCTTGTACCGGTACGGAATTTCAATCAGACACGCAAGCCAACCGCCGCTAGCCAGCAAAACCCCTTCGGGCCTTCATACAGCAGGGATGGGGCACGGCTTGGGTGACTCTCCAAACAGCGAAGAGAACGGAGACTGGGGTCCCATCTATGAGACCACCTCGCCGAAAACTATCTCACGGCTTTTATTCTGTCATTTGCTCCACGCGGGAGTAAATAGGTACCTGATGGATAATGAGAGGTTCTTATCAACCCTGAAAGGGTAGAGCCGGGAAGAAAAGGCAACTGTGCCGTGCCACACCCTCTTTTCGTCGTCTCCGTCCCGTTTCTCGTCTTCCGTCCCCCGTTTCCCGACCTTCTTCCTCTCACACTCCCTCAGCCTGGGAGCGCCCTTCCAGCTCAGTTACTCACTCGGGCTCAGGATTTCGGTGTCCTGCAAGACGATGCAGGCTCTCTGAAGCTCATACCACACCTTCTGCAGAGAACTGTTGCCTTGCGCCAGTAAGATCGCGCAAGATACGTCACGCGTTGCTGCGCAGCTGCTTCAGCCAATTGGGCGAGAAATCCCATTTATCCTGCCGTGACCCCAAGGCCTAGAGGTCTGGCTTGCCTGTCGAGGTTCGCTTGTCTCTTGTCTCATTCCTTTGCGGCTCAAGCTGACGCTGCTATCAAGACGCCGTCTCCGTCCCGAATCCGGCCCTGCGTGGTGGCCCACTCCTGATCGGCACCGATATCCAGAGCTTTTGGGTTGTCGACACACGATGCCATCATGAAGTCGAGCAGATCCAGCAAAAGTAAATCGAAGAGTAGTAGTGGCGGTGGCGGCGGTGGAGGAAGCAGTGCGTGGAGCGATTGGATTTGGTCGAATGAGTACCAAAAATACTACATGCGTCGAACGAGGAATGGTAAGTCGTGATCTTGGAAGTCGAGACATCGCTGACCAAGACAGGCCAGCTGGAGTATCACTGGCAAGAAGTGCAAGCTGCTCAACAACAGCATGCTGAAACGGTTCCGCGCGAGCAGCCGAATGTGGAGGAGTTGACAAACGGCTTTGACAACCTCTCAACCTCCCCTTCCTTGACAGAAAGTGATTATAGCTATGCTCCACAAGGCGAGGAAGGCATCGGTGAGTTGTTAGACGACGCCAAAGTATTTTTGGTCTAATACGATGCAGATGCCTCTTATGCATACCCAACTTCGTCGACACCTTACGGCACTTCGAGTCGGTCAAGAAAGGGCAAGGAGACAGCATACGAAGACCAGCCGCATGATGGGGAGGAGACCCAACCCGAAGAGCCAGCCCCACCGTTGGACCCTTTCTGGGGTGCCGAGCAGGAGGCTCCTCAGGGTTACATGCCAGAGCCGGCTGCGCATCAGGATCAAGATTGTATGCGCATTCACTCGCGCCAATGGCAAGCGGCTGACAATCCGACAGTCCTACCTCCTCAGAATAACACAGAGGGGTTCTACCATGAACATGAAGATTACACGTCAGCCCATGATTCAGGTACATCTGCCTACAGTCAAGGTAGGCTTCCCAGGGTTGCGTCAGGGGCCGAACTGACACTAGTAGACTCTGGATACGGGACAACAGACGCAGATGGTTACGATCATAACGCAATCCTGCAGGAAGCCTTGACGGAGGCATACGGTCAGGAGAGTCAAGGCGGACCGTCAACCGAGCCAGCATATGGTGGGCTTTGACCGCACTCTCCAAGAACCAATCCCGGTGGCTAACTGCAACAGGGGCATATGCAGAAAATGAAGAAGATGACGGGACGCGAACACCAACAGGCCCGAAATCCCCTGACCCGTTCTATCCCCCAGCGTCTCATGCTACATCTCATCCTCCGTCGTATGCCGACCCCAATCACATCAGTGGCACAATCGGGACCAACGAGGATTTGGACCCACGTGAGTCGCCTTTCTAAGTGCAGGTGTTGGTCTATGCTGATCACGTACAGGATACGTTGTTGAACCGTCACATAAGTTTCGTCCTGGATCGGTTGGTAGATTGACTCGGTTTATTAATCCCCTGGCTAATTGTACTAGATCTTCAAAGTTCTATGGTGTGAGCCGTCGGGCACTAGTCTCGGAGGAACGCCAACCATATCCGACCGAAAACCAGTTCAAGATCGTTTCGGCGGATCGCTATTCGTTGGTTTCCGGCGGTTTGTCGTTGTTGCTAATGACGATGGCCATTGTACCTGCGTGTGAGTAGCATCAGATATCGTATTGGTTTCTTCCACTGAACGTTCCAGACCTATCCTCACATACCAGGGCAAGGCTTGCAAAAAGAGGGGCGTGAAACCTCAAAAGCATGGTATGGTCTATCATAGCAAGCCTCATCGACTGCTGCAGAATGAGCCGGAGCTCGGATTTCCTCCCGTGCGAGCAAAGCTCACCGTTGAAGGGGAGAAGCTCGACAAAGCATCCCGTGTCAACTACTCGAAGCTAGTGACTGTTGAACACAATGTCAAGGTCTTCTTCATCGGTCACATCAGCCCCGAGGCAATGGACGACTTTGCGGGTGCTGTCGACACATGCTGGGAGAGGAAGACACACTCACATCGAAGATCGAAGAGATGAGCAGACGGTTTGTCTGCAAACGTTTTTGCGTCTCTGTCATGACAGTCGCACAGTTTACGACTATATACGTTCCGGAGAGCATATGCGTATGCTTCTCTACCACGACTGGACGACAGTCTATCTTGCCGACAGATCGGCTATGTTATGTCTTGATTTATGATCACGAAAGTTTCGGTACGACGAATTTGCATCATGTCAGAAATTGATCATTACGTCGCTAGGTTTGGTGGTTCACGAGGACTAGGCAGCATTGATGTAGGCCCTCACAACAGTGAAAACCATGGGAAACAGGCCATGGGCAAATTGCATTGGCGGAATCTTTTACTATCTACACGGATATCTATTTTATTAGCACAAGTACGACTCTCGGCTCAATATGATGACAACTCCCATATCTCACTGCATCACCCGCCCGGTGGCATCGCGAAGTACCTTGCAGGGACACCAAAATGATGACCCTGGCTGCGCCGCAACTTGGCCTGGCTCCAGCCCCTCGGGATTAGGCATCGGTACCTTACATGGAAATTGCAATTGGACTTTTTGTAATATTGCATATCTTGCGGCAGGCATCCAGGAGCCATAATGCTGTGCATCAACAACCAACCCCAAGTCTGACCCCACGTTTCGCCTTCCCGTTGCGGGTCGGTGTGAATCTGGAGCTAGCGGACAGCCGAGGCTCGGTATCTTCTCCCCCGCAAACGTCACCAACCGGGGGGGGGGGGGGGGGGGCTGTAGCAACCTGAGCTCTGGGGAATTGACGGCGGATTTTTAATCCCGACCTCCTTTATATTCTCCAACTGTGCTTCCTGCATTTCAGATTGACAGGACCTCTTCTCCCAATTGAACTACAGACGCAGCAAAAATGGCAGAAGCACAGCTCCAGGACTTCCCCTCCCTCTTCTCCCTCAAGGGCAAGGTCGCCGTCGTGACCGGCGGCTCCCGCGGCCTCGGCCTGCACGCCGCTTCAGCGTATGTCCGTCCCGTTCCAGCCTTTCGCGACCAATGTCTCTGACTGGGAAACCCCTCTGCACAGCTTCCTCCAAGCCGGCGCCTCCAAGGTCTTCATCTCCTCCCGCAAGGGCGCCGCCTGCGAAGAGGCCTGCAAGGCCCTCAACGCCCTCCCCAACCTGGCCCCCGGCGCCGTCGCCATCTCCGTCCCCGCCGACGCCGCCGACATCAAGGGCGTCGAGCACCTCGTCGCCGAGGTCAAGAAGCACACGGACCGCGTCGACGTGCTCTTCGCCAACGCCGGCGCCACCTGGGGCGAGGCCTTTGACACGCACCCCGACAACGCCTTTGCCAAGGTCATGGACCTCAACGTCAAGGGCGTCTTCAACACCATACGCCTCTTCACGCCGCTGCTCGAAAAGGCCGCCAGCACGGAAGACCCCGCGCGCGTCATCATCACGGCCTCGGTGGCGGGCCTGGGCATCGGCACGCTGGGCAAGCAGGGCACCTACGGCTACAGCGCCAGCAAGGCGGCCGTGATCCACCTAGGCAGGAACCTGGCCCTCGAGCTGGCGCCGAGGCACATCACGGTCAACTCCATTGCCCCCGGCTTCTTCCCGAGCAAGATGTCCAACGGCCTGCTCGAGATCGCGGGCGGGGCCGATAAGATCGGCAAGGGGAACCCCATGGGACGGCTGGGCCGCCCCGAGGACATCGCCGGCGCGGTGGTGTACCTCGCCAGTCGCGCGGGGTCGCATGTGAACGGCGAGGTCATTGCGATTGACGGCGGATCGCTGTGGCAGCGTGGGGAGCTCAATGTGTCTTCCAAGTTGTAGGAAGCTGTACCAAGAATGTGAAATAGGGCGTTTTTGTTTCAACAAAATGTGTATTATCGCGCCGATGCAATGTTCTGCGCCCCCCGAACCGGACCAGATTATCATGCTACATTATACCGTGACTGTGCAGATCCCTTCTCCCCCCCGTTAGGTATAAATTTCATAGATGGCAACATGGTTTGGCGTGACGTAAAATCTACAGAGGCTTCCTCGCCACCCAAAAGCTCGCGCGGTACGTCGTGTGCAGCATACTCTCCGGGTCGTGGATATACGGCGCCTCGATCCCTGTCTCGCGCTTTTCAACCACGAACCCGACCCGCTCCACCAGTGCCATGACCTCGTCGTCGCTGAGCTCGAAGCTGCCGGGGTCCGCGATGCCTGACGAGTTGTTGTAGTCGTGCTCGCCATCGCCGTCCGTATCGCGGCCGTGGTTCCCGGGGGCGTTGTTCTCGAAATGCCACAACAGCGGTCCGAAATTGATGAGCACGCCCCCAGGGCGCAGGCAGTGCAGGATCGTCTCGAGATACCGTACTAGGTTGGGCGCCGTGTCGAGGAAGAAGACGGTGGCGACGGCGTCGTAGGCGGCTTCGTGGTCGTCGTCAGCATACAGACAGAGGAAGTCGGCGGCGCACATGGACATGCTGCCCGCAGATGGTCCCGCGGCGGCGAGTCGCGTCGCTGGGTGGATGTCCGGCACGGCGCAGCTACGGAGGTGATTCGTCCGGGTGCGGTGGTTGGAGAAGGAGTGCACCCAGGGGTAGATCTTGTGTTGCCCCGCGGCCTTTGTGCAGTTGAGGATGTAAGAGGAGGCGAGGAGCTGGTGGTAGGAGATCTCGTTGCCCTCGGCGTCGTGGCCCGCACGACTGAGCTCAAAGACGAGACGACCGAGGCCGGCGCCGGGAACGAGGACCTTGAGGGGTTCCGCCAATGCCGATGGCGAGGACGAACGTGCCTCGCGCTCGCGGTCAACAGCGTCCAGGACAGGACCGTAACACACGCGCCGCTCCTCGGCGCCCTCGGCAGACCAGTCGCGGTAGAACTGGCGGAGGGTGCTGCGGGCCTTGTCGGTGTCGTTGTGCTTAGCGACACCGACCCAGGCATCAGGCATGCGCGGCTCTTCTGTCGAGCCCTCTGGGACGAGGTGGAAGGAGCGCAGGCCGTTGTGGGCAATGGCGCGGGCGAGCTCGGCGTTGGACTCGATGGCCTCGTCGGTGCGCTCGAGGGTGTCGAGGAAGTTGAAGGGCGGCGCGGCGAGCATCTGCCAGTGCGCCTGGGGCAGGGCGTAGAACGACTGCCGGCGAAGGTGGGTAACATTGAAGTGTGCCACCTTCGCGTATTGGCTGGGAGGGTGTGTTAGTGAGGCAGTCTCGGAGGAAGAGGCAGGTTGTGATGAAGCGGATTCAATCCGTTGGCGTCATGTGGCAGATCAAGATGGAGCAGCCTTGTGTAACTCACTCATTGTTTGCCAGCACAAGAAACACAAGGGAGCGGAAAGCTTGACCATGAGAGAAAACTCACAGAAACGAGTCCAGCGCGCAGAAAATGACTCTCGTCTCCTCCGGATCCTCAATCGTGTTCTCCATGCCGCTCCATTGTTCGTCGTCAGCCATTGTAGCCGTTGTCCGTCGTGGAACCTTCCGCTGGCCTTCTACCAGTGTGTCAATGTTGAGCGAGTAAAGAGGTGAGTAAATTCTGTCTGATTTGTGCCGTACTCAACACTTTGCAGTGGGTTGAATGCTGTGATCCCGATGAGGGGCAATGCGGCAACCCCGCCAAATGGGTTGATTGAGGATCCGTCGTGAAAGGACGTGGGACTGGGGATTGAAGCCGAAATGACCTCGCGCAGTGTCTGCAGCAGCAACATATGATCTCTAATTCTGTGTCCGTCTGGAATGGACCTTCAGGAGGGAGTGAACAGGAATCAGGGTAAGTTTCTCGGAGCCCCGCGACATGATCATTGCTCCCAACCTCCCCTCCCCCGCCGAAAAAAAGGGTCCTTTTTGTTTTGGTTTTGCAACGGCTTCCCCCCCGACAGCGGCGTCCGCCGCGATCGCACTTGCATACTATGGTACATGGAATTGTTGAACCCCTGGAGTTACCGAGGGGCTAGAACGCTACAGCATTGGAGGTATTGCTGAATAATCCTTATTCAGCGCAATGGCTCCACTGAAGAAGGTAAACCTCAACTGTACTGTCCGGTACCTGGATGCATAGCACGTCGACAACTGCACTCCGACAAAACCTTGCGCGTATTTCTTGAATGCGATCACTAAATGCACAACACAGTAGAGTCTTAAAAGAATACCCCATGAAGTGATCCTTGTTCATTTTCTGTCGTCTTCAATCTACATGATTGCGTTGCTAATCTACAACCCCCGCAAAGTCCCTCGTAAACTAAAGCTAACCGACCCGCAATCCGAACGCCAAAGTTCGCAAAATGCTCGCCTATCACAACTTGTTCTCGATTCGTACCCGTTTTCTTTCATCTCCATGCCTCCGAATTACAAGGAGGTTTCGTGTCATTCTCTTCTCATTTGGCCATTACTAGTCGACCAGTCAGTGGTCGCGGTTGCGGCGATATCCCTCCTTTCTTCTTTTCCGCCTCTCATCCGCGTACTCGCTGCTGACGGCGCTTTGGCTGCTCAGACCGGGGATAACGTGGTGGTACGACTTGTGGCCCATGTCGCTTTCTACTGCACTTGTGATGTCGCTCTCGGCCCAGCTGCCGGGCATGCTCGGCTCCGGCTCTTCCTGAGGCGGTGGCAAGGCGTAGCCGCGGGTGTTCTGGTCCTCGGCCACGGTGCTCGCGCGCTGGAAGCTAAAGTCGCGTCTCGAGCTGCCCGCGGCGCGGCCCTTCTCCTGGAGCTTCTTGGCCTCGGCGCGGATGCGCTGGCGCTCGCGCTCCTCGTTGCGGTCCGCCGTGCTGTATACCTTGCGGATGCCGCCCGTCTTGCTCTTGGGCGGCGTCGAAGTTGGCGTGGTTTCACGGGCGGAGAGCAGGTTCGTCGAGACGGACGATTCGGTAGGGTTGGTTGAGCCGTCCCACTCTGACGCCTCAGATTCTTTGTTAAGACCGCCAACGCGGGCAGGCTTCTCGTGCCGGTACGACCGCAAGTGCTTCTTGGCCTCGCGCTCTGCCTCCTCGTCGATCAGGACGCCGGTCTCATCGTAGTTCTTGTGGGCGGAGCGCTTCTCCTTGTGGCGGGCCTCCTTCTCCTTGCGTCTCTTCTCGCGCTTCCGCTCGCGCTTCTCGCGGGCGAGAATGTCACTTGCCCCGGCCGTGATGCCTGATAGTGTGGTTCCCGAGATGCTGGTTGTGTTGTCGTCATAGTCCTTGTACACACTGCCGCCGCCGAGCTGTGTTGTAGGCGTGGCTCCGGACAGGAGCGTTCCGTTGGGTCCTCTGCGGCGCAGAACCGTCGACTTGTACTCGTCCCAGTCATTCTCCTTGAAGTAGAAGCCGCCGTTCCTGGCCCAGAAGAAAAACCAGATGCCCGTGATGACGATGGCGGCACCAATCAGGCCGAAGATGACGAAGATGGCTGTGTTATTGATGTTCTGGGGGTCGGTGACTCCGACGTGAGGGTCCTCCTTGTAGCCGGTGCTGTCGCGGGCGATGAGAAGGGATCGAGCGGCGAGGGGTCCGGCAGACGAGTCAAATGACCGGGCCGTGATGTCTGCTGTGTCCGGGAGGCTCGAGAGTCGCCTGCTGGAGATGAACGAGCGGGCTTGGTGCGCCAGGCCGGTGACGACGGCCGGAGCCATAGTTGGGCAGTCGACTTCAGCTGAAGTCTGGGTAAGTTTGCGGTGCTCTTCGATGCGTGCTTGAAGATGCTGGCAGGACCAGCGATTGTCGGGAGTGAGACAGTTTCTGGTGGATGCTGTAGATGGAATGCTCTTTGCAATCCACCCTAATCGAAAAAACGGGTAGGGGCAATGTTCAGACTGGATGCAGATGGAGTGTCGAAAATGCAGAGCAGAGAAGAGTTGCCTGGTCAGCTGCGTGGTGGTGGTGGTGGTGGTGGTGGTGGTGGTGGTCGGGTTGTTCCTATAGAAACCAGAAATTGCCGTGGCTGGGGGATGTGCGCGACAAGTGAGGTGGTTGGTGGGGGAATATGCCAGGGGCGACTTCCCTGCTCTTGCAATCGGGTTTCTTGTGGCAGTCCTATGAAGCACGAGGTCGAACTGCCGTCTGGAAATTGGGTCATCCAGATACTCGATTCGTTTCTTCTGGGTTTGTTTTTTTATGCAACCTTTACAGGTCTGCTTTGTTCATCACTTGCGCTATCCAGCCGCGACGTCCATCTGGAGCTCAGTCTCTGCGCTTCCAGCCTCTCGACAAATGACGTCGAAAGTAAATAGACCCACTTGTGGCCTGGCAACCATTGCTACGTACCTTAGCTACCCAACCACCCCCCAGTCCACAAACTTTCCCGTTTCATTGTCCCGTCAAGGCACCATCCCAGCAAAACGGACGTAACGGACGGCGGCGGTGGATCCCGTCCTCCCGCACGGAACTAACGGTTCGAACGAAAGCCGCCGTCCGCGTTCATCGCATCCGTCGAACTTTATGGCATGTCTTCCATCCCCTCCCGGCCTTGTTTCTGACGAGCCATACCTCTTAACCCGCACCTTAACGATATCTCCGGATACTCGGGCGTCGGCCCGTTTCTGGACCCGGCCAGCTGACACCAGCAACGCTGCTTGAGCATTCAAAACCAGGTCACCTGTTTCACGTATGTGTCACAACGATGGCGCCAAATGATGGAAGCTGACGGGCTCGGGAGACTCTGTGGGGAATGCGTGCTCGCCTGCTTTCATTGGATCTGGAAGCTCCAAGCATAAAAGAATCTGCCACTGCGAACTCCGAAGCAATTCCCTGTGGCGTTGGTCGATCGGACTGCCCTGAATGGCAACTGATCACCCTGCGGCCCTCCGTCTTAGTCCTATACCGAAGCTATGTGCACGCCCTTGAGTCCCAAGCCCAACACAGGTGTGCCAGACTGGCGGCACCATCATCACGAGACAATTGGTCGATTACGTGCGGTTGCTGTTCCAACAATTATATTCATTGCGGCCTATATGGCTCAGCCATGCTAGGGGGTATCTGTCCTTGCCGCGAAAAGGGGCCGGTCATCCGCTTCCTAACACCGTGTCCATTCCGTTCCTCCTTTTCCCAGCCCAAGCCATGGTCGACCACCCTGGTTAACCCCCGGACGATAATGGCTTGGGAGCAGCCGCGCCCATCCCAATGGTATCCTGCTAAATCGATTTCTAAGTAGAAGTGAATAAATGAAACCCAGTACATGTCCATGACAGTTTGTTAAATGCCGTCCTTTCCTAAAAGCACAAGAAGTGCGAACTTCCCGGATTGCCGATACAGGTTGTCTATCAACTTGTCCTCCAACTCGTACGCCGTGCTGAGAATACGACACACGCCTCGCCGGGTAGGAGGCCCAAGCATCGTCGCATAAATACGAAAGCCATAGCCCCCGGAGCGTGAGACCAGGACTTGTATCTCCTCCGCATATGCCCAGAAATCAAATACCAATATCATGTCCGACAACACAATCCCAAATCATCCTCCTCCTCTGCATGGCCAGAGCCCGGATGTACATGAATCATTCTGGAAACGGTGTAAAAACGTAGAGAAATACGTAGTAAAGAGCAGAGCTTGCGACAGCTTCCGCTTTGGGTATAAACTTTTCCGCTGCCAGAAAGTCGACCTGAAGCAGGTGTAGAAGCAGAGAAGGCAATGAAAGAAAAGAGAAAAAAAGAAGCCGACCATATCAATACAGCTGTCGATCTGTGTCAAGTGCAGAAATAACGCTCGCTCTAATGAAATTGTGTTAAATGTGAAAGGGAAACTGCGTCGCTTCATCAACTCGTCATCGTCGTTAAGCTGTTTTAGGTGAACGGAATTCTTGCGTACTCGTAGCCGTCGGCATGGCTGCGACTGTAAGAGTCGGACTGGCTCGGGGATCGAGCGCGAATGGGCAATCGCTCCATGATGCGGCTCCGACGGTCGTCAGAGTAGATGGTGCTGGCCCTGTCGCTTCCACCAAGACGTCCTGGCTGGCTGATGTTGATTTCACCGCCATCCTGGCACTGGATCTCAGCGTTGCCAACCCTAAGGACGGCCTGGCCAGTGACTTTGATAGTGATGTCCTCGCCATCGCCAGTCAACGACCGAGTGGTTCGCGTAGTAGCGCTGCGTCGGAACTCACTCTCGTCACGACTTCCGCTGCTCCCGCTGGACCTGCTGCTCTTGCTCTTCTTCTCGGCTTTCGACAGAGCCGCAGCAGTCAGAGGTACCGCAGCGCCGCTCACGCCGTTCTGGTAGGCCAGGGCAGCGGCCGCAGCAGAGTCATACTTGGATTGAGACATGCTGCCGCTCTCTCCAGCCATGTACGAATGACGTCGGCCGCTGCGGGGGACAGGAACGGGCTCGATCTGATAGCCATCGCGGCTGTACGTGCTGGAACCCCGACGATGCGAACGAGGCCTGGAAACCACTCCATCGTCATATTCATATCCTTGAGGGACAATATCTTGGTACATGGATCCATCGCCATCAAAATCGTCGGACTCGTAGCCCTGAGACGCAATTTGCCGCTGGGGAGGCGGAGGATGAAGTGCCTGTCGTGGTGGCGCGGTCGTCCTTGAGCGCGGTGGAGGCGGCGGCATCAGCTTGCGATCCTCGACGTCTCGGCTCTTGAACGACTGGCGCCTGACGATGTTCTCTTGTTCGTAAGTCGGTCCGTAGTCTTCGTAATCGAAAGACCCCGACATAGATCGGTGTCCCATGGCGGATGAAGGCCTCTGCTGGAAGCGTCGAGCCAAGTTGGAATGCTGGGGACTGCTAGCTATAGGGGCCGGGGGGAAGTAGTCAGTCGGCGTTTGCGGAGCCGGCGCCTGCATCGGGTACGGAACACCTCCAGGGCCCCAAGCTGGTGGGGGATACGAAGTGCCCGGCGCGAACGGGGAATGTCCAGGCATAGGCATCGGCATTGGAGCCGGGGCGAAAGGCGATGAAGCATGCTGAGAAACGTGAGGGGGAGCGTGAGGAGATGGCGCAAAGGGCGAAGAGTTCGGGGCCGGGGTGAAAGGCGAGGTAGCCTGAGCGGCGTGCCATTGCTTGTTGGACGTCGGAGGTCGGGAGCCTGGGCCGTAATAGCTGCTTGGGCGGGTTGACATAGCTCTGGGCCGCGAGCCCGGTGCTGGCTGGATACCGTACTGCGAGGCGTCGTCTTCGAACCGTGGTCTTCTGTACTGGTCTGATGGCTGGGTATGGACAACAGGTGCCGTCTTGACGTGCTTCGCTGATGGGCGCACTGCGGACTTTTTGGGGGCAGCCCGCTCACGCAGCTCTCGTTCAGTGCGTTCGCGTTCAGCGTGGCGCGCAGCCCTGTCTTGTTCCTTCTTTTGCAGGCGACGCTTCTCCTCTCGGCGGGCCTCCTTCTCGTCTGCTGCCGCCTGGGCTTCCCTCTCTGCGGCACGCCTCTCCCTTTCCTTCTCTCTCTTGTCTGACACAACAGGGTGGAGGGTGTCGTCCGAGTCGGTCAGACCGTGTTGCGGTGAGGCGGTAGGTCTTCTCATCGTCTTTTCTCTGCGGGACTTGCTGTTGGCCTTCGTCTTGCCTGGGCTTCCTGGAGCGATCGAGCGGGCGTACTGTCCGGTGCCCTGGATGACGGAGCCTGTTTCCTCATCGACGTCTTCTACGTGGGCGATGTTTTCGCGAGCCATAGCGAAGCGGTGTCGGGGATCGTTGGTGGCCTATTATAAGATGGTGGCAGCTCGGTAGTCGAGCGACTGGAAAGAGGAGGCGAAGTTGCCTCGACGGAGGCGAGCAATCGTAGGTTTGCAGCAAGTAGTCGAAGGTGTGGTGAACAGGTGGGAACGTGGGTGCGGTGGGAGTCGGGAACTTTTTTGTATGAAGGGCGGACGAGAAAGACAGTGGGGATGTGGAAGGGGATGCGACCACTATCTGATGGAGGGAGGGCCCGTATTTGTGGGTATGGAAATCGACCGGGATAGGGGCGTGAAATTGGGTGTGGGAGGTAATGAGACGCTACGCTACGGTTCGGTCGATGCTGGATGCGATGCCAGGCTGTTCGCTGCTTGTCGTACGGAGCATGGGCCGGTTAGAAGGGGATTAAAATCGTCGGAGAAGAAGAGAAGACGACGGAGCGTGGACAGTGGGAGATTATTGATGATAAAACGTGGATTGATCCAAGCAGACGGACGACCGTGGCAGGTTGTGGACGAGCGCCGTATCTTATTAATTCTGCTCTCTGCGTTGTTTTGCTGTACAGAGACAGAGAAACAGAGAGAGAGAGAGAGAGTGTGTGTGTGCAGTGTGATTACTGCGGCTGTGAGAGGAAGAGTCCGGAGCGAAGGAGGGAGAGCGAGACGAAGAAGGAGGGGTGTGTGCGCAGCCGAGCAACGCTCTCTCCCTGGAGCAGGAGGGGGAAAATATGAGGGAAAAATTAAAAAAAATAAACTGCAGTCGGACGTGCAGAAAGCCAATCGTGGGGTCGGCCTACGGGTACCTATGGTGACAAGCCAAAGTGATGGAGGGGTGTGGTCGCAGCAGAAAGGACCTGAAAGCGGATGATGTCGTCGCGATGTTGCCCGGGGTGCTCTGAGTGTCACTCCAATGGCCGGCCAGCAGCGTTCGATAGCGAAAAGTCCAAGGAGGGGCGTGTGGGAAGTGATTGTAATTGCGAGAGCTCCGGTGGATTTGTACTTGGAGTCCGGCCCTTGATTCTGGGCTATCCGAGGCGGACGGGAGCGCTGGAACGGACTGTGCTTTGCGGGAGGACGAGACCGAGACGAGGCCAGGCCTGCAATGGGAGAATGTGAGGGTGTGTTGCCAACTTGCTGGCGCCCAGCCCAACACAGCTCTCAAGGCCCGAAAGTACAAGTCGAATGCCGTGCAGTCTCGCGAGACGTCAAGAGCGTGGTTCTGGAGAAGCAAGGGCCCCGGAAGGACAGGGAAACTCGTCGTGCGGTCACTTCTCCCTGCCAAACTGTATCGAATTCGCTAAAACGGGTGGAGGAGAAAGATTACCGGCGAGTGGGATTGTTCACGCCCTCGCTGGGGTCCTGAACAGGAGCACCCGCTGCGGTCTCCAGAAACAACAGAACCTAAGACAGTAGCTCCAGTCTCCACCGCGTGGCAGCAAGGAAACGCTCAGCTGGACCGACCAGGAGCCAGTTCGTCTTGCTTCAGCAAACCTTCCGTTGGCTGTCGTTCTTCCGCAGCACCCTGCGTCAACTGGGGATTCCCTTGAAAACCGCAATTGACCGCAAAGTTGGGAATTTGGCCCTTGGTTTCGGTTGCTTGTGTTGGCGCCGGTGCAAATCGTGGCCGTTTTGAGTCAGAGCGTCAGAAGCACTCAGGCCTAACTGTGGAGAAGCTTGTCTTCGTTTCTTCCCGTCCGCGACCGTTGCAATGGGTTCCCTGCCAGGCTGTGTCGACTAGGGTGTGTGTTTCTTCGTGGCACCAGCTGTCATCAACAAGCCCGTCTGATGGGAATTGCGGCAATGACAATGGCGCTGACGTCCTTGTGCGCCGCCGTGGTGCGATGCCGATCACTTGCTCGGCTTCTCTGTAGCCGAAAGGTTGACTACCTTGCGCTGTGCTCTGCTGGTGTCTTCGCTTCCGTATGGCCTCTCAGGACTGAAGCCTTGACTGCAAGAGAACGCACATGGAGTGGATTATCCTGGTCGATAGGAAAATATAGAGAGAGAAAAAGACAAAAAAACAAAAGGCTGGGGTGTGGGCCCAGAGACCTAGACAGAGAGACAGAAGCACGCTCGCTGCCAGCTGTTTGGTGTCTGGACGAGACAGATGGATTCTCTTGGGCTGCTGAAATCTGGCTGGGAGAGCGACCGCGTGTGCGGGAGATCCACCTTCAGAGCCGGACCAAACCGGGGTGCCGCTCGAAGATGACGGAACGTCGCTGGGTTTGGTGCCTTGTGCCCTTTTCGGCTGCGTTTGCGCATTCTCTTTGGCCGGTTTCCTGCCCGACTGTGTGCTGGGCTTGGCCTTTGGGTATCAACGGGACTGACGAGCTGACGAACGACTGCTGAGGGGTCCAATCGTTTGCCGCGCTTTCCCTCTCGTTTGCCCAAAAATTGAATATTAAAGATTGAAAAATCCGGATTTCGACTTCGGTTGAGAGGTTGGTGAGCGCACAATAAAAGATTCAGAAATCGGGATCGAATGAGACAGTAGCTCGCTGCGCGACCCAGGCTCAAATGTTCGACACCTCCTCAAAACAACCATCAGAGGACGATACTCGACCCCTCGGTGCCATCCTAGGCAACTGGCTGCCTTCATGCCGCTGGTAGGCAGAAACTGCACAAAATGCAGAGCACCATTTCGCCCATTAGCATCGCCAACGCATTTGCTCGCCCCAGAAAGCCCAATCATGGGCCCGACCCACCCGGCCTGGAATGCAGACTCCTGCAACCTAGGCCCGCTCTCTCTTCCCATAGGGCGGATCCAGGACGGCAATGAGAGTCATCGTTCCATCTCGAGCTTGAATGGTTACCGCTTTCACCTACTGGTCCAGCCAGGGAACTCGTCTCCACGACTTGTTGAACGAGGCCATGTAAGATGGCATCACGTTGCTGAACGGCTGCAGCACTCCACGTCTAGATCTGGCTCCCTGCGTCTGGTCCTGCCGACGATCTTGTGTTTAAGGGAATTGTGTAGTTGGAGATACACTGTCCGCGTGTGTCAGATGCAGGTGCCGTTAAATACTTCAGCGTTGTTTCAGAGAAAACAGAAATTACCAAAACCCACATATGTGAGATCAATACCGGGTCGTTGTGCTGAGTCGTCGAAGCTTGTGTTCGAGGTGACTCCAAAAGGCGTAGTTGCCACGGCAGTGTTGTTTCAACCTCATTGGTCGCTTGTTTGATTCTCGAACGTGGTCTCGAACGCCGCACTCCTCGGCTCCGATGCGCCGTGGTCGCTGCCAAGTCGACACAAAGCGGAAGCCCCAATGGTACCTCATGTATCCCCTCCATCTGCTCAAGTACTGCAGACGCTCATTGGCGTGCCGTTGAGGTCGACGCTGTGAAGCTACTCCAAGTCTGCAGTATCAGGACGAGCAAAGACATGAAGAAACATATGCGATTGGTATCGGCTCGACTGGTGTTGAGGCTATTCTCCATTCGCGTAGTACGCAACTGCGCATTCCGGCTGCATGACATGCACTCCTACAGGCAGTGGCACCAGAGACCAGCGCCCGCTGTGCTCGAACTCCGTCTAGCGCAAGGACATGCCGAAATAGGGTCCTACTGAGGCCCTCCCGGAGCCTCTCATGGCTCCGTCTTATCGAGGAAGCTAGTATTAGTTGGCCCCCTCGTCGTCGAGATGTGGAGCATTGTCGCATCCAAAGCATGAACATGCTTGCCAGGGCCCTCGACTTACTAGTGTACGGAAAATCTTTGTCCTTCCGAGTCGACGTGTCAATGGCGGATGTCCTTCACTAATACCCTCGAGCCTCAACAATCTCGGTTTGTCGCCATTGAGCAGCATGCGATGAGAGTGTTGCCACAGTTGGCGCATCAGACAAACGTCGGTTTGTATGATTAGGAAGCCGAAATCCTACGTAGGAACCCCGACCAAATGTACGGAACTGTTCGTGTAAAGCGAGATCACCAGATCTTGATGCACGCCATGGATGCATTGTTCAGCAATCTCTCACATAATCAAGCGTCGTGGTGGTGAGTCCGTGATTTGCCCAAGACCCCATTCCGCATGTTCAAACTGCATGAGGCCGAGAGTAGACCTTGCTGCGAATGCAAGGAGGGCTGAAATGCCAAAATTTTCGGGGCGGACGGATCGACAGGTGCTTGTTGGCCGTGGAGCGCAGTGCTCGACACCATCCCGGAAGCACACCGCCTTTTCGCTTGAGGCATGATCCCTCGACGCCACCGTCAAATGTGTTCTAGCACGCCACACTGGCCACCCGCACCGTAGGCTGTCGACCAGAAACCATTTCCTGGAGTTGAGACGAACAAAGAGAGGCTGGTGCAAGGCAAGACTTGGAATGGCACGACTGTCTTATCATGCTGTGCACGAACGCCTGTCAGCCAAAATGGGATGCTTAAATGCGACTTCAACATCGGACGTTACTGTCATTGAGGTTGACTGTCTTGTCGTCTTCGGCACAATCTGCTACTCCAGGACGTCTCATTCAATTTGAGCAAATGTCTGTGTACCTCATGCAAACCAGAACAATTCGACGATGAGACCTCGACATGCTAGTCATGCAGGGAGTTTGTCTCGGAGCATCGGACAGGTCTGGATTTGCTTCTGCGTAACCTGCGTTGCGCGGCGTTGCACGGCAAACCACGATGCAAGCCACCACTGACAGGTCGTTCTGATCAAGACGATTTTGCTGTCCGCAAGACAGGGATCTCAACATCGGCGACAACTGGCCTGTGGTCGGACAAGTAGACGTCATCGTCAAATTTGTTGGACAACACCCCGAAGGTCCTAATAGTGACGGGGCTTGGGTTCTTGACGAACAGAAAGTCGATTCTCGTTGGCTTTTCGTTTGGCTCATCAAAGGAAGTGTAGGTGATTTCGTTTCCGTACCGCTTTTCTTCCGGAACCTGTGTCGAAACATCGACCATTCCTGAGTCTTGTGCCACCATTGTCTTGTATGCGTTGTCCTCGGGCGTACTGTTGAAATCGCCCGCGAGCAGAACAGCAGTTGGCGGTTTGCCGTTTGAACCCTTGCCCCACTCCTGAGCAATTTTGAGGAGCAGTTTGGCACTTTCCTCGCGCGCCACAACGCCTTGGTGGTCGAAGTGCGTGCTCATAACAACCACCCTCGTGTCGGTTTGTTTGTCAAGGAACTCTCCGACAGTGACAACGCGGTTCAGTGCTGCGTCCCACCCCCTAGATGGCTTTTCCGGCGTTTTGCTCAGCCAGAGTGTCTTACTTCGCTCGCACTTCCAGCGGTCAACCTGATAGAACACGGGAGAGAACTCGCCCCTTCGCTTTCCATCGTCGCGACCGAGCCCAATATGACCCCAAGCAGAGCCGAGGTAAGACTGGACATCTTCGAGCTGCGAATACAGAACTTCTTGGAGACATATGAAAGCTGATTCATGACCAGATGTGATGAAGTCCAGTTGGTTGCAAAGTTTTGGACCGCGAAAGCTCCACGGTTTCTCCTTGGGAGTAGGATGCTTTGTAGCGTACCGAACATTTTGGGTGACGATACGGAGCATCATGGGAGGGGCGACTGCCGCCTCAGAATCATCGAGCTTGACAAGCATGATGACCTTCTGGTAGATGGAAAGTCGAACCGTAAGACGGACGTTGTTGAAAGAATCTTTGCGGCAGCTTGAAGGTAGGCCGGGGCCGTGCACGTTAGCTGTCGAAGTTAGACAGGTCAGTGAGTCGCCCAGGATGGACTTGAGCTCAATTGGTTGGTTGGTAGGATCCGGGAGACGAGCTGGTGCAGTGATGAGTCCTGGATTGATGCCCTCGAGATGCAATTTACATTGTTCAAGGTTTTATGACGTTGCAACAAAGCTGAAGCTCGAGATGGAGAGAGCAGGCATCTGCTGCTCCGACCGTTGCATGGGTCACGTGTAGGATCCTGGAACACGGGGAGACGGCAGCGGGGGGCCCAAGCTCCTGCATTCTTGACAATCTGGGGTCTAGGTAGGTACTGCTTTCTTTGGCAACCCCGCCCCCTAAGCTTCTTCCTGAAACTCCAAGCTGACAGCCATACCATTTCGATCACCACCATCGCGACTGTTTCGTTTGTCATCCACGGGTAAGACCCGACACCAAAGCTCCGGCTTTGTTTTGGTCCATGTCGACGCCGGAACCCAGCATTCCTGACATTGCGTTCACCGCCACCACGACCAACCTCGCTGCCCACCAATAACGCACGTTCGTGGCTGATGCCAACCTATCAACCATCACGATTGGCACTGGAACATTCCATTCTTGCTCTTATCTCCCCAGTCCCGTGAACACGAGGCCTTTACGTGCAAATTACACGGCAGACCCAGCCCTCCCTCCATATCGACGTCTCGAGACTATGGTTGGCGTTCTTACGTGGGATGGCAGGTAAGCTGGGGCAAACCACTATCTTACACCATCGAGACTCGATTACTCACTGTCCGAAGATTACCAAACAAACCCAATGTCACAAGATCCCTCCAGCTCTTCAGAAAGCCGGCTTAGTGCAACAAGCTGATACCGCCATAGGGACCCACAAAACCGGTCACGTTCTATTGACGGCCCGCTGCCCTACTTGAGCTGCGGGTTGTGATTCAGGCCTCATGGGATGGCAGCGGTTGTGGTTATAGTGGAAGTTCGTCCGGGCTTGTCAAATTCAAGTCATGACGCAATCTGTACGCAGTCGGGGAACAGCTGACCATGGAGATCAAGACACGACCCGCAAGTGAACCGGACCAAGATGCTGTGATATCGGAACGATGACAAGTCTCTCTAAAATTTCCATCTTGTTCGTAACATCTCGGAGTTGCTGCTGGAGAAAGTAGAGATCAGAGGCCTCAAGATCCGCGTTTGGCGAGTGTGCTGCATGCCCATCTCGCAGCGGTTCATGCACCGTGGCGATCCCGTTTCGGAGGCTGAGGGACAGAATTCGATGGATGACTCGACCGGAGCGAACGGTAACGAGCAAGGCTCTCACACCTCACCGAAATCCTGTTGAAACTTGACTGCCTTTTGTCCAATCCGCGGCGCGATGCAAGGCCAGTCTGGGCACTTGAGTCAAATGCGCCACCTCAAGGCGTCATGCAAGGTACGCCAGTCGCTCAAACAAGCGTGAGAGGCGATCAAAACTTGTTCCTCGCCCAGTCTAGCGAAGAACTGTCTTGCAAATTCCTTGATCACCCAAATTCATGGCCTTGAAAGTGCGCACCGGCCAAGCGACGGTGGTCCTTTACTCTGGGGAATCGGCACGTTCGGTTGGCGCCATGGTGGGCGAGGTAGTCATCTGCCTGACTCGGCCTCCAACCAATACGCGTAGTGGTTGCCAGTTTGTCTCAGCTTATTCATATAAGCCGCCGTAGTCGCGCACCGGACGACACCCACCCGGAGGAACGCGAGGCATCCAAAATGCCGGTTTTCTTACAGTCCATGAGGAATAATGATAGAACCAATACGAACCCCAGCCCTGGCCTCAGCTTACCACCACTTCCGGACGCGCACCTCTCCTTCTGGTAGCACGCTGGCCATTTGGAGACCTACACAGCTCTTTCAGTCAGTCTCGGCGGTCGAGGAGTCACGCTCTCATAGGCCTCTTCCACGTGGGGGGTTGATGGTGGCTGGCTGCTCCGCGATTTTGAGACCTCAGCACCGGGCCATGGACGCTGGTGACCACTTTCTTCCAGCCATACAAGGCAACCCTTGGCTGGTCGACATGACTGAGCCGAATCACCGGTCAGCCTAAAATCCTTGTCGGTGTGCGTGCGTGCGTGTGTGCGTGTGCGTGTGGGCGAGATGGAGTGCAGTGTCGGCTAACGTCCGCCTCCATACCATCTACCTGCTGAGGCTGTGATACGACTATATAAGTCTGGTGTCGATCGCTTCATCTGCAAGGTCTTGCTCGCCACGGCCGTGTCACATTTCACGGCATTATTCCAGTACCAAAGTCAGAGCAGCTCTCCCTCTCCTTATCTCTCTCATTTGGTACTATACTTGAGCCGGCCAGGCCGGCGCAGACTTGATACGTCTTGTCAGTGATAGCTGTGAAGACGCCTTTCCAAAACCGCCAAGATCAGAACGGCTTCCACTACTGTTTCGCACAACGGCAAGATGCCTCAGACACCAAGATCTCCTTCGCGGCGAGACTCGTGGCCACCCACTCTGGTGCGCCTCGCCCCAACGACTCCAAAGGAGTATCCTTCGCTCGACGATATCGACGAGGACCCGCTCACTTATTTCTTGACGCCCGCACCGGATCTTGAGGACGCTGACGTGGACGTCGACATGATGGACTTCGACGCCGGGATCGAGGGCAACAGTCCGCGCGAGATCGTACGCAGCGTGAGCCCGTCGACCTTGGACGGTCTAAACAAGTCTAAGGGCCGCAATTCACCACCGGTACCTGACCTGTCCGACCTCGCCACGCCTGATACGGACGAGGAAGAGGAAGACTACATCCGGTTCGCACCGCACAGCTTTATGATTCCGTTTAGCCTGCGGGACTTCACCGTCGACGGCGTCAAATCCAAGGCACGATCCAAGCCTTCGGACGCACTGCTGTCGCCGTCGATATTACCGCCTACCCGCGGCCGGGCTCCTGTGCGACCCGGAGGGCGAGGCCGCCAGCGGAGTGTCTCATTCCGTCACCAACGGCCGCAGCACGTCTGGCGTGAGCCCAGCCCGGACGTATGGTCAATCGAGGAAGAGACGGAGGAGGAGCTCATGAGCGAGATGGGCAGCAGCATCGGCGCCATAAGCGACCTCGCGGACGCGGAGGACTTGTCGGAGACTCGCATGGACAAAGATGTAGAGGAAGCGAAGCCAAAGAAGAAAGTTCGGTTCCTGTTGCCCGCGATGGAGTGAGCAGCAGCCATCAACATAGCATCACACGGCGTTTTGGGGGTCATTCTACCTGCATTGGGAGGTCACTCTGCTTTTTTCCCCTATCGGTACACGCTGTTCCCTCGGGTAGGGCATCTTGGCAAGGCATTAGGTCATGACCGCATGGGATGGGAGTTTGCACAATACCCATCCGCTTCGGATGGTAATTTTGGGAGGCATTTTACTTTTCTCGCGCATACACACTCAGAGAGATGGATTTTAGGTGCATAATTGAGCAACCGCCATCGAGCGGGTCAAACCCTGATCTACACTGGCCCGTCTGTCTAATGGTGTGCTACTAAGAGATTAAGGAGTGAAGGGTGACAGACACGAGCGACTAAAGCCCAGTAAATGGGTGGCGCGATGCAGGGCGAGTAGAGTGTGGCGCGAGAGTGAAGGCTGTGATGCTGCGATGTGTCGGCGATGCAGAGATCTCGATCGCAGCCCACGCGATGCAGCCTCAATCAGGTCAAGCAGCACTGCGAAGGAGGGGCGGTCCACCCACGTGCAAGGGCTTTGAGAGGGAACCCGTGATGCGACAATGTTCGCGCTGCGACATCCGAGACATTTGCGCGGGTGGATTGAATGGTAGCGATAGTAGACGAACTGGCTACCGTAGCTTGGCGGTGCTGCCAGAGCCTGTCTCGTTGAAAAGCTGGTCGGAGAACGGGCATAGGGTTGGATAGCAAGACGCGATAAGAAGTCAAGAATGGCAGGGATTTGGCCTTGATTTGTGCCATATCTGCTGTATTAAGGCGAGTAAACAACTCGTGGCAGATCCATGCCGACGAGACGGTCTTCGAACCGCTCCGATGACAGACAAGGTTAAGGAGACAAGGTGGCTACAGCCTACAGATGCTGGGCGGGGGCACAAATGGGGTGATATCAAAACATGAATCAAGGGTGACCGCTGTTGCGTTGCCAACGACATCGAGCGAAGAGATTACTGGAAAGGGCGGACGTTCGATCCGGCTGAGACACACGCGCAGCAGGATGAGCTGGCCTTCTTATGCCCGTCGTCTACATCTCGCGGCCATTACGAAGTCCTCTCTGCGTCCTGGATCTGTCGATCACGGGCAGAGATAGGAATGGCGGCAGCGGGTTCAGCATAGGTTCGCCGAGGGGTCGTGTGTTGTGTCGTCAAGGCTGATCCGAGATCCGATCTGCCTACTGACGGAAGCGAGGCTAGGCGAGGAAAATAAAGCCAGCGATGACTGAAGATTGCAGAGCCATGACGGGACATGATGGTCGGCCGGACTCCCATCCGCTGGGGGTACTTCGAGAACAGACAAGACCAGAGAGCAAGACCGAGTGACAGATTTTCGATGGTACATGGCTAAGCCAGGGAACGGAGAGCGAGTATCCTTGTATTGATCCTACCTGTACCCACGTCCCGAAGCCTTTTTTTCCCCTTCCCCGTCTACAACTTGTTTTCGCAGAGCTGGCGGGCGGCCGTGTTGGGTAAGGTGCGCTAGAAGAGAAGGACAGCTTCCCTGGCAGTGACCGACCAGGCCTGTACCATCAGGCGCCTTCAAGGCCCCTGATTGGCCGGGGACTGGGATGTCTGTGTCAAGGGCAATCAACTCTACCTGATAGCGTCTCTCCAGCATCGTCCCAAGGTACCCTACTGATGGCCCCACCACACTCGGTTTGTTTACGTCTAAGCTCCCGGCGTCAACATCCACTGGTTACTCCGGCAGTGCCAGCTCAACGGCGCCCTCGATTGGACAAATCCGCTTCAAGCTGGGCTGGGCCCGATGAGAAACCCCCAATGTCAGTCTGATACGACGACGCACCAGGTCCGGGACAATACAAGACATACAACTCCTTGGTTTTCGAGCCGCTTCCGCCTCCGACTACACAGCGGGATTGTCTTTCGAGCTGCTCGTTTCGTGCTCATGCTCATGCATCCTGCCCTCCTCCATTGCAGCCTGCAAAGTCGGTCTCTTGATCTGACCCGATCCCGCCGACAGCCTCGCTGCCCCTCCCCCCACGCATCTTCGCACTCGTTTGCGCGTCAAACTACTCCCTTTCACCTGCGTACAACTTGCCTCTCGACTTGGCTTTCATGCGCTGCTAGAGACGCAGCAAACCGTCCAGCCTTGCGTGGCAGCATGCAGCTCACCTAAGTCAGTCATTCCCACGTCAGACTCACCCAGAGAAACCGGAGGGGGACGCACCTGTACGACGAGGCTCTTTCATTCCGCCGCTTGCCCCGCAGACTTCGACTCTGACTGACAGCGGAATCCAGACCATGGCTTCCAAACCTCCCGACGAGAAAGAATCGTCGGACGCTGCGGCGGCAGCAACCACCACCAAACCCTCCACACCCGTCGCCAAGGAAGACAATGGCCCGACAACACCCAAAAAGGCGGGTGCTCCTGTTGCAGATGCGGCGGCGACGACTCCCAAGAGCGCGCCTGCCCGTCCTCGAGCAGCAACCATGAAGAAGCCACCCGAACCCCCGACACTGCTCGCCGACTTTCTGAGGGGACGCCCTTCCCCGCAGCGCATTGCCGCCGAACGAAAACGAAGAATGAGTCTCGACGCAGTCAAAGCAGAGATGAGGGCCGAGATGCGTCAGGCCGCCGTGGCAAAAGTACAACAGCCTGGCGGTGTCAAGGACCGCGTTCAGAAATGGCAAAAGGCCAACGCCGCTGCCATGGTAGCGGGTGACCCTTGGCTACCCCGAGCGAACCAACAGAGCTTGCATTCCCGGACGAGATGGAAAGCGTCACAGAAGAGGACCGCGTCCGGATCAAGTTGCGACAGAAGAGAAAATCGGCGCCAAAGATCGAGGTACATAACGACGCTGTGGCCGACGAAAAGGAGGAGACGGTGGAGGAGCTCCCCGACGGCCAGACCAAGCAAGCACCCAAGAAGCGGGTTGTGAGCGATGACCACTGGATGGCCCAGAAGAGAAGGAAGAGCCCGCCACGGTCAAAATCGCCGAGAACCAAAGACACAGCGAGCCCAGGCCCAAGTCCGTTGCCCAAAGGATTTGTACAAAAGACGCCCATCCAGGCGCCTATCGCCAAAAAGATACAGGACTGGGCGGCGAAGGTCGAGCTGCCAGAGCCGTCCCCAACTAAACATCGAGCGTCAAAGTCGACGGACTCCCTTGATGGCAGTAGGATACAGGCTAAGCTTAAGGAACTTCAGGAGAGGCAAGCAACCTTGCCGAAGAAGAGGCTCGACGATGATGGCATCCGCGTTAGACCCATCAAGACGCCAGCGTCAGAGGGGTCGAACGCCAAGGCCCCGAGACCGCACAGCACAGGAGCTGAATCTCGCGACCGTAGTCGTGGTGCTAGTTCAAGGCAAGACTCATCCGACTATATTGTGGTGGTGGAAGAGGAAGAGTCCAACCGTATCGAAGTCATTGAGGACGCCGCGTCGAGTCTTCCCGCAACACCAACGCGGAAGCCATCAAAATCACGTAAAGTCAGTCGAAAGAAGAACGCACCCCCTCGTACAGAAACGACAACAGACGAAAGATCCTGGGTTAGCTCCTCAGAGTCCGCCGTCAAGACGGGGCTGGATGACTCGGAGCTCGCTCCCAGTTCACTTACAAGCGCACCTGGTGCAAAGCCATTGGCAGACATTCCTGTTGGGTTTTCTGCCTTTAGCGAGCTGGACCTCCCTCTCGACCGGAAGAAAACGAGGAAGAAGGCCCAGCGCAACCCCAGCTTCAAGGCTGCTGATGTGCTCAAGAAGGTTGTCACCGAGGGCAAGAAGATCCTGCATGAGGCTGTCGAGCCGCCTAAGCAACCTGTTGCCAACAATCCTCCGAGTATCGAGAAGTGGCTGAACGGTACAGTCGATCCATTTGTCGATGAGCCATCCAAGAGGGAGGAGTCCCCGGCTCCGAAGAAGAAGGCGTCCGAGGGCAAGCCTCTCGACAAGGCCAAGTCACAAGATGCCGGCAGGCGACCGTCGGTTGAGCCCCGTCAGAGGAAGCCCTCTCCTCCAACCCAGACTGAGCTATCCGAGTCTACAGGCCTCACAGAGTCCACACAAACAACTGACACGACCCAAACCACACAGTCGACAGACTGGACAGAATCGACTTTCACCGAGACAGATCTGAGCGCATCTACCGAGAACAACGAGAATGTAGCACCAAAGCACGTGGAGGAGAAGACGAAAGAAAAGCCCAAGACGCCAACATCCGCTGGCTCTGGCTCTGGCTCTGGCGGCTTGCGCAGAAGAGCAGCAACTCGAAGCTCACCTTCGCCCATGAAATCTGTCAAGAAGCCTTTCCGCGAGATCCTAAAAGAGGCGTTTAGAGGAGAATCCAGCGGCCACCAGACGCCTCCGTCCAAGTACATCAGCGAAGAAGAGCGGCGATTGGAGCAAGAATACGATAGCTACGAAGAGGACGAAGAATCTAGACGCACCATGCGTCGCCGCTCCTCTGGCTCTAGCCGGACCTACTCTGATCGCACTTTTACTGATGATTGGACATATTCTGACGAGTCTTCCGTACGTGAGGATAAGACCCCCCGTCGTAAGCCGCCTACAAACGGCGTCCATGAGCTTTCTACCATTCTAGGGTCTGCCGACACCCAAAGCACCTACTCCGACATGACTTCGCAACTGTCCGAGACCACAATCACACAAAGCACTGGCCTTACGAGGAGCAACGTTTCGCGGCGAAGCAACAAATCAGGTCTCAAGCGAAGACTGACCAAGCACTCCGATCTAGTGTCGGTTCTGTCTTTGCCCGATGACAGCCAGGTACCGGGTAGCCTGAGAAGCATCAGACCCCGACCGAGTGTTAGGAAGGCGGCTAGTGTAAGGAGAGCCACCAACCGCCCGGATACGGTCACAACCAAGGATCTCCTGAAGGAGTTCGCGGACGACGAGGACTTGTACCAGCGTGAGCTGAAGACGCTGGTTGACGGTGTGATCCCTGTACTTTTGTCCACCGTCCTCCAAGAGCGCTCTGCGAGCGTAGTCGACCTTTTCGGTCCCGAGTCTCCTGGCCGCAAAGCAAACAGCATGTCGAAATCCGTCGTTAACATGGGCGTTGCCCTCGAGAAGCTGAAGACCGCCCACAAGAGGGCATCTCACACGGATATCGATCGGCTGATATCCTGGCTGCACACCGCGTCTCCCATTTACGACACATACATGGACGCATGGCGTCTCGGCTTCCAAGATCTCATCGTCAACCTGGCCCCTGCAGCCGACCGGCTTGATGACGAGGACTCTCTCATCAACGCCCTCCCACGCAACGCTGAAGGCGACGTCGTCAACGAAGATGGAGAGCGCGTTGACGTTGCGCACCTGCTGAAGAGGCCGGTACTTCGCATCAGAACTCTTGCGAAGTTCACCAAGGTAAGTCCACTGCAAAAAGTTGAAATACAAAACTGACGGCCATAGGGTCTCCATGCGGCTGTTGGCTCCTACGACACACTTGCATTGGTTGGTGACTACGATGCCCTGCAAGAGAAGGCTCGCCGTCGGCATAGAGAAGAGTCTGCCCGACTGGCCGACGAGGACGCCATTAATACGGACACGACTAGACTCCGCGATCTCCGAACCCTCGCGCCAATGGAATCCGTCAAGATTGACCCCAAGCGACAGGTCAGCGCCAAAGACCTCTTCTCGCTCAGCTTGACCCACTCCAATGGGCAAAGACTCGAGTGCCAAGTCGAGCTCGTCCACCGCGATCTTCCCGGTGCGAACAACGATAAGGGGGACCTGCTCATTCGCGAGACTGGCAGTGGTCGCCGGACATGGCTTCTGTTCCCCCCAATGCCCATGACTGTGATCTCAGCCCGTCGTGGCGACTCTAGACACGAGCTTGTCCTCATGGTACAGGGTACCCACAACGGCCGGCAGTGGTACGAGCTACTGAGCCTCGTCACAGACAACAATGATCAAGTGGACGACTGGCTCGGCATTGTCGGGACCACTCCTGTACCTCCCAAGGAGCGTCTGCCAATTGTTACTGAGGAGAGCCTCCCCGAGTCACCGCAGCAGAGAACGGACATACCTCTGGGCGGCAAGCTGCACGGCTCCTCTTCCAGAGACATGTCTTCTCCAGAGCCGATGACACCAACACGATCGATTCCTAGTCGCTATCATAACCGTGGTTCAAGCATGCCGACCACTCCCATCGGCCGTAGTCCTTTGCCCGAAAGAACGCCGACTCAAGGCTCATACAATGACGGCGAGGGCAGACACAGGGCCGCACCCAACACAACCCCCTTTCGCGAGGACGGTGCTCCGCCACCCCCTATCCACCGCTCACTCGGCCCCAAGTCACCCAAGCTGCAGCCTCCTGTCGATCTTCAGAGCCCTCGCGTGAAGCGGCGAGGATCGTCCCCCTTGAAGCACGAGTACCTGCCATCGGAAGAGTCATCTGACACATCCCGTTCTGTCACCGAGATCTCTGAAAGTGAGACAGAGACAGAATCCGACTACACATCGTCCGAAGACGAGTTTGACGAGGACATCCCCGAGACCGAGGTAGGCTTCAGTATTAGGGATCCTGAGCCACAGCCGGAACGCGAGCGGGAGCGTGAGCGTGAACGTGAGCCAGAGCCCCAAGCCTTTGTGGACTCACTCCAGCAAGAGTCGGCGATCTCGCAATCTTTCGTCCAAGAGTCAACGGTGTCCGAATCCGTATGCAGCTTGACACCGTCCAACTCGGCGTCGCAAGCCGGCCTCCACGGCCGCAAGATGAGCGCGTCGGAGAATTACACCAGATACATCGCTTCCATTTCGTACTGGAACGAGAAGAAGGGCCAGTGGAAGGACATTTCCCTTGAGCCTTGCTCCATCCAGGTCACCGCCGGAGTCATCGAGGCGTACTCATTAGTCATGAGCCCCGGGGGGCAACCTGATATTCCCCTCGTTTCCCTTGAGCTCACGCCCCTCGTCCTTCTCCGACAGTCCACCGTCGTCGACCTCGAAATCCGCTCCGCTGTCAAGGACGATTGCAAGAATAAGGATATCGGTGGCGGCAACTTCCGCTTCCGCTGCCCCTCGAGCACGGAATGCTTTAATCTCTACATGGCCGTCCACCACGCACGTCTCAACAACCAAAAGTTCATCCAGCTCGAGAACGAAGCGCGCTACAAGTCGTTCGGTGAGAGGCCCGCCGAAGATAACGAAGAGAACAGCAGCCACCGGCGTAGTTGGTTCGGCCGCAAGAACAGTTACCGCGCGTCGACTCGCGCTCCCTCTCAGTCCCATGACGGCAGCACTCCGTCGTCGAGCCTGTCCGCGACCAGCTTCCTCAAGAGACTCACGGGCGCCGGCACATTCAACATCGCGCGATCGTCCATCGACAAGCAGGGTCGTTTCTCTAACAACAATAGTCTCTACACATCTGGATCTTCGTCTGACGGCTATCCTCGCTCGCCGTCGATCAGCATCTACTCCCACTCAATCCGCAGCCCTCTGTCGTCCGACAATATCAAGATCCGGCTGCATCTGCTCGTCACCTCGACTAAGTGGGAGGACTACGGCAACTGCCTGCTGCAGATCCGCCGCCCGCCGCCGGGCTGGCACCAAGACCTGCGCGCAAACCATGGTCTCGAGAAGCGCGTCACCGTCACCACCGTGCCCAAGAAATCAGACAAGGCACGCATCGTGCTCGACGCCGTGCTGGGCAGCGGCTGCTTCACGCCCATGGGCAGCAGAGGTATCGTTTGCGGCATCTGGGAGGAGATCCGCGACGAAAGGGGCGAGATTGGTGTGGCACCCAAGACGGGTGGTGCCTCGGGCTCGGTCAAGAAGTGGTGCTTCCAGTGTGCCAGCGTCTCAGAAGCCTCATGGGTGCTGAGGCTCGTTCACCAGGAGGTGGGCGTCGAGCTCCGGGAGTGAGGACCGGTTTTTTTTTTTATCTATACCGTCTTTGTCTCCTTTTTTTCCCTTCTTTTTGTTATGATTCCCCCACGAGCGTCGGTTCGCTTTCGTGTATTGCTAGACTTGGCTTGGGCGTCTGGATTCAGGGTGGCATAGCGTGCCTGATCCGTCTTTTTTTGGTGTTTAGAGAAGGGTGGTAGGATGGGGTTCACCAGGGTTATATGTACTAGTACATGGTCATGGCCAAAGGGCTTGGGGAGGCAGGCAGGTTTGATTTGCTTAGGGCATTTTTTAGATGATACCGAAGTCGTTTGCGTGCTGGCAGGGGTGTTGGGATAGTGTAGGTTTGTAAAAAAGGTACCGTGTAGAGGACCAGTGGGTATTGACTCGCTTTAACTATCTATAATGTTTCTCAGCCTTCTGACTTGCCTCGCGATCCTCGTTGATGCTGGCCTTGTAAACTGGCGCGTTGCATCCCCACCAACCACCGGGTCTTTGAACTGAAGGGCATCATCCCTCGGGCAACCGGAAGACATGCGTCGCGCCCAACGGCGAGTTCGTGGTCATCTTCGGCATTCGCGAGAGCGGCTTCACCGGTGAGGCCGGATACATTGACAACATCCGTGCCGTCGGCGGTGTTGTCGTCTCCCAGCAATCTCGGGGCCTCGGAGCCGCTCTCAATGCGGGGTTTTCGTGAGCTCGGCTGTGTTGCGGAGGGCTGCGTCGTTGGCGCAGTGACGATACTGCCTCGATTACTCGGGGCCACGGGGCCGGTGCTGTCACAGGCCGCTTGGGTGAAGCTCGGATGCCCGTTTGTCATTTTGCATCCGTGGTACTTCCGGCTGGTCGGCCGGGACCACTGTTGACAGCCAGAGCAGAGTCGAGTGATTGCTCCTCAGGTGCCTCCTCATCGCTGAGGGTGATTCGGTCCGAGTACGTCACCAGCGGAGACGAGCGCGGACGGTGAGTTTATAGCAAACGTTGGGGCTAGGACGTTGACATTCGAGTGGAAACTCCCGAGCCGCACGAGTCTCGTGTTTGACGGGGCCGACGTTGGATCAACGCTGCAACGGCTGGCGGTCTCCGTGTGCCCCGACCAGCATCCACGGCGCATCTCAAGTCCTCTCGCCGAAGCAAGGCATCCGTGCTGCTGAACCTTTAGGGGACTCAAGTGTTGTCTACAGCTAGCCGGCCTATACATGGTATCATTGAAGCGTTCAGCCCATCATCTCCTCGTCATCGTCACCGCCACCGCCCATCTTGCGTCTCAACCTCACGGCGTCCTCGTCCCTCTTCCTCCGCTCGAGGCCCTCCTTGATCCACGCCTCGTACGCCGCATCTCCGCCCTCGACCTTCTGCGCCACAACGCCCTTGAGTACCTCGCCGGCGAAGCCGACAAAGTTGTGCCGGCGCAGGGCGTTCTCGAACCGCCAGTTGCGGCGCTTCTCGTTCTCGCGCTCGAGCGTCTCGGCGTCGCCAATCTCCTGGGCGGCGATACGCGGATCGCGCACCATGGCCAGCACGTTAAATCGGATCTCGGAGCTGGCGTAGGTGAGCATGCGGTCCTGCAACACCTGCGTCACCTTGTTCGGGAACTCGTCGGTCGTGCAGGCACCGTGCGATATGGGCGCGGGCTGCAGTCCATCGAGCTCGTACAGCTTGCCGTCGATGGGTGTGTAGGCGATGAAGTGGAAGGCGTCCTCGGCCTCGCCTGTCTTCTGTGTCTCGTCGACGAAGGGGCTGCTCTTGGCGAAGCTGTTGTGCACTTCGCGGATCAGATCCGAGTTGCTGAGGGCCTCGCCGCGGAATTCGGGCGGCAGGACCATGGTAAACTCGCGGAGATCTGAGAGCTTCTCGCCAATATCCACCTCGTCCGGCTTGTTGAGGACGACGCTCAGGAGCGCTTGCGTACCGCATGCATTCTGGATAGTCTGTTGGGCGAAGAAGAGGCGTTCGGCAGCGTCGCGGTCGTAGGATTCTTGCGGTCGCGCAGGGAGGCCCTCGGAAGGATAGCGGAAGAGGAAGATGATGCCGTATATGGGCTGCAGCGGGGCGAGCTCGTCGGGGGAGAGCGTTAGTAGCTCCTCAAACTGCACGCCCTTGACACCGAGATTCTCGAGCAGGTATGTGAAGACGCCCTAGGCGGTGCGGTTAGCTTGGCGATCGCGGAGTCAGAGCCGGAGAAATCGCTTACTGCATCGGACTCGACTGTGAGGGTTAGCAGAGGTTAGAGACGGGTGCTTGGGAGATGCGTACTGGTGTTCCATCCACCACTCATTTTGAAGGCGGGGGAGATGATTTGTGACAAAGGTGCGGACAGTTGGGTCGTAGCGGCACCGGATCTCTGCAAGGTATGGTGGCTGCTTTAGTTTCCCAGGTCGCAATCAAATCGGAGTTCGCAGTGGACAAGGAGTTGGTAAGCTGGGAGGTTGAAGCTTCAATGTTTGGAGGCGAAGTGTTTGACTGTTGACGCAGGTCGGAGCTGTGGTGGGTCTTGGTGGGACGGGACCAGGGTCAAAGATCCGCCGGCGCACAACTCGCTCTTGACTCTCTGCACCGACCATCACTTTAACTGCACATCAACGCGATTCAAGGTTCATCTTATTGCTATCTACAGCCATTAACAGCTGATATAAGTAGTATCGCCAGGATTTCTAGCACAAAATCCTCGCAACAATATCATTTTCTTCCGGTAATACAAATGAAGAATCTAACCCCCGGTCAAGTACATTCAGTGCACAGATCCCGGCGTGACCGCACGCTGTGGGATCGTCACCATGTGAACACCGTCATCCTTTTGATGCGATGAACCCACGCGCGAGCCCGCACGCGAGCCCGCAGCATAGGTGCTGTCATGGTCATCCTGTATGTTGAATTGCCGCTTGCTGTCCATGTCACCATTGCTGAAGCAGCTGGTGCGAACGGCACGATAGAACCAAGGCTTCTTGCCGGAACTCCTCCAGGACCAGTACTCCTTGGCGTCGTACTCACGGGGCTCGAGCCTACCTCCAGAGAGCCACACAGTCAGGCCAATGAGGCCGTTTAGAACAGTGTACACAAAGACGCCCCTGTATTCGTTAGCTGCAGCTCGAATGGCACAATGGAAGAAACTCACGCAATCAGGCCATAGGCGACACTATAGGAGAACGGGATGAACGTCATAACAACGAATGAAGGAAGGACGTCACCAATATACCGCCAGTTAATCTGGGTGATCTGACGGATCATCATGCAGCCGACCTGTAGGAGTTAGAAAGGATCTATAAGCACAGCCTTGGAGCCTCACCAGAACGAGCGTGCAGCCCGTTGCCCACGGCGGGATGGACGCAAATATGGGAGCAAAGAAGATGGAAATGAGGAAGCAAAGACCGGTGGTCATGGACGTCAATCCGGTGCGACCGCCCTCAGCGATGCCCGCGCCACTCTCAATGAACGCTGTAACAGGAGAACAACCGAACAGTGAGCCGATGGAGATGCATGCCGCGTCGCAGCAGTAGGCAATGGTGGAGCGAGGGAAATCGCCGTCTTTGGGGTCAACAACACCACAGAAGCGGACCATCGAGTACATGGTGGCCGTGGCATCAATAATGTCGACATAGAGGAATGTGAAGAGGGCGAGGGCGAACTGCGATCCGTTCTTGGTCACGTCCCAGTCAAGGACGTTGAGGGTGTGCTCGATTGGGTGGAACGTGACAACGTTCTTGAAAAAGTTGAAACGGTTCTCGCCCTCCTCGTTGTAGGGGAAGTAGGTGATGGACGTGTTTCGTCTGAAAGGGGTTAGCGGGATCGGACGGAGAGGGTCGACGAACTTACGGCCATGACAAGATCGACACCAGAGCAATACCCATGATGAGTGCATACTTGACTCGGAACGACATCAAGTAGGCCGTGACAACACCGCCGGCGAAGATGGCAGTCCACATCTTTGGGCTCGACATGATGCCACCAGCGCACATCTGGGTCTGGGGGTCAATCATCTCGACAGGGCAGCCGGCGATGGCCAGCGGGCTAGACTTCCAACCTCCGGTGATGGCACCGATGCCCGCGGAGTACGAAAGGCCAATTTCCGTCAGGAAGAAGCCAATGCCGACTCCTGTTGCCGTCTTGATGGTAGCGGGGATAAGTTTGACCAGCCACTGACGCATTCCGGTAAGAGCGAGAAAGATGAAGATGAGGCCCTCGACGAAGACTGCCGTGAGAGCCACCCGGTACGGAATGGCCCCCGAGCCGTTGGGACCGACCACCTGGAAGGCAAAGTAGGCGTTGAGGCCCATGCCGGGACTGCATTGTTGTCAGCGCCTGAATTGGCCAGGTTCTGCGAAACAGAGAACTTACGCGAGCGCCACTGGCAGGTTGGTGAAGAAGCCGAATATGAAGCTGGAAAGTCCAGCAAGGGCCGCGGTCGCGGTAATCAAATCAAGTCGGACACCTGCAAAGTCAACCCTGCTCGCAGTGAGGAGTCAGTCAACTCACCCTCTTTACACTCCTTGTAGCTGAGAATATTGTCGCAATCGCTTCGGTTCTCCAAGTCGCATTCACAAGTGCCGCCCGTCTGCGAGAGAATGATTGCCTGTGCCGATTAGTGTGTGGCCTCTGTGGTCGACGACGCTTACTCACATTCACGGCGATAATGTAGGCCATGGTAGCAAAGGTCGTAACGCCTGCTCGGATCTCTCTCAAGAAGGTCGTATCGGGGATCTCTTTAGGCTGGATATGGTCAGCCCAGCCAACATTCAAAATCGGGAGAGAACTTACATGACCGCTTCCCTCGAGTCTGAAGATGCGGCCGAAAGTGGACGAGGAGACTGTCTTATCGAAGCGATCGACAGCCTTCCACATGCTGTGGACTTTGCGACCGACGGCCGATCTCTGGACGGGCGACTCGACGGGTTCCAGGCGCGACATGTTGGAGTGAGTCGACATGTTGCTCATGGTGGGCGATGGAGGAAGGAGAGTCGGTGGACCACCGTCCAGGCGACTCGGAGAGGTAGTGGGTGAGGAGTTGGTGACACAAGGCTCAGTACAAAAGAAGAAGGTTCAGATGTCTCAGACTCTTGTGCGAGTTGCGGCGAGAGGTGGTTGGCGCAATCGGCGAGGGTTAGGAGAGGGAAAAGGAAAGGAGACGGCACCAGGGAAACCGGGAGATGGGCATCAATAGAAGAAAGGAGAAGGCAAGGTACCCGGCAGGACCAAGCAAGTTGTTTAGGAATGGCCGATGAAAGAGATGTCTTGGGAAAGAGAAGAAAGCGAAGGCAGCAAGACCGTTGCAAAAGGAAGTGAAGGAGCGTTGATGGAATGCCTGGGGAAGGGAGGAGCCTGGTAGGTATTGGAAGGGGTGACAGTGGCAGGAAACAATTATATCCTTGCTCTCTCCTGCCCCGCCTGTTGCCTACCTACGCACAATCCACAACGCGTTTTTACATCACTTGCATCTCCTGGACGACATTGGTCTTTCACTTGAAGCAAGGTACAGTACCTTGCTTTCCATACTTTACCACACCGAGCACACCCTGCCTTAGCTCTGCTACTACCTGAGGGACGCCAGTGACAGAGGGTGCGCCATTCTTTCTTTTCCCATGCAGCACCGACGCCGCGTGGAGGTGGGGACGTGGCGGGAAGTCCACATCGCGGGCCTGGACGGGAAACAAGGCCCAGGCCGAGTCCCGACACCACCTTGAGACGGATGGTCAAACTGTTGCCTCTGCATCTTTATGCTAGTTGCTGGTTTACCCGAGTCTGATAAAGGTTGACCAAAGCCGACTGGACAGGCGCAGTTGGTCATCTCAAGAGGAGGTTGTGAGAGAGGGGCCAGAATGGGCTGCGCTTCTCAAAGCCATGCCGCTCCAAAATATAAGACAAAAACCTTGCATTTTGCCCCCAAGTAGATGAGGAGGCTTTCCGAAGATGGAAGCCACATCCGTTCAGTCGGAAAGGCATGGGCAGCGGGCTTTGATCCGAATCCTATTCCATCAATGACCTCGTTCTGGCTATCAGTCAAACTTTCCAATCAGCCGCCAAACGACCGCTCTCATACGAGTTGACAGACTAGACGATACCATCTGGTTTGTAAGATCATGTTCCTTTAGGGACGAACTCCATCTGTGCGCAACGCCTCATGAACCCTCAGCCCAACTGCCAGGTTAGACGCACCTTGATTAAGGTAGTCCTGGCGATGGGCCGCTCGGACTGCCGACGACCCCACCTTCTTCCCGTCATCATCTTCCCACCTGGCTTATCTTCCATGTCGGACGTCATCTCGATAGCTTCACCATCGTAAAGGTTACGTCGGTCTCGACGAGAACCTCCGGCCTCGACAGCCATGCCATTCCTGTCTACTTACTCTGCGACGCTCCCAGCGCGCTCTGGCCAAAACCAATGTCCTCGTCCATCATCCCTTCCGTGGTTGGCAGCTCGCGTTTGCCGTCAGTCCTATTGAGAAGCCATGAATGCAACAGGAACGCGGCCACAGGCCAATTTCAAGCCTGCAGGTTGCCGCTCTAGCGTTGTACTTGGCAAGCGAGACATGTCTCGAAGCTCCTTAATAGGATCGCCAAGGTCGGCCAACGGTACTTTGCATTATATGCGGGATATTCGTCGTCTACAGAGATTGAGCTTGTGACAATGTCCTGCCCTCGCGTCAGCCCCTCCTGGCCATTGTCTGGATGTATGCCATTTACGGCTGACCTTACCTGTCCTACAGCCGTCATCAGTATGACTTAGGGGTCTCTTGACTGGTTGGCTCTCCAAAGACTCAAGACTTACGCACGTCGTACCTTGCTTGCGCATCCTGCATTGCTGCAAAACGCCGCTATTTTCCTCGCTCGCTTCCTTGTCACTCCAGAGCTACGGAGACTTTAACATCGTCTTATGGACCACTCGCAGTCCGTCCCAATCAAACCACGTGGTTTACTTATGGGCGCCAGTGGCTCCGTGCTCTGCAAGAATGAAGCTATTTATGATCTAATTTCTCCCTCCACCGGAGAATCAGAGTTGGTTGACGTTTGAGCATGTTTGTGGCCAAGCCTGCTGGCAATCTCGAACTTGGTAGCAGAAGTGAGCAAGTCGCCGGCGGGGGTCCTCTTAGCGGACAAGGCACTGTCGCTCTATAGGTATGAATTACGGCTACAATGGCGTTCTGGCTGGAATTGAGGTGGGGCCTTTGTAGACCTTGACGGATTGGACTTTGTTGGAAAAAGAAACGGGCAGCATGCTTGCTTTCTATTGTCGTTGAGCAAACTCGCTTAAACAGGTTAGGTCAGCCGCAAAACAAGTGCCCTGCTAGGGGAAGAAGGCGCTGGTGGAGGTTGGCATTGATCACTCAGCGGCGTATCTGGGCTTGGCCGAACGGTGCATCGCTGAGTTGTGACTGGCCCCTTGGCACACAGCAACATTTACGGCCGCTACTAGAACGTGCCCCCGCGTCCCCCTGACACGGGTCCATTAGCGGTGCCGGTCCTGCGGGATACTGAAACCTGACCACTCACAGTGACCGAAGTCCTCGAAGCGGAACAAGCTCCCCCTGCATCCCAAGGGTGTCCCTGCCCCGGATTGCCGTCTCCCTGCAGATCCACCCACCCTGAATCCAATCCGAGGTTGCCCACCGCGCTGACCGCATCCCGGCACCCTTCCTACCCTGCCTTTGCACTCCATCTCACTCTTCCACCACCAACAGCTCACATTGGGCCGCGATGCCACCATCTCACCTTTCCAGCTAGCCCCGTCGGCGCCCCCTGCCATCTACATTGTCGAAACCAACGCTGTTACGGCTCCCTCAAATTGCCGTCTAACAAGCGGTCTGCTGGCCAGAGTCTGCGTAGTCCACTATCAAACGGGTACTGTGTGGGCTCACGTCGCCCGGTTTGCCCTCTCACCTCGCCTGCCGGCCTCATGGGTGTCCCCGGGCGCAACCGACGGCTCCCTCCCGCGAAACGGTCCGCTGGGACCTACAGGAAGGCCAGACTGCAGACTTGACAGCTAAAGACACGACACGGCGTCTGTCATAGGGAGATTCGGTACGACGGCCTCCCCGCCAGTCTTACCGCGATGCTTTGAATCGATAGGTTGATCCCTTGGGAATGAGAAGGCATCTTGCAGGGTCTGTCGCGGTGCGAGGGCTCTTTGCGCGAGAAAGACGCGACAAACATGCCGGCGATGCTCGATCGTATGGCTAGCTCAGCTCCTTACGGCATGAAGGGCATGCAACAGCCGAATAGGATTCCAAAGACACGGCTAGCACTCAGCCAGGCACAGCTCGACGCGAACCTGTCGATAGTCCGCAGTCCAACAGTATGTATGATATGCGCTCGCTCTGCCATGTGGCCAGAAGCGTACGCCCCCAGGCCGGCTCTTTTGCTGAAAGCTTCGACCCGCGCCGTCGTCGAGAGCCTATAGCAGGGAAGCACACGTCCGACTCGCCCAGCACAGTCTACGTTCCACATGTCAGCCAGCCGGCCAAAGGTAAGATCCCGGCGTCCCTGGTGTCGAGGGAGACGCAATAATGGAATTCTGTTGTTTGACAGTCAGGAACGCAATCCCGTTGACGATTTCGAGCAGTCGATGAAGAAGTAGCCCTCTCACTTCTCTGCGAATGTGGCACGGCGTTGCGTACCGTTGATGCCGGCTTCCACACGTCCGCTGCTGTTGTGCTCGGTGCAACTGGACGTCCGGGCGTACACTTTCATTGATCTCATTCTGTGTGGGCGATGGGCAAGTCGACCACGGCCGCCCAGCCAGCCCTGGTCTAGTGCTTGAGGAATAAGCAATGCGAAGAAGACGGATTGAGACAGTGGAAAACAGTGGCCGATCAGTGTCCAATGAATCTATACCAGATGGATGGGCGACCGGGACGTGACCGGCAGGGCGCCACAAATCTCAGATGACTGCAGTGTGCATGGGTTATCGGCGGCGTAAGGTGAGAGAGGGAGGGAGGCGGGCAATGGGGGGCTCAAATCCCGGCTGTGTTAGCCCAGTTCGATATATGGGCGTGCCGGGGAGCACAAACTGATGATGGAGCTGGACTTACACCAGGTCGGTCGGCTTGGTAACGTGCGTCCAACTCCTTTTCATGCGGACGTCTTGATTCTTGTTCATCTTTCAACGTCACGGTACATAACCGGACGGACGCGCACGATCACACACTGTCGAATGTGGTTCCTACTGGGGAGAGGGTGATTATTCGTAACAAGGCACCTTCGTGGGACTGGCAGCTCCTCTGACGCAACCATTCCAACCCCTACCCTTTTCTCCCGGCTTTTACTCTTCCTTGAGTGACCTGGCCTTTATCAAAGGCTGGCCCGACGGATGGGAGAGTGAGTTGCTGTTGCTCTGTTCCTGTGGGCCGCGCCAAATCTCAACCTGGTTTTCCCATCCATCACGTTGCATCTGCATATGCGCCTGCGACGCGTATCGAATCGACTGCAGCTGCCGCACAACCACAACGGCAAGAGGAACTGGCACCGGCACACACGTCAACTGTCAACTGCCATCTGCGTCCCACGCCCTCATATGCCGGCCTTTTCCTTCCGTCGGTCTCTCTTCGCCCTACAATAAGGCATCCGTCTCAATTGGCGCGGGTTTGGAGTCTTTCTCCTGATACACTAGCGGTGTTTCTCACACAGCACAGCTCCTTCCTCCCAGATCATCGTGCCTGCCTTTTCCTCCCAACCCTTTTTCATCAATCAACACTTCCCACACCGCCCGCCAACGACAGATTCCCTCCGATTTTGTCAATCGCTTTCTCTCTCTTTCTGTCTCTCGACGACGCCGTCACAGTTTCGCTTTTTTGCATCGCTCTGTTCGTCGTCTAGAATTCATCATTGATGGTCTCAGGCTCCCGCTCATCACGGCTGGTTTACCTAGACGTCTGCGACTACCTATCTCCGGCGACAACTGTATCTTAACTTCATTGACATCAACCTCGACGACGCCAAACATCGGACGGTTTACGATCCCGGTCCTCTACGAGGCCTGAACATTCACCAACACAATCGTTTGCCGATTCTCGGGCATGCAACTGTTCGGCCAGGACGACCTTGTAGTCTCGCATCTCGACCTGTTGTAAAGGCAATTGCTCGCATATATACAGCATCTCTAACACGCCACCTCTTCTTAACACCAACCATCACTTACCACAACATCTATCGTCTCGTCACCGACGAAAAACAGCCCGCCATGTGGGAAGTTGTGTGGACGGATCCCGACAGGGAGTCCAGGAAAGAACATCGCGAGCGCAAGGCAATTGAGCGAGAACACAAGGAAAAGTCCCGCACAACTAGAAGCTCAATGTCCACTAGGAGCTCTTCTTCGTCTGACAACAAGCCATTCAGCTTCTTCGGGTCCAAGGGTCTCAAGAGGACACTTACACCGTCAAGCGTCAAAGTACCCATGACACCCGCTCTGAAAAACCCGAGCATTGACAGTACCTTCAGAGGCTCGCTCTTGTCAGCTATCTCGGAGCCACCGCTGCTGTCTACGGAGCCCCCCTGTAGTCTGGTCACGGTCGCGGATCGCACTTACCTGCCGGAACAGTTTGCCGAATCATTGCAGAGCTCGCCGATATCGTCCAACAGAGGTACTAAACCCCAGCTCTCCAGCCTTGCCGCAGCTCACTGATGTCCAGGTTTCATAGACTCAGTATTCTCCAAATGGACAGACAGTTCACTAGCTGGACCGACGTCTCCGTGCAACACGTCGGTAGCCGAGTCGACAGCAGGCAAGCGGGAGCACTATGTCCAGACTCTTGGTCCGACGTCCTTCATTACAAAGAGCACCGAGGTCACCATCTTACCCCGGACGATAGAAAACGACATCGCAGAAATGGTCTCGCATATTACTATTACGGCGGAACCGGTCAAGGAAGAGCCGCCGACGCCTCCCCGCTCGCCAGCAAGACAGTAAGTGCAGTCGCTACAAGTTCCAACGACACCATTAACAACATTACAGACCTGCGGTTCCAGCCATGGCCAGCCCGGTCATGCTTGACACGCCTGTAAACCTGTTCCCAACCCATTTCAACCAGAAACAATCACTACGGCACGTGTCTTCATGGATGACTGCGTTCAAGCCTAACAACCCAGACGCCTGGAAGCCCCCAGATGCGTGGGACTGCGGTCCTTCACCAGAAGTGCGAACCCCGATGGTGGAGGACGTCATCGGCGAGACCTTGGAGGTAGATGATGGACTCGCCATGTCCATGGACCTTGGCAGCATGCAGCGTGAGATCAGACGCATGGCCGCCGCAAGCCACAGTATCCGCCTTTTGCGCCTGAAAGAGGTCTGGGGCGACACAACCGACGCCAACCTCTACAAGGAACTGGAAATGGAGAAAAAGAGGTGGATGCTCTCGACGTTGCACAATATGGACAAGCAGGCGGATCAGAATCAGGCGGTCCACCCTGATAAGATTACTCCGGCCAAAGCGAAGAAGGTTCTGGCACTCTACGAGACTCAAGGTGAGCGAAAAATGACTTTACCTTCATGTGATTTGGCTGACTATTCAGCAACTACCTCATACTTGGCTGCCCTCCACTTTAACAAGCAAGTCTACCACCTGTCATCCGCTCCTCTGTCTCATACCCTCTTCCCCAACATACACCCGGTTCTTGTGCCGGCAATCTCGCCATCGGCCTTTCCAGTGGCACCCTCTCTGTTTGGCGTAGCCTACTCCCTGGCACTTCCGGCACTGTTGCCATCGCCTGAAGTCCCCGGCCTTCTCAGAAATGTCCACCGGTGTCTCGCCGTTGGTGGAGCCCTTCATCTGACACTGATCGATCCCCTCCCGATCAAAAGCACTCTCGGTCCTCTTATGCGCTCATGGATTGAGGAAAATCTCATTTTCAACCTAGAAAAGAACTTCCGCTGCATGAACCCGAGCAAGCTGTTCCCCCTTTGGCTCGCAGATGCTTCTCTTCGTGGTGAGGGCAGTACCATTACCACGGTCAAGTTCTGTGCCATGCCGCCCATCGATAGGCCGGACACAGCCACGACAGACACCGAATCGCTTGCAGACAGAGCCGTCAAACAGGAGCTGCGCAGCATGGTTGGCCGAATGCTCTGGAGGGAAGTCTGGGGGCAGTTCGTCACCGCCGACCAGTGGTGGTGGGAGCAGCCCGAAATTGTTGCGGAGTGCGAACAGCTCCAGACAGCGTGGGAGTATAGCATTATTGAGGCAGTCAAGACTTTGTGAGGTGGTTGTGGTACTGGAATTTTCTCTCGCGAGAAGTATAGGGTAGTATTATGTGTCACTCCAGAGGGGCAGAGATGTTTCCCATGACATGGCGTTGGAGGCCAGGTTTCTTTCACAATACCCACCTGAATGGCGGACGGAGCCGTTTGCTTCACCTGCTTGGGAGGCAGTTTGGCGGGTCCGACAGGACATGGTGTGGCTTTTGATGTATATCACAATGCTCCCATTTATTGAGCTTCTTGGAACCTTTGAGAGAGGGCAGATGGCCCTGCAGGTTTTGCGAAGGGCCGCTCCGCATGTATTAGTCTGGATGAGCTTGTCGAACTAACTGTGTCTATGTAAGAGTACCGGTGTTGGCGGCAGGTTCACACAGACTGGCACCACGTACCATAATGGCAAATGCAATATCTATTCCACGCTGGCGTCTAGTTCACCGTGACATGTTTCCTATGAATTGTCGTTTGGCCACGAAGGACATCAACCCATAGCCCGAAAGACTTGGAGGGTTGGAACAAATCGAGGTCGCCAAACAGAGCCCCCGATCCGAACCGGATGCCCGGATGGCATTCCCATACCACACCCCGATGGGAAAGTCTACCTAGTCAATTAGAGTTTCGACTGCGCTACAAACCGTCCTCGCATTTCAATGAAATCGATGAGGCGGAATTTTCGCAAACCGAGTGCCGTCTCGGCCGTCGCTTGTTTTTAGTAAAAAAAAATTCACTTTTTTGTTTTGTTTTTCATTTGCAGTATAAGGCATCCCAGCCTTTGATGACGACCATCGGGGGATTCTCGTCTTGACAGCTCCACGACAATGGAACCTTTCGTGGTTTCCGACGAACCACGATAGATCCCTGTTCTTCCCCGCAGCATCCCCACTTTTTTTTTTTTTTGCTCCTTTTCGTCTTTTGTTTCCGAAATCGTGGGGAGTGGACCGGGCGGACTGGCTGGTGGTGGGTGCTTTTCCCCACGGCCTGATGTTGCTCAAGGCCCTCCCTCAGTTGCATCCCTTTCGCTTGAATCCAACCGGCGCCGTCGGGACCTGTCCTCTCTGTGCCCTACGCCTAACGGGGAGAGGGTTTCGCAAAGTGGGAGCTGAAGGCATCTGGCGGTGGCAGGTGCCATATGTGCATCCTGTTGCGGGCAGGGCCAAGAAGGCAAGAAAGGTAGGCATGCGTGACGGTGACCTCGTCTCGCAGGACGGGGGGCGCTAATTCCCTCGACTTGGCAAAATGCCTCAACTGTATCATGGAGGGGCGATCGAGATATTGTACATTGGTCGAAAACGTATTGATTACCAAGCTCGGATTTCGAGTGCCCATGTCCAGGACGAGTCCGATATACTTCCTCTTGCGCGCTCCTTTGAACAAGGGGCCGACAGGGCGGGGACCGTCGGCAATGAGCGATGCCCCCATCGGATCTGGTCGGTTGGGAGGAGCCTGTTCCCAGCTGAGATCGAGGATTACCTGACACAAGTTCATGGGTGAGCGCTGCGGTCAGGGTTGCCGTTCACCTGCCAATGCTTCACGCCAAAGCACACCTGTCGCTGAGGAAAACTATTCATCGTACGGTTGGCGAGGAGTACGATGATCCTCCAGCGCCCTGATGCATGTGTGCTGATAAAGATATGGAGGAGAATGGTGACACCCGGCCTCTAGTCCGTTGGAATCGTAAGAGAAGGATCTCAGCCGTTTCTGCTGCAGGACGTAGCTTCTTACAGGTTAGCTGGCACCCGCGGGTGTGACGAAGGCAAGCCGGATACACGGCGGGTCGATCCTGTCACGGTCTCGGCCTGACCTTTAGACAGACGTCCCCAAACACCATCGTCCGACTCCGGTTCGGGCGCCCGTCCCAGTCGAGAGGCGGTAATCAATGCCGATGCCACAGTGACATCTGCCACCGCTGTCCGTGCTTTGCGCCGCAGGGGGACAACCTTTTCGCAGACTGGAAGGCGTCTCAGAAGTCCGGAGCATCCCCTCGGCCTCGCATGGTGGTGGTGCGCGGAACCGTGGCTCGGGAGGAGGCTGGTCCTTCGGTTGCATTGGATGCGACCTGGCCACCCGGAAGACTGCATTGTCCCGCGGGCTGTGGGCGGGCACACTTGTCGTGCTACCTACCCCAGCTTGAACAAGGAGGTTCCGTCTTCGCCTTGCGGAATTAATGGCGGTTCCCCGCTTTATTTGTCGAGATGCTATTCAGCGAGGAAAATTAGAAACCCTAAAATAAAAAAGCAGGGATTGGGAGTCCATAGTCTTGGGCCCAGACCCGGCTGGCTCCTGAAGCGCGAGTCAGAAAGCAGATGCCATGAGGATAGTGACGGAGAACGTCCTTGGGTCCAGGCACCCGGGGAGGAGCAATCAGGACACATTGGCCAGCTTCTGGCGGTCTTTTCCTTCGTCTGTCATGGCTCTGTCGAAGCGGCAACTTCATGCCTGGCCCTGAAAGGCACAATGCGTGCCGTGTAAAGGACCAGAGCACAGGGGCTTGGTCGAGGACTCAATCCGAGAAGAGCCAGCCCGGATGCTGGCTGAGCCAATGGCTGCGTCTGGATTGTACTCCTGCCGTTACGGCCGTAGTCACATACTTTCCCCCGGACTCGCTCAGCAAGTTGGCCCAAAAATGGCATCTTGGGCCGCAAAAAAAAAAAAAAAAAAAAAAAAAGACGTTGTGCGTGAACCAGGTCCGCCAGGAGGTCGAAGAAACAGTTCCACGGTACTGTCGACTACTTGCGGTCCCGACGGGTCAACATCGCTCTCGATGGAGGATCTGATTGTCAGACTAGCATTCCTAGCTGATTCCGTAATTGATCAGGCCACTATCGGGCTGGTCTGGCGCAGCCATTGCCACGCGGACAGCAGAGAGCAGGAATCTCGGTATATTGTTCGCTAGACGGTTGTCGTGGTGGTCGTCGAGAACGGTTCGATCGACCTCGAGGAGCTGAACGGCCAAGGGTGCTACCGGATGAAGGGCTTCACTCTCGTAGAGTTCCCAACAGAAGAATAGCGACCAGGAGAAGCCACCACAGTCGACTTCCAGGAAGAACACCTCTCCCCGCTCGCGGCCCAGCACCGCAAACAAGCAGCTGAAGTGAGCATGCAGCATGGGAAAAGCTTGAAGGTCCTGCATAAAAGCCAAGATGCGGGGAGGCAAGCTAAGCTCGCCTCTACTAGTACCGTCGCCCCGGGCTTCCTGTTTCCTTCCAGCAGCCATCGTGAGGGTTAGCCAGTGGCGAGACTCCTGTAGTTCACTTTCGTATCGGGTTGGTCCACCCGACTTGGTTCCGTTGGACTACCTTAGTCTTTTTCTCCAGGAACCCCGCTGGCTAGGCCGGTAATCGAGGGTACCTAGGGTTGGAGTGGACACTGGATGCTTCCTGTGCCCGTAACCTGCGTTCCCCTGTCCGGGGAAACCAAGGGGCCTTGGAACCCTGCCAAGTGCACCTGCATTGTTGCCTGGCACGACTGGGTGGTTAATGCAATCACCGAAGTCTCCAATCTTGCACCCTACTAGAGATCAGCAACATTGAACTTAAAGACCAGCTGGATGAATCCTGCCAGGGCTGGTCGGGCTCGATTCTCGAGCAGGCCTACCCAGGCCCGCCCGTCGGCCGTGATCGTTTGCCCCTGATGAGAGCAACGCGGTCGGCATTCTCGGACCGCTGTCGCACATGCAATCGGCACGGGAAAGCGGCAGGACAGGCCTGCCCTTACAGCCATCGCTTACTGGCAGATGAGAATTATTTACCTATATGGCCACCCGTCTCTCTTTTGGTGCGTCCATCAAGGCCCAGGCACACCTTGCCCACAGACTATCAATCGTCGATCATGGCGCGGTCGCCGCGCTACCGCTGTCGTCAACTGACAACCAATGCGCGCCGACGGTTGAGAAGAGACGAAAACGGGCAAAGTTGGAATTCCCAAGGTAACGGACCGTTAGGACCAAGCAGGAACACGGCCTCGTCTCGAGACAACACGTGCGAGCTGATGCAGGTTTCTTGTTCCCGAGTTGGTCCGTCTCACCGCCACTGGCGTCATCACATGGTGGTGCGTGCTTCGTACTGGTGTGTGAAGTACCGAACGAAGCGAATGCTATTTTATCGGAATAGCCTCTAGGGTATTCTAGTTCTCATGTACAAGCACGAAGAGCAGGCGGTGAATGGTAGGTAATGTTTCATGTTGTAGATGGTCAAGCCATCCGACATAACAAAGGAACTATTTCGCAGAACCAGAGGGTATATACAGCAGATGCTCCCTTAAAAGCAATGTTGGACATGAATCTGCCAACGCGACATGGCCTCCTGAACACGCTTGCATGACACCGGGTATCATCCACATGAAAACGCTTCGCTATCGTGACACGCGCGCACCGCATCTATGCCCGCGACGCCTGCTCGTTGGAGGTTGGCCGGCTATTCGTGAGCTCCGCTATGCTTTCACTCTCGTAGTTTTTCGGTTTTCGGTTTTGACTCGGTAGCTTGAATGAATCGCTGTGGCGGAAACTGCCCACAATCTCCGTGACGTCTGGCCGCCGAGACGCGTACTTGATGTCGGTCCACAGAGTCTGGCAGGCCTTCCAAGAAGTCACAACGTAGATGAGGGCGTTCCAGAATCCTTGCAGCGGGAGAACAAAGGCGCTCATGAATTCAAGCGGTGTCGAAGACTGCCTGGTGTGGATGACTGAGTAAACGCGGTTGGCGCTCGACGGGACCCAAGTGATGAGGATGACGGTGAAAAAGAGGATGGAACACTTGGTGTACGACCACGCAGCATTGTTTAGCTCGTAATTACGCCGGCGAGCCGAGTTCATAGGACGCTGTGCGGCGGCCTCGGGAGCCGTACCTTCGACAGGTAGGACTGCGTCGGCCTGCGGTTCGTTGCGGTTATGGTTGGCAGAAATACTGACAGAGTAGGCGGCGTTGCGCATCCGTGAGGCCTGTCCGGCTTCTGACCCAAGTCTCCCCACCGGCCCCAAGCCGATAGAGCCCGAAGGTTGGTCAACAACCACCTCCGAGGTGATGTAAACCTCTGTTGTCTTCATGGAGGTGAGGACATCGTGGAACGAATTCACTTGATCGGGGTCGGAGGAGCTAAAGTTGCGAAGCTGCTTGCGTTTCTGGTAGATCTCTCCACCGGCGCGGATGTAGATGAAGAAGGTGATCAAGATTGCAATCCTGAGCAAGTCAGTGATGGTCTCCTCGTATTGAAGAAAGACATACCAGACGGGTCCGTAGAACGTAATAATGCGCCAAATCTCCCACTCGGGCGCGACCCAGCACCACAAGGTCGCATTACCATAGACTCTCTGCCCGTCTTTGTTTTTGACAAATATGTATACCAATGCGGGGATGAATGGGATGCCGTAACAGAAGATGAGGTAGGGTATCTCCATCCTCCGTAGTCTTTGGGCATCAAACTTGTAGTAAAAGGTCAGGTACACATTGATGGCCATGGTAAGCGTCCAGAACGCATCGGCAGGCATGAACCTGGGGTGTGTTAGCTACGACTCGAGCGTACGGCAAAGGATGCTTACATTTGCACGAGGAAACCCTGAAGTTGGCAGCCCGGAGAATCAGGAGAGCCGATATATGACCTCGCCATGAGGGTACCGACGTTTGTCATCATATTGCCAAAGGACGCAAAGAACACTAGTCGGTTGATGGGTTTGTGAAACGCTCTCGATGAGCAAAACGTGACGATGATGAAGACGCATCCTAGGAGAGAAAACACCGAACACGTCCGTTCGATGATGCTGAGCAAGTCGAGGTCCCCCTTGTCCAGGTTGGTCTTCTCTTTGGGGGTCTCCATCGTGAGCGGGCGTACGATAGTATATCGTCCAGTATAGGTGGGGTACGTTGTGTAGCTGGGCGTCTTATAAGATCCGAGACAATGGAATGACTGGCGTCTATGTCACAGTCCGCCAGCGATGAGTCGAATGGGAGGAAGTGAAGGTCGATAGCAGCGCTCGTCGAGGGTTTTGCTCCAATAGTTGCGCTTCTGTTTCCGATGGCGGTGGGTGGCCAATTGTTCAAGTACGCAGTAGTCCCTCGGCGAAAACTGCTCAGTCAACAAAAGTGACAGAGAGTTTGACTATCAACGGGCCGCAGAGGCGATGCCAGCAAAGGCAGGGGCTGCGTAATGTGTCGACTCCCCGTGAAAGTTCTATGCAGACTGCTGTCCGGGCTGCTCTGCAAGAAGGCACAGGCAGAAGTGCTGAACCGGAACCCAGGAACCGTATTGTCGAGAGACAAGAACCGACATGGCCCAGAAGAGGCGTGGGATGCAGGACCAAGAAGTGATGGCAACAACGACAAAATGTAAGGAAAAACAAAATGAGAAATGGGACCAGTCATTAACTTGCCCGGGCGCCGGACGCCCTTGACTGTCGCATGGCCTGCAGCAAGGGTGGTGCAGGGAAGGATTGCCAGGATGCCGTCGAAAGCATATTCTGTTTCGGAGTAGGAAGGGCTTCGCAAGTACCAATGTGAGTCAAGAGCGGGAGAGAAGCCGTCGGGATACCTTGCAGATGCTGGAGATTGGTCGTGGCCGCCATGTCCGCCCAAAGGGGGGGGCAGAGGAACGACGGTCGTCGTAGCTGGAACAGGCTAAGTGAAGGACTTAGCTCACAGCTCGCTAGTCCATACAACCAGCTTGGCGCGGGGTCGGACGAACCTGGGGACGCCAGGGGTTGCCCCATGCTCGCTGGCGTGCGCCGTTGCAGGGGCTTTCTGGGATAAATGCTCCTCGTTGGTCATTTGGCAGCGCTGACTGCATTCCAAGCAGTACCGTATGTGGCAGAACAAATTGCGATCAGTCTCTGAAGTCCCCGAAGCACGCTGCTCACCATTCTCCATGACCGCATGGCCTCCTCATGGCCGGCTGTTTACCCCTGAGGCGATTGTTTAAGATTGCAAGTTATTGCTTTTGTTCTGTCAATCAATGCAGGTCAGGTTGTGATCAGCTAACCAGTCACTGGCTTGCCGTCGTCTCTGCTCGATGAGCTTGGACGCCCAGGGCATGGTCAAGGCGGCAGAGACGGGATGGTCGGCGGAAACAGATCAAACTGTCTTGCATGCAAGCGTTCCTCAGCTAGCCGCCGCCGATGACCCTCAGAGAACCGTTGACTTCACTCCACTTGGTGAAACCCCTTATCAAGCCACCGCAGAGCGGAGGTCGAGTGCTGCAAATCGCATACTTCGTCTTGTCGATAACGAAGAACTCATACTCGCTGGCTCTATCGACGCCGCAGGGTCGACCGGGAGAACAATACGGGCCTCGCGATTCGAGAAAGCTGGGCGTTGATTGATTGCGAAAATGTTTTTGAGCCGCAGTATGGTCGCATCTTCATCTGTAACCCTCCGACGGCGCTGCCCGAAACGAGCCTTGCTAAAGTACGTCGCACAGAGCCATCTGAAGCACATGGAAAGCAGTATGAGGAGGGCGGCAGCTAGTTAAGACAGCCGTTGCTTTCCACCATCTCATCTGATACACTGGTACCACAGCGGGAGTCTAAGCAGTCAACATTCATGCTCCCTGACCTCGAACTGGCAGACCAAATCCGCTTTGAGGGCTGAACAACTAGAGTGCGGAATTTGGTACGCAGGGCTAGCGATAACCTCATTTCTGGGATGGAAATAGCACTGACGGCCAGCCACAACTTCTCGGCTAATCGGCGAGGAGATTATAGTCATCATTCAGTGTATTTCGACCTAACCGGAGGCGCGATGCCATTGTCAGCCACGTGGAGAGCGCCACCATCGGGTGATGCTTCCAAGATTTGGCGGGCGGGGGATGATTGCGAACGCTGTCAAAACTGGGAAGCAGTTGTTGACTCTATGCCTTCTGGACCGGCACTGCCTTTCGTTTGAAATGGAACGGAGCCAGGCGTTTCCGCAACGCGTTGTCTCTGCAATTTGGGCACCGGTCGGTTGGTTGGTGCCAAGCCAAAAGCCAGGGATTGGATGATAGACCTAGGTAGGCCGGTTTCTCGACTTGGCGAGGCCTCGGTGTTATGGGATTTGCCCTGCGAGTTTCGGGGTCGAAGCTTGGATTCGGATCAAGTAAAGGTTCATACAGCCACCAGCGATATTGGACGTCAGCTGTGCCGCTTGTTGTAAACCCGTAGGGGATGGCAAGCCGTAGCGAAGTGCTTTTTGGTGGTCCTGGATGGGCTCTGATTAGCTGTAAGCCTTGTCCGTAGACGGTTGGCGGGGTTTGAAAGGCATGAAGGGGGCAAAGTCTGGGGTATACACATGATGCAGTGTGCCAATTTTCCTAGCGCAGACCCAGAGATGAATGGCCGGAGCGAAGCAGCCAGAGAAAGCAGCTGCGTTGGCATTGGTTCACGACCGGGGTAGTATTCCAGGAGTGTGGAGGTATCCGCACTTCCACGTACGTACCCCAACTCAGAACCACCCATTCCCCATGCTTACCTTATGAGGCGGGTATAATGGGGCCGTTTCCCGGATGGTGGGTATCCTTTCTGGGAAACGGGAACCACAAGCTTCCCATGCCAAAACACACCGGTCTCTTCAACCATCCTAGAGCCAACCTACGGGGCCCGTCTGTAAGGCCTAGACGCAAGCTGGTCATCTGCCGTAGCTGTATTTGCCAATCTGCCCTTGCTTGTCCGTCTCCTACGGACACCCGCGCGCTGTGTCTCCTCGATCTCTACACCAGCTTGTCATTAGCGCGATGTTTACTTTCGGTCCTTTGACTAGCCGTTGCAGATAAATACGTTACCAATGGCCCAAGGCGCTAAAGGCTTCAAAGTGGCGAGTGTGGGATCAACGAGATGCCGTTTCTGGCATTCTGCTATTGACGGCACCCGCGTCAGACACAAATCGACTAGCCTCGATCCACCCAAACCCGCCCTCTTGGTTCCTTCGGGCCACCTTACTGTCTGTGCCAGGAACCACGCCTACTTCGTCGACCGATAGCATACGCACATTACCACGCTGCCTTGGACGCAGGTGTCTTCGTCATGGATTATGAACTCGACGGGGTGCCGTCCTGGCTTCGTATGGTGCCAGTCAATCAATTTTAAACAGATGGGACAATAAGCCACGATACTCCACCCCATGTCGCCACTAAGATAACCAACCTGAGAGGAAAGAAAAGCAGGCTAGATTGCGGAGAACCGCATGAGGGCCCGGTGGCTTGGCTCAGTCCAACTCCAACATCTTCACGACCTGGTAGCGATCTCGTTCATCCCGGACCGACATCCATCTTGAGTTGCCTCGAGTCTAGAGCAATCGAGGAACATGGTATCCCTTGTCGCTGCCCGCTCTCAACCCTTTTGTCACAGGGGCCGCCTCCGCCTCTGATGGGCAACCTGCCTGTTTAGTAGGAGCTGAGCCTGGCCATCCATGGAGGTACTGACTCTACGTTTCGGTCAGGATTGATATTAGCCGTTGCAACGCTGGTTGGGACGCTCTCCTTGTCGACCCGGTGAAAGGGACGACATAAATGCCCCTCGATCGAAGAAGCTAAGGGATTGTCGCTAATGGACCAATGGGGCTTTGCGCTGTAAAGATGTTGTCAACCAACAGGTATCTGTAGCCTTCCCGTGCATGTTCTAGACCGCTCGCTGGTACGGCCTCCTTACCTGCTGTTCTCAGAACTGGAGCCCATGTCAGCCAAGATGAAGGAGGAGGCAGTTAACAGGTTTCGGAAGGCAGTCCAGTTCTCCAAGGCTACCAGTGTCCGATGTTTTCCAAACTCTCGCTTGGTCTCTTAGTGAGGTTATATCACCCGTCTAGGCCCTAAAGTATGACTATTCTCGGATTTTGGGACAATACGCCTGACTTCCTCATCAAGCCTAGACAGCAGATGCCCCTTGGTATGGCAGAACTAGTGTCTGGGATAATTATCTCGAAAGGGCCCTTTCGAGAAGGAGAGAGGTTCAGCCGTCGACAAGGGTGAGCGCCACCATGGCAACACTACGAACACGACGACTCCAAATCCTTTGGCTAGTCCAGGACTTTAACCGGCGCTCGTACCAGATCAGAGGATCTTTCCGTGTAATCCAGCCACGCGACACAGACACGTTTTCTCGCACTAGACTTGATGATTTAGAACCATGAAGCCCTTCATCAAGGGTCTGTTAGAGTCGCGAATAACATGGGTGCAATCCTCAAGTGTGGAGGATTACACACATGGGATTTCATGGAAGAAAGACTCCCACTACAAGGAGTGACACACCTCCAAAGGATTTGCTTTCCAATTGGTCGACTGGCCTGCACCCCTCCGCAACGTCATCCGCTGTCAAAGTCATGCAACTTTGCGCTCGGACGGAAATGCTAGAAGAGTTCGACGTGGGTTATATTGGGGTACGGCTTGAAGTGTCGGAGCAGTCTGGGATGGGAAATGCTGCCCCTTCACCGATCTGCCTGTCGTGCCCGTGGCAAAGAGGGATGTACAGGTTGAAACTAATTGGTTCGAGCCCAGGACTGCCCGCCCCAAGAGCGTTTAAAGCACCAATGAAGCACTCAGAGATATAGCAAAGCTGGTCAACTGTGTGATGAACAGTTGCTTAGCAGGGTTGTGTCTGTTAGGGCCATCCAGATCTCATTGTCAAAGTCCGAATGGCACGGACGAATGGTGAGAAGAATTTGAAAAAAGAGAATTATTGAGTCTACGTACTCGAGTAGAGTGGCGGCGAAAATATCAGGGACAAGTATGAAGGTTGGCATTTTGCAAGTCTCATACTCTCCGTGAGCAAGCAGCGACAAATCAGACTGTCTCGCCGACAATGAAGCATTTACATCTGACGATAGTTTCTTGATGACCCAGTTACCTTGTCAAGGCACTGACGCTCGATATGGGTCTTGGCAAGAAACGACATGTCTTGATTTTCGAGAGTGGTCGTTTTCGCAAAGGCCATCTGATATAACACATCGAGTCTTAGCATTTGAACAGTTTCCAAGCCCGACATCCAAAAGTTGTCCTCCACAGGTGTTCTGATGGGCGGGACCGAGGGGCACTCGACCAGGGATGCTCCTCTTCTTCTCATGCTCTTACACTCTCAGACTCCGTCACCTTACATCTGACTGTCTGCGATGCGGCTATAACACGAAGTTCCAAAGTCACGCCGGTAATCCATGTTCATCTGGCTGATTCCAGGTGCTTGCAGGTCTTTGTTCTGCTTGTTACAAACCTGCCCTTGGTGGCCATTCGGAGGTTCGAGACGGAGGAACTTCACGACTTCTTTGAGATACGGGCTGGAAGTAAGTAGAAACGACGTGTTTGGGCGTACCTGTCCACGTTGCGGAAATGAAGGCGGAGGGTCTTTGTGATGTCCGAAGCTGGTCCGTTGTCTCGCGCTGCTATAAACCTTCAGCAGAGGGTTTCCGAGTTGAAGCAGGCAAACCTCAATACACAGCGACGCGTAGATCCTCGTCGACAGAGCAGCCTTTTCTACCCCTCGAGCGTCAATAGGCCCACGAAAACATAAGCACTGGGCTCTTCCATCTTTGTTGAGGGCGCGAAAGCCGTCCACAGCCAGAACACTCCCGACCGACTCTGTCAACGCCCTCTACGAGATGAAGCCAAGAGCAGTTTTCCACGACCATTCAATCATTCAACCCAAAATGCAATAGACCCCGTTCCATCAGCACCATAGGGTCTTTACAAGCACCTTCCAACTAGTGAGCCGAACCCAGATAACCGTCGAAGCCACGACACTTGAGAATCCAAAGGACTAATCCCATGCATTCGCTCCCCGCAAGCTTCATCTCGAAATACGCCACGATGCCGCGGAGACACAGATCAAGCAAGCGATCCTGCAAGCATCGACAAGCAAATCTCGAGCCGGACTTCGTCCTAGCCAAGGGCCACGTCGTCAACGAAAAGAACCACCACTACCGGCCACGAAAAGACGGAAATTCACCCAGGAGATGCCGGGGCTCGTCGATCCCGTCCGGACCCTCGAAAAAACACCGCCATGACAGGCATACTCGCCGCATCGCCATCGAGACAGACACGGACGGCGACTTCGCCATGCTGCCCACCCCTCCAACCTCACCAGAGACCCCACTGCTCAAGCACGCGACGTCCAGAAAAGATGGCCATAACAAAATGGGCATTGTCGAGGGTCGCAGCAGACGATACAGCCCGGAGCGTTACCCGTCTCCACGGTCCCCAAAGGTCTTCACAAGAGGCCCCATCACATCTGCCCAGCAGGTTCCCGGCGAAGTAACTTGGAAGAGCTTCCGTTTTCGACATCACATACTCTCTCTTCTCGACCAGCAGCGCGCCGCCGTCGAGTCGTGGGCCGACAGCGTCGGTGCTGGCGGGCCCGCGGAGCCAATGGACTGGCAGCCAGAGCAGGAGCGGGTCGTCTATATCGCGCGGGACCCCGTGGAGTATGGGTGTTATGAGGACCGGTGGAGAGTGGATCGCGGGCTGCAGGAGGAGGGACAGCAGTACCAGCAGGGTGTGTTGGCGATGGCAACGACATCGACGCCATTCGTGGTACAGCCTGAGCTGGGGTCACGGGCCGGTGAGACGCCACTAGATGGGTCGAGAATGTGGGGGACGTCGGCAATCGGGTTGGGGTTTCTCGGCGAGATTGAATGAAGGCGTTGGAGGTTGTGCATAAGGGTCTGACGATGTCAAGATATGGGTTGGAAGGATGGACAATCCATACATGTCCGACGAGGCCACAACATCGACGGGAAAGGCCCAACAATCAACACACCCAACCGCAGGCCATTACACGAACAACTACTCCTATTCAAGTCTATAAGCCCATTAAACATGTCATTTTCACCGCAAAGGACTTTTTGATACCTATATGGGTTAACATGCAAGTTCTGAACTAGACCAGTCCTAAATTCCTAACGCCTGTCCAGATGAAGTCCGACCGACCGTACCCATTGAAGCAAAAGTCAAATCTCGTGGGAATCTCGCAAATGTACAGATTCAACCGCTCACCCACCCCTCCTCTATCACGCGCAACGCATACACTTTTTTTGTCTTTCTTTCGTCTCTTCAGTCCTCACGGCTTATTTCGAGTAGCGCGAGTACTCGGCAGCGACGAGGCAGTGGTCACGCTCGAAGGGTTCTGCGGTGTGTTAGTCTGACTGTGTTCAAGTAGCAGGGATAATGTAAAGGGGGGGCACCAACCTAGCGTAAGCTGCTCCTTGGGCGTGATGCGCTCCGCTCTCAGCTTCTCGACCTCCATGGCGAAGACCTTGTGAGCGGGGGCGGTACTGTCGATACAGTTGGCCTTGATGGAGATGAGGATACCACCACCGACCTTGAGGAACTGGTGGGCGTTCATGGCAACGATACGGGCCTGGTCGGGCTGGGCAACGTCGGCGAAGATGGCATCGACCATCGGCATGAGCATGCGGTACTTGAGGGGCTGGCGGGCGTCCTCGACGATGGGGACGACGTTGGTGCGCTTGGCGGCCATGCCAATCAGGTCACGGCCGGAGCGAGGGGAGAATTCGACGGCGTAGACGAAGCCGGTGGGACCGACAATGTCGGCAACGTGGGAGACGGAGGTACCGGAGGCACCACCGAGGTAGAGGACCTTGGAGCCGGGTCCGAAGTAAAGCTTCTCCAGACCACCGATGACGGCGGCGGCCAGCTTACTGCGGAAGGGGTTCCATACGCGGTACTCGACCTTGGTGGTTGTGGTGGTGCCGTCCTCGTTCTGGACGCTGTCGTCGACCGAGACGCGCTTCTCGCCGTAGACGGACTCGCCGGGGACGATGTTGCGGGTTGCGATGGCGTCCTCCTTGCCGCGGACGACGAAGATACCCTCGTGACGGTGGGGTTCCTGCGGCTGTCAGTTCATGTCTTCATCCAAGGCACGACGGGTACTGGGGTCAACATACCACAATGACCTTCTGGCCGCCCTTCTGACCAGGCTTGCCGCCTCCACGGCCACCGCCTCTGCCGCCGCGCTTGTCAATGCCTCCACGGCCACGAGCACCGCCAGGACCGCCGCGACCACCTAAGGTTCATCAGTACACAAGCTCGCGCATTGTCAACGTCAGGTTCTCAAAGCTCACCACGAGCACCACCACGGCCGCCGAAGCCACCGCGACCACGGTCACCGCCAAAGCCACCACGGCCACCACGGTCACCACCGCCGAAGCCACCACGGCCACCACCGCGTCCACCGAAACCACCACCTCCGCGAGGGGCGCCGCGACCACCGCCACGAGGCACGAAGGGAGCCATGTCTTATTATTTATTCGGGGAAGGTGTTGTTGAGGGTTGTTGTGAGTAGGGACGATGAATTGGATCAAGACAGGCAGTTCCCGCGTAGTGAAAAGTCGAATTGGGGGGTGTCAGAGGCGCAGGTGCTAATCCTCTTGGTGGCGGGTTGAACACTGGATATACACTTTTGCTGGGTGATTGAAATTTTTCGTCGGACTTTTTTTTCTGAGAGCTTCAAGAGGACGCACGGGCCAGGGGACATGCAGACAGATTGTGGGGTTGTTGGCCGTGATTGGATGAGACGGAACGATAGAAGTGCCGCCTTCCGGCAGGAATTTTTTTCAGCGATTAGATAACGCGCCTGCCCGAAAACTGGGGCCCGCCTGTGTGTGGGTGTGTGTTCGGTGTCAGTATGTCGGGCGGGAACAGGCGGCGCGCGCAACTGACGATTTTGAACAAGTCGAGTGTCGAAATTTCACTTTTCACTTCCCCCAACAACCAGCAAACTCGGGTGCGATACTAACTTGGAAAAAAAACCACAACAGCTTACTTCACCACCCCAATAGTGAGTGCATCCAAAACTTCCCCCTTGCCGTTTTTTCTCCCCGTCTGTTTGGCTCAAGAACCGCTGCTTTCCTACCCCGTAGGGCTCCGCAGCCCTAAAGCCGACCCCCCTGCCGTTGCCGGATCCGCAAGCGAGAGCCAACCCGCGCGCAGGAGGGCTAGGGTCACTCAAAGTTGTGAATTTCTTCTAACCTCACTCTGACAGCCAGCCCAGTCCACGACGACCACCGACGCCCCGAAACCATCACCACACCCAACGATCAAGATGGTAAGTTGCACGCTGCTCCCCATCTGTATTGTCCGACGCGAGGAGGAATCTGTGAACCGACGAGAGATACGCACGCACATGTTGCCGCCGAAGGCACAGCCCCTCGTCAATGGGAGCAAACCGACGAAATTTCGCCATGTGGAAGAGCGGTCACAATACGATGCTACTGGGGCCTTGAGGGAAATATGGATTTGAGACTTCGAGACTGACACATCTGTCTTCAGGTTCGTTACGCTGCTCACGAGATCGCCCCCGCGAAGTCGGCCCGCGCCCGCGGCGCCTACCTCCGTGTGTCCTTCAAGAACACCCGCGAGACCGCCCAGGCCATCAACGGCTGGAAGCTCCAGCGCGCCGTCACCTTCCTCGAGAACGTCACCGAGAAGAAGGAGGCCGTCCCCTTCCGCCGCTACGCCGGCTCCATCGGCCGCACCGCTCAGGGCAAGGCCTTTGGCGTCTCCAAGGCCCGCTGGCCCGTCAAGTCCGCCGAGTTCCTCCTCGGCCTCCTCAAGAACGCCGAGTCCAACGCCGACGCCAAGGGTCTCGACACCGGCAACCTGGTTGTCAAGCACATCCAAGTCAACCAGGCTCCCAAGCAACGGAGACGCACATACCGTGCTCACGGTCGTGTACGTCCAAGGTCCCCATGGAAGAAAAAAATCACTTTAGAGCGTTACTAATAGTTGCAGATCAACCCTTACATGTCCAACCCCTGCCACATCGAGCTCATCCTCACCGAGGGCGAGGAGGTCGTTCAGAAGTCCGACGCCGTTGCCGGCCGTGAGGAGGTCCGCCTGAACTCCCGCCAGCGTGGTGCCCGCGTCCGCCAGGCCATCACTGCCGCATAAACGAACCCTTCTTGTCTAACGGATGGTCTTCGATTTTTGTGCGGTTCATGACGTGAGGGGCGTTGCGAAGTGTGGAAACGCGGAACACCTGGGAGGTCTTGGGTTGATGGATGCGTGGATCAACTAAAAATAAAACTTTGCGGCTTTTCATATGCTGGTGTACAGGAAGGCTATGGTCTCATGGCATTTAGGGATTGGCATGCGAATTCACACGCAACGGTCTGCATGGGCCACCAATAAACAAACATGCAAAAATGATTCCCCTAGGCGGCCCTAGCTACATCATGATTGGCGTCAATGGATACGAGGAAAATGCTTTCAATTCTGGCCAACTTTTAGGGAAAACCCAAGTCATCCGTACCAAGTGACGAGATAATGCCCCCTGCCTGCCTGTCTGATCCAGTATCGGTCCAGTAGTATACATCCCACAACCTAAAAACGCCAATGCCTCGCCATATCCCTATTCGCAAGGATCCTTCCATGGTATCGTAGCTCAAACGCCGAGGGGTAGGCAAAATACCAAGACCCATCCAAATGCAAACCCAAGCATCATTATACAATATTCATCATACAGCCGCGCGTCGACGAGACATAGACTCATCCCTGCTGTGCCGTCTTGGTGATTGCTCCACTGAAGCGTCCCCGGCCGGGATGCATGATGCCGTCCGTCTTTGCGGCATCAGTGACCGCTTCGTCGTACACGTTGGTCCACTCCGTATCCACGCCAAATGCAGTGGTCAGGTTGAAGTGCTCCTGGCTTGTCATGTGGTTGGTGATCTTGGCTGCCAATCTATCGGTGCACACCTGCATGAAAGGCGCCAGCTCTCGGCGCCGCGCCATAACGTCCTGTGGCGCCTGTCTCGGAGAGTGAGCCCCCAGGATACTGGTGTTGTCGATAGAAGACACATCCACAAGCACGTAGCCGCACGACTTGAACGATAGGTGCTCAATCACGAAGGAAGCCTTCTCACTGATGAGAGCATGCGGACGGGGAATGAACGAGAAACCCTCGTCTCGCTGCACGAAGTCACCCACCCAATCGTCTCCGTCTAGTTCATCTCCTTGACTTGCAAGCAACTCCTGGATTGAAGGCGCTGGCGAAAGGCGTTCAAGGATGCCGGCCCATGACAATAGCTTCGGTTGCCTAAGCCGCATCCTGCTCCAGTTAGGCGTCGGGTCCGGCGGTGGAGGTGGAACTTGGTTCGCCGGCGGTAACGGAGGAGGAGCCTGGATCAGTCCAGCACCTACGATGCCCGTGGGAGCTTGAACCGGCGGTAGCACCACCGCACCCGCTTGGCCGAAACCCAAAGCCGGGGGCAGGTTGTCTTGCGGTTGAAGAGGGGCAGGTGGCAATGGCGGCGGCTGCTGTTGAGCTGCCTGTTGCGCAACTTGCGCCTGGCCTTGGGCCTGCGCTTGGCCCGGAGCCTGCACCGGTACTTGAATGGGTGCCCCAACAATATGGACATGCGGGTGGAACATAGCATTCACGTGCCCTTGGTCTCGTGTGGGCGAGCCTGTGAGAGATACGCTTTCCAGCTCGAGCTTTTGCAGAGACTGTTGTGCCATCGTCCGGAGGGCCTGGAGAAAGACGTGGGGAGTAGCATAGCAGTTCTTCAACGACAAATGCTTGACGTGCGGCAGCGAGAGTAAGACGCCTGTCGACTTGGCGGTTTCGGGGTGCACCATCTGCTCCGGCGAGCAAATGGGAACCGGAAGCACATACAGATTGCGCTGAGTCATGCCGGGTGCGAACTCGCCGCCACAGATCCACTCGAAATGAAGGAACTTGATGTTCTCTTGCTTTGCGATGTGGTCCTGTAGCAAGCGGTGAACCTTGGCAACTGAATCCACGGGAGAGACGAAGCTATCCTCGACGCAGCCGGGCGCCACTTTGGCTACCTGACGCCAGTCGGCGACAACGGCTAGAGCAACGTTGGTCAAGTTGGGCAAGCTCCGCCAAAAATCTGGTCTCTGGAACATGAAGATGTGGCTGCTTGGTATCTTGGCAATTGTTAGCGTCGTCAGCGAGTTGAAGCTGTTTAGCCGAGCGTTGTCAATGAGCGCGATCACATATGACTGGATGAGAGCTCGATGAGCCCACTCCAACTCCAATAGCATCTCCTTTTGCCCTCTGGTCAGGTTCCTGGGTTGCAGGGGATGGCCCGCGGCTGAGTCATTGAGCGCCGCTACCACAGTCCGCGCGAAGTTGTCATCGTGGTCCTGGTCGGGGGCAGCATTGACGTGCTGCGGGATGACACGGTTGGTACCCTGGCTTTCAGGATTGGCCAGAGCGGCAGCCGCCGCGGCGGTACGCTCATCAAAGTCAATATTCGTTAACGAGACGTTCTCAGTGCTCAAGAGCATCGCGATGGCATCCTTGGACTGGTCCTGCGTGTATCCGGCGTTCCTCACCATCGACTCGAGGACAGTGTACTTGAAGTCTCGGGGACTTTCAAAAGCGAGCTTACGAGCGTTCATGGCGTCCGAGTCAGCTCGGGCCAGGCGTCGCTGCAGCGTTCGGTATCGCAGGTTGCGGAGGCCAAAGACGGGGTGCGGCAAGGGCGGGCTCTCCAACTGCTGGTCGGGGCCCAAGAGGTAGCCCAATCCTGCGTCGCAACAGAGTCCCAGTTCCTGCACTTGAGCCAGGCATCTAAGAGCCTCCTTCATAGAAGCCGTCTCGTCGGCAGTCTGCTCCAGTCCCTCAAGTTCTGTGTATCGCAGGTACGACTCATGTGGCCATCGGTAGATGCCCCAGTACGAGGTGATGGCCTTCTGGGTCGGTTTAATGGGTGGGTAGGCGAGGCTCTCCTCGTCGATTTCGAGGGATAGAGCGAAGCGCAGGATGTGGTCGCCAAAGGACTGGAATATGCGCATACCACTCGAGAAGAGCGTATCTTTACCCGACTGCGCCTGCACATTGTCGTCATCCTCTAGAGACACCTTCTGCTTCATGGCCTGGTACATCTCCGAGCGGAATGGAACCACGACGTTACGGAAATATTTCGCCGAGACCATTCGATCAAACTCATGATTGACCAGGCGGAGGTTCTTAACGTCCGACCGAGAAAGGTATGTGGTGATCTCATCGAAGATTTCGACCGGGACCTTGGTAGGCGGCCAAGTGGGCTGCATCGGAGCTGAAGCCATGGAGCCCTGACAGCGAAACCTACGTCGCTTGCGTGGCATATCGGGAGAAGCAGAATCCCGTCTAGGCATGACGACCGCTAAGGTATCCCAACATGGATGGAAGGCGTGGGGAAGGCGTTGATCGGGTCGCAGGGCTCGGTGAAGGTTCGGCGGGGTGGTGGTTCGGTGGTTCGGAAGGCCTGCAGTTGGAGGTTTGTCTAGTCGGTCGGACTCGTAACTGATTGGTCGAATGAAATATGCTTGTTTGTTGCGCTGGGATCGAATAAAAGCTGTGAGAAGCTGTGGTTGGCGTGGGAAGAAAAGTTCGTCGTCTCTGTGGGAGCAGTCGGAAGTAAGGATCGTCAATCGTGAAGTCGTTGTAAGCAGATTAGAGTGAGTGGAGTGACAATTGCGACTGCTATAGTAATGCGGCGCTGAAGAACACAAGAGCTTGCAGTGCGATGGAACACTCGCACTCACGTGTGATGCGTATTCCAGTTGACAATATCAGGGAAAGGACGCCGACTCGAGCTTTCGTATGGGTTGAAAGGACCAAAAAAGAGTCGTGAGGCACGTTCGGTATCCGAAGTGCAAGCACACTAATGTTCAAGGTAGGTCCCGTGCAGGAACCACTGTGAAGTGAAGTCACAGTAGGTACAGTTAGTGGCGAGGCCACTTTTTTCCCTCCAAAAGCGTGTTTCTAGACTAAAGAGACCCTCTTATTGGCCAGCCCCGAATCTTCACTCCAGCTTGTCGCTGGGCGCCGATCAGCGAGAGGCTTTAAGCGGGGCGTTTGCAGCGACCAGGGCCAAGCAAGCCAAGGTACCTAGATGGTGGGGCTTCAGGGTCCAGAGCTGTGACTGTGAATTCAATCTGATTCGCTTTCAGCCGGATCAATATCGACCAGAACATCATTAACTTGTTCCCTTTCCATTATTCTCAACCTCTTTTTGTCCTCGTGTACAGCATTCGGCGTAATATTTCTTTGTCTCTCTAAATACCGAGAAGGACGACACCTTACTGCTAGTATTTTCTGTCAACTGTCTTCCCACCTTTTAGTCCACTTTGAAGCAGCTCGATAGACGGCTTATCCTAACTGAATGAAACATACAAGTCGATTCTTCAATTGATAAAAGTGGTGTTGCTGACTTGCCATTCTCGCGTAATTTTTGTAACACGTCGTAGGGCTTCATTGCTCATGGGGACTAGTTCCTCTTTCACGTCTGTTGAATATCGCACCTCAAACAAGTGTACTCAGCAAACCTTTCTGTATTATCAATGTTATCTGACGACCAGTCTACTGGCTGTATAAATCTCCAGTCACGAGCAAGCGTCATTAATAAATGACCACTGTCGTGAGTTACATGATGGTATCGAACCCAACAGAAGGTTACATATATATTGGAACCCCAAACACCCCAACGCCTTGTGAAAAAAAAGGGGGGGGAAATGTTGCTTCCATGACTGGGTCAATCAAGGTGTTGAAGACTTGATGATATCTTGAGCAGCGCCTGAATAAAACCAGTATCTATATTGTAGTCAGTATTGGAGTAATTGCACAGAATCCCGCTTTACTTACTGTGCAGCATAGTGTATCTCAAAAGCCGCAGGCTGGTCCTTGCACGAAGCCGGAGCGCTGCCGCCGACAGTGTGTATCCTGTAGACCTCTTGAACACTCCCTGTGCTAGGCGCGATGGTCTTCAGCTTAAGCCACGCGACAGACGCTTCGCCCTGCTGGCCCGTCTGCGCCGTGAGAGGTGCCGGCATGGACGCGTTCTTGGCGCAGTACGAATCACCTATAGGCGAGCCATCCGTCTCGAGCATGAAGAGTGGCACGCCAGCACTCGTGAATTGGTGGTGGCCCGAGATGGCGAGGTTGCTTGGGCCGAGGCGGCGGCTCGTCTCTTGTTCCGTGAGGTTGAAGTCCATGGCGACAACGGGCAGCTTGTCGAGTAGGTCCGGGTACAGGGAGCCGACGCAGCTGGCGTTGAAGAGCGTCGCGATAGCGCCGGTGGCAACAGGAACCGCTGTCACGTTGCTGGTGTCGCAGGTGTAGTTTTGGGTACCACGGCCGATAGCAATGTGCGTCAAGAAGAGGCCCTTTCTGGGTTCCCCGAGGGTCTCGATGGCGGCTGAAGTTATGTCAGTATAGGCTAGTCTCCTGAGGTGGTTAAGTCGCTCACATTCAGGCATATTGGCCGCGGAAATGTCGCAGACTGGGGCGGTAGACAGGTACCGGGTGGCCTGGACTTTGGTTGCGAGCATGTTGAAATACTCGGAGATGTGCTCGATAGAGCCCGGTAGCGCGGCCTGAAGATTGAGTGTGGGGTATGTCGGCGCAGCAAGAGCAATGGATGCCAGAGCCGGCACCAATAATGTTGGGCAATGCATGTCGGTTACTTTTGGATGGATAGCTTGTGAGGTAAAGTATAGGGCCCGGAGGGATGTTGGTTGTTGGTGACTATGATCGTTCTGACGATGGAGACAACGACTCAAAATCCAAGCAAGAAACCAGACGGAACCAAGGAAACCGAACGTCAAGAAAATAACGAGAAAACGGAAGAAGGAAAAGAAAGAAACAAGACTCGTCTCTTGGATATATGAGATGAACCGTGGAGATGGTAAGCCGCCACAGGTTCGTTGTGTAAGCGGAAGCCGTTTCTAATATACCACAACATCATCAACCGCTTCCCTCGGCGGCAACAACTACCACTGGCCGCTACATGCCTGTATGTAGTAGGGTGTAACCTGCCCAGACTGGTAAGGTACGGTAGTTAAAAACAGATGGCGGGGGAGAGAGCGACGGCCAGGGATTTGCCGCTGTGTGTGCGAAGCCACGCGTGGGTATTCGCAGCGCTGAGAAAACCAAGACTGGCAGCCGCCATGCCCATGTAACCGTACGACGGGCGGTGGAGGAGGGAAGACGGGTGTGAGGGGCAAGTCGGCGAACGAGAGCGAATGAATGGATCGGCGGGATGCAAGTAATACCAGGATGTGTGGGATGCCAGGCGATCTTTGCCAGGGTAGAGGCAGATGCAAGCGCTCGGCCCGCTTCGACGGCCTCGTTGTGTGGTGACAGGTAGCGATGCGCTCCATGTCTGCTGCTGCAAGAGTCGGCCAGGGAATGTATTTGCAAGTATTTCGGCCTGTGTTGGACTTGCGAGGTTCCGTCTAGTGGAGGTCGAACATCGTGAATAGCCAGCCACACGGGCACATGCTTTTGGTTGATCACCTAGCTGGCGAGGACTTCCGCTATTCAATGGCGAGAGTCTACTCGTCTTGCTTCCCATGTCCGTTAGCAATACAGAGGTATTGCAACGACACAGACGGTCTTGACCCAGGGAATGCCCCCTCCGAAATCCAAACGACAACAAGCGGCTAAGAACCAGGAATAGCAACACAAATCGCGTCAATACTCCATCATCATAGGCTAGCTGAGATTACCAGGGACGGTACGACCTTGTACCCGTTTTCTGCCCGGCGACGCGCCCATGTTGCATGTACCCGCTGTTGTACGTTGCTTTTAACGCGCTGGGCCACGGCCACGATGCCATATCATTGGTCGCCGCGATAGGCTCCATTTGGGCCGCCTTGACGGGTCAGCGCCAACGGCTTAGGTCGAATCGCCTGGCAGCTAGGAATCTCGGAGGAGGAACAAGAATAGCATCTTTGGCGGGGAGCCACGCGCGAAACTGGGCGGGCACCATTTCGCCCAGCGGACCTCGGATCTGGGAAGGCGTTCCCGCCCTTCCCCGGTAGCTGATATTCAATGTGACCTGGTATCTGTATTTTGACGAGAGCCCTCACTAATCCCACAATTCATAGCATGTATCCTGACGCCCAATCGTACAGTTGCCCAGAAAACAAGTTGTGAATACAAGTTGCGCCCGTGGAACCGTTCGTCGCCGGTCCAGTCGATACCTCATTCGCTTCCTTCTTTATCGCCGGCCAAGATCATGTCGCGAACTAGTGCCCGCTGAACCCTTCTTCATGCCAGTCGCCGTGGCTATCGCCGGCCCCTCCGTTGAGACCCCCGGCGCCCGCGCCCGCCGCGGCGGCTGCTGCTGCCGACTTGCCAAGGTTGCTGGCGTGCTTCTCCACGTCCACTGCGCCAAGCCAGTATAGGGAGCAGAAGACGAGCAAATGTAACGCAACACAGTACGCCGCGAAGAGGTTTCTGCTCGTGCGAGAGGCAAGCACCATTCGCGTTACCGAGTACACCACCCGCTCTGGGAAGCTCATTCGCTTGTAGGCCCTGGCAGATTCCCGCCCGCGGAAGGCGGCAAACGGCGAGATGTTCGACTCGTACGCCTTTCGGTATCTGTCCATGGTGATGCCCGGATTTCCGCTGCCTCCAATCGAAACCGTTGACGGGTTGGGGTTAGATGAGTATGCCGCTGATGACGACGTAGCTGAGGGGCCCGCCCGATTGTACGTCGAGACGTACCTCGTCTTCTCGTACAAGTTGAGGTTGTCCTTCTGCAGAGCCGACACCTCTTGTCTCAGCTGCGACACAGTGCGGTGGGTGTTGGATAGCTCGGTCTCTAACTCGGCGATCCTCTTCTTGAACCTGTCGCGCTGTGCCGTGATCATTGGCAGGATACCTGAGCCGCCCCCCATCGGCTCACCACCCGACGTACGGGGGTCGATGCCACTGATGATGGATGATGTCGGCGACACCCTCCCTCCTCTTCGTCCTGGCGCGACCGATGGCGCGTACCGGTTGAAGGTCCCCGCTACGGACGCCCCCGAGGGGAAAGCATTGGAAGACTCCGATTGGAGCGTCGCGAGATCATTCTCAAGACGCTCGTTCAGTTGCTGCGACTTCTCGAGCTCCATGTTTGTCCTTGACAACTCCTCCTGGAGATCGGACAGCTTGGTCTGGAGGTCCTGGTGAGACACGCGCAGGATGGTGAGCTCGTCGCCGAGCTTCTTGTTGCGTGCCAGTAGCAGCTTCTCCAGCGTGTCACCTTGGCCCTTAGCCTCTGCCGCGTTTTCGGTAGCCTCCTTCACGTCGTCATCGTCGTCGCCTGTTGAGAACTCGATGCTTTTGAGCACCTCGAGCTCCTGCTTCACGTCTTCGTAGTCACTCCATTTCTGCACCTTGGCCTTGAGGCTGTCCCTTTCGTCTTTGAGAAGGCTGACTTCTCTCTCTAGGCCGCGGAGACGTGAGTCTAAATCACGCTTGGTGCCCTCCTTTTCGACCCTGGCAGCGTCAAGTTTCCGGATGAGTGATGAGTTTTCTGATCGCATACGCATGTAACCAGGGTCGTCCTCCAGCGACATTGGCGCCTGAGAGGTAACGGAAGATTTTGCCTGTGCCAGCTCCAGTCTTAACTGCTCGTTTCGTGCCTCAACCTCGGCCAGTCGTGCACTTGTCCGATCGAGGTCAGAATGAAGCATCTCAATTTCGGCGCTAGTGACGTGGCCGGTTTGACCCTCGGCGTCCCCATCATCTGTCTTGCCCAGGCGCTGGTTGACCTCGTAGCTCGCCTTGATCTCGGTGAGCAGGCGCTCCTGGTTTTCCACCTTTTCTTCCAATGTCCTCTCTTTCGCAGCCCAGTTATCCTTCTTTTCGTCGAGAACGGCGACCCAAGAAGCTTCTACTTCCTTGACCCTGCTCTCCAGGTTGCTTTCGAGCTCCTTCTTGGCGGCGGACTCTTTCTGCAGCTTCGACTCGGTGTCCTCCAGCTGCGTCGTTAGCTTGGCGACAGACTGTTGCAGGTGCTGGTTCTCCTCGGTCAACTTCGGAAGGGTGTCCTCGGATACGAGCATCGAGTCAACAGACGCCTCGAGCAGTGGATATGGATCGGGCGCATCGGAGAGGGACGTGTATGCTTGGAGGAATGCCGAGTTGATAGACTTTGAGTGATTCGTGAGGAGGTCGATGAAGGTTTGGTAGGCTGGTGGGTTAGCGATGGAGGTCTTGGCCATGTGCGAACAACGTACCCTTCAACAAGCCCTTGATTTCAGCCAGCTTTGTAGAGTCGTCAAGCTTTCGGAAGTCCTTCGTCTTCTGCGCCAATTCCTTCCGTTGGACGGTCGAGTCCCTTTGATAGGTAACAATTTCGGACGCTGTGTTGTCGAGGTTCGAGATGAGGTTCGTGTAGTCAATGGCTAACCCAGTTAGACTCCACAGTCAACAAGCACTTTCGAGGCTTCTGCTCACTTCTCCAGGCCGAGATGGCATGCTGGAACTTGTTGCCGCCCTCAGGAAGATTTGGAGCGTCCGAGGACGACTTTGCCTGTTGGGCGTTGCCCTTGGCAGCTAGGACGGCTTCGACGTCTGCCATGTTGACTCGGTATTCTCGGTCGCAACTTTGGGAATCACTTCATCACTGGGTGTATGTAAGAGACTGAAGACGAGGAGGACAGGCGGCAGAGGTGCAGAGTCGTTTCAATATGGCAGAGTCGGTATGTGCAGCTCGCGTCGTAAGGTACAGGTCAAAAGGTGTTTCGGCTGAGCTCGCTGGTTCGGGGAACGTGTTCCCTTTCCGGGCAGCAATCTGATTGGCTGCGGACGGCCATGTCAGGGTGCACAGGCAGCAATAGCTGATCGTCTTCATCCCTGTGGAGCCGACCTAGGCACATGCCTGCGCCGGTAGGACGGCAACGCGGCGCATGAGCCCACTGTTGTCTTGCTGACAGGCGCTAGAAGCGTGCCTACGTAGGTTCCTACGTAAGGCCGCTGCGGGAAGGTGAGGGAAGCACTTTAGAGCCTGGTTCCATGTAATCCGCCAACCGCCAATCCAGCTTTGGAGCTTCCCAGCCGCATTGTATTTACGGATACTCCCACCTCACATCGCAATCTAGCTCCGCGCACACAGGACGACGCCGCTATACATCCTACAATGGCATTACAGCACTCATGATACCACGATTGACTCAATATGGCATCCGAGGATCCAGACGATCAGACCTCGTCTGCGTCTGGAAGCACCAATGTGATGGCCCGCAATGACGGGCCCTTTGTCTTGCGCACGTTGTTGGACGAGGTGCCCTTGTCGGCGGATGGTGCTGCAGAGGGAATAAAGATCAACTGTGTCGACTATTTGGGTGAACATAAGATTATCCCTCTGTCCAGTCAATTGCAGTGCTGACCGTCTCGTGACTAGATCACAACCTTTACGTCGGCACGAGCGCATCCGAACTGCTTCACTTTGTCCAGATCCCTCCCGACCCAAACGACCCGGCTGGACGACCGTCCTTCATACTTGCCTCCCGACTGCGACCAGCATTTGCTGAAACTAGCAACTCCCGCCCCGGCATCCAGCAGATCCTCCTCCTTCCCAAGGTTGGGAAGGCCTGTGTCCTCTGCAACTGGACCGTCACATTTTACTCTCTCCCCGAATTCAGCCCGGTATTCGGGACTACGCAAGTCAAGAACTGCAATTGGGTCGGTGGTGTTGACCTAAACGACCCTCAAGATGATGCGGGCGACCCCTCCGCGGGGGTCTTCATCTGCTTGTCCTTAATGCGAAGGATTCAGGTTGTGAGGATAGGGGAGGTTGCACGAGCAGTCAAGGTACGCAGTGTTTCTGGTCTGACAGATATCAGAAACTAACGGCAGGCTAGAATATCGATGTACCCGGGACCACAATATCAGTCCGCCGGGACTCCATCGCATGTGTGGCAGACGCCAGGAGCTACTCTTTGCTCGACGTTGACAGACAGCTGCGGATTCCTTTGATGACCATTTCCTCACTGGATGATTCACAACCAGCTGGAGAAATTGGCCAGGCTCAGGATATTGCCGGAAGCGCCGACGGTGGGATCTTGAGGAGCGCCTCCGCAGCGCAGAACCGGCCGCTCCTGTCTGCCGGTGACCACCATGGGCATGCTAGAAGTACGAGCCTCGGGGGCTTGCTCACCGGTGGACGGAGAGACCTCAGCCCTCGGCAGCAGACGACCGCATGGCCCAAGGATCGTCACCGCCAACGCCCTCTGCCAGTCCTAGGCCTTCGGGCGAAGGACCTCGGCCTCCGCTGCCGACAGACAAGCCTCTACCCGCTGCGCCAGGAAGTGCGCGGGCAGAGACCTCGCCAACGAAGCCGACCCCCGTCTTCCTGAAACCGCACATTGTCTCGCCGACTGCTGAAGAGTTTTTGCTTGTCACTGGCACGGGTCCATTGGATCCCGGTATCGGAATGTTTGTGAATCTCGACGGTGATCCTACGAGGCCCACAATCGAGTTCGATAGGTACCCCCGAGAAGTCGTGGTCGATGGTGGATCATCCGACCTTTCACCGTCGAAGATGTCGCTAGAGGTAGACGAGGAGGGGTACGTAATTGCGTCCATGACGAAAGACTCTGATGCAGGATTGCGACACGGCCTAGAAATACAGAGATGGGACGCGGACGGAGCGGAGCCCGAGACGTCCAAGTGGTGGCTTGAGGCAGATCTATCGGGGGGACACGAAACGACGCCACTAGGCATTCGCTCGCTCATGGGCACCGACGAAACTCATTTTGAAGAGATTATTGACAGACTCTGCCAGAGGAAGTTCTCGCCCTTTTCTGGAGGACTCCCCGAAAACCCCATATTCTCACCGAGGACTGCCGACTCGCGTACAGCGTCGTCCTTGGAGCAGATGACCAAAGAACGAGAGTTGTTTGAGCGCGACGTTGATTCACAGGATGAAGAGGCTCTGCCCGAAGGTTGGGAACAAAGCAGGAACGCCGAGGAGGAGGAATTTGCACGACGGCTTGCGAACGCTAACTCTAGGATAGCAGTGTGGGCGAACGACCACATCTGGTGGGCGATTCGCAACCCCATGCTGCTGCGACTGGAAGCGAGACTGGAAGCGGCGTGCGAGCAAGACGGGACCTTCAACCCTGCGAAACTGGACCGACGCGCAATTTTCACGGTGCTCAATTCATTCAGGGGACAGGATGCCAAGTCCGAACTGGAGTTTGTCACCTTCAGTTACCTGCGGCAGCGTGCTGGGGTCCTGCTCCTTACCAACCTGTTGCATGCGGAAGAGACCCCTTTTACAGATGCAGAGCTAAAGGCGTTGGAAGAGGTCCTTGTAGACAGCAGCCTGGATCCCCGCGTCGTCTTGGCATTACTACCTGGCCTGCGAAACGAGATTGTCGAGAGCCGCAGAGGGATCTGGATATTTGGCGGTGTCAAAAGGACAACGACGAATTACCTGGAGAGCGAACACTTCAAAAAGGCCAGTCACACGATAGGGACCCTCGACAGCAAGGTCGTGCAGTTTTTGCGACGGTTTCTGGCAGCATGGAGGAGGAAGAAGGGATTCGGCAGTGTGGCGGACGAAAGCGAGGTGTTCCGGACTGTCGATGCCGCATTGTTACTGGTCCTCCTCGAGCTCGACCAGAGTTCACCCATGGGACTGGCCAAGAAGAGCTCTTCAGTCAGGTCGGAGCTTTACGACGTCGTCGACAAGGGGGTTGACTGCTTCGAACGGGCCGCGTCCCTTTTGGAGTCGTACCACCGTCTCTTTGTGCTCAGCCGACTGTACCAGAGTCGCAAAATGGCGGGCGACGTTCTCGCGACCTGGCGTCGCATCATCGAGGGCGAGCCGGATCACGGCGGCGAGCTGCAAGATGGCGAGCAACGGGTTCGGGAGTACCTGACGAAAATCAGCAGCCAGGCCCTCGTGCGGGAGTACGGTGTTTGGCTTGCGAGCCGTAACCCAAAGCTGGGCGTGCAAATCTTCGCGGAAGACAAGGGTAAGGCACCCGGGTTTGACCCGGCAGAGGTCGTTGAAATCCTACGCGAAGAGGCACCCGATGCTGTCAAGTACTATCTCGAACACCTGGTCTTCGGCAAGGGCCATACAGGCTACGTCAATGATCTCATTACATACTATTTGGACATTGTCATCAGCGATCTCGAGTCCTCCCAGGAGAGCCGAGACGCGTTTGCCGGCACATATACATCCTACAGAGCATTGCAGGCCCCCAAACCAACATACAGACAGTTTCTCACGGACAACGCCCCGAAGACGATGAGGTATGGCAGAGTCGCCTACGTCTGCTACAGCTACTTGGAGGTGGCCACCAATACGACGCCGCGGCAATCAGGGAGCGCATCGCAACACTGCCGGATGAGCTCCTCGTGCCCGAGACCATCATTCTCGATGGCCGAGAGCGGCGTCATGAGGACGCCGTCCGGCTCCTCGTTCACAAGCTGGGCGATTACGACACGGCTGTCTCGTATTGTCTGCGCGGCGGCTCCAGCATCTACACACGTCCCGACGGCAGACGGGAGAGCACGCCGACGCACGACATGCAAGCACGGTTGTTCCGGGCAGTGCTTGGCGAGTTCCTCGCCATTGAAGATGTCAGCGATCAAATCGAGCAGACGGGCGCCCTGCTCGAGCGCTTTGGTGGTTGGTTCGACGTAGAGGACGTTCTCGCCCTTGTACCCGACGAGTGGTCCGTCGACGTCGTGGCCGGGTTTCTCATGACGGCGCTGCGGCGCATCACGCAGGAGCGGCACGAGACAACGGTCACCAAGGCACTCAGCTCGGCGGAGAACCTGCGGGTGAACTATGACCTGATCGCCAAGGTGGACGAAAAGGGCCCGTCGATCGAAGCCCCTAATTAGCAGGCCCTGCCTGGGCCAGGGAACCATGTTGATTGTAGATAGTCCGAAGCCGACATGATGGTACCGAGGACAGTACGATAATGATGATGTCTCGAGGTAAAGTTTGTTATTGCATCCGTCGGTGAGCATGCGCGCAGGGGATTCACCTAGTACGCACGGTAGGCGACGAGAACCGTCCGCCCAAAGACTCCGGATACGACACGCTCGGGTGGGGCCGGACTGGCGGGATTTGCGTCTTGCCCGGGGTAGCTGGCGAAGGCGACGCCGTGGTGCGACAGTCGAAATGCACCGGGTTTCCGTGTCGTTGACGATGGGTGCGTGTTGCAGTACCAGTATAAAAGGCCTCCAGTCTCCGGCGCGAGGAGCTTGTATAATGGCTTCGCCAACCTCGTTTCCTTTCCATGCCTGTGCTCCCAAGCCAAAAAGTAGAGCAAGTAGCCAATGTCACAAACCAGCCAACATGCCCCGCGCCATATATGCTCGTGATGCACCTCCGCCCCCGAGCAGGCCGTTGCCGCCTGTGCCCAAGAAGCCTGGACGTTGCGGGAGACGTGCCGTGCAAACGACTTGGGGGACGATTATAGACGATGACACTCTGAACAAAGGGGAAGCGGCGGCACAACAGATAGGTCTTCACTGCCCCCCTTTCACTGCGGTGGCGAATCACATGCTCATACGCCTCAACCTGTCCAGGCGTTGGCTTTTGATTTGGTTCTCTCGTCGAGAATGGCAGCAAACGCGGCGACGACTAGCAACTCCCGCTCGTCCCTTTTGTTTATACCAAGGACGAGCCCGGAGAATGGGGAGGACGGGAGGACGGGAAGGGGGATCACGACGCGAGCCCTCCCCAGGGCTGATGCTCTCACGTCCGTGTAGCCGATGGCTGAACAAGATGGCGATACGTGTCTCACAGGCTGGCGGGCGAGAGAATGTGGAGCGGACCTCGAAATCGAGCCGCGGTGCCGGGACTGCACGCACCCGAGGGGCTCGAGGAAGGAATGCGTTGAGCCGGCCACACTCGCTGACTGCTCCGGCAAATTCGGGATGGAATCGCTGGCGATGGGGAGAGATTGGTATTTTCCAAGAAGAAGTGAACAAAAACAACGCGGGAGAGAGTGACGGGAGGGAGGGGTGGGTTTTGAAAGCGGACCATTCCACTGGGCGGGCAGAGTATCAGAAGCATGCCGGTTTCTCTCATTTGACCATTGGAGCTCCCCTCCGTGACTGATTACGATCTAAACGCCCGCTGAGGCATCAAGCTTCGCCCTTTCGATTTCCCTACGAATCCTGCTCCTCCTCCTCGACGACCGACGGCTCGGATGACGGCCGCGGCACGCGGGAAACTCAAATACTTTTCAAGCCCGTCTCAAGCTAGGCTTGCGATGGACACACGCGATGGTCGAGGTTGAGCCATGTTTGAGTTACACGGGGCCTAGGCCAAGCCACATAGCCGCGGTGAGCCAATCGGGAGGCGTGGCCGGGCTGAGGGCAGCTGAATGGGGGAGAAGCTCAGGATCCAGCTCAGCCGCACCGGGGCACAGCGGTACGCGGGCGCGCGTCTGGAGAAAGCTGGTTTGCCGTGCGGGCGCCAAACCTCCGCTTTTTTTTTTTTTTGCTTGAAGAGCAAAAGTTCCCCCGGATAATCGACCGCGAGGGCGAGCTGAAAAGTGCGTGCTTGACGTCGGGCGGTGTCTTGGAACATGGCGGCCAGAACGAGTGACGCAACACACACACACACACACACACACGCACGCACGCACACCAGCGTGCGTGCCCGGCGTTTATAAGTAAGGCACATCCCCGTCGTCTCCCACTCACGCACCGCCGCCGCCGCCGGCCTTGCGCTTCAGCACGGCGCAGACCAGCCACCTCTTCCGGATCGTCACGTCCTCGAAGCCGCGGTCCCACGCCCACTCTCTCTCCTGGCCGTCGCAGTCCCGCTCCCAAATCGCCTCGATCTCGAGCCCGGCCTCGGCCAGCGCCGCCTCGCCGAAGAAGTCGCGCATCTTGGCGCGGCCCGTGTGGAACCCGGCGACGACCCAGCACCTCGCGTCGCCGTCCTGGCGGAGGAACCAGTCGATCGACTTGTGCAGGTTCGCGTGCTGCCATGGCATCCACAGGCAGTCCGCGACAAAGACACGGTCAAAGGCGTGCTTGTTGGAGACGGAGAAGGAGTCCTCGAGCTCGCCCCACGAGTGGCCCTCGACCAGCACCTCGCGGGCCGTTATGGTGTTCTTGGGGGAGACGGCGGGGTCGATGTTGCGTGCGGCGTTGGCGCGGAGAGTCTTGAGCACGGCCGGTGCCGGGTAGTCCGTCACGGCGACGCGGTCGGCGCCGAGGAGGGCGGACATGATGCTGGGCAGGGCCGTGCCGGCGCCCAGCTCCAGCGTGGTCTTGCCGCGGACGTCGAAGTGGCTTATGGGCGGGCCCAGGCGGGATGTGACGGCGTCGTCGAGCTCCAACGTGGCGGCCTCGACGAACTCGCCGAGCTGCAGGCTCGCGTTCCAGAGGTAGTGGCTGAAGAGCTTGCGGTCGTCGTCGGCGCTGGGCTCGGCGAGTTCGAAGAGCAGGGGCTTGCGGAGGTGCGGGGAGGCGTACTGGATGCCGTGGTCGGCGTCGCCGTGCTGGTTCGTCACGTCGTCGGGGAAGATTACGCCGAGGGAGGTCATGAGAAAGTCCTCGGGGACTCGGCGGGCGGGCCGACAAGCGAGATGCGGGACGTGAGCGCCATCGTGATGTGGACTTGGGGAGCTACGGAGGGAACGGAGTGTAAAGAGCGCCGGGCGTGGGAAGGACGGGATCCCGATCGGGGGAGGGGTGGAACGACACGGGAAGGCAAACAAGCCGCAGGACCGAACCGAAACGAGCGAAAGCGATTCCGACAACGACGACGACGACGACGACGAGGGCGATGACGAGAACGAGAACGCGGCACGTACAGGACGAATGCCGAACTTGAAGCAGCGTGGCGTTGAGTGCGTAATCGGGGTCAAAGTTGGGCAAAGGAGCGAAAAATTGTCGCGTTGTGTGCGTGTGCGGAAGGAGGAGGGGTGTGGAGGGGTTCAGCCAGGCCTCGGGATGGCGGGGTTGTTTGCTTGCCCCGCCATCTCAACCATCATCGTGCACACACACACAAGCAAGCGCAAGAAAACTACCACCACCACCAACACCAAGGACACGACCGCCCAAGACAGCATGGCCCCATGCTTCTCGGCACAGAATATAGAACAGAACAGAACAAACCAACAGACGCACGGCGGAAGGCCCCTGCTGTGGCGGTGAGCAGTCAATGCCGACATGGCGGCGGAAAACGCTTAGCCACCCCGTCTGATGTTTCTCGTCTCGATGAGATTTTTTTGAGCCTCAATGCAGCATGAACACCAGTTGGGGGGGGGGGAGGAGGCCTTTTTTGGACCGCAGCACGCCCACGGCGGGAGAAGAAACGCAAGGTAAGCAGCTCGCGGTCGGAAGGGGAGGTTCCCTGAAGAATTGGCATTCTCCTGTTGGGATCCTCCTGCGGCGGCGGATGCTGCCGCCTTCACAGCCACGAATTCCCAGAAAGATGGATGTTTCCGCCTCTGTTTCCCTGGCGGGCCACGCACAATCTACAGGGGACACACCGCCTGGAGAAGGAAGGAAAGAAAGTAAGTCGTCAGCGGGTCCCCCCGTGCCTCGAGGGAGGCGGTGCGAACAGTGGTCCCTCCTTCCATCACCGCATTGATGGGTGCAAGTCCGCCTGCATGCTGCAGCTGGTGCCTGTTCCTGTCGTTCTGTAGCAAACAGTAAGGTCTTTGCTAAGCTTTGGGCTACGGGGGCCCCGGCCGCTGTTGCTCGCCTACTGTCCACTGTAATCCAGTCCCTTCCCCCCCCCCCCACTCCACTTGGCTCCCTCTCCGTCATCACTCTCTGGAAACCACCCACCAAAGAGAAGAGAAGTCGGTCTCACCGGATGGCCCACGTCGTGACCGTGGCTGTGCCTCGCACAGGCTTCCCGCCCATGATCCCACCGCCCTCCACCACCACCACTACCAGAATCCGCAGACGCTGGTTGTGTGCATGCACGCTTATGCGTGGCTATTTTCGACAAGAAAGGATTCGGGCCATCTTCACAGGCCACCCGGTCCAACCCAGATTCCCGAACCACACCCACACCACCCACCACAGGCACGCCCACTCTCGACAAACAAGCTACACCAAGCATAATCTGTTGGATGGAGTCATCCTTCCATTCTTGTCCTCCCCACTTGTCCATCCCCCCCCCCCCCCCCCCCGATTCCTCGTGGCCATATCCCTTTGGAAGCCGGGGGGACCGTAGCAGAGCGGGTTGATTGTTTCAGGTAGTGTGGTTGCCTGGGACTGATGGGGTGCACATCGTAATGTCTCCCGAGATTTACCAATTGCCTCATCCGGACATTGCGATTGCGGCCTCGGCACGCTTCATCCGTCTTCCCTGACTTGGTGCCAAGACTGTTGCTATCAACGTGCCCAGCGCCTGTCTGCACTCGCCATCTCCTCCCATTGATGGATGGGTGGATCATGTCACTTGGCAACAGGTCGCGATATGTTCAAAAGAGTAAATGAGAGAAGCATCTTGTATTGTACCATCAAGCCGTCGGCCATGGTATAGGGTATCAACCAACGCACCTTTATCCCGGTGCAAACACACATGAAGCTGTCCGTCCAATCGTGAACATCGTGCCCAGATTCCTCATCGTAAACCACACACTCCAAATGCAAATCCCACGTCAAATGTCTGCGCCAGCCATGCTTTCGAACAGAGAGGATTTTCCCGGCCCCTTTCGCTTCCGTGAATCAAAAAATGGTGCAAACCACACACAAACATCCACCCACCGCCGCCTGCCATTACTGAGCCGCCTGGCAGCTCTCGAGCATCTCGTGCATCTGCCGAATCTGCTCCTCGGTAGGATCGTCAGAGATCCACGGGCCCTTCTCCTCCTCCGTCGCGCCGAGGAAGCCCTCGGCCCGCTTCAGCGTCTGCACGTCCAAGTCCGTCACGTAGTTGTTGCCGTCGGACAGCTTGATGCGCACCTCGTGGTCCGTCGACAGCATCATGTCGTCCTTGGCCAGTCGCCGGGGGCCCTCGAACACGGCCATGACGCGCTTCTTCATCGTCATCTGGCCCTTGTCGAAGCCCCACGACGACGGGTAATCGCGACGGTTCTTGCGGCCCTTGGCCTTGACAGGCATCGGACCGCCGCCCCGGGAGTGCGTGAGGCCACGGGACTTCTGCACTCCATTGACGGGGTTGCCCTTCCTCTTGGTCGGCGAGTTGATGCGGAGCTTGCTATCCTCTTCGTCGTCGTCATCGACCATGTCCTCGTCGTCCTCCTCCTCCATCGACGGCATCTGCGTCTGCGTGGGGAGGTGGTTCTTCTCAAGGGTCTGGTGCACCTCCGTGTCGTTCTCCACCTCGGCCAGACGCTTCGCGTTGATGGCTTCGGAGGGGTCCTCCTGCTGCACGATGCGCAGCACGCAGTCGTCCAAGTGCTCGTAAAAGTCCTGAGCGTTGGAGAAGGTCTGCGAGCACGTCGAGCACTTGCCGGTGGCATCCGGAGGGTAGCCGGCGAGCTTCTTACCGCTGTTAGCGCCCGCGCTCTTCTTGCGGCTGTTGGGCGGTGTCTGCTCGACACCGTGGACGGCCGTCAGGTGGCGCTTGAAGACATCGGCGCGATTGAACGACTTCTCGGCCGCAGAGCCGGAGCCGGGGCAGAAGCCACAGACCATGGTGCCCTTGTAGTGCGTCAGAGTGTGGCGGTTCTTGTCGTACTTGCGCGCGAAGCCCTTGACGTGGTAGTCGCACGTCACAATGGGGCACTTCTCGGGACGCTCATTCTGGTGAGTGAGCATGTGCGCCTTCAGGTCCTTGAAGGTCTTGCCGCACTCGGGGTGAGGGCATCTCTGCTTCTCCTTACCCTCGTCGCCGCTGTAGTTGTTGCCATCCGAGTACGTCGAGGGGAAGGAGTGCAGGCTGGGGCGGCGAGCATCTGCGGGCGTGGCGTAGGGACTGAACTGCTGTTGCTGCTGGAAGCCGCTGTGGAGGAACGGCGATTGGCTGCCGTTGCGGATCATGGACTGGGACGATGCGGAGAGGGCTGGCGATGTGGGATACTGGTTGGGGTTGTGGAAGGCGTTCATGGCCATGGGCCGGCTAATGTCGGGGTGGATGAGAGAAGGGTCTGCAGTGGCGGGGTGGTCAGCGCGCAGTTCTTGTCGGGGACGATGATGCTCGACAGAGGAAAACCAACAGGAAGAACCAAGAGGAGCGATAAAATGGCCGCTGCTCTGAGAAAAGAAAGTAGAGACACGCGAAGTCTGTGGCGAGACGCTCCAGACAGGCGCCGGAGGCGAAGAGAGAGAAGCAGAACTCGGAGAAACGAAAGACAGGCTGGACTTGCGCGAGGCGGGCGTCACGGGCGACGAGGACAGCCGAGTGTCCAGCACCAGCCCCGGCTCGCGCACAGTAGAAAAGGAGCCAACAGACTGGCGAGAGGAAGGAGAAAAAGAAGCCTCGTGTGAAGAGGCCGCGAAAGCGGTTCTAGAGACGTTTGGCAACTCACCCACGAAACCCGGGGGCTTGGTGTTCGCAAAGTCGAAAGATGCAAAGTCTTCCATACCTGGGCCGGCGTAAGTCGAGTACTCGGTACCCGCGGTGTTGTAGTAGTCGTGGGGCACGATGCCCGGGGTTACGGCGATGCCGGGATGCGCCCAGTCGTGGATGGGCGCCGGCTGGTCGTGGTGAGATTGCGGTGAGCCGATGTTGGAGGAGGCCGCCGAGGGAGCTGAGGTGGTGGACAGGTTGGATGAGGGCAATTGGAACTCGGCGTCCTCGTAGAGACCAGGCGACGGGCGGCTCTGGTACATGAAGTTGTTATCGTAGAGGGAGGGCGCGTCCATGGCCATGGAGGTTGGGTACATGTAAGAAGCGTCCGCAGGGATGCTCATCTCCAGGGGTGCTGAGCTGAAGACTCCCTGTGGTGGCTCGGGGTAGAGGATGTAGTCGTCGTGCTCGGAACCCAGGTGCTTGGGGAGCATGGTATATGATTGATCTATCGAGACCATTTTGTATGCAGTATTTGAGGGTTTGCCGGTGAGGTATGTGGTTGTTGGTCGAATCCGAGGAGGCGGTTGTAAGTGATGTTATATGGTTGGATGCTTCGCCGCTGTCGCGTTGTCCGAGCAAAGCCACGCTCGCTGTACCTTATGCCGTCACTGCTATTATCGCGCGCTCTGTCAGTCGTCTGTACTAATGTATTCGGGGGTCTGTAGACTGCTGCGCTGTGCTGCGCCTGCTTTCTTGTGGGGCTGGTGAGCGCACCTGCAGCAATGTTCATGCCCGCGGCGTTTCCGCGCTCTAAGATGCCGACGTCTTGAGTGATTGGCGAATGCACTAGTAAAGCTTTCGTGTCTAGGTTGTAGCCGTCCAGATGGTCTCCGTGGTTTGCGTATGTATGTCTGTACGTTGGGAGCGGTGCTGAAGAGTATGAACAGCGCGAGGCAGCCGGTCACGGGTCTAACAACACTCTAGGGTCGGGGTTTCAAGACCGGAGACGTGGTGTTTATGTTTCTCAAGAGTCACAGTCTTGTTGAAGCTGGCAACCAGAGGATGGTTTGCGTGTGGGAGGAAGAGGAAGAGGAGGAGGAGAAGGGATAGGCCGAAGCAATGACGGTAGAGTGTGTAGCGTCTTCCTCGAAGCGTATGACAACCTAGTCGTTGTCGTCTTTGGTGTCGTATGAAACTAGAGGTCTGAGACTTGTGATGATTGTAAAGACTGATGGGGGCGGGAAACAATCATGAAGTGCCTTGGGGGCTTCACGACTGATATAGACCCGACCACAAGCCGCGCTGCTGTCGACAGAGAGACACCACGACTTGCAGACGGGGGGGCCACACATGGGTTCGACGGCCATGGCTTGCTTGTTGCTGGCACCTGGGACCCGAGTGGACGCGGATCACTCTCCCCCCTCCCCAGAGGGCAGGGGACCAGCGCCCAGGGACGGAGGGGGTAGTTTCCTGCACTCGAACACCTCGTAGGGCAGAGCAACAAGCAAGCAAAGCAGTACATCGTAGCAGCAGCAGCAGGAGCAGCAGCAACACCGCAGAGACACAGAGAGGCGGTACAACAACAGGCTTGCAGCAGGGGTCAGGGGGTGGAAGAGCGGAAAGGGGGCGTGGTGGAGTAGTAGTAGTGGGTGTGGTGGTGGATGTCGACGTGGGTATGCAGTAGGTGTGGCCATGAGGCGTACAGGTGGGTGTGCATAGCGATGGCTTTTTCCGTGCCTTTGGCTCTTGTTACTCCTCGTCTGCCTCTCTCCCCTCTCCGCTCCATGGAGACCTCATTTAGCGCAAGATACGCACGAAAATGATCTAGCCTTGATTGACCTGGCCGGGGCTTGGCCTCAGGACGCCGGGTACTAGAGCCACGAAACAAGCCTATTCCAGACTCGGCCTTTGGGCCCAGGAAGAGGCTTTTCGAGTGAGAAGGGGGTGGTGGTGGTGGTGTTGGTGGTGGTGGTGCCATGCCTGTTGTCTCTGCCAGCAATGCGGGATACCAAGATCTGTCTCTGTCCTGGTTTCTCATTTCTATCCGTCGTGCTCTCTGGGCCGTCTGCCGCGGTGGTGTGCGACAGAGACAGACATTCATTAGCTCCAGAGGAATAAGAACTCTTCGGTTGCCCAAAAAACTACCGCAGACATACATATGATGGAGAAGGAAGTCATCATCTAGTGTACGAAGAATGATGAAGGGGACAAAAGACACTTGTTGGTGACCGTACTCGATACTTTGGACCGGTCTGACTGGTGGCCTCCCGCTATCAGTCCATACGCCCAATGCCACGCAGCAGAACAGCTGCCAAAGCCCGGGCCCCTGGACGAGTGCTAGGTGATGTCGCCAGTCCCCAGTCCCCAGCAGCTTGGGCCTTTGGTCAACCCGACACAAAGGAGCACGGTACAGGATACTTTCCGTGCGTACACTACACTCACCACAAATGGCTCGTGAGCATGGTTGTATCCAGCCCCTAGTAGCTGGTGCGATGTAGTGTAGTCTAGAACCCCCTGGTGGTACCGTACTTTCAAGTCGGACCTGGTAGACGCAAGAGGCTCGACAGGGACCCCAAGCGAGACAGACAGCGAAGGTACTGTGTCCGTAGGTACGAATCATTTCCCAGTGGTCTTTGCTGGGAAGGGGCTTCAGTTGCAAGTCTCCGTCTGCAGGCGTGGTTCGGCAGCCTGTTGTTGGGCAATGGACGAGAAACCACCAAGCCGTTCCTCCGCCAGTCAGAGGAGGCGTTGGGACGTCGCTCTCCGCCGCGGGATACCGAATCAAATCTGCTTTCTCGGGTCTCGGTGTGATTGGGTCTTCCTCCAGGCGAGCCCGAGTCTATTGAGCCGGCCTTCGTGGCAGGTACAATGTTGCCGAAACCAGTCTGCAAAACATCGTAGGGCTAAAGTATCCGTTTTCGCCTGGTCCTGGCCATGCGTACCATGCCCCCGTGGCTCGTCTTCACCAAACGAAGTCTTATTGGATCGACCAGCGACATGCAGGTGATACTGATTGACCGGTCTGCTCATGTCCAAGGTCTGTCTCTTGGTCCATGCAAACTTTCTTTTTTCCTGTACTCCTCGCATTTGATCGCCTCGTAACCTTCAGTTGGAAATTTCAAAGGGACTCGCAAGCGGGATATGCAATGTCCTGCATATGCTGGTGGCGGTAAAGCAATATGAGGTCTTGAAAAGAAAAGAAACGCCCCGGACATTGGGCATGAGGCACGAAACCATAGCCCCCTTTCGACGACAATGGAGCCAAGTATGGATGACATTAAACAACTGGCGTCATTAGCGTCGAGATCTTGTCGGTGTGGGTTAGACGTGCCTGCTTCCAACTGCTCGATGCCCTTGACAACCTCAAATTGGCATGCGCTCTCCCCAATATGGCATCATCATGTGCGAGAAGGGGAATATTGTGGAGGCTCTGGCTGGAGGGCGGTTGTGTAGGCTGCATCAATACAGACAGTGGTGCGTTTTCCTGGTCGGGGATATTTTTATTCACTGCACACTGCTGCGAGGCTTGTGCTGTGCTGAGCAAGCCGGCTCCCTCATCGCAATGCTTGGGATAATTCAGTCCAATCAGCGGGGCCGCTCATCTCTCCACGCTTGCAGCGTGTGGCAGCACTTTGGTGTGCAAGCCAGAGCCCGCCTCCGAGTTGTTGGTGTGCACAGCCCGGCCTTATCCGTCCCCCTAGTTCAGTCAGCGAGCATTAGACTTGTCACATCCTGCAGTCGACGCCCCGAACCACGCCGTAGCAGGCGGTGCCTGGTGTGTGGGTTGCACCGGCGACTGAATACAGCCATATCGACCCATGAGACAGCGCCTATGCCTCCTAGAGAGGTGACGGGATCGTGTACGGGCCACAGAGAGAGAGAGAGAGATATCCTGTACTGGTCGTCTTTGTCGCGACCACTCACGTTGCTGGCTATCCCCATCTTGGCTTGGACTGCGATGCGTGTCAGCATCTTGTTCGCAGTATCGTGTCCCGAAATGGCAGCATGCCAGCTCAATTTCATCAAGCCCGCAAGTCTAATGAGCAGGCAGTTTGCATCGCACATGTCCGACTGGCAGAGACAGGAAGCGGCTCAGAGTTCGCATCGAGAACTGTGTCCGTGACAAGGCGCGGCAAAACATTGTGACTTGGAACCACGGGCGGCCTAGATAGAGTTTCACCAGTCGACCGTGACTGAGTCTGGTGTCTGTGGTGCCATGCCAATCCGGACTGGCGGGTTAGTTGGCTAAACTCAAGGGTTCAGACGTTGGAAAGGCTCCAGAGACAATCGGTCACGGTCATTGCGCGCTAAGGGTACCACGACACGGCGCCGCTCACCGGAGGCGTATACCGTCCAGTCGAAGGCTAGAATTCGCCTTGGCCCGGGCGAGGCTTCATCTTGGTGCAACCGGCCCTTGGGAAATGTATGGCGGCCGGTGGGGACCATGTTTTTGATGGTTAGTGTAAATGCTTCTTCTTCTTTGCCGTCTTCTTCTTCACTCTCATGCCGCCGTCCACCCAGCCGCCATGAGACACCATACTAGTCTCATCCTCAAGAGAAACCTCACGTTGTTGCCCTTCGGCGCCTCATCCCATTGTGGCATGCCGCCAGGCTTCTAGGTAGGCTTTCCATGGCTCGCTGGTTTGGTGCATCCTCGCGACCGTCTGCGCAGTGGGCATGGCACGCCGACATTGTCGACCACAGTGTGCGTTGCATCAGATCGGCAATGGGGGTCGCAAAGCCGATCCGTAGGAGCATCATCGTCCGTCGGTGTGCCGGGCAATGGTCTCTTGCCAGCGCACAGAGTCATGGTGCAAATTAATTCGTCTCAATAGCTTGCTCGAGGTTACGGCCGTTGCTGCAAGGTCTGTTCGATGAAATGAGCAACCTGTCACGGAGCACCAAGACATGACGATGTTGCTTCTTGAGCAGTCCGCCGAGTCGTGGAGAGGGTGACATTGATTGTCGAAGGCATAGTCGCTCCGCTCGCAATATCAGTCGAATCCAGAAGTACACGCATAGTGCCGTTTCGTTTGGCGAGAACTGTTACGCTACTGATCAAAGCATTCCGCATCATGGGTTGCTGGCCGGGGCATTGCACACGGGCACCCTTGGGAATCTCGAGGACACTAGGGTCCGCGCTGCGAGGAAGCGAATAGAGTCGGCATGATCCAACACCGTCCCGTCGAGACATGAAGCCAAGAGAGGGATAGCGGTGGCTCATCTGCCCAAGACCCCATCAACCGCGACAGATGATTGGTGCCTTTACGGAACGCGCTATCCCTGTCTGGGAGATAGTCAAAATCTTTAAAAAGAATTCCAGGAGGCGGTGCAACCCTGACCTGCGTTCACCAGCCCCGATGAACCCCAACCTTGCCAAGATCTGCCATCCAGATGCCACGGGTGCGGACAGTGTTCAGTGACTTGACCTACCACCAATGTTTCATGCTCGCGACACGTAGCGGTACCTGTTGCCCCGTAAGCGTGACTCCATCCCGCCTTTCTGGGAACACGGACGCGCCTTACCGACACGGGCTTCTTGTCTCTTGGGAACCCTGCAGGCATCAAACATGGAAGCATGTCGATAATTGGGACGTAATATTGCATGGCCCAACTTCAGAGGAGGTCTGGCTCGTCCCCGTCATGCCGTGGCGGTAGCGACGTCATGTGCACTCATGCTGCGGGTTTCGATTGATCATTGCAATCGCAGACGACTATTGACTTGTGCAAATTGTTCGCCTCAAGGCATCGTTCTGGCAGCTCAGGCTCGTCCCGGACACCGCAGGTGCACCGATGTGTCAAACAAGATGCGGGTAGGCATGCATCCAATGAAGCCAAAGCAAGCCAACGTGGTGCTCGCCGAAACTGAGGATTCCCGTCGAAGCCCCGTGGCCTGCGTCCGGTCTTCCACTCCGAAAGGCAGTTGTAAGACAGCCTACCGGCCGGGGATTTGCAAAGTCGATGGCGAGTTTCCTGCAAACCACCCAAGCGAGACCTGCCATGTTCGTCCCCATAGCAGTCTTGTTTGCTAGTACGCTTCCATTTGCAAGCGTCGTTAAGTCTTTGGATCCGCATGCCATGATTCACAAAGCTATCCGTAGGTGAGACTTTGACCCAGAGCTCGACCAGCACAGGAAAGCCTCGGGATTGCTAGTTTTAAGCCCGTTGCATGCATCCGTTTGGTGGCTTGCTGGGCCCAGGGTACTCGTGTGGAGCCATAGTACGGGAGCGATCCCACCAGTTGAAGTGTAACCAGCCAGCCGGCGTTGACAAAGAGAGACATGCGGCATACATGCTGCTTTTGTACCATTCGTCACCCGGGCCCGCGTATCGGGAATTCTCACCGCCGACTTGCATGCTGTCAATTACGGCGAGTCTGCATCCAAAGATGGCACTCAGGGCGCTCAGCCCTATCAATTCAACAAAAGTTCCTGCCAACAATGCCTATGCAAGCCTCTTTGGTTGCCCCGATGATCTGTTGCTGGTCACAACGTAGGTACGGGCTCCTTGTTTCTACTCCTTCCATCCGTAGTCAGGGGCTCCGATATGCATGTCAGAGTGTATTGAAAAGTTTGTCGTAAAATATCGCCAAGTAAGATTTGCATTCAAACGCAGGGAGGATGATATGTTCGAGGGGAATGCTCACGGCCGTCGTTCTGGGCATCTGACTGGCCCAGCCGGCACCACATATCCCGCGGGCAATCTTAGCGTCCGTCGCACTGGTTTGATGTTGGCTGATTGCGGCCTCCTCCCATCCGCTGCTGAAGCGTGCCATTGGCCGCGGCGAGGAGGCCAATCTGTACACAAAAGGGGCATGTTCTCGACCGGTAGGTCGTCCTGGGAAGATGGACGTGCCCGGTACGCTGCGAGACCACGACTGCCGAAGATGATGAGGGCCGTCTTTTGGTCAAAGCTAGCCGGGTAAGCAAGGACCAAGGGTGAACGGGGACGAATAAGAGGTGCAGTCTCGACTTCCGGGGGAAAAAAGGGCGACATGAAAGCAAGGGCCGGGGTTGTTGGCAAGTGCGGCAAGCAGTGGTATCAATAGGAGAGGATTACTTTGCTGACGCTCCCGCGAAATGGTATGGTGTCGTCTCCTGAGATGTCATGATCCGAGCCGGCTGTGCCGCCCGGCTGATGCATGATGGTCTCTCGAGGGCTGCTGATATCCTACTGAAACCCAGGCTCGTAGGGATCCCATGATGGTGAGGCCCGTGGGAAGCAAGTGGTCGATGCGGCAGCTGCCGGCAGAGGTGCAAGCACCAGTGCATAACGGGGTAGGATGGGACGGAGTGATGGGACGATCTTGATAACATGGAATGAAATGCACATACGTACGTCTTGGCAACTTGAAGCAAGCAAAGCAGTCCGTGGGGTGGACAGCACGACTTGGGCATGACTGGCGACAGAGGTTAGGCCAGTCTGCAGGGTTGGCGATCCGACGACGACTGTGTCTACCCGTCCCAGGTATCCATATTCAAAGGGCAGCAATGATGTGGAGGGTGGTACGCGAAGATGGTATTAATCCAGGCATGCCTGTGCAGGTTACATGGCGCCGAGCGTCGGTCGCTGCTTGGTTCCTTGCACGCACGGGGCAAGAAAAAGAAAAGAAAGAGAGACACAGAGAGAAAAAGACTCGTTGATGGAGGAAGACTTGCCGTCATTCATCCAGCGGACATCGAAATTCGCCCTGGGCAGCGTCACGGCTCGTCCTTCGTACGTTGCTGACGGATTGGGTCTGTGTGGGTATTTGCAGTGATCCATGGGTACATACAGATGGTGCCCGTTCCATCATCCAGGCCCAACGACGAGTGTTTGTGGATCCGAATCGCCGGGTCAGTTGCCGCCGCCCGAAAAGTCTTACCCGTCCTGGGATGCTTCGTTTTTTCTGGCCCCTCCTGCTGCGCGCACCATGCAAATCCTGTGCGAGGAAGGAGCAACAACCGCACTGTCACGATTGAGAGTAGTGTATGTATGGTGAGGTGTGCTGATGAGCGTAAGCTCGGTGGGGTTCCCTTGCCATCACACACCCTCCTCCAAGCTGGTACCGGTAGGCTCCAAAGTAGCATCAAGGAAGGCGCAGATAGCGTGTGGCTGATGACACTAGTCTGGGTATTGGGACGGACTTGCAAGCATAGGGCTGAGCCTGCCAACGCGGGTTGGTGCATTGGCAGTTACCACAGTCGCTGTCGTAGTTGCAGTTACCTACCGTATTGCAGCAGTCAGTGGTCGCGGTCGCAAGTGGGAAGGGGAAGGAACTGGCCAGAGGGGCCTAGGCAATGGGACGGTAGGTATGCTCCTGCCTGCCTGCTTCCTCTCCCCCCTCGTCGGAGGTACGTACTCGATATCGTCAGTGAGGTAGGTACGTATTTGCTACTTTCTTCAGTCGCTGCCTCTCATTGGCGATCCACCCGCGATCTCCCCTTGCTTCTGACGGCGCGACCTCGCAAAAGTATCTGTTTTGCGAGGTACCGCAGTACTTTGAGCACCCTGGACGGTGCTCGAGGCAGAAGAGAATGGCCACGGTACCCGCTCTCGTCATCGCAGGCTCCTCTTACTGCAGCGAGTGGGATTCTTGCCAGGCCAGCATCCGCTGCGGAACTGGCGATCCTTCATCATCAGGTGCATCATCACCCCCGACGCTGCCGCCCTTGTTTGCTATGATCTGATACGAATCTGGCCAGCCAAAATGCGGAGGGGAGGCACAAGCGGAAGCACAGGGCCGCCGCAGATGGCTGCTGGAGACACCGAATCCATCATCCGAATGCCTGGGACGAGACGGATGAACAGGGTGGGCAGGGACGCACCGAGTGACAACGAGAGGGACGGGCTGCACGGACCACTAACTTCCTATTTCGGCAAGCTGTGCGATGATGGCCCTTGCTCACGACTCCCGACTCCCGACTCCGACTCTCGACATTGCATGCTGGAGCCCTTACCCAGTCCAACACCAAAGACGCCGTACTGATTGCACCCACAGTCTGGCGGGGGGTTGACGGCATGCTGATGCGTCTTCCGCTGTCCGCACTTGGCCGACGCATTGGATACACGGCATACAATCTGGCTGTTCTCGGCGGCTAGGGACGAGACTTTGACGAGACTCGCCAGACTCGCCCGAAAGAAGATCAGGAAGGTCACCGAAAAGACACAGTTTGCTATGCCCAGCTCTTGGCCCCCCCCCCCCCCCCCCCTGCCACTCGACGACACCTACCCGTCTCAACTGGATGTATGGTCGCGAGGACCCGCAACGTCGGCTTAGACCCTGCACATGTCCACGCGGAAGAAGAAACGCTATCCAACCCGATGGCATAGACGCTCCCTTGGCCATTATCTGACACGGGCATCGTCATTACCTATCACCACCACATTCTTCAATCCAACCAAGGGGCCATTGCACAAAAAGCACGGAACTTGCTCAGCAGAGGGAAACAAGACAAGCTGCTGATTGGTTCACCCCTGATGCCTCTCATTGGCTGCTCAAATGGCGATCGATTATTAAGGTTACTGGGATCGGCGTCGCCGAACGGAATAACGGCAGGTGGAATAAGGGGCTTCACCCAGAGAAACACACTTGGCACGTACAGCTGGCCAGTCAGAGTGCACCTCGACTTCCGTTTCCTCACTTTCCCCCATCTAGCGTAGGCCGCGGAACGAGGAGACGGGGTGGATCTGCGTGCCATTCCGTCTCCTACGGATTCGCATTCCTCACCTCGGCCTTGGGTAGACCCCACGATGCGACCGTTGAGGCTTGCTCACTTCTCCAAATGTCGACAACGGCAGGCTGACTCGAAGTGCAACATGCCTCTTATTTTGCCCGAGATTGAGACCCCGAATGCCCCGTGTTCTATGCCAACCTCACCAACATTTCCAATTTGCATCTACCAATTGCATGGTAGCCTACTCGAGCAGTGGTGAGGCATTCCGTTGATGTCATTGTCGTTGCACACATATTTCAGAAGCTTCGCCTTGCTTGCAATCCACGCCTCGGAGCAAGACCCACGGTCAGTCAGTGGCTTGCTTTCCAATGGCGTCGGATTGGTCTGCTCGCATCGATCGAGTGGGGGGACGCTTCGAAAAACTCGATAAATACCGAGCAGGGTTGGACGCACCACTCTGGGCCGTCCCATACGAAGTGCCGTCGTTGTAACTCGCGACTGAGAACGATTGCAGCAGGCATGTCTCGACTCTGGCCACCGCCGTGATCCACGCGCGGATCATGCGGATGTCACGAACGCGAGCGGAGTCGGAACCCGACCCTCAGGACCAGCCTCGATGTCGCAAGGCAGCAGCGTTTTGACCGTGGTTGCTTTTCTGTATCGAATAAACGAGGCCCGGACGGCACGATTGCGGGCTGCCTGCCTGCCCCCTGAAGAGTCCACAGTGGTTGTTGTGCGTCCTTCCCCCGGCTTGTGGATGGCAGGGCCTCGGGCAGCACATCGAGTGGCCGTGGATCCGCTTCTCTGGATTCCGCAGATCTCACATGGCAGGACCCTGCCTTACCAAACCGATGCGAAAAGGCGCTTGTGACGAAACGGGCAATGTTAAACGAGAAACGACCAGGGGCTCCAGGCCCGAAACGGCATGAGGCAGGCTGTCTTAGCAGACGGGGAAGGTTTGGAGAGCAAGCGGACTGGGCGGGGCGGGAGGGACATTGGCGACCCAAAGGCTTGAACCAGAACCACTCCCAACACAGCACAAGCTTGAGCCATTGCGACGTCGGCCAAGTCTAGGCTGGCCTCTAATGGATTAGAGCCTAGGCGGTGCGAGGCTCCGTGGAGGGGTGCTCGACCATTGGTCCAGGGCCAACGGTTTTGCCCGTGCTGCCGCAATGGCTTTCGACGGACCGGCGGCATCTACCCAAGCTGCCAAAAGAGTAGGCTGACATGGTGCGCGCGACAACCGGATTCCTGGGACGGCGGTTTGATTTCGGGGGGTCGAGGATTGTTTGTTGGAGAACGCTCGCCCGTCCTCACAAGAGACGCCGAACTGGCCATCAGCTCACCAGCGGCGTTCTAATGCGAGCCACTCGGGTGCCAGGACTAAAACATGGACTGGGGCGTTCGCCTCAAAGCTTCGCCCATGGCCCCAAGGCCCTGGATGTTTGGGAAGTCCAGGAGTTCCTAAGGGGGGTTTTGTTGCATCTGTCTTGCTGGAGCGGGCCACTCACGCGCCAGGCTGTCGGCAGTTCACGAATACCTACACTTTCCTTGGTCTCTCATGTCTCACGGTCCTTACAGGCCAAGTAACTTGGCATATTTGGGTAAGAGAGGACGAGGCAAGAAAGAAAGACATGCCCTCTCCAAGTCCTCCACTTGCACGCCTAGCGTACTCCTCCACTGGAAGGGGGAAAAAATACATGCCAAGCTCTGAAGAGATGGAAGGAGAAGATACGCTAGACCCGGGGCGTGCACCATTGGAAGAAATGAAGAGGAGAGAGAGAGACAGACGAGCAAGGACGGCGAAGCTCGGCGCCTGATTGGGCGAAGGGCCCATTAAAGGCAGCGAAGAAAAAAATGAAAGAAACGTCCCCACACGCGTCAAATCAAGGTTTCTATCTTTAACCCCAAACGAGATAAACTCCGAACACACGCAGCCAAGCGTGGGAGCGAAAAGCGGGGCGCAAGGCACACAGACACATTCCTCCGTCTCTTTTTTTTTTTTCTTTTTTCTATCCCCCTCTGTGCTAGGTACTAGAGTAGAACCCAGAGAGCATGAAGGAGGGCCAGAGAAAGCCTGGGCCTACTGCAACACTTACATTGGCACTTGGGCACGGTCAATGTGGCATGACATTGGGAGTGGACGGTAGGTAGGGCAAGCCCCCGTTTACCATGTCAACCAAAGCGGTTTGCACCACCCAGTCCAAAGAAGGACAAGCTCAGAGGCATACTTTGCACGCCCGGGTTAGCGTCTCGCGCCAACGCCAGGTCGTTGTGCAGCATCTGGTCCAAGCCCTCCCCACTGACACGTCTAGGCCTGGGGTTATGGTGATGGGATAGGATGGCATTTTTCTTTCTCTCTCGCTCTGTCGTCTGTCGTCGCATGGCGCACCCAAGCTCCAACCCCGTCTCGTCTCGCCCTAAAGTCTCGTCATCCTTGGGGTCACCAGGCTTCTTGCGGCAAAGCTTAACGAAAGTGGGCGGGCCGCGGAAGAAAAACACACGAGATGGGGCGCGCGCTTTCATCTTTCACCTCCATCTCCATCTTTTGCAAACGAGAAACGCAGGGGACGGTGAGCCTGGACCACTGCGCGCCAGCCCTGGCAGATGGGGTCATCCCAGACTGTCGCTGAAGACCGGGCAGCCCTCGAGTGGTAGGTTTCACTGGCGCGTCCCTTTCTCAGCCTACGCTATGGTGCGTGTAATTGTAACCGCTCTCCCACCTCGCCAGCTGTCACGGGACGCTTCACCCCTCACCCCTCCTCCCCTAAACCGTCCCGATACCTACTGGTACCCTTATCGTCGTCCCATCCTATTTCAGGACGAACGGGAGGGTAGGACACGCAAAGGTGACTGCATTCAGACCACTCGGATGGCCGGTAGTATCAGGTAAGGGATGAAAGGAGAGAGGCATGATGTTAACTTTGGGCGCAAGGTCCCCCCGTGTCTGTGAGCCCCGTTCCGTTTGCACTCTCCGATCCATCTGCTCACTTGATAGGTCGGCTGGGGGAAATTTGCCTATTGCCAGTATGCAAGCCTTCCGGAAGGGGTTTGGCGGCCTTGCTTGTGGAGAGCTGAGCTACAGGGCATCATCATACTTCCCCCTTGTCCAGTCCTGTCCAGTCGAATTTGCTCTCTCCATCTCTCTCCCCAAGTCTCCCGCACTCACGGATGAGCGTCCCCCTGTCACTTGTGAGGAATCATGGCTTCCCGTCTTGTAGATTCGATGCAACGTCAAAGGTGAGTGTGAGTGAATATTGATCGACATATGCATAACGTGCGGGTCCTGGTCCTCTCTCGCTGTCTACGAGGGAGGGGCTTCCATGGTATCAAACAAGCACATACTAGTACCCCTTCCATCACGATGGGCGTTGGAGCAGCAGGATGAGAGGCAGGGAAGCCCTTGAACGTGTCAACCGGCCAGTAGTGTAAGACGAACCGTGCAATGTTGATGTGCTTCTCGCTCTCTTGGGTGCTTCCCTGCGGCGTCGATCTTGCCACCTCTCAGGGACGCCGAGCGAGGACTCAGCTGAGGCAGCATGACAGCACGGCAGCTGGACAAAGTCGCTCGTTACATCGCGGCCCTGTAGTCTTTAAGGTCTGAGGCTTGTCTGCCTGGCCGTCGTCGGTCTTTGCCGGGCCGGGGTTACCATGCTTTCGCGACAAGACTCGCCATGTAAGGCAGCGCGTTCGAGCCTCAACGCTTCGACCTGGAGATCGGAGAGGCAGCCATCGGACTGAGGTACAACAGAGAGCGCTGAATTCGAAGGTGACCCCCATACTGTGGAGAGGAGAGGCTCCGTACGAGGGGCCAGTCAAGGCTCACCGAGGAAGCGCCCAGCTTTCACTTGGTCGCCCTCCATCACGCACTATTGTCCGGTTTAGTCGATCGAGCTGGTGTGGCCCACGAGAAGGGGTCTCGCGAAGCAGCAGGCACGCCATCTCTTGCGATCCTGGATGAAACGCCATCGCTGTCCCACACCGTTCGAGGTTTCGCGATAGCAACGCGGGAAAGAAAAAGCCAACCGCTGCGGAATCATGCTCGCTCGGCCGCCCCGGCAGCGGGTGATCAACCCGCGCGGACCCTTTTGTTTCCTCTAGAGAATGCCCCGGTGTGTGCTCTGTGTTGGGGCTGTTTTTTTAGAGTATGCGGCCGTGATCACAAGTTTGTCTAAAGAGGGGTGGGCTTGGTCTTGCAACGGCGACATCTCCTTCTGATCTGTGATGTACTATGAGCCGTGAAAGCGAGAATACACCGGGGGGTCACGCGAGGATCGGCATCGAGCCGGATCGTTTGCCATCAACGCGGCGATGCCTGACATGGCGGCCAGACGATTCTCGTGAGAATCACACCCTCTCCCCCCGACGGACATCGTACACCAGCGCAGCCCATGACGGCCCTAAGAGCCATTAGCCACATCCAACGACGCCCCAGCCACCACCGAATGCTGCAGTGATCTGTCTAGCCGAACGGCGGGGGGACGACACATCGACACTATGCTTTCGAGGCAGCCCTTATCTTTGGTGCGCGGGTAAAGTCGGTTGAGGTCGTTACCCAAGGTATGGCTGCGTTGGCTGCAAGAACTCTTGATTCAACATCCTTCCGCCAGCCATTTAACCCCGAAGGCTGACATATAGCTCACGATATAGGGCTGGGGTTTGGGGGACGGCGTCGGCAGGTTTGGCAGACGAGGCGGTGGCTCACTCGCTTTAGATCCAGGTCGAGTCTTTCAGATGCTTGACAACGACGAACACAAAGGGCTAATCGGATGTTCAAGGCTGAACGAAGTATGATTCTGGCGCGGATTCGCCGGCACGGGGGAAGGCAATAGTCTGTTCGGGACCCTGCAAAGCGACGAGCCATCTTGCGACCCATTGTCATGAGAATCCTAGCCAGAATAGGCGTATCCCAGTTCGGCAGAGCAGGGTCCTTCTGCCACGCGGGAACCACCGCATCGTGGTACGGGGTGGGAGTGCTCTTCACCAGGGACAGGGGGAGGTTGTTTTTGGCGTGCTGGACCCCAAGTGTGTTGTTGCTGCGATGCCCCGAACCACCCGACTAGCTACAGCGAGCCGTCACGAGATGGCTCGTGCAGTGTCACTTCTTTCGCGGGCTCGAACTCGCAGGAAAGGGAAGACACCACCCCGGCTCTTGGCACGACGGTAGAAGGCACTACAGGACAGTTGGGCTCTTGGGCGTGTATGTCGTTGAGGGTTTTGCCTCGCCCCTTGGTCCTTACTCTGCGCCATGGCTTGTGATGGAAGGCGAGTTTCGACAACGTCTTTGAGATGCGGGTTTCGGCGCGCGTCCTTTGTGAGGAAATTCCTCTCCAACGCAATGGTGGGCTGTGGCGTCCCGCGGCCGCCACTCATCTCAGTGGGGGCTACCAACGAAAGAGATATCGAGGGGTATGTCCAGAGATTTGCGACATCTCTCGGTAACAGGCTCAGATTCGGTAGTCTATCGGCGGCAGATACGCCGCAGCTTGCGAAGACGATGCCGTGTTCACTGGAATTCGGCTGGAAACACGTATACGACACCGTCCCAAGTGTGGTAATTCATTCTCTGGCGTTGCCTAAAATTGAAGGAAAAAGAAAAGATGGGAACCGTCCGACGCTGGTACCCCATCTGCCATACCGCACTCCCGGGTCCCAGTGTCCAGACCGGCGGGACCAGACATCCCAGCAGAGGGTGTCGTGGACTTGCACCGGGTTGCTGCAAAGCGAACAGAGGCCACTAGCCTCGCAGTCCAGCGCACCAAGAGCATCCCCTGCACACAATGACCCTAGATCAAGGTCTAGACAGTCAAGGCCCAGACTCTCAAGGAGATGCAAGTTTGACTAGCCCCCGGGGTGGCGTGGGCGTGCAATTGCGCGCGTGAACCAGCGACAGCAGAGACAGGAACTGGTCCAAGTCAGTGCCGATGCTTCTGTTTTTGTTTTTTTTTGCTCGATATCTGTACCTGTGCACAGGCGTCTGGGCGAGAGCTAGTCTGTGGGCGATGGCTCAAACCAAACGGGATATCGTGCTCGGAAGGAATCGGCACCGCACCATGTTGACTGGGCTGGGATAGCTCTTCCCTTGTTAGCAGCATTGCCCCTCGAGAGAGAGATAAAGGGAAATAAAGGCAAACAACAAGAGACAGAAACAAAGTAACAAACGGGTCTCACGGGCCAAAAGCCTCATGGACCCGACACGGCGGGTTTCGACTGGCGCCACGCCCGCCCCTCCGACAACGCGATGGCCTAGTCGAGAAGAGCAAAATGCCATAACAGGCGGATCGAGGTCGCCCCAAAGGGCCTCAGATGCGCCCGGAACCACGTGTGATGTATTGCGCAGGGGTCACCTTTGTGAACAATGAGAAAGGAAAAGCACGAGCAACAATAAAGGCGAAAAGCTTCGACCACGAAACCAGGGTCACTAAATGAGTTGTGTTGGGTTAGTCTCGAGGACAAGAGGCCGAGGGTGGTATTGTTAGGCGAGCCCCGCGATGTCTTCACGCTGGGCGAAGGCGGGGTTGGGCGGCGTGACATGGGAGGTTCCATGAATCCGTTCCGCCGGCAAGTGTCGCTAACCTCGCGAGGCACTGCGGGGACGGCTGCGGAGGCCGAGGAGAGCCGACATTGGGTAGGTCGAGGCTGGAACGGCGTATGCGGTCGTTGGCACAAGAGAAACCCGAAGGGTGACAGTTGACAGGCCCCGCAGATGGATGTCTCGTCGATCATGACGAGACCGGATCAATAGTTTCATTCCTTCAAACGCTCCACTGCCGAGGGGGGGGGGGGAAGCAGGCGGAGGGGCGGGTTAGACAGCCAATGTAACGGATACAAGCAGGACATGGTGACGGTGATCCGGGGGCAACGGCGGCAAACGAGCCTCGCCGGTCGATAAGTCAAGTTTGGAATCGCGATCTTGCCAATGATCGAGTGTCGTATGGCTTGCAGATGCTTAAGTTCTGGGCCTTTCACAACGAACAGGACAAGTTCCAGAGGGACTGATGGATGCTGGTTGTCGATGAGACCTTGGGAGAAGGTTTAGAGAGAGATAGAGAGTGGGGGGCAAAGGAGTGGGAGCGGCAAGGATGGGCTCCCGGGCGAAGAGAATTCCGAAATTACCTGCTGCAAGATGGGAACGACGGTCACCGACCGCTTGTGTACTTCTTCTCCGACAGACGCCCTCCTCTGTCCTTTTCGTACAGCGGGTGTGGTGTGTTGATGGAAAAAAGAAAGGTGAGAATAAAGAGAGCGAGCTACTTGTCAACCTTGTCGATCCTTGATCCTGAGCGGAAAAGGGACTCCCTGGCAGTCGGAGGCAGGAAAGATCAACACGCCGATTCTGTCATTGTTTCTTATTTCCTTGCGCCGGGGCCTAATGAAGATCCTGGGCCCGCGTTTGGCTTTTCGCTATTGCTACACTACACAACATTTCACTCTTGTGGCTACCTTGGCTACTCTCTCCACCCGGGCGGTAGCCAAGCAAAAGACGTGGACAACCAGAAATGCAGGGGTATTTGAAGCGGAGGCATGAGTGATGTACTCTGTACCGTTGCTGTTGCATCGAGAGATCATGTCGTTGTTCTATTCTGGGCGCAACTTTATTACTCGCACTCCTCGGCTTCGAGGTCTGGACACTCTGGTGATGCCTTCAGTTCTTTCTTGGCGCGGATTAGTTGTTGGTGGCTTCCCGCCATCCCGGTCTAGCCACTGCGCTGTACAGAGTGCCCGTACGCTGCAACCTTCCGCATGTACAGATCTCCACGGCGCGAGACCTCATCGTGTGGCTCGGGAACCCAGCGCCAATCTCTGGGAGGTTACTATTCATTGGACCGTGGCAACCCTGTCTTTCCCCGATGTTCGTGTCGGTCGCTTGGGGCAAGAGTTTCGACACCAACTTCTTCCCTCCCCCGGGTTCCGTCCTTCAAGGGTTCTTGCATACACTACGGCCGTATGCCCCCATGCCTGCAGTAAACTCCCCTGCTCCATCAGTCCACGGGCTATCATCACAGGAACACAATATTGTGTGTCGCGACTCGGCGGCTTAGGTGCCAGCGGATGTGGACCAGTAAGCTTCACCCTGTTCGTCCTGCTGGGCAGTCCGCCCTGCGTCCTCGTTTATTGCGGAAATAATTCCTGTGAGGCGGAACCCCTTCGGTTGCAAGTTGAGCCTCATCTCCGGTATCGCGAGATGTTCAAATGACTTGGCAGGGCTTCTCTCGGCCACGCTGCAACAAGTCTACCAGAGTTGAGTCATGGATGTCGATTGCTTGAATCCTATCAAGTCCTGGTTCTACTGTATGCTGCGCCCCTCCAGTCAGCCTGGCTCGTTCTTCCTGCGTCGTGTTTCGCATGTCTTCGAGCAGTGAGAAACTGCCTTGTTGATATGGACTCGAATGATCACAAAGTGGCCACCTCGCTGCGCCAACCCCATCCACCCGGCACATCTTCACCAAGCTGCCTCATGCCCGAAGCCTTGCAAATCTCCATGACAATGTCCCTGACAGCTCGTACCTCCTCGACGGATGCTCCGCCATTAAGTGCGCCTCGGAGGTGCCCCTTGAGTTGGGGGTTCACGTCCTGTGGTATCAGCCCAGCGATGAGGACATACGACGTCTCTACAGGGGACAGAACGTTGGTATTGCTCAGAATGTAGCCATACATCAAACGGGCCGTCAAACCTAGGTCTTCTGTGCCAGATCTGTCCATCCGGCTCATGATGCGTCTTGATATCTTGCCGTATATTTTGTCCCAGAAGTCCTGACCTCGCTGCAGGACCTTGGATGAAGCCGTGCCATGTATGTCCACATATCGTGCAGTCGGTGACGATGTCATGCAGTCGTCTGATCCATGCGGCTCATCCAAGAGATGCTCAGGCGTGACTTTTTTGAGCTCCATTAGTGAGTTGATTGTCTGTCTTGTGTCAGCGGATATTCATCTGTGATGATGTGCGGCCGAAGATTGGGTACCTTGGGCAGTCCTCCGACTGCCGACGCCTTTATAAGTGCCTCCCTTAGCTTTCTCGATATCACAAGTTGTTCATCTGGACCCGGCTTGACATCTTCAGGACCAATCCCATACCTCATCACATGTTGGTAAACCTGCGGTATCTCATCCGGTCGATTCAGTATGGTCAATGTCGTAGCGGCGATGAAGTACCAAGCATGTTTTGGAACATGCGGTCGGCTCCGTATCGACGTAAGAAGCGTCGGAGTGATGATCGGCGTCAGAACTGAAGCCATCTTTACTTTTGATGGGCTACCCTGCGTGACTAAACTAGATTTTACAGAGAGGTGGCCATCTTTGGAAGTCGCCACAAGCGCTGGGGGGAGAACTTTACTCTCCTTCACCTGCCAGAGGATTCAGATAGATCGAGCAAGATAACTTCCACTTGATTGTCCGTGTTCAACAGCAGTCAACGGACGGAAAGCTGTCACTTTACCGTGGGACACTGCCTATGCTGATCGGAAATTCGGCAAAAGTCCGGCCGACGACGAACGATATCCAGAACCGGGGTCCCGGTCGGACCAGGCTAGATCCGAAGTTCCGCCGCTACGAACCATCACGTGCTCCTTATCCAACATTGCCGCGCTGGCTGGTTGGAAACCGTGGCGTCACTGCTCAGGTAATCCACCACAGTTGAGTGGATGCTTGTCATTAACGTGGCATCAACTACAAGCTCCGACGTGCCACGCAAACATCTCGCATCCGGACTTTCTTTGGCCTGCATCAACATCATGGGCACTTGAGGGCCTCCCTCACTCCACATCACCACATTTCGTGCTACTAGCCCATCTGAATTCACGATGAGGCTCGCGTGGTACGCAGGGGTAGGTCTTGTTCTGGGAGCTGTTGAGCAAGCTCCCATTCGCATAGCTCCATCTCCGCCGACCGCGCCGCCTCCGCAACTCGCTGACTCTATATACAGGTTTCCACGGCCCTGGCGGCCTCAGTCGTCGTGTCGGCATTCCACCAACGAGCGAACTTTTATTCGGCCATGGTTTACCTCGCGCAGAGTAACTTCTGCTTACTGGTACGCTACTTGAGCTTTGCTACCGATCCCCCCGGGAGCCAAACTGACTGGGAGTTTAGGTCTTGGTCAACTTCATTTACCTTATCTACGGTACCCTGATTTATGGCCTGCAACGACTTCTGTATGGCCCGCTGCGACAAGTAGAGGTCGAGCAGCTCTCCGAAAAGGCGTGGTTCGCCATTACCGAAACATGCCTCGCGATGACGATATTTCGGGAGGAGATTGGTGCATGGTTCCTCGTCATGTTTACTGCTCTGGTGACAGGCAAGGTCTGGGGCTGGATCGGCGACGGCCGCGTTGAAGTTCTCGAGCAGCAACCTCCCGCGAACCCCGGTCTCTTCCACACCAGACTCAGTCTTTCGCTCCTCTTGAGCCTGATCTACGACACCTGGCTTCTTCGATACACTGTGGCTACGGTCATCCAGCAAGCACGACCCAACATGATGGTTATGTTCCTCTTCGAGTTTGCTGTACTGGCGACGTGCTCCGCGCGGACCGGAATCCGCTACATGGTATCCGTCATGGAGCAGAACATTGTCAAGACACAAACGAGACACCGATTGGAGGAACGACGAAGGCAGGTTCGCGAGGAGCGCGAGGAAATTATCCGGCAGAGGGAGCATGATGGCGGTGCGTCGGGTGAGGATCAGCCTGGCCTGCCCCGTGAGGAGGACATCGACGAGATGGACATTGAGGTTCCAGGATGGGAAGCAAAGGGACAATGGATCTTGATCCTTGACCTCATTGCTGGTAAGTGCTACCTGTCATATCCATGAGCATTCTCTAACAGCTTCTAGATTGCGTCAAGCTAGCCATCTACTTGGTCTTCTTCGGAATCCTACTTACATTCTACGGCTTGCCCATTCACATTATGCGGGACCTCTTTATGACGGCCAGATCTGTTATAAAGAGAGGATCTGCGCTCTGGCGCTACCGCAAGGCTGTGGAGGATATGAACAAGTATCCAGACGCCACACAGGAAGAGCTTGCACGAGAGGACACTTGCATCATTTGCCGAGAGGAGATGCGGCCCTGGGACCCCAACAATGGGGCGGTCGAGCGTGTACGACCCAAGAAGCTGCCCTGTGGACACATCTTACACTTCGGCTGCCTCAAGAGCTGGCTCGAGCGTCAACAAGTCTGCCCTACCTGCCGAAGCCCCGTTGTCGTCAACAACAACAACAACAACGCTGCAGCGCCGCAGAACCGGGAGGCGATGTTCGCCAGGATCGGTCTCGGTGGGTTGGGAGCCGCTCCTCCAGCCCCAGGTGGCCAACAACAGCCGCCCGACAACGCCGGCGGCGTTGTGCCTGTCGCTCAACCGGCTCAACAACCACCTCGCAATGGAGCGGCTCGTGTCTTCCAGTTAGGTCCCATCCGTCTCGGTTTCGCACAGGGAGAGAACATGCAGCAGCTGGCCCAGCAAATGGGCGTCCCTCCAGAGGCAATCCCTACGCCTCTTGCACAGGGAGCCCCTGCCGGCCCCTTCACACCAGCCGCACAAACACCGGGCGGTAACAGCATGTCGGCAATCCGCCAGCAAATACAACAACTCGAGCACATGATCCAGCGCGAGGTCGCATCCCTCCAGAGTATGCATCAGGAGCTACAGACCCTTCAGCTTCTTACTGCAGAGCTTGGCCGCATTCGTCAGTTGCAACAGCAATCGGAACAGGTGCAGAATGGGCCGCTGAATGGTGGACTGGGCCCGAATGTCGTCAACCTAGGACCCAATCAGCAGTTTCCGCTTCCCGCGATGTCCTTGTCACAACTTCCGATCCATCCAGGATTGCGGGTAAATGGCCCCGTTGTGACTAGACACGGAGCTGCGAATCATTCGAACGCAATTCCTGCCGGCAGCTCAGAGCTTCCCGAAGGTGTAGTTATACCTCCGGGATGGTCCCTCTTGCCCCTCCAGCGGATAGAGGGCGCCCCAGGGTCCCAGCCCTTTTCTGAGGCGACACCATCAGGATCGGGCGAGAATACACAGCCGTCAGAGTCGACGGCCTCCGTTCCAACTGCCCCGGCCGCTGGTGCCACTCAGCATCAAGAGTCTAACTCCGTACCCACAATCGACTTCTCAGCCCATGCGACTGAGCCTGAGCAACGTCATAGAACCGCCGTCTCGAGTTCCAACGTCACTACAGATCAGACCGAGTCTCCCCCCGTCCTCGCCCCGAATCCCGTGCTACCCAACTGGGGCGGAGCGAACCAGCTTTTTGGCAACGGACGAGGATTGTCGAGCCTGGGTAACACGGCGCCCTCAGAGACGTCGGTTGATGATGTTTCGAGACAGGAGGAAAGCGCGCCTCGGACTGCAGGGGATAAGTCACCAGCCGCTCCGGCAAGAGACGAGAGCATCGAGGAGGACAGTGCCAGTGGCAGCAGCAACAAGGGCAAGGCCAGGGCTGTCACCGTAGAGGAGGCCGAAGACGATGAGTAAACGAGGACGGAGAGAAGGCATCACGCGGCGTTTATGGCGGTCTTTCTGGCTCTCAAGGTGTAAAACCATACCACTTTTTCTGTAGGATTATTAGCGATTACTTTGGACGTGCCAAACTAAGCACCATCTGGATACTAGTCTTTGCAGTGATGAAGTCGGCCTATCCACAAATCGAACGCTGATGAACTGCTCAACAATATTCTTGTCTCGCCACGCCATGTTGGATAGTAAAATGTGATCATGTGCCGTATATTACTGTTCGCTGCTCCTAATCTTGACATTATCCCTTCTCCCCTCAGCACTTCTCTCATAAACATGACCGCCGATATTATACAGTTGAAGTCCGTTTCCCATCTCCACATGCCACCAGTTCTCATCCCTCGTATGCCTGATTATCGCTGCTGGGTAATTAGATATTAGACAGGAATGCTCACGCTTTATGATCCGTCACGTGTCGAGTACATCGCGCTCCTCCTCCGTGGGCAAAGCCGGCGTCTCCCTCAGCGGGGCCCCTTCGCCCCTCTCCCAGGCGGTGCCCGGACCTTGGTAGGCCGGCGCCGGGATTGCCGTGGTTGTCGACGATGCCTGGTCACCACTCAGACTGCGCAAAGCGCTCGTGGTCGCGCTGCCTTTTACCGGCTGCGGACTGAGCACCACCCCTCCAGATGACTGCGCGACATAAGTAGGCGAACTGACACCCTCCGAACCAAACGGCAGGGAACGTGTTGGGATCTCGCGACTCACACCCTCGGGACTACCTTCACCGCCACCAAGTTTCTTCAGCAAAGCCTCTGACTGCTGCTTAGCCAGTTTTTGGAGCTGTGCCGAAGGGTCCTTGGAACGCCAAAGCACGTTAGTCAATTCGCAAAGACAGTCTGCAGGAGTCCACCGAATTCCATGCACACATACCCAGTCCGACTGCGGCGGCACGCCATGGGCGACCGGCAGCTCCTCCTCGTCATCACCGTCGCCAGGTCCGGGGCCTCCACCCCAGAACTTTGGTCGACGAATAGGTGCGGGAGTGACTGGAAGACTAGGTCGTTCGACAACACTTGGGAAGTCGGTGAGCTTGAGCCCATGCTCCTTTGCCGACGTCTCACCAGAGATGCCCACCGAACCTTGGCTCTTTCCACGACGGTGCTGTTGCAGACCCTCAACGTAGCGCTCGATCTCGGGCACTTCGTCCCAGGCATTTGTACGTGTGAAAGCGGTCCAAGGATCCGATGGGCTTACTTTGATGGTCGGGGTGGCTGGGGTGCTGTGCTCGCTTTTCTGACCAGTCATCGATGATCCTATAAGAGACGGCTCAGCGGGAGCCTGGGATACGGGCGATGCCGCTTGCTCACCAGTCGGTGTGCTCGAAGATTCCTCTGCTTCCGGCTCGGCCAGATCCACGGTGAAAACTCTGGTCGGCTTGGGCTGGTTGACTTCCCAGGGAAAGAGTGGTCGAGGCTTCTGTGTTGGCTTTTGCTTCGGAACCTCGTACCACATGTTTCTTGGGGGACTCGGGTATCGTTCGGGGGGCACAAACGGAGCGGGGTCTTGAGACATCTCGTAGGTCTGCGAGGGGAAGTTGAGCGCCTCGGGTCTCGAATCTGCTGGTGGTGGTTGTCTGGGCCCAGTTAGCATCAAGTCCACAAGGCAGAAGCAGCATCACACAAACCTCTGAGCATCCCATGCTGGTGGAGGAGGGCTTGGCTCTCGCGTCTGCTCCACGGGTGGTGGTGTCGGACCCCGCCCCTGATGTGCTGAAACCTGCTCTAATCGAGCCTCAGCCTGCGTTCCAGCAAAAGCACCAAACGACTCGCTGGGAGGGGGAAACGATTGGCCAGCCTGATACGCAATCTCAGGCTGGTATCTTTGATCATGACCATGGTGCGGCGGTTCATGATGCGGGTATAGCTGGGAAGAGCTAGGTCCATGGGCATCGTGGTGGGAAGAGCCATGAGCCTCATGGCCCGGAGAAGGTGGCATCTGGTAGTATGTGCTACCATGACTGTGGGAGGTTTGCGCTCCGTGATGGTGCTCACCCGTTAATGCTACTTGCGTAGCCTGCGACTGCGGCTGGAATTCTCCTTTAGTAAAGTACTGTACGATCTCAGGAACCTGATGTTCCTGCTGCTGATGCTGCGAATGCTCCCCGTGATACTGCTGCTGTTCGAGGGCGGGAGCAGGAGCCGTTTCCTAGACAGACGTAAGCTTCCGATCTGCCATGGCAGCTTAGCAAAACTCACGGCAACTCTGTAGTGTCTATCATAGACGGCCCACCATCTCCCAATCATGTCTTCAAATGGCGAGTCTCCTTTGCTTGCCTGCCGGCCTTGGAACCAGGGCTTGTCGGGGCCAATGAAATGTACCATGTTGATACTCGATTGGAAGTGTCGATAGGCGGGCACATATTGGTAATGCGCCGAGGGTGTCACGTTGTACGTGAAGCTGATTCGGTTGTACGTGTTCTTGAAGTGCATGTTAAGAAGACCCTGGTCGGCGCCATCGAATGAGATGCCTCTCTCGGCCATTGCCATGAGAGCATAGTAATCTCCCATGTTGGGACTCAGAACCATGACACCCGTATTGAAGAGGTCCGGCCATCCGATGTCAGGCGCGGCGGAAAAAGGTGCAGCAATGTCAAACAGCTCGTCAGGAGCTCGGTAGGCGACCACATCGGCGTCGATGTAGACAATCTTGGAGAATTGAGTCTGCCTCCAAAGATTGACCTTGGTAAATGCCGAATGTAAGTCGGGCCGGTTCATCAGGTAAAGGTTCGCGGGTCGAGCGTTCCGTATGCGTGGGACGGGAATGACTTGATCGTATACAGCCTAAAGCAGGAGAGGATCAGCACACTGTTGCGAAGGACCACGGACGCACAGAGTTGAGTCGTTGGAAATTTACCTTCAGTTCAGTGATGACCTCGGCGGAAACGGTGTCGAGCGTGACCAGGACCACCAGCTGTTTGGAGGTGCCAGCATCGCGTAGAGAATGAGCGAGAACCAATGCGCCTGGTCGCAAATGGGTCAGCTGAAGATTCGAAAGTGAACTGGAGACGTTGAGCTAACCTGGGAGGTACGTGTCGTTCAGTAGAAGCTATGCGAAAGTGGCGGTTAGCTCTTTGTTTACTTTCCCCCCCCGCCGTTCGGATCCGCGACGACGGTTGGGATGCACGAACCGTTGCGTAGACTTGATCCCCTCCACGAAGAGAGGCCATTGTATATGTGGGGAGTTTGGAGACACAGGACTAAAGAGCAGAATCAACGAGACAACGACGAGAGAACGGTGTTAGCGAATGGCCATGAACGGTATTGTACAGGTGTGTCCGTCGAAGATGGTGCAGAGCGAGAGCGGCACGACAAAAGTTGTTTGTAGGGTGACGGGTGACGGATGGCGGATGGTGTGGCGGGGATGACGAGCCGTGCGTCCAAGTCGAGGTTCAAGGTCCAGGTCCAGGTCCCGTCCAGGTGCGAGCCTGGTGCGGAGAGAGAGGGAGGCGTGGAGGTGGGAAGACAGCTCCAAGGTGGGCACACAGCGCTGCATGGACCAGGGTACCTTGCTGTGTAAGAGTAGCTGACAATGGTCTGCGAATTGGTGTGGTATTCTCCCGTATTCAGTTAATGCAGACACGACGTGGAAGAGAGAGAGAGAGAGAGAGAGAGTGTGTGTGTGTGTGTGTGTGAGGGAAACGAGGGAGCCAGCTATAGATGTCTGTTACAGGCAGGCACTGGCGCGCAGACGACAGGACAGGCCTGGACAATCAATCTGTGTCTGTTGCTCGCAATCATACCATTAGCGGGAAATCGGTGTTAGTCGCGATGCCTGGATTGTCATTTCTCCCGCCCTCGCTCGCGCGGGAGAGAAAAAGAGAGAGAGAGCTTCAGGTCATCGTGCAGCAAGACAAGAGTGAGAGTCAGCAAAGCTTGGAGGACGTACCGCTGCAAGATGCTGGTGGGCTGCGTATAGCGAAACCAAGGCCGTGCAAGTACCTTGACCTCTTCGCGGAAACTAAAAGTTTCTGGGGAGCAAGACTGATGATGCGCGACCAGGGACCCAGGTAGAGCGATACGGGTTTGGATAGGATAGAAGGGATGGCGTGCGTCGTTGGATAGCAAGACTAGCGAAGCCGTTGCAGCAATTGAAATTGCAAGTGGGTGACGATAGCTGGGCGATATGCTAGCGGTCAACAATACGACGAGGTTATGGACCTTTGGAGGAACAGCAAGACGAAACCTCTTTGCCCTTCCGTCAAGCCTTCAAGGTGTCGGGTTGGGGACAGCACACAACTTTTTTTTTTCGTTTTGTTGTTTGTCGTCAATGACGAACAGAAGAAAATAAAGGACGGAAGCAAAGCTGAGACGACGTCTCGCGGTCTGACGTCGCGAGACAGGCGAGCTTTGAGTGCGTTTTCCCAGCGGGCCCTTGCGCCTTCGTGTCTGGAAGCTCCAATCTTGCAGATTCTTACCGAAAGTGCGCTAAATAACTGCCCAGGAAGGTCAGAGCTCTTTTCGGGTTTGAGTCTAGGTAGTCCTACCTTCGAGCTGCAGGCCCGTTGGACAATCGTTGTGAATGTCGCACCCTATTCTACACAAGTTGTAAGGTTCGTGTTCGTCATGGCCATTTTCGCAACGACACATGGGCTTGAGTCACCCTTCTTAATCCTCCGTTGAGCCTCGTCCATGGCGCCTGAGGCTCGTTTTTCCCACATCATTCCCCGGCTTCGCAGGATCTCAGAAACACAAGCCGTGCCAGCGGTGTCAAACGACCACACACGACTCAGATATATTAGGCCATTCTTCTCATGGTTCGGGACTCTTTCTTCGCACACTTCTGGCATGTTGCCCAATCTACCGCCTCTGGTAGCCACGGTTCTGGGTCTTCTACTCCTGTGCTGTTACCTTAGTCCACTGTGTAGATGTTGGAGCAGTCCCCCCCCGGTTCGCCACAGTCAAGGGGTGATGGATAATAGAGCCGTAGAAGTCTCTGGAACTTGCTGGGAACAGTAGTTGGCCTTTAACAACACAGTCCATGGCATATCCGAAGGCCGGGCCAACTACACTGGACGGTCTGTGGCAGTTGCAAGATATGCCGTCCAGACAGAAGCGTCTCCTCCCTTGTTACGGGACGTGGATGGGAAACATAACCTTGAAATTAGGCCAAACTCGGCACCGCGTGCGTGGCGCGCGTTGACGTTAGTGGAAAAAGAAATAACGACAGATGGAGGATCTTGGCGCAGTGTTGTGTCCCATTCAATGTGCCCTGTACATTTTTTTTTTGCTGCTTTAGAGCTCAACCCGACTCTTCAAACTCCGACCTCTTTTTCTCCTTTACCAGGCTAATGAATGGTGTGCTGTATCCCAACGCCAATTTCCTTCCATGAATGTAGTGACCTCAACGGCCATGCTGTGTCACCTGTCAAATCTTACCACGGAATTCGCACTTCACATATCCTTCACTCTTCTGCCACTGTCGTCTGATGTATACGCCGGATATCCCTACCATGACACCCTCAAAAGATTACTGTGGCCCAGTTGTGCATAACCATCTCTAGCCGCCGTAGCCATCCTTGATCGATGCATGGATGGGAAGACACAACGCAGGAGGATCTGGAAGCAACGCCCTCACGGATCTGTTTGGAGCAGACCGGTCGCCCACCTTTTGCGTCAACCTTTCCTACCCGCGATCGATACTGTGGATGTCAGATGCGCTTGAAGGAAGCAACAATCCAACTTAAACTCTACTTTCCTTGGCCCCATCCTCGAAGCCCTCGAAGCTCTGTTCATTGAGGGAAAGGGCACTTGGCCGAAGCTTCCCCGCACTCACTGCACCGTGCCACCAGGGCCCGCCATTGGAAGGCAAAAGGAGATGACGTGAAGCTAAAAAGCTCTCCTTCCTTCCACCCAGCAACTGCTCCTGCCACAGTGATGATCCCTCTTTGGATCTGGCTAGCCGTGGCGTCTGGGCCTTCTCTTACTCTCAGTGACGACTTCTCTTCCTTCCATGACCGAGACGTGGGTAGGATAGGCACTCCCACCAAAAAAACCAACAAAAAAACACCCAGAACGAGGGTGATACCTATAGTCCTTTTCAGGGACCCCGACCCGAGCCAGGTGCAGGCAGGCGCAGGGATGTTGTCTGGCCGTTTAACCCTCTTCCTGCATCTCCCATGAGCCCAAACCCCCCAACCACTCGCATCGTCCAGACCTTTTGTGCCGCCTTCCTGTAGCATCTCAAGTGCCCCAACTCACCGGCTGGTCTCTACTGCAAATAGCCAGCTGCATCACGCTCTCTCGCCATGGATATCCATGCGCTTGGCCACCGTTCTGCTTCAGACCAGGTCATCTGCTACTCAAACCAAGGCCGATCAGCTTCCAAACCCGAACTACAGATGCTGCTTACGGCTGTAAGTCATCAGACCTTTCCGTCTTTCAACATGATCTGCTCCCAGTTCTTACAGTTGTCCTCCATCACGTATTTCGGTCACTCGGCCTTCGCCCAGTCCACGCTTCCCTTCGTATCATTGTCTGCCAGCCCCCGAAACCACTCATCTTCCACAACTGCATATACTGCTTATAGATTTGGCCCTCAACTGCGTCAGTCTCTGCTTGTAACCCTGCGATATCATGAACAACCGCACACTTCGACTCGGTCACGAGTGTGGATTGCCCAGGGAAGTTGCGCTCCATAACCGCCCATTACACGTCATCTGGACTGAGGGAGCATTGAGAAGGGCAACGCAATTCGAGCGGGTGTCCTGACGCGGAGACACCTTGCGGATCACCTCCGGGTCGTGACGTGCGGGGTCCAGCAGCGCGAGTGGAGGTGCTGCCGATCTGCACCAAGGGTCCACCCGGTACAGCAGGCATATCGCCAGACCAGTCGCCCAGTAATCTATCGTCTCTAGTTACTGCAACTTGCTAGGCAGTACTATGTCTAGCAGCCGGCTGGAGTATGAAATCTGTGTTGCTACGTAGCGCTCTTTTGTCCCCGGCATTATCACCTCTGGATCTTTTTTACAAAGACGGGTGCTGACTGCGTTCTCCTTCTACAGCCGTTGCGTCAGCCTACGCCGAGACCTGGCCAGCATCGCCTAAACCTTCTCGACCTCCCGTACGAGCTTCGCCTAGACATCTATGAGCTCCTGCTCCTGACGCTTGACCCCATCGTCGTGTCCAACCATAGACGTCAACTCCGTGTGAAAGTTGAGCCGCCGAAACACCAGATAGCCTATCTACGTGCCCCTCGACCAAGGCCCCGTGTAGTGACGCTCACTTACAGGAGCCCCCACGTCGAAATCCTGCAGACATGCAAGCAGATCAGCCATGAGGCTACTCCCGTCCTCTACCGCAAGAATGAGTTTATCGTCGGCCTAAGACTGAGTGGGAGAACAGAGGCTAGGATCGACTTCACAGACCTGGCCGGCTTCTTCCTCTACTCTTTACGCCCTTCTACGTTGCTCCAGCTCTCCGCGATCAAGTTTCGAGGTGCCTGCCGTTGCGATCAATGGCTTACCTTACCTGCCGGAGCTGCGTATGCTACCACCGGTTGCGAGCTGGGTAGCATGTGCCCCGACGGTTGGGACTACCTCCAATTGGCGTATTTGGTTACCAGCAAGGCTCTATCGAGCCTTGAGAAAGGTGGGTGTCCCCTTGGCCCCGTTGGGCCTCCAAGTGCTCGTCCTAAGACCCTGTTCAACTCAGATTTCGGTAGGCTCAGGATTTGTGCATTTTGCAACACCAGTCATGGTCAGCAGTTTATCATATAATGGTCCTAGCACCCCAGAGGCTGCTGAGGCTGGTTCTCATGCCTTACTGACGTCGCATGCCAAACAAGGGATGGTGCAAAGAGCAACGCGATAGCACCAGCGGGCATCATGGGTCAAACTCTAACACTGATACCCTGCAAGGTATCTATTATATACTTGCAATTCATAATCATTATTTCGTGAACGCAGCCCTGTCTGCAGCCCAAAATTCCATGGGGCCTGAGTTGTGTATTCCTTGCGCCGTCCGGCTTGTCAGAACCAAGCTCTGCTCGAATCCAAAAACGCCGTGGAGACCCAAGCAGCCATCGTCTCCAAATCTAATACAACCTCAACCGCAGAATTCAATGTTCCGCTACAGGTCCTTCTTGAAAGCGTGCTCCGGCTTATGAGTGGTCTCGTAGTCGATATGCACGTAGGCCCGCTCCACATCCGGCAGACTCTCCAGTTTGACCTGTAACGCCTCGGCCACGTCGTGCGTCTCGGTGAGTGTGTTCTCGGGGTCCATGACGATGTCCACTTCGGCAATGAGCCTAGGCCCCGAGTGGTAGACACGCACTGTGTCGATGCCCTGGATGGCAGGGGAGTGCGTCAGGCAGACGTAGGTGATGAGCTGCTGCGTCTCAACCGACGCGGTGACGCCAACAAGCAGCAAAAACTCTGCGATGGCGGTGCGCAGCCAGATACCCGATACGACGAGCGACAGGACAATGGCACCCGTTGGGTCGATATACCATTTGAGCTTGGAGCCGCCGACCGAGGTGAGGATGCCGAAGCCGTTGACCAGGAGGTCGTTGCGGTGGTCCGACCAGAGGATCCGCACCTGGGAGTAGCGGTTCCGCAGGGAGAAGCAGTAGAGAAACAGGACGAACTTTGTGGCGAAGGCGACGCAGACGGCAACGATGGGCTCGATGCGGAACGGCTTCGTCTCATCCGTCGTGGGCTGGCTCGCCAGCTCGCGCGCGGCGAAGGCGATGATGATGAGCGAAACGGAGATCATGAGGAAGCAAAAGACAATGTTGCCGACGGTCTCGAGACGGGCTTTTCCGGCGGGAAAGCGGCGCGGGTTGACGCGCCTGATGGCGCGGCTGGCGAGGATGAGCGTCAGGTTACTGAGGGGATCGAAGATGGCGTCGGCCATGGTGGTAATGAGAGAGAGGGAACCCGTGCTGATGGCGGCGTAGAGCTGCAGGGCCGTGAGGAGGACGTTGGCGGCGAAAGAGCCCCAGACGGCGATGCGGAATTGCAGCTGGTCATCGCCGGCCTCCTGGCGGGCCTCGGCGACGTGCTCGTCGACTGATTTGAGCATGCGCTCGATGGCGGCGTTTTGTGTTTCGTAAAACTGCCGGATCTTGTGGCTCTGGCGCCAAGGGCTGCTGCTGCTTCTGCGACCATTGCCGGCCGGGTCCCTCTTGCGCGAGGTATTGGCCTTGATCTGGGCGAGGTCCTCGGGGGTCTTGAAGGCAGAGGAAAGGCCATAGGGGTCCAAGTCGGAGCGCAGATGGGGCTGACCTTCGACGTCGGTGAAGGCGGTGGAGTGGCGAGCGGCGGCTTCCTGCTTCTCAGACTGGGAAGAGACGAGAGGTGGCGATGCGTTCTCGAGGGCCGTACTAGAGGCATTGGCCGGGACCTCCTCGCCAGCAACGGACATGGAGCCTCGGGATGAGTTGGCGAGGTGAGACGGCGTGTGCAGGCGGAAGGGATGCGGGTGCATCGTGATGCTCTTGGAGAGGTCAGGCTCCATGACGGCGGTAGATTGGACAGGCCGTAATATGAGATACAAGCGAAGGATGCTGTTGGCGAACTCCGAGGCGTACTGCCCGCGTTGGCCTGGCGGATTGAAACGGACCAGGCAGGCGGACCGCGGGATGAGGGGAGAGTGCGAGGTTCGTGAGAGCGAGAGGGAATCGTATGGAACTGGCATGTCGGGTTGGCGCATCGCCCTTTTTCAAAGAAGAGCTCTGAGACCTTGTGCTGCAGGGTCGATGTGGCCAACCAGCAAACAACGCGTGCAGCTGCCACTCTGGGTCCCGGTCCGGCCAGTCGGCGCAAATGTAGGCGGATAATGATAGGCAAGACAAGCTTCTTTTCTCGGAGGCAGGATCGCCGGGGACGTGAGCTGTGCGGGGAGGCGGTTGCAACGAGTAAGATTTTGTTGTTGAGCTATCAAGGCTGTCTTCTCGTCCCTTCCCTGTCGATGTGTCTGACTTATCTCTGTCGTGTCCTGATTAGCTCAAATTGAACGCTGACAAGGTGGAGGGAGGTAAGAAGCATGGAGCGCAGGCCGCAAAACAAATGCAGAGTTGTGAGCCAATCATTTGCCCACGGGAGGTCTACATGGAGGGCGGATTGCTGCTAGACGCGAGAACGGAGGATAGCAGTCTATCGTCTGCCTCACAAAGGCCTTGTCTTAGTGCTGTGTACCCACAATACGGCATTGTGCTCCTGTGTTGAGAGTCGGTGAGCCTATCGACGGAACACGCGGAAGGACTTCCTTCGCAGCAGCGACTCCACGACGGCGTTGAGGTGGGCATATTCGAAGCTGATATTGACCCAGATTGAGAAAAGGAAAAGCACCCAGCAGACCCAGCCAGGATTGAACAAACGAGCCCAATTGCCAAGTCTTGTGACTTGACATGATGCAGCAACGGCGGCATGTGCGGGCAGCTCTGCTACTGGGGAGATTAACCCGTGCTGAGTGCCATGCTAGACAGCGCCCTAGTGTACTCTAGGAGCTGGTAGTGTTGCCAAAGAGGAGTCGTTCTTGACGGCTTCGCCAGGACGTACGGGTGACAGTGAGTGAAGGGGGCATTTGGGGCTTTATGCTGGTTGCCGTTGTCGGTGCCGTGGCCCCCTTGGGAATACCCGAAGTGGACCGTTCAAAAGTCGTGAAGCAGACACAGGTGTCCTTCCTCGGCTGAGAAAGCAGGTGTCGTCCACAATGGGGTGGTGATGCTGTGGACGGCGTGAGCAGCTGTGCCGACTCGTGCGATCCTGAGATACTGGGTCATGCCGGAGGGCCGCCAGCAACGAAAAAAACGACATGCGTGGGCAACAGCTACAAAGGTGTGTAGTTGAAAATGCCCCGGAATGCGGCTGTACTTTATATTTTCGAAACGAAACGTCACCTAGGGCCGAGACTGGCGGGAACTGGCACCCGTTCACGTCCATGTTTCTGTCGCGCTTCGGGCACGACCGGAACCCCAACCCCCCCCCAGTCGGGGAGGGCGTCCACCCGGTTGGCCTCCTTCATCCGCCCGGGTACCCAGCCAAGGTCACGACTTCCCATGACTGGCTCGATCCTGTGAGGCCATTTTTGTTGGGCTTGGAGGGCACTTGCGGTCATTTGTGATTCATATGTTATTTGGAAGAATAGATGGGAGACAAGTAATGAGCATGGACTCAGTCACAGCGCCTCAAGCATTTACTCCTTGCCCAGGGCCGAGCCTGTCCTGTCTTACTGACATGTCACATCACCAACGAAATCCTGAAAATTCATCATTGATTACAAAAGCCATTGAAGTACAGACAACTGGGCCAGAGACCACGCAGCCCCATCCAGCCTCCTACAACTTGGACTCGGGCCTTGCAGCAGTCTCCTCAACCCTCTCCAAGACCCAGTCTCCAACGTCCTTGAAGAACTCATCCTTGCAGAGGTCCGCGTGCAGCTGGTGGTACGCCCCCTCGTACGGCTTGTGCTTGCTGTCGTCGATGCTCTGCGCGCCAAGCCATTTCTTGCTGGCATGGAAGCACGTCGTCTTGTCCTCGGTGCCGTGGCCAAGCCATAGGCTCTTGACTTCCGGGCTGAGCCGCAGCTTACCGTTGGCCAGCGCGTCTGTCCTCTCGAGCATCCCGGCGAGCCCTTCCAGCGTGCCCGTGTTGTGCATCATGTCGTCATCGCGGATACTCTGCTGCACTGCTGGGTCGCGCGTAAGTTTCTCGGCGGGGATCTCGTTGACGAGCTGCTGTTTCGGCAGCACGCGGCTCGCGAGCTTGCCGAAGAAGACTTTTAAGAAGCTCGGCTCCTCGCCGGGTGTAAAGGCGATGAAGGGGCTCTCAAGGAGCCACCCGCGCACCTGAGCGACGAGGTCGTTATACTGCGGATCGCTTGCCAGCGCGAGAACCTCGCCGCCGCCCATGGAATGGCCCATGACGAATACCGGCACATTCGCGTCCGCTGAAGACGAGGACGAGGGCGAAAGCTTGTCGCGGATGAAAGCAGCCACGTCGGCGAGCACGCGCGACGTCGGGCCCGTGAGGCCCCTATCGGCGGGCTTCGCGGCGCTGCGGCCCCATCCACGCTGGTCCCAGCTGAAGACCTGGATGCCGCGGCCCGCGAGGTAAGGAAAGAACTCGGAGTAGCGGCCGACGTGGTCGCTGAAGCCATGGACAAAAACGAGCTTGGCCTTGATGGGGCCTTGGGGCTGTGATGTAGCGTTAGCGAGCTGTAGACCGATTGGCGGTTGTATGAGCTGGAAATGTGTGTGCATATGTGTCTCTTACCGTCCAGGTCGTGCTGTGCAGCTTATGACCGTCCACCTCAAAAGTACCCTGGGTTTCAGTGGCCATGATGGTGATGATGTAATGAGATGCGCTGCGACCGGGAAAATGGACGTGATGTAGTCTTTTCTTCTTTTGGGGGGAGCGTTATAGACCAGACGTGACGGTCAGCTCTAAACAACGTGTGAGGTGTGTGATGAAGTGAAATACAGAGGAATATGTCTCCCTTGCTTCAAAGGCTTTCACGTGTTACCGCTGATGTCTGATTCAAGGCATCCAAGTGGTGGTGGCGCTGGTGTGGCACTGACAAAGAGCTCCGCTTGCAGTAGGAGCTTGGGCCTTTAAAGAAGAGCTGGGAGCTCCAGCTTTCAACCTTTCCGTCCGCTTTTGGCTCGGCGAGGAACCCCAAAAGCAATGAGCCAACACTTGTTCATCCGTCGCTTCCGTTGAGCTTTGGTCGGCAGCCTACACAATGCTTACAATAGCCGAGTCACGGAAACGGCCCAAGTCTATTCACGTCTTGCGTCTTGCCTTGCTTTTCGTAGCTTTGAAGTCTCGAGTTTTTTTTTTTTTTTGTGTATTTGCAGGACCCAAGATGCCCCAGCCATATCGAGCGGAGTTAATTCTATAAAGATGTGTAACCCGTAAATGCTTTGTAGTACACGAGATGGCAGCGCTTAGCTGCTCACCAGCCCGAGTTTGTGGGCAGCTGTTTGACATGAAAAAACACTAAAAAAACATTGAAATCCACCTTTGATGCGTGTCTGCTTGTTTCCAACATTCAGAAGGCGCAACCCTATCACCGCCGCGGTGCTTGTTCCTTGGTCTCCTCCTGCAGTTGACTCTCTACATCCTCCTCCGGCTCCTCTTGCTCGAGGTCCGACTCGATCTCTTCCGACTCTGTAATGTGACCTCGTTCGCCGGGGCGAGAGTCGGGAACCTCACCGCCGCTCATCTGCCACTCCATGAGCTTGCTGAATGCGCTGTCCTTATCAGCCGACAGCTCCGTGTACTTCCCAATCTCGGCGACTCCGCCGTTGTTGGAGAGCACAATGATTAGGTCGGAACGCTTGATGGTCGACAGTCGGTGCGCAATCGAAATAGTCGTGTTCTTGCCCCTAAGGAGTGATGTAAGAGCAGCGTTGACGAGCGTCTCAGACTCGGCGTCCAAGGCTGAGGTGGCTTCATCGAGAATGAGGATGTCAGGGTCTTTAATCAGTGCTCGTGCAATGGCGATGCGCTGCTTTTGGCCACCAGACAACTGGGAGCCTCGGGCACCGACCTGTGTATCTAAACCGGCGGGGAGATCGCTGATGAAGTTGCAGTTTGCCTGTCGAGCTGCTGCGACAATTTCGGCTCGAGTGGCGTTGGGTTTGCCGTATGAGATGTTCTCGGCAATGCTGCCGGAGAACAGGACGGGTTCTTGGGCGACCATGCCGATGCGACGGCGTAAAGACTTAACGTTCATCTTTGAAATATCGACACCATTTATGGTGATAGAGCCGGAGGTGGGGTTGTAGAACCGCAACAATAGGCTAGCAACAGTCGACTTACCACCACCAGACGGTCCCACAACACAAACGTTGCTGCCCCAAGGGATCTCGAAGTTCAGATCACTGAAAATCTTGACTGCCGGGCGCGTGGGATACGCGAACGAAACATTTGAAAATTTGATGGGACCTTGTGCCGACTTGACCTTGAGTCCAACCGTTTGAGAGATGCCGGGCTTCCTGTCCTGAAGCTCGAACAGGCGACTGGCAGCGCCGACTCCCTTCATCAGCTCGGAGTAGAAAGATGATAGACCGAACAAGCTGGATCCCGCGAAAGCCGTGTACATCATGAAAGATGTCAGGTCTCCGAGACTCATGGCCCCGTCGCGGACAAAGTTTCCGCCGACTACAAGCATGGCGAGAATGGTCATGTTGCCAGCCCAGCCCGTCGTGGCAAAAAATGTTGCTGCAATCGTAGACTCCTTCTTGCCCAAAGCAAAAATCTTCTTGACCTGGTTGTTGTAGCGAGCGACCTCTTGGACCTCACCGACGAATGCCTGGCTCGTTTTCACGTTGCCGAGACGCTCTTCAGCAATCTTGGTCAATGTACCCAAGTTCTTCTGGATGCCCTTGCTCACATTCCTGATTGCACGTCCGTAGAAGAAAGCACCAACGGCAACGGGCGGCAACATGATTAAGAGCAGCCCGGTCAGCTTCGGGCTGAGCCAAACCATGACACAAAAGCCGGCACCTCCGCTAAACAGAGCTCTCAGACCGTCGCTGATGTTTTGAGTGATGGACTTGCCAACAATAACGGTATCTGAGCTGAGGCGTGAGATGAGGTCTCCGACTCGATTCGCATCAAAAAACTCGGCGTCCTGAACATACGTTCTCCTGTACAAAGACGACCGCAGGCGGGCGACGACTCTCTCGCCGACAATGCGCAGGAGAATCACACGCCCAAAGTTGGCTATGGCTCCGACAGTCAAGATAACGCCCAAGGCCGTAAAGAATTGTGGCATGGTTAGGCCGAACAGGCGCGCATCCTCCGAGGGGTCTTTGGTGGCCATGTCGAGGATTCTGCCAATAGAGAACGGAATGGACATGGTGACACTGGACGAGATGACGAGGAAGATCATGGCGACTCCAAGCCATCGCAACTCTGGCCGTGCAATCTTGATCAACCGCCATATCTCTGAAAACCCGGCCTTACCGCCTTGTGACTTGCCCTCCTTCGACAGCTTCGCGCTGAGGTTGACCTGGGCGGCTTTGGCGGCCCTCTCGGTTTTTTGAAAATCGTCAAGTTGTTCGCCATCCTGGATAGCCGGCTCGGCTTGCTTCAATTCTCTCTCCTCCTCACGCGCCGTTCCTGCTTGCGTAGTAGGTTTCGAGTCTTGCTGTCTGGGGAACCCGTTCGAGAAATAACGCAGGATCGCGGTCGATCGGGGCAATTGAGGCTTTTGAAGGAACGGGATCGGACGCCGCTGCGCAAAACAATTAGGGGTAGCCGATCGCGCTACAGCTAACCGTTGAACGGGCTTGGAGCTGAAGTTTCTGATCTGTGAAAGGAGGGGATGTTGTAGGATTCCTGATGTCGTTGAGGCATTGCGCAGGCCGGGGAGAGTCGCCAAAAGCGAGGTCGAAGTCGCCGGGCAGCTCCCGACGCGGTGCGGGAGCAACACCGCTGATCGCGCTACTCCCGTGGCCATTTTGGAATGGAGTTGAAAATGGTCTTATCTCATGGGAGGCGCATAGTCAAAAAGCGTGGAATAACGAAGCGTCATCATACGAAGGAAAGGTGCGAGTTGCGCATGAATACAACAGTCGAGACCCGGCTGTTAAAAGGACGAGAAAGATTCCGTCATCGTTCTGCGCTCAAAATTTACAGCGCTCAAAGGTGCCCTGCGACCGCTGACGCGCACTGTAACAGGGCCCCCTCGGTCATAGTCGGGCCGGCCGTATCTTTGCGCCGAAATTCCACTCCGTCTCAGCCGAGGATGGCTGGCTGGCAGAAGTCCAGCATAGCGTACCATGTAAGGCGAGGAGGGCAGTCGTGACTGGACCTATTTGCCAGCTTGCGGCATCTCAACTGGTTCTCGCCAAGGTACCCAGATGGTGGCATTTTCTGTTTCTTCCCTTCGTTTATTCCTCCAACTCCTTTGTTGTTGCTCTCTGTCCCCCTGGACATCCCAGACAGCACAGAACGGACATAGATGCGAAGGTGGCATAAAATGAAGAACATAACCAATACTCGCTTTTTGCGTGACTTCAATCAGTGTCTTGTGTTGTTTTGTATTTGCCTATTCTGTATTGCTATGATTCACAGGTTATCAACTTCCTTACGTACATACATGTGAGGCTGCAACGAAACTCGATGCTGCCGATCGTTAAGCCAGGTCTGACCCACGGGAACACAGCCTCATTCTAACCTCATCATGGTCAGCTTCACAAGTGCTGATATCTGCCCCTATTAGGATTGATTCCAAGTACAAATGATAAAGTGTCCACCTCATGCTTTGGCCCTCAAACGGCCCTAGACTCGGCGATAGTCGTCCAAGCCAAGGCACGCCTCTTGCGTGCTTTCTAGTATAATATTACAAGGTTCCTCCCGATGCCTTTAAAGTGTGCTAGCTACAATGAGTTGTTGATGTTGGACAGTCCGTGACAAAGATGTCCTCAAACGCTGCCATTACTCTCCTTGCGTAGCATCTCAGCCACGTCAGCATCGATTCCGTCGTCGCCTCCAAGATCCGGGAAGTCGTCTCCATCAAGTCGGCGTCTCTTGTTTGCACCGTTGGCAGAGACAGGGATCGACTGGTATTGAGAGGCGAGGGTAGACAGCATTTCGATACCAGACGCGGCAGGCGGCTGAAATCCTTGGCTTGATGCCGAGCGTGCGCGGTCTGCGTCCGTATGATGAGAGATGGCTGGCTCATCATGGGCGGGTGGGGGCGTCAATGCCTCCACGGACGGTGGCGTGAAAGCCTCGACGGGCGGGGGAGTGAGGGCCTCCACCTCTGGTCTCTCCGGCTCCGGTGTCTTGGATGCACCGTTGCCTGGGGACTTTGAAGCCTCGTGTACGGGCAGACCGCGCATAATGGCCTGCTCGATCTCGCGTCTCTTCTCCTCGGTCTCGGCCTTTCGCGAGGTCAGCTCGCTGTACTGTCTCTCGTCGCTGGCCAGCGCCTCCTGGCTTGCACTCAGAAGTTTTTCAAGTTCACCAATGAGACCCTTTCGGGCCTTGACACACTCGGCAACAGCTCCCTCGGCACTGGCCAGGCTCCTCAGTAATCCATTGAGGCGTGCGGCGTAGACGGGGGCGGACGGCACAGGTGTCGAGGGGTCAGTGATTTTTTCGAAGTCCTGATTTGCTGTGCTGATGGCTGTCTTAGTGGGCAGGTTGAGCTTTGAGACGTCCTGATACGAGGTGACGAGCGGAGCGAGCTCTGCGGGTACGGATGGACCGCCAATTCCAGGGCTGGTGAAGGCTGCCTTTGCGGTTCCACGGGCCTTGTCAAGTTCTATCGCAACGTCAGTACAGCATACTGAGGTCGGTTGGAAGAATGAGCCTACCATCAACACGCGCCTCAATAGCCTGTTGCACAGGCGGCTCGAAGATGAAGCGGTCCTTCCATACGTCGATGACTCTTCTAAGCTTGTTTTGGATCTCAGCCGGTGCTCCCTTATAGGCCAACGCCGTCGCTTCGGCGATGACTGGAGAGAAGGCGATCAGGAAATCCTCCTTATGCCGGGCCTTGGATTGTTGCGTGACCTCTGCGGGTGTGTTAGTCATATTTCGTTGTCCACATCCCATTGTTGAAAGGTAGACAGCAACGTTCATCCCTTGAGGCACTCACCGTTTGCAAGGTAGATCAAGCTTAGCCTCTTGGTACTTGATGAATCGCGGAGACGTTGCAGCCAAAGCTGAACTGTGCGATCTGCATGCCGCCTGCGACAAAGAGTCAGCTTGCTCGTTGACAAGAAGGGAGTGAGCTTAAGGTCGGAGTCGGTGGGCGGGCTCACTTGTGGAACATGATCCATTGTGCCGCAGTCGCGATGCTGTCATGGCTCTCATTCAAGGCTGACAGCTTCGCTAGCACAGCATCGTCGTTGTAGGCCATGTTGATCTGCTGCGGGCGGTTTCGGGGGCGTGTTTTGGTGGTTGCGACTGAGATGGGAAGGTACGGACGGCTGAACGAAGTTTGAGTCGTGAACAAGATCTAGGTGTCCAAAGATTTTTTTTCCTGGGGGGGAAAAACAACCTTGTATCCCGGGGTTGGATATGGGATGGCTGTGGGAGTTGGCGACGATGACTTATAACACGTATTTTTTGCAGTCAAAGAAGAAAAAGTCGAAGTGCAAAGTTGGGCAATTTCTGGTGAAGGTCACCCAGTAGTAAGGTGGGCGGAAGAAAAAAAAGGTCTACGATCAATCAATCACTGGGCTTGAAACTCCAGCAGCAAACACCCGACCTCCCCAAGTTGCTTGCGCAAGGTGTCCGGTTCAGTGCATAAGGCGGCCCTTATGTATAGAGAGCCAAACAGTGAGACTGATAGGCTGACGACCCTGGGCAATGAAAGGTCCGCTTCTCGAGATGGATTGACGGGTTGGCTGGTGAGAGAGAAGTCGATATCGATGTCAGTCAGTGGAGGTCGAACGGGATCAAAACAACGCTGATGGTTCAGACGTGGTTGCTCCTGCTCTCTCTAGCCACCTCAGACAGATATCCACTTTACTGTACCAGCTATAAGCAACTAAGCGTTCACCAGCTGCCTACCCAGCCACAGGGGGGCTCGGACCACCAACGTTACGCCACTAGGGAAATCGCATTCAACTAACCGACAAAGGACAGCTTCGACGGATAGGTAGGTACCTGTGCACATGCTGCACACGGCAATCACCGCTCCTGGCCAAGGTAGCCTCACCTGCTGTACCTATGGAAGTACCCTCTTTACCTTAACTCGACTTGCTCCTTCTGCCCACACCCAGGACCGCACCCGAACATCGCCAGTCCAGCGATCACACATTTATTAGCCAGCCAAAGTCCTTGCACCGCGCCGACAAGCACAAGATACCTCAGCTTCATTTGCCGGCCGAAACCACCATCTGCGACTGGTATCTGATCCCTCAGTACCTAGCCACTTCGACCAGTTGTCCTTCTTTCCTATTTGTCACCAGCGCACACAACTGTCATCAAGATGGCCGACAGATTTCCTTCCCTAGAGGACTTCGATTCGGGCGGTATGTTCATAACAAGGCGATGGATACACGTTACCAAGCTAACGCACCGCATATAGCCCAAACCGACATCAAGGACTCGGGCGCCTCCCCCTCTGCCGACGACTTCCTCGCTCGTGAGAAGGCCCTTCTCGGCGACGATGCGAACCAGTTCGCCACTGCTGACGACTCTGCCGCCTTTGGCACCGGCGACGACGATCTGCTGGGCGGTGGAGGCAGTGGCAATGTCATTAGCGAAGAGTCCACGTTCGAGTCGCAGTTCCCCGACCTGGCCAACCAAAACGAGGTACGTTTACCCCACGAATCCTGGTACATGTTTCGTCTAACACTATTTGAACAGGCTCTCGCTCCGGGTGCGATTCCCGGCGCCGGCATCACTGCGCCAAGTGTCAACTACAACTCTGGTTACAGTGCCTACGTCGAGGAAGAGGAGGAGCCCGCGGTGATCCGTGAGTGGCGCGAGAAGAGAGACGCACAAAATGAGAAGCGGGCGCAGCAGTTTGCTGCCCAGCGTGAGGAGACCATCAAAGAGGCCCGAGAGAATATCGACGACTTCTACAACAACTACAACGCCAAGAAAGAGAAGGGCATTTCCCAGACGCGCAAGGAGGCCGAGCAGTTCCTGGCCAGCCGCGAGGACACCGTCTCCGGTGGTACGAGCTGGGAGAGAATCGCGAAGCTGGTCGACGTTAGCGGAAAGGGTGCCAAGGGCGGTGCCTCTGGCTCGGGCAAAGAGCGCTTCCGTGAGCTCCTGGTCAGCCTGAAGAAGGACGAGAAGGCACCAGGAGCCAGCGGCTACTAAGTGCAAAGAATGAACAGATGGGCGAATGGATGATATTAACGGCATCGCCGTACGAGAGCGCCGGCAACCGCGCAAGCACCGATACTTTGGAGTTGTTTGCGGCGCCAGTGCGCATGTGTATTCTAGATGACCTTTCCTGACAAAAAGAAGGAGCGGGAAAAGGTTGCCTTATGGTAATTCTGGCGGGCATAGTCAAGAAACTTCCACGATCGAGACGTCACATTATTCCCTACCTCAATAAGGACAAAAATGTATGCAACAAAAGAGAGGCCAGTCTAGTGCCAATTCGGTCTATTGATCGCCCTAAGAATCATACAGTCCGACCCCGAGTCTCTCGCTTTACCGCGTGGAACATATCGCCAACAGCGTTTAGTTCTTGCCGAAGTAGGTGTTGTAGCCGAGAACCTTGCGGCCAGCGCCGTAGAAAGTAACTGTTGATTGTAAGCGCTCAGCTCAACGAAGCTTTAGCTGAGGGCTCGTAACGTACCGCCAAGGGTTCCCCACAGAAGGATAACGTAGGGGGTCATGTAAAGACGGCTGCGAGGGTTCTGCGATAGTTGAGTCAGCCTCCGTTCGTCGGCGCTTGCGCCGGTTTCGCACTATCGGGGGGATTCAACGTACGATCTTCCAGAGACGAGTGTGCTCCTTGTAGGCAGTCTGGTAGAACTTCTGGAGCTCCGGGACCTTGTTCTTCGCGTCGACGAGACTGTGCGGACGTCAGAAATGCCCTCGTACGATAGTTGCTCTTTGCACCGAAACTGGCAGCCATTGACAGCGAACGGTGCTTAGACAGCAGTGACTGGGTCTACTGTCTCGAAGGGAGTCACGTACCCCATTTTGATCGATTCAATTGCGATATGCTCCGGGGTGTGGTGGTTTGCGGCTTCCTAGGCTTTCTCGAGTGTCGACTATGAAGGACGGACGGATCAATCACGAAGATGGGACCATGGCTTGGATTGGTGGGCCGACGTGCCCGAATGACTAAGCAGACCCGCTTTTCAGCTGCCTGTTGACGAATGGCACCGAGCTCAACTCGGTTGACGGACGGAGCTGCTTAGGAACTTTTTGATCACAGATTGAAATTCTTCCTATTGATAGCTTCCACCTGCAGCTTCAACCTCGCGATGCAACCTGCACTCGACTCCTCGCTTTGCTAGACGTATCGGCTGCTATGCTTGAAGCCTCGTCTTCATACAATCTTGCCTTGCTGGTTCTTTACGCGGGGCAATGCAACTGGCCTCGCAATGCCTCCGTCACTTGAATAGAGCACGCCTTGGCCAGCGGCAACCACATCAAGGACTTGATGTGATTCGACGAACGGCCTCGACTCTACCAAGGACCGCTTGCAAAAGTTTACGCAAGTCTAGCGCGGGAGTACGCAGTTTCAGCACCGGATCCCTCGCATCCAATTGTCCGTCATCGAGCTCCCCCTTTCCACGTCCTGTCGTCGGTCCGATCGCCTTGAGTAAGACGGCGTTACGAACAGATACTTCTCCAAAATCTTCAGGCGACATTGAGCCACGGAAATGGCCTGTATCGAATCCGTTCCCACAAGTGCGCACCCTAAAGAGGCAGCGGGAACATAGCCTCAACATCGACTCGTCAAGGAACACCTGGTCCCTGGGCGAGTCCAACCTCGGACTGGTGAACGTACCTGATAACGAGAACGATGCCTGCCTCTGGCTCAGAATCCTTGTTGCCGCGAAGAGAGAGCATAAACGGGAGGGCGTGTTGGCTGTTTGGAAAGCCGTGGAGCGGCGCAAGTCACTGTACGATGTGACAAGCGAAGGGGCAAAGTCGTTTTGGAGTACCATCTTGAAAGATGTCCTCCACGACGAGAACAGGCTTAAGGACGTGTTACTTTTTTCAGAGTGGTTACTTCATGCACATTCTGCGCAATGGCCGTCACTATACTCGATGACAATATCGTACTGTCTGCGCAATGGCCAGTATCGCAGAGCGATGCAGTGGCATTTGCGATTGATGCCGAAGTTTGATCCTGGGCCAGAAGATTTCGGCACCCTGCTGCAGGAGTTTGTCGTCATTCCTGAGGCTGATATGCAACAGACACTGCAAGCTCTCTATGTCACATCCCTACACCGCAGCTTGTACGATGAGCTCATACCTCTTCTCTATCGCAGCGGCCGTTCTCAACACTGCAACGGATGGCGCAGTCTACTTATACATCACCACGACCTGCCTCGACCAACAGCCGAGTCGCAGCCATACTTGAAATACCTCGCTCGATACTATCCAACCGTCACTCTCGAGCTGGAGGAGCAGATGGTCTTGGGCCTGAACTCACCAGCCTATTGGGACGTTCAGGATGACTCACTTTGGGATGCTATGAAGGGCGCGCATGGTGACGAAGGCGGTCCTCCGGGGAGGCGACACAACGATGCTCTGGGCGCACGATGGTTCGCAAGTTCCTGGGTACCACTCGACTTCGCAATCCATGCTGTTCATGCCTTGGGTGTACGCCAAATCGGCCCTCTATCGTTGCAGTCGATTGCATTGCGCGAGCCCACAGCGCACAGTGTCGTGGCTCGTATTGAGCAGTTGCGGAAAATCAACATTAGCATCGGACAATCAGCGTACTCGCGGGTTCTCAAGCGATTTGCTGAGAACGAGAACAACGAACTGCTATACGAGTTGCTGCACACCGACATCCACCCAGACGTCTTTGATGATCCGCTAGTGTTGGCGAGCATTCGTGACAAAGCCCTGGAAGAGGGAGCCTGGAAGACGCACCGGCTACTGCTTGCGATTCAACCTGCCATAGTCGAAGAGTCGGTTGACTTGACTTCGAATCTCTTGCTGCAAGAAAGCATTAAGCATGGACAAGGCAGACAGGCTTTGGCCTTGCTGGACGACATGCGGTCCATGAACATCGATGTGTCAACTTCGACAGTTCAGCACATTTGCGCGAGCATCCTTGACCTACTACCATGGAACCCGAAGACGACTGCAACTAACCGAGATGCTTGGAATTTGGCTATCGCCTATCTTACGCGCCTGACGCTGCTCAGAAAGCCGGTCCACTCGCGTTACTGGCAAAAGATTATCTTCGGTCTTGGCAAGTTTGGCCGCATTGGCGAGTTGGAGGACTTGTGCCTTGGCATCATCGACACTTATGGAAAGCTATGTGCTTCGGAGGGCGGTCTGCTGCCAGTTCACTACCTGGATACGCCGCCATCTGACGTAGATGCCTCCGCAACAGACATTCTTGTGCCAGCTGATCTACCTATCGCCCACGAACACCACCCGGTGCGCCGGATCTTCGACAATTCCGCTTTGCACGCTGCAATTGTGCGATGGGGGTTCAAGGCAGGCATCTCGAAATGCTGCAGTACTTGGGACATGGTTTCAAGCAACACGACAGCCACATCCGAGTACTCCGTCGCACGGGGTGTGCGGTTTCTGGCTATACTTCACGAAAGAGGGATCCCATTCCGGGTAGCCGTCGTTCAAGAGGAGGTCGTAAAGTGCCTGGCTAAAGCATATCTGCTCCAGGATAAGAAAGCATCTCGCACGAAAGCTGGCCTGCCGCCACTTGCAGCCATGAGCGAACTGTTCAACCAAGCAGCCGGGCGTGATTTGCTGCCAAATATTGCCGAGCTGCGAGACCTGATGGAGGGTGTCCAGGAAAGGTCACACAACAGACTATGACTGCGATGTAGCATCACCTGTAATACCACATATGCTATAGATACTGATAAAGCGAATGACTTCAAGATCATTGCGGGTCAATGATGGATCCCAGATTCGCTCATTATTTTAAACAAAGGAATTCATACATTTAATTTTACACCTCTCGTCTCTCATTAGAGGCGTCTTGCACAAGCTGGATGTGCCATACTTCACGTGCGGGCGGCCCTGCCCTACTCGTCGCCCCCGTGCTTCTTGGGCTTGATGACCAGCAGAATTATCATGCCCGCTATGATGAGGAGAAGAAGAAGGATGATCTTCCGCTTGGTCGTCTTCTTCTGGTAACCGGCGGCAACGACGAGCTCCTTCTCGGCGCCCTTGACGTCAGTAGCCATGCATTCAACGTTGTAGTCTATCCTGTCCAGCATTGTGCCCTGGTCAATGACCATGTTTTGCAGGTCGCGGAATATATCAGCAAGTTCAATAATGCCCTGGGCAATGTCCTCAATCTCTCGCTCGCGCTGGATGATGGCCGCATCGTTAGACTGCAGGAGCTTCTGCTGTGTCGCCTGGAGTGTCGACTGCGAGAAGGATCTGTCGGCGTCGGACTCGAGCATCGACGGGTCCATGTAAGAGCTCGAGGGTTGCGGCGTCGGCCCCCTATCACCTGGTAAACCCCCGCCGCCGCCGCCGAGGCCGCTCATTCCACGCAGTTCTGTCTTCCGTTAGTCCGCTGTGTGGGTTTTTGGGTTACCATTGCATGCTTACTTTTCAAATAAGCGCTCTGCTTCTTCCTAAAGAGCGCACTAGAATCCTGCACCCTCGAGGCCAACGATATCTGTATGTTCTTGGCCATGGTTTCCTCGGCACTGGTTATCGTCCCTGCGTGCTTGGACTCCCTAACCATTTGTTCGACCCGCTGGATGCAGCTGTGGCAGTCGTGGAAGCCTTTCGTGATCTGCTGGGTGAGGGTATCGATCTCGCGCTCCTCAGCCCTCTTTGCGTCCTCATCATTAAAGCCAGGGAGCACATGCTTCTGGTGCAAACGCTCGAGGGCTTGGCTCTTAGTGGCTATGTCGGCGAGCAATTCGGTGATCTCGTCAGATATGTCGGCCCAGCGTGGGGGCAGGAGGTCCATCTCTATGACAGCATCGCCGTCGTCCTCGAAGGCGCCGGCCGAGAGAAGGCCGCGCGTGTCGTCGTTGCCGCTGGCATAGCTGCTGTTACCTGGGAAGGCATCGCCAAAGCTGTTCCCACCGGCCGCGCCGCTATACTTTGTCCGTTTCGTCGGATGGTGCGCGTACGACTGCCGATAGGAAATGTAGCTGTGGGGAGTTGTCAGCAAGAGAGGGATTTGCAGGAAGGGTCAGAGGGCGAGAGAGGGCGAGAGAAGGTGACAACGTACAGGTTCGTGCGGTCTCGCCACATGGCGGACGCCAGAGTCGGCCGCGGTGGCGCTCCTCAGCCTGGAGTCCTTTGTCGCTCGCTGCGCGGGCTGCTCAGGTTCGTCGTCATGAACGAAAGGCAATGAACGCAGGACAGGACACCATTGGCGTGGGACAGCAGAGCAGCAGCAACGTGGGTATGTAGTGCGATTTCGGGATGGCCGTCCAAAAAGGTACGTCAGATACCGGATGGTTTGATTCGTGTCAAGGGCGGGCGGGTTTGGCTGTCCAAAAAGGCAAGGTTCAGCTCCAGGCCCCCGAATCGCATCTACCAGTATCCGTGAGATAGTAAGGGAGTCGCAAGCAGCGGGCTTTCGGTATGCAGTTGGTTTGTGAGCTAGCCGAGTCCACAACAGCAGAGACAATCACAGGCAGCTCTAGGATGATTGGGTTTCTCGAGTCAAGGTAAGATGCGTAGTAATGCAGTCCAGGGATGCTCCGACAGGGAGTGCATTAACACGTTGATGAATTGAACAGGTATCTCATGCCAGCAGCCACTGGGGACGGAACTTGGGGACGGATTGCGTCAGGGCCTTCGGTTGTCGACGGATTGAGCCGCCTGTGGACCGCACCCAAGGTTGCGTACCGTTAAGACCAACAAAAAATCTAGGTACGGACCAGCTGTACCCAAGGACACTCTACACTGTAGAGATGCTTCGAGAACGGTGTACCTAACAGTGCGGAGTGTCATTATCCATCTTATGTCAGCATCTGGCTCAATTAAAGGAAGAGCTGTGGGTTAATTGGGTGGACCAGGAAACAGGAGACAGGCTGACACCTGGCAGGTGTGGCACTCCAGTCACCCTTTATTCAGCAGAGAGAAGGGTCCGTCCCAACGTCGGGACCGTAGAATCCAGTTAGATAGCAGAAGGCACCAAGGTCCCCTGGCACGCTGGAAGGTGAAGCTGGTCCTGGTGTAGGCGCTTGTTGTTCCAGCCCGGTCAGTGGCTCGACTGTCGCTGTCCGTAGTGCTGCAATTCCCCTCCGCATGCCAGCCCAGCCTGTCAGCTTCCAGCCTTGGACGCCCGCGGCCCCCCTATCGCCCGACATTTCCCCCCTCGCCTGCCCCATTCCTCCCCACGAGCTGCACACTAAAGAAAAGCTCTACCCCCAAGGACATCCAGTGCGATCCAATTTGGCCAAGACGTGCGAACACTTGTGAATATCCTTCGACCTCTACCAACTCGTCTCCAATCGTCGCAGACCTTTCCCGAACCCAAGACAACCGGAAAACACCACACCACCCCTCTCGCCCATATTCACCATGGTCAGTAATCTTTCTCTTGACCCCCGTTCGTTCGGCATTCATATTACCTTCTGGAGGTGACCCCGCGGCTGAGGGGTTGTTGACTCTCAATTTCGGCGAGCTAAACTGACGCGGCTGTGGTCCATCTAGGCTGACTCCCTCACCGAAGAGCAAGTCTCCGAGTTCAAGGAGGCCTTCTCCCTCTTTGTAAGTCACGTTGTTCCAGTCGTCACCCTTTCTGGATCCTATGGCGATCGTTCTGGCCTTTTGCTAACCTCCCTGTAGGACAAGGACGGCGATGGTTAGTGCCTTACCCCTTTCCCCTCGCCCTCAACACCACGCGCCTGCTCTAGCAATCTGCGAACATTCCGATACGAATTCAATACCAGCATGGCCTATATGCAAGGAGACAAGATTATCTTGACGGAAGGCTAAAGAAGGTGGACAGGTCAAATCACTACCAAGGAGCTTGGCACCGTCATGCGCTCCCTGGGACAGAACCCATCCGAGTCGGAGCTCCAGGACATGATCAACGAGGTCGACGCCGACAACAACGGAACCATTGACTTTCCTGGTACGTCGAGGCTCCGTTTGTATTTCTTTAGAGCGCAGGTTTGCTAACTTGCAACTCCTTCAGAGTTCCTTACCATGATGGCTCGCAAGATGAAGGACACTGACTCCGAAGAGGAGATCCGGGAGGCCTTCAAGGTGAGAAGGGCTAGCGCAATGGCCGGTGTAACCAGCATTGACTTGGAGATAGGTCTTCGACCGCGACAACAACGGTTTCATTTCCGCTGCTGAGCTGCGCCACGTCATGACTTCGATCGGCGAGAAGCTTACCGACGATGAGGTTGACGAGATGATCCGTGAGGCTGACCAGGATGGTGATGGACGCATTGACTGTAAGAACCCCAGTCCGCGTTTGCCCCTACTGCTACTGCTCCAGGTGCTGATAGACAACGTCAGATAACGAGTTCGTCCAACTCATGATGCAGAAGTAAGGCGTCAGGTTGGTCGAGCGGCTGTTAGTCGACCCCATCTGGTTTTGGCCGAGCAGCAACTTTTTCTATGCGAGGAAAGACGCGGGCAGGTTTTACCGGGTCTGGGCTGGTTAGAGGATATTCTTTTGGGGATCACGGCAGCTCCCATACAAGAATATCCAGCGAAGGGACGAGTTTGACATTCAGACGGATGAAGGACCCGATGCTTACGTCTCACTGCCAGCACGCTTGCCTGAACCGTTCTCGCTCCATCACGATGCTTTTTTAACGAACACATACACACACACACACACACACACACACACACAAACACCCCTACACCGACACAGACACAAGCTGTACTTGAACGAGACGGGAGTTACGCTTAGAAGGGGTTCTCCTTTAGGGCGACTAATGCAAAGGCCAATTAGCACCCAACGCATTTCTTCTCTGTGATGTGAGGCCATTGGATGTGGCTTGTTGGTTATCGCGATGCACATGTGTGTGGGTGATGCTCTCATTACTGCGACTAACACAAAGCAGGTGACAGCGAAGCCTCCTGCATAGACGCTGATATTGAGATAGGCCCAGTGTACCTTTGCCCATCGTCGCTTATTCAAGGCGTATCCATGTTGTGAAATTTCTTGAACCACAGAGCCAAGGCGGCAGAACGAAATGGCTTGGCAGGTCGGCGGGCACTGCCCCGATCAGCTCTTTAACTCACGGATAGCAAACTTGAAGCTCCATTCCACAAGTCTGGTTCAAATGCAAGCTATAGCCGCTTCATTCATGGAAACTAGGCCTTACATATTGTGACCATGGGGATGTAAATAGCTGGCGTCTGGTTGCTGATGTCTCAGCCACCACTGACACTGAACAATCTGGAGAGCCATCCGGCGTATTTGTCGAACGCAGAAATTATAAGTGGTATGGATGACCATGGCTGTGAGAGCCCATCCTGCTATGTTGACGAAGTCCTCTTCGTGGTGTATATCGGTTGAAAGTGATTAAAGTGTCTCTAGGCAACTCAAACACGGTGACAGAGCGCACGGGACACTAACAGTAAGAACCTTTCAGGTCCCCCGGCCTATTGGAGTCTCACCGACAACCGCAATGGTTTGCGCCTGATATTTTGGGCCGCAGCCTAAAGTACTTCGGCCCCACAGATGTGACGGCGCTGGAACCTGCCACTGCCAGGCTGGACGTGGACCTTTGACCCAGCACCGATGCGTGCTCACTGCCTTGCTTAGCCCGCCCGGACCTGACACCCTTGGCACCGTCTATCTGGTCTATTCGTCGAGTATTGGGGGAAGTCTGCCGCAACACGCCCCTCGACCACCTTCGACATTTCGCGACTCGCAACTTCGAGAGCTCCCGACGAGCCTGCAACCTCCGTGTGAACCCCCTTCTCTAGGCCCCAGCAGCCTGCCCAAGGCCCTACGCGGGCCGTCCTTGTTGCCCAACATGAGTTCCTGTGCGAGAGAGCCTCTGCCCCTCTGCTATGTTGCTGGCCGGGAGCTAACCCGCGTGACACTCCAGTGAAGCAATTCATCCGCAACGTTCGTGCCGCCAAGACCATCGCCGACGAGCGGGCTGTCATTCAGAAGGAGAGCGCCTCTATCCGAGCAAGCTTCAGAGAAGAGAGTGGAGATCACAGCGTGAGGTGCGCAGACGAATTGACGTTTTGAGGACACCCATTGCAGACTATGGCTGACGGTTGACCCAACAGACGGAACAATGTCGCCAAGCTCCTTTACCTCTTTACCTTGGGCGAGAGAACACATTTCGGACAGATTGAATGTTTGAAGCTGTTGGCCTCGCCCCGGTTCGCCGATAAGCGCCTGGGACATCTGGCCACGAGTTTGCTGCTTGACGAGAACCAGGAGGTTCTGACACTCGTAACGAACTCGCTTCAGAAGTAAGAGGCGACAACACGTCCTAACCTGCGTCAGTAACGCTAATATGCAGTAGCGACCTCGCTCACTCGAACCAGTATGTCGTCGGCCTGGCCCTATGCACCCTTGGCAACATTGCCTCCATCGAGATGTCTCGAGATCTGTTCCAGCAAGTCGAGTCCTGCATCAACACGTCGAACCCCTATATTAGGAGAAAGGCTGCCCTTTGTGCCATGCGGATATGTCGCAAGGTTCCAGACCTGCAAGAGCACTTTGTTGACAAGGTCAGCAGCCTCCTGGCCGATCGTAACCACGGCGTCCAGCTGTGCGGCCTGACGCTGGCCACCAGCTTGTGCGAGGCCGACGAGGAGGAAGGCGGGGAGGAAGGCGTTGTCGAGAAGTTCAAGGTGTTTGTGCCGAATCTAGTCAAGACTCTGAAGGCGCTCGCGACCTCTGGTTACGCCCCTGAACACGACGTCACAGGCATCAGCGATCCGTTTGTGCAAGTCAAGATCCTCCGTCTGCTGAGGGTTTTGGCTATAGGCGACGCGCGGGTCAGCGAGCATATCAACGACATTTTGGCACAGGTCGCAACAAACACAGACTCGTCCAAGAATGTCGGAAATTCGATCCTATATGAGGCCGTGCTCACGATTCTCGACATTGAGGCGGATTCCGGTCTTCGCGTGCTTGGTGTCAACATTCTGGGCAAGTTCCTGTCCAACCGGGATAATAACATTCGCTACGTCGCTCTTAATACCCTCATCAAGGTGGTCGCCATCGAGCCAAACGCTGTTCAGAGACACCGCAACACGATCTTGGAGTGTTTGAGAGATCCGGATATCAGCATTAGGAGGCGTGCACTGGAACTTAGTTTTACTCTCATCAACGAGAGCAACGTGCGGGTTCTCATCCGAGAGTTGCTTGCATTTTTGGAGGTCGCCGATAACGAATTTAAGCCGACGATGACTAGTCAAATAGGCATTGCCGCCGACAAGTTTGCGCCGAATAAGCGGTGGCATGTCGACACCATGCTCCGGGTTCTCACACTCGCTGGAAATTACGTCAAGGAGCCTATCATGTCTTCCTTTATTCGGCTAGTCGCCACTACTCCTGAACTGCAGACATATGCAGTTCAGAAGCTTTACATCAGTTTAAAGAAGGATATTACGCAAGAGAGTCTGACACAAGCCGGAGCCTGGTGTATCGGCGAGTACGGAGACGCTCTACTGAGGGGCGGTCAGTATGAAGAAGAGGAACTCGTACGGGAAGTCAAGGAGCACGAGCTCATTGACTTGTTCACGACTATCCTCAACAGCAATCACGCCACCCAGGTTTCCACTGAGTACATCGTTACGGCACTCGTTAAGTTGACGACGAGACTGACGGATCCTGCACAAATAGACCGGATCCGCCGGCTTCTCCAGGTTCACCAGACGAGTTTGGACGTCGAGGTTCAGCAGAGAGCTGTTGAATACAGCAACCTGTTTTCTTACGACCAGATCCGCGCAGGTGTCCTCGAGAAGATGCCGCCTCCTCAAATCAAGGAGGAGTCCCGTGTGCTGGGCGCAGCGACTACGACCAAGAAGGCTAAGACTGCGAACAGGAAGTCAAAAGTCATCAAGCCCACTGAGCAGGACTTGCTCTTCGATCTCATGGATACTCCTCCAACGACAACGCCAGCTGCCAGCGGAGCCTCCAACACCGATCTTCTGGCAGACATTCTCGGTGGCACCTCTTCGCCTCCTCCTACCTCGACCTCTCCTGTTCCTCAACAATCCAACACCGCTTCGATCATGGACCTATTCTCACAGGATCCTGTCCAGCCAGCGGCTTCTCCAGCCCCAGCGACGGGTGGCTCGAACTTCGATTTGATGTCTTCCATGTCCGCCGTGGCAAGTCCTCCACCCCAGCCACAGGCCGCCCCGCAGGCGCCAGCAGGTCTTCCCGTTTACGACACCAACGGCCTGAACCTCAGTTTCCAAGTTCAACGCAACGCCGAGGGCCTGGTCCAGGTCATCGGTCGGTTCAAAAACGCCGGGTCTGTGCCTCTTTCGAACGTGGGAATGCAGGCTGCTGTACCCAAGACGCAGAAGCTTCAACTCATGGCCATTTCGAGCACGGATGTTGGGCCTGGTGCCGAAGCCACCCAGAGGATGATTGTTTCTGGGGCCAAGGGAGTAAGCCAAAGCCCGATTCTCTAATGGAGTTTGAACCGATAGCTAACATACTTTCAGCCGTTGCGGTTACGTTTGAGAATCGGATACGCTCATCCAGCTGCTGGTGAAGTGATGGACCAAGTGAACTGGACCGAGCCATCTTAGGCTGGCAGAGGCTAGTGAGGGTAGCATGCACGTACATGACTTGGGCTTGTAAATTTAAAACGGCAAGGCAAGCGTGGCCAAAATAGACAAATCTGCAAGGTTTAAAAGCTGGGCGCAATGAGCATACCGTAGTTGAGGATTCAACTCAATTCTGTGCACGTTTTTCAGCTATGAGACTGATTGTGTCTCAGTGGCTTGACGTAGAATGACAATATGCCTCTTGCATCCATCTCCACCAGCTATTTTGATGAGGGACAATGACATGTCCATCTCCAATATCCCTCACCTCTGGTTTTGCGCACCATCCACCACTTTTCACCAATTTATGGACTGAACCATCTCTTCATCAGACCAGCCCAATCAGATGTTTCAATTCAATAGAAAACTTGCTGCCAATTTCCCGATTGCAACTTCACATCAGTTTCGAGGTTTTATTTCGTTGCCAGTGAGAATGAAGCCCACGCTAAGTAAAGAGTCGCACATCGATCGCACAGCAGCCGAGCCGAGAGATACTGTACGCACAACAATATACGGAGTTCGAAACCGCAAAGAAGTAACAAACCTCTGACTGGCCGGATAGTCATTACATACCGTCGCCGTGAGCCGTGTCGATCAGGTAAACGAGAGCATCCGGCTATTTCGGTTGGGAATACGTGAGGGGTCGAGCATCAAGGTAACGTCGCGTCCCCCGTCGACAAGCATGCGGCGTGGTAATCCGATTCCAATCCCACTTGCTCAAGCATAGACCGAAGATATACTCGCTGAACCAGAAACTCACCCGAGAAGTTTATTCCAGGTCAATGGCTTGACACCTTCGTCCCAGGCGTCCCCAAGCCAGGCGGCTTCACAATTACCAGCCCGCCCTCCAAAGCCGCCCTCCCGTCCTCGGCATACCTCGAGCTCGCAGTGCAAAAGTCGCCATCAAACCCGCCCGCCGCATGGCTCTGGGGTCGCCCCGTTGACGACGGGTACCCTGGCGGTCACAGCCACAGCTCCGAGAATGAGCCGGCGCAGCTCCTGGTCCGAGTCGGCGGGTCCTTCGTGTGGCCGCCGCATGGCATCGACCTTACCCGTCTACAACGGATAGTCTTCGTCGCAGGTGGCGTGGGGATTAACCCGCTCATGAGCATCCTTAGCCACCTCGCCGAGGGAGGTGAAAGTCCGTACAACGTGCAGTTTTTGTACTCGACAAAGACGCCGGCCGAGGGTCTAGACTCGGGGAAGATCCTCTTTCTGGAGCGGTTGGCAGCCATCTATGGGCGAGAAAAGGTACGAGGTCGGCTGAGGCTATTTCTGACGAACCTACAGGAGACTTCCGGGTCTGATGAAACCGTTCTGCCGTGTAATGAGGTGGAAGTCCCGTTCAAGAAGCGCCGCATGACCCTGGAGGATGTGGCAGAGGCATTGGGGCCGAAGGAGGAGTACGGGTCCGCGGTGGTGTATGTTTGCGGGGTACCGGCCATGACGGACAAGTTTGTGGGTGATCTCACATCCCCAGATGGTCTGGGATTGAAGGCCGAACAGGTCTTTTGTGAGAAGTGGTGGTAAACCGTTGGAAGAACACCTGATGTATGTGAATTCAACTTTGGCCGATACTTGTAGGGGTCGCGCAATAAAACATCCGAGGTGAGGCTGACCAACTGGGTGTGAAATACAACATTGAAACGATAGTAGCTCACATATGTATACTCTGGGCACGAAAGTTAGCAAGCACACCGGAACTGTTCCATTAAGGTCCGAGGATCTAAAGCCTAGCTTACTAACCTCCTTTCGAGGTGGAATTACTACAAGCATCGCTGAATGAACATGGGTGGTCAGTCAACATAAACAGGCTCATCCATTCCTCTGATTGCCTCCTTTTCTCTTATCGTCTTCCTCGCTGCTGGTCTGGCCTGCACACTTGATACCACTCTACTTCCCTTGAAAGACTGGATATGGAAGGGAAGGTAGGTACGAGAACGGCAGAAAGGGTACTAACAACGGGCATGACGGAGACTTGCCTCTGGTGGCCTTTTCCAGCGATGTGGGTGCTTTCAAAGTCACCAAAAACACATCAGTAAACTGATTAGATGTGTTGATAACGATAGAGACAGTGACGAGAGTGGACAGTAAAGATGTGAAACAGATATCTTCGCACAACGTAACTTCATTTGTTCCTACACAGTCTTATGGGATGTAATCATAGTCCTCAATCTCCTTGTGTTTAGCCCTCTAGGAAACAAATGGCTTTGTGTTTTCCTAACGGCGACTCTCATGGTTACTCGTCCACCCCCATTCGTTGAGATTCAGACTACCCTGCTTTCGACGCAGGGGTGACGGACTTCGCTTGAGCCATTTTCCCTCCGATATGCTCCTATTTTCAAGATTTTCTGCTGTCGTATCTGCCGCCGCGATATACTCCTGTCGCCCAACGCGTTTGAATTTTCCCATGCCGCCCGTGGACGGGGGTGTCATGTCGTAGTCGGACGAAGATAGTTGTATCTGAGGCGGCGATGGCAAAGGACGCGAAAGGGTCTTACCGAGCTCCCGAGACATTGACGGCAGAACAACTTGCCTAGCAATTCCGATCTCCAACTCATCGCCGCCGCTCGACTCTTCTACGTATGGCAGTAGTGAAGGGGTGACTGAGGGAGCCCGAGTCGACTCCAGGGAAGCTCTTCGCAGCGAAGGTTCGAAGTCTGGCAGCACAGGCAGAAGCCGCAGAGGGTCCGAAGGTTGCCGAATATCGCGCATCATTTTGCTAGGCTGTGGCCATTTTTCCCAGGCAGAACGAATTGGTGTTAACTTGGGTGGAGTTGCAAGGTAGAATGCTCTCTGTGTAGAATGAAACTTCTGTTTTTTCTTAGACTCGTCAATGCCCATGCCGTCCTCTTGGAAAACCGATTCATCGAGCGATCCAAAGCAGAATAGGCCATTTTCGTGAAGATCCTTGGAATCGTTTGTAGGGGCCGGTGTCTTGGGTCGAGTCGGCAGAAGTTTACCCTGCCTCTTCGATGTTGCCACGAGCGCCTCGTAGTGGGACACCGATACAAGATTCAAGGCCTTGAGATTTTCCCAACTGCGGTAGAAGAAGCGGAATGTGGCAAAGGGTGAGTCTACAGGGTCGATTAGAACCCAGTCGTAGAAGGTGAGCTCCTGGGGCAACTCAACGAGCCCACCGGTAGGGGAGCTGAATGTTGAGTTAGTCAGTAAGCCCGGGGGTCTTGGGACGTGTCAGGCGACTTACGTGATGCCGTACCCGTCCTGACTGCGGAAGTCATTGAGTTCAGGGGCTCTCCTTCTCCTGCCCTTCGACCGAAAGACCTGTAGGTCAATGAGGCCACCGTCCAGAGCGGCAGAAGCCTCGAAGCGTGGCGCAAAATGAAAGAAACGTTTCTCTACGCCGTCACGCTTGTAGACGACCCCGCTTTCCCGATACTGCCATTTGCTATCGGGCTCATAGAGAGCGTAACTGACGATCTGATTCTGGATCGCACATGACTTAATGCCCCAGGACACTGTTTGACGTCCATTCATCGTCACTCGGAAGTACAGGTACTTGGTATCGGGAGGGGGTCTGTTGATGGAATAACGCAAGTGGAACTGGGCGCCTGAGTATTCGAACAGTCAGCCTTCGTCAATCAGAGTTGTTAAGAGTGGGACAGTTGAAAAGATTATTACAAACCTAGGCTTGATGGGATGTAGACCGAAGTAGTGGGCTTGAATTTCTCGGGTGTTGAGACGAAACTGGACGAGAGAGACGTCGTCGGGCTGACCGGGTGAGGACCCCGTAGATGAACATATGAAGACTCGGGATGAGGCAGCTCGACGAAGTTCTCGGCATCAGGGCGCGGCACCACCGAGACATCCAAACCTCTGAAACTGGGCATCCTCGCTCTTCTATGGCTGTTCCGTGTGAGTGGACGTGTGGCGAAAGCCAGGAGAAAGAAATCGAAACTGGCGTTGACGAAATTGTACGGAACAGTTTGGTTGCTGTGACAAAGTTAGAACCCAATGTGAGCAAGGCCATCCGTCAACGATGAGGTGCTTGTGGCAGAAGGTGTAAGAAGCAATGTGTAAGAATGAGATGGGCTGCTTCCCTTCACTGCAGAAGGCAAGTACATATTGAGCAGGACCTCCGGTTCGCGCTTTCCTTGGAAAACAGTTCCGCTCCAGGAGAGACCATGGGACCCCGTCTTGCTAGAAGTGACTGAGTTGAATACATATCATCTCAAGCAGTGTTCCATTCATAACTTCACCCACTGGCTCAGGGTTTGCCTCCTCGTTGACAACTGGGACGAAATGAGCAATGGCACCTATTATACAATCTTACAATTTCAACCCTTAGTGAGCATCCAGCATCCATGAATAAGCAAACACTCACCAAAAACAGTCACCATTCGCGGTGCCCTACCACGACTGTTGCGCGCTACGAGTAACAGCAACCTGGTGTCAGCCGCGCTACAGCACGCATCGATTCTGGTGCATAGAAAAGAAAATGATGGTTGGCTATTCGCTACTAGTAGCAACTACCTATCCGGTTCGTGCCATGTATATGTTTATTGCCCCTCATAAGCCCAGCTTTCATCTTATTCAACTCGACCCCGTTACGGCCTTTGTGTCGTCCTCCTTGCCAAGGAGTCCCAGGTTGCGTATTTGTCCCGCACTCGGCGCATTGTCTCGTGCACTGGCCGACTCAGCCTTTCGGTAGGCTGCCTGAAGCGCCCTCGTTCTCGCAGCCTGTAAATCAATTAGTGAGCTACCATTCATTCGCTTCCTCATCCATCGTCGTCATCGTCCTTGTGGTTCGGCGGGTTCAACAAACCTCCTTCTTGTGGTGCAAGCACTCGTAGTAGTCCTCCAAGGCCAAGCCACACTTCTTCTTTCCCGAGTGGTCCTCCCCAGTGGTGTTGACGACGTAGCAGCCGAGGAGCTCCTGCCAGAAGGGGAAGCACCGCGACGGGCCTAGCCGGTGTCATCGGGTCAGTACGGCATCAATGGCAGCGAAAAGGGGTACATACCTCCGTGAAGACCGTATCCAGAGGCCATTGTGGATGTACAGGCGCCAATTGGTGGGTAGGTGAAGCTCAGAGGTCGTCGGTTTGGGTCGTAGAGACACAATCGCGAAGTCCAAAGTCTGGGAGAGTCGTTGGTGATTGTGACCAACGGAAGAGCCCGCGGCTGTTAGGAAATCTCGTCCTATCAGAAGGTACCCGATTCCAATAGCTAGTTTGGCTGCACCTGTGGGTTCTCTCGGCTAGCGCGCGTCTAAGCCTGTCCGAAGGCCGCGAGCGACCCCATGCGTGACTCCACTTAATTATGACGAAGCTAAGGTACCTGCTGCATGTACCCCGACTGAACACGCACTTTAAGGACTGGGAGCTTGATGCCCACATGCATGTCGACTTGTTCGATGCTGCTCAGATAGACCGACGACACTCTCGGTACCTCGCCTGACCAACCCAATACTCTGCGGCTAGCGAACGAAACGACTCTTTACGGCGCACCCGATCCGACATGCCCTGAAGCCACGCAGCATGAGCCTCGTTCTATCCCCGTCAAAGCTGGTGCTTTTGGCGGTTCACCTAGCTATCCATGCCGACGTTGACAGCTTGGCCTTTCTCACCTCCCGACACGCCGCGGTGTTGCGCAAGGAGCTCATACTGCGAATACTTCTGACTTACCTTCCCGAGACGGTCCAATCCAGCGACTATGTATCCTTTCTAGAAGAACTCGCGAACGGCGAGTTCGCTGACCGTGAAGTTGGTAACATCGACTACGCCATCGTAGAGAACCTTTCAGATGAGGATGCTGCGAAGAAAGTTCGGAGGCTCCACTTGTTGCCTCTTGTATGGAAGGATGCACCAGTTGATACAGACGACGACTCGGTGGCTCTTTTTCTGCTCTGTCGTGCTCACCGTGTTGACGAACAAGCTGGGCTGCTCACTCAACTGCCCGAGTTGCTCGGTCCTTTTCTACAATACGCTCCTGGGATCCGCATCTGGATGGTCTCGACCCTGCTGCCGTTATTGCGGAGGAATTACGAGTACTACCCGGCGGACAGCATACCGTACACCCTGGCCGAGTTCCAAAATCTCACTGATGGGGCCGCCGTCGGTGCTCTTCTTTCCCAGACGGGGGTACGGCAGGAGGACTATGGTTTCATCGGGAGAGATCTGAGAGGAATGCTCGTGCCTTGGCTGCACGACAACGCCCGGTGGAAACGGAGCGAGGAAGGTGACTCTTCCGTGGAGACTGTGTCTAGCCCGGGATGGGAGCGTTTTCTCGAATGGCTCCTGGCGCAGAGCTCCAACTCCTGGAGAGTGGCTGTCGCTGCAGTGGAGCAGTGGGGAGGTGCCGTTGATGTCGATCTCGGGGACTATGATGTTGTTTGGATCAGTGAACAGCAACAACAATATCTAGACCAGCGGTATGCTCGGGCGATCATGGCTGGTGCATATCTGGTCCCCGAGGCCACGATTGAAGCGCTCGAGGGCGCTCACCAGATGTTGAGAAAGGTCATGGACTTGTTAGGTCAGGATGACATGTTGTCCTTGCGCGAGGGAGCAGATACTTTGTCTGCTGTTGCTCACTTGGAGGGTGATGGGATTCTGTCTCACAAGAATACGGCGTTCATGCGAGACGATCTACTCAAGCAGTCAAACCCTCTCACTACTCCTTCAAAGAAGTCAACTCATCTGCTTCACGCTCTAATACTCAGCGCGTTCGTCCTAACCCGGGCCGGACTACCTTGTACAATCAAGAGGGTCGGGGATTTGGCGTTCATTCAGGACGAACGAGATCAGAAGGCTGAAGTTGTTAAACTGATTCACGCTATCGCGGAAAGGGCTCCCAAAAATGGCGAGAACTTCTGGATCAAGGCACGAGACGAAATACTCTGGCTCCGGAATTGGGGCATCACCTCCTTGCCGAACGGCCAGGTGATGGGAGTATTTGCTAAGGTTAAGCCGGAGGTCATTGAAACCGAAATCTTGAAGTCACTACTGTCTAGTGCGTGTAAGTTGTCAGCTATCAGAACTTCGCCGCTGTCATTGCTAACAATGCACAGGGTATTCACTCGCAAAGTCTCTATACGAAGATGCTGGCGTGAAGCCGCTGTCGGCACAAATCGTTCAAGAGATTATCGTTGCTGCTGCTCTCAACGCATACGACAACGCATCTAATCCGAATCGCACCAGGGGCGGCCTCAAGAAGTGCGACGATATGTATGTGTCCACCCGCATCGGTTTCTGTTGGCTCGACTGACCAGTGTAGTATCAACGCCTTCCCTGAAACCATCACCAGCTCACTTCCCGAGCGACGCCGAATTGACGCTTTGCTTAAGGCAACGCACGCCCTAAGCGATTACCGACTGGTGCTGAGGCAAGGCGAGCCCTTCAGTCCAGTCGTTCTGCGCGTCCACTCAGACCCCGTCTCCATCATCGGCAAGGTCCTGGAACAGAACCCCAAGAGCTACACACGCATTCATGACCTTTCGGAAGTAGGTTCCAACATGGTCCGTGCAGGACTTCTGGATCGAAACAAAGGGGCAGTCGCCGCCCAGGTTATGGAAGACGAAGAGGCCTACGTTGGTACCGCCGAGAAGCGCATCACGGCCATGTGCATAGAGGCGGCCCTTAAGGAGGACGACTTCGAGACCGCCTACTCGTACGTTGTCAATCGGCTCAGCGGGCAGGTCGATCATTCAAGTACAGCTTCTACGGTGAAGATCGACGACGATTGGTCATGGAGGGCCGCGCTGCAGGCGGGACAATATATAAGAACGGCACGAACGGTGCGCCCGACACACTTGGGTAACGCCAGCGGGAACCCCGATATTCGGCACCTGGAACAGCGCATTGACTGTCTCGCCACGGCCTTGCGTATTGCTCCGCCGTCACAGTTGCAGGAGATCCTTAAGACGTTCCGGCGGTGCGAAGAGCAGCTCGACTCGGCGCTCAAGGAAGAGGCTGCTCAGGAAGCTGACCTCGACGCCGTCGCTGCCAACCTCCACTCGGGTATGCCCGGTGGCTTTGACGCGGCCCCCACGACAGCCCGACCTCAAAAGCCATTGGATCCTCGGCAGACCCGTTCGTCAGCGGGCACGAGCAAGGCCGGCGACGACGCGCCGATGTCGTTGTTCGACTTGTCCCGCGCCACGGCCCGCGCGGCCTCACGTAACTTTGCGGCTCTTTCCTCGCTGCAGCAGTCTGCCGGCGGTAAGGCTCCAGCTCCCGCTCCCGCTTCGGCGGCGTCATTGGCTGGCAGCGATGGGGATCTTCACGACGACCATCCTAGAGCAAGGAAGCGTGACCAGCTTCGTGAGGCTGCAATGGGAACATTGACATCGGGCGTGGGCTGGCTGATTGGTGCGCCTGCGTCTAATTCGCAGCAGGCGTCCAGAGATGACTGAGGTGCAGAGATGGTATATGCGATACATAGTAGTCACAGGACACGAGTGAATGAATGAATGATTCCCCTGCCAGCGATGAAGCACTCGACGTGTAACGATGACCTATGAGAATTGACCAGGATTACAATGGATGCGAAGATCATGTACCAACGAACTCAGTTGTTACTTGCGGTACATAAGGCTGTATAAGTATTCCTGGTCTCGAACCTACGTGGTTGGCTTTCGTGAGCTCACATTGAGGGGTGTATAGCGATACTCCCACTCTGCAGGTACGAGCCCAAGGCTTCATTCAGCACGACTTGGTCAAACAATACGTCTAGGCCTATGATACCCATCCCCAATATGCCCGCTTTGCCAGGACGAGCTGGGAGTAGTTCTCACAAATCATCCACTGGATCATTACAAGGTCGGTAGAAATGTTATGCCGAAGGTTTATACCCCAATGCACTGGGACGAACCCTCGCAACGCAAAACACCAGGCCACTTCACTTTGGGGCAACATTCTTTAAAGTGGAAGGGACATCCCTGTCAGGAAATAACAAACAAGCCGCTTCGACAAACGTAGAAACCCCTTGTCAAGACTGAGACAAACCAGACGATGTCGAACGAGGGGCAGGATGGCTGGCAGAAACACGTTCACTGGAATTAACGTGGCTCCGTAATGGTACAACTTCAATATGGTCAAGCGTGGTTCAAAGATTATTGGCAAAAAGGGCCAAGCACGACTAGTGTCTGCATTCCTAGTCAAAGATGACCAGTTTACCTTTAGCTGTTCATTGCTAAACCATCAGTCTTGCTCATAATCATTGGTGAGGGGGATACCTTTTCTTCTTCTTTTTTCCTTTTGTTCATTACACGAGCCTACCAAGGCTTGACTGCAACCTGGAGACTAGTGGCAACCAGCTCGAGGATGCGAAGCAAGGGCCACGATTTGGTTGTATCTCGCGTCGTTGGCTTGTGCAAGGGTGACGACGAGATAAAGAGCAGTGGGCGTGAATGGCGACAAGGCGTTTCATTTACGACGGAAAGGTTGAAACTTGGCGTTCAGGCGGCACAGTTACGGTTTAGTTGTATTTAGGGACGCGGTTGTCATTCATGTTGCATTGCTGGTCAACATCTTATCATGCTGAGATTTGCGAAAGAGCCATGCCGGATTTGCGAAGCCGTTTCAAACTCGACTGGACCCGAAGCGGGACGCGATAAATAATGGTACAAGGTGAAATTGGTTTGCGTGAGGGAAACAGTCGTGGACCACCGCCGGCCCACGAAGTGGTGTAGTAACGAAAGTGCTGATCCACGAGGGAAAGTGACTGTCACTCCGGCCAAAGCCTGTCGACGCCTGCCGTTTTGCCGTGTTGATTGTTTGCCAAAGCTACCATAAAAGACCGCCAGACATTCGTCGAACTGCAAAGACCGAGTCCATAGACAGATGCCAACTGAAGGCAGCTGATTCTTGCCTACAGCCATCATCAACGAGAGGCTGGGGCTAAGGAGCCGTGAGCCACGCAGGCCGAAATCCCCATTTTGTGTTCCATCCCAGACTAGTTGTAGTGCACAAAAACTCCAGAGACGCAATTTTTGGGATATCCGCCGTAATCGATCGCACTATGAAAGATGAAAGGGGTGAGGGCCATCAGTCGCCATAACAAGGCGCATTGACGGCATAAAAGATTCGTGGAATCAGCGAGAGCCTAGAACAGTCAGCATCGGCGACAAACTGGGAGAAGATAGGCATCAGGAGCTCCAACCTCCGTAGGGCTCGCGGCCCTCAGAGCGGGCAGGGGCATCAGCATAGGCTGCGCCGCCAGCAGGAGGGTCGCGGGAGCGAGGTCCATCACGGCCGCCGCTGCCAGTGTAGGTGTCGTCACCGCCACGCTCGCGTCTCTCGTAGCCGGCAGCACCACCGCCGCGGCGGTCATCACCGCCACGAGCATAGCGGTCGCCACGGTCCTCACGTCCGCCGCTGCCGTAGCGGTCGACACGGCCGCCGCTGCTGTAGGTGTCATCACCGCCGCGCTCGCGTCTCTCGTAGCCGCCAGTGCTGCCGCCACCACGATCTTCGCGGTAGCTGCGGTCATAGCCACGGTCCTCACGGTAACCACGCTCGTAGCCACCGCCACGGTCTTCGTAGCCGCCGCGGCGCTCGTAGCCACGATAGCGGTAGGGGTCATCGCGGCCGCCGCCGTAGCCACCACCTCCGTAGCCGCCACCGCCGCCGCCGTAGCCACCTCTGCGGCGGTCGTCGTAACGGTCGTTGAATCGGCCGCCACCGCCGCCACCACGTCCCTCTGTCGATTGTCGCGTAAGTGAAGGTTTCTGCCAGGACGGTATTGAAGGGGAACTTACCACGCTTAGGAGGGCCAAAGTACTTGCCGGGAGTGGGAGTGCGAGGACGAGCACGGCGAGCCTTCTCAATGCTGAGGGTGCGACCCTCAATCTGCTCTCCCTGGAGACCCTCCTTGGCAGCGTCGGCCTGGTCGGAGGTGACCATCTTGACAAAGCCAAAGCCACGGGACTCCTTGGTGTGAGGGTCGCGCATGATCTGGCACTTTTCAACGTCGCCATACTTCTCAAACATGCGAGTGACCTCCTGTTCGGTCAGACGAGGATGGATGCCAGTGACGAACAGGTTGGAGCCAGGGTTGATGGCACCGTCGTCGTCGCCGCCCCTGGAGCCGGTCTCATCCTTGGCGCCACTAGGATCAGAAAGAGGACGTGTCAGCGATTGAACAAACATAATGGATGGGTAGCTATTTCATCAATGAGGGATTGCTTACCGGTCGCGGTCACGGTCGCCGTTGCCAGAAGGGGAGGCAGAGCGACGACGTCCAGAGTCGCCGTCATCACGCGCAGGGCGAGGAGAGGCGCTGCGGTTGTCGCGCTCGTAACGAGGAGCCTCGTCTGTATCGCGTACATCTGTCAGTGCCTCGTCGTGCTGAGAGCGGCGGTTTGTATCGAGATAAAACGAACCATCGTAGCGGTCGCCGTTGGCGGCCTCGTAATCCATAGAAGTGGTAGCCATGATGATGATTGATTGATTGAGCCGGCGAGTGGTGTTGGGTCGTCGGCGGGTTTGGGGGGTGTTGATACTTTGTAGAATTGGCCAACAACGCGAATTGCCGGTGACGCAGACTCTTCTGTTATGGGGATTGGTCAGAAGGAAGGATGGAAAGCGGATCGGGACCCAGCAAGAAGGGGGCCTTTTTGGTGGAAAATAAGGAAAAGGATCCGTAGAGAGAAAGAGACGAGAGGAAAGTGCGAAGAAGGTTATTACAATCGTCAGCAATTAGTTAGATGACGAAGGGCATCAATTGAGGAAGCGACGTGGCTTGGAGGTGCCGGGTGTGGGAGTGAGAGTGAGGAAGGTAAAGAAAGGTGAGGTGAAGGAAGGGACGTTGGAAAGCCAGAGCGCGAGGGAGAGGAAGAAAGGAAGAGGTCTGCCTGCCTTGTCTATCTTTGCTGGTGCTGTAGGAGGTGTGGGAGGAGGTGTGTGCAGGTGGGTGTGCAGGTGCAGGCAGGTGAAAGGTGTTACGCAGTACCTAGGTAGGTGCAGGCCCAGTGGCCCTGCTGCTGCGACGGAAGGGGAAGTGAACTAGCAAGGTAGGGGGGGGCAGAGCACCTGAATGGCTAGCCTGGTGCAAATATAGGCAGATACCTACCTGCAAGTACAGTGTGCAAGGCGAACCAACGGGCCACTGGAAGTACGTAGGCAGCAGGGGCGTTGTGCTGTGTGGCTTGTTGGTCGAGCAAGGCAGGGCGGGCAAAGGAGGCGAAAGGGAAAGAGAAAAAAAAAGTGATTGATGAATCGATTGATTGACTGATTGCCTGGGGGGGCCGTGAAGGGTGGAAGGACTACGACAAGGGGGCATCAGCAGAGACCAGAGGCCAAGAGTCAGAGAAAGGGAAAGACACAACTGTGCGCCAACGAGCTTGGCGTTACACTACTCTCCCTTCTCCCTGTCATCCACTGACCAATGAGGGGCCACAATGGCCCTGCTGAGTGAGGCATGGATCCACATCCAAGTCAGCGTTTTAGGGACCTTGGTACCTGAGGTTTAAATTCTATTTTCTTTCGGTTGCTACGGTGCATGCAAGATGAGATGCGTATGATACTCTATCCCATTTGCTGGGTTTCTATGCAAACTGTTTGATTGGCAAGGGATTGCATCTGGAGTTTCTGAGAAGCCATCGAGCGTTGTTAAGTAGACCATCTAGCAAGCGATAGCAATGACAAAGATATGCTTGAATGGGGGTACAGGCTTCCCCTAAGTACTCATATTGAATTGGAAAGACTTCCCCAGCTGGTTGACGAGAGATCTTGTTTTAGCGTTCAGTGAGTCCGGGAACATAAGCTCGTGACCCCCCACAATAACGTATGCACAGACCACAATTCTCTGGTCCCGGTCTTTGCTGGTCCCGAACTGAGATACGCACATACTATAGTAGTCTTCTTCTGATGGATTCATGACGTTTCATTAGATCATGATTGCAACTGTTAACCAAGGCCGTTTCAATCCGATGACAGACTACCTAGAGGACGTGCTCTAGGATCTCAGTCTACATACTAGCCTTCTTACCATGTCAGGCGCCGTCGGATACAGCTTAGCCTGCCACTTAAGAATATACCCTTCATATGCTGTTTCTCGTGGTTCTAATGGGCTGGGATCGCATGCCTCGCATGCCCCAACAACCGCAAATCCCCTAGTAAACAGGCATTCGAGTCTGCCATGTCCAACCCAGAACTACAATGCCTTAAAGGTCGTCCATCACCTGTTGCTCCGACCCCAGAGAACCCGCGATAAACATCTCAGCCTCAAGTGCTTTGCGGACATCTACCTCGGCAAACGCCTCCGGTTCATCCAGGAAGCTCAGACCCCCGACGGCCTTGCCGCCGCAAGCCCTCTCCAGCGCCAGGAAGGCAAAGTGGCCTCCGACTACGGGCCTGGCCATGAAGTGAGGGCCTGGCCATCCACCAGTACCCTCTGTCTCGTAAAGATCTGTGAAAGGCCGGTCTGCGACAATGAGTTAGCCTACTTTTAACCGTTGGTGGTGATTTCTTCAGCCCGCTTACCAGTCGTCGTCTCATTAACCCAAGTCGCAATGCTCTGAAGGATCTCCGTGCGGGTCTTCTTGCTTGTGACGGCCGCGGCAAAGAACTCCCAGTCGCTCTTCGTATATAGGTGACGACTATCGAGCGGGAGCCCGTAGTGCTGTAGCACCGCGTGGTACCAGTTGCTTTGCATGCTGTACACCTTGTCCGGGACGAACGTCGACCGCGCCTTGATGCCTATGGCCTTTTGGAACCACCCCATGAATTGTCCGCCGTGCGTCGATGGCTTCTTCTCCTCTGGCAGATGGAAGCAGAGTAGCGAGTCTGCGTAGAGGTTGTAAATGGTCGTCCAAGACCCATACCATGTGTAAGCCAGCTTGGCGTGGGTACCGTCCCTGGAAATACCGAAGCCTTGCCACTTGTCAATGTAGTCGGTCGCAATATCCGTGTAGTACTTCGCGTCGTCCGTCTTGCCCAGGACGTTGGAGATCTCGGCCATGGCCTTAATACCGATGATGCCCTTGAGAGCCAGGTTCGTCTGGTTCGCGAGCCACCCGGCGAAGTCGTCCGTGCAGAGCTGGTTCGCCGGAATGAGCGATTCGCGAACCAAGTATCCCGTCCACTTGGTCCAGAGCTCGTACGACCGGGACACCCACTTCTCGGCTTCCTTGGAGCCTCTCATAGCAACTTCGGCCGAGGAGCGGTCTATACCGTACGAGTCCATAGATAGAGCCCATGGCTGGACGCTGCTAGTTTCTGCTTCGAATTGACCGTGGGCGCGTGCATGACCCTCAACAGACTGAAGGAATGCCGGCTGGGTGTCGTACTTGAAAGCGTTGACAAGCGCTAGGCCCATGATGAGCATGTTACCACACTCTTCCACAGGCATGTACTCGTCTCTGCCGTCGGAATGACCAGTGGCATTAGGAAAATGGGCGCCCAGATCATGCATGCTATAGTCGTTGGGGTACTGTCCGCTCAGCTGGTGCTCGAGTAAGGGTTCCAACAAGTAGGCGAGCCAACGGGGATTCGTGTACAAGAAAAATGGGAACGCGGGGAAGATCACGTCAACCGTCTGGAAGTTTCCGTTGGAAGAGATCTCCTTGAGGAACAGGATGGGGTTGTCAGGAGTTCCCGAGAACTGCGTGGCACCCAGTACCTGGCGAGCGGACAGCGCAGCAATGTCCTGGTAATCCTGAGAGCCCGAGGCAAACGCGTCGATAGCCAGCTGACCAGAGTAGTTGCTAGCCAGCAAGCTGGCCGCGGAAAAGTCGTCGTAGTGGTACTGTACAAGCTCGATGGGCGTGGCAAAGTAGAAAGACCACAGGGGGCGCATCTGCGTAAGTCCTCTAGCAGCCGCAAACTGGACCACAGGGTCCTGAACAAGGGCAAAAGTGAAGAGAACACTGTCCGCTGATGCCGTCCCAGAACCAGTCTTGTTGCTCAGGTGGAAAGTCTTGGAGAAGGCAAAGACTGGCTCCTCGTCCATGATCTTTCTAAACGAACCATCGACCTCGTTCTTCAGGGAGCCCTTTGCCGCAAAATGCTGGCGCAAAATGCCAGAGGTTCCAGCTTGATGGGAAGCGTCGGCCGGCCCAGTGAAGTGAAGTGTGCCCCATTCCGCGTGGTCGGCGAATTCGGTAAGCAGCTGCTGCGACTGCCTGCTTACCTTCCAAGTCTTGAGAGCAGCCGTCTGCTCTTGCAAGGCCTTTGGCTTGCTCAACTCCCAGATAATGCCATTATCCCTGTTGCCGCTAACCCATTCGCCATTCACGTCAGTATAGATGCTGATGTCGAAGGAGCCCTCGACGTGGACAGTCAGATACGCAGCAGGAATCGACTGGCGAAAGGTAGACGTGGGCGTGATGGGCGAGAGAAACGAGAGCACGACTTTGACAGGTCCAGAGGCTCCCGAAGGCGGGGGGATTGAGTAGGACAGGTTCGTTGTCGATGCGTCAAAAGCCGCGCCCAAGTAAGTTGGGAAAGACAGGTTGTAGTTTCAGAAAGAATGTCAGCACGCAACCATCAACGACACGGGAGCGCCTATAACACACTTGGAGGACGGGGGCAAGGAGTCCTGAGGCCGTCCTAGCAAAGGATATACAGTGTTGGAGTCCGACACAGAGGCCATGACGGAGAAGCCAACCTGACAAGCAGCTTCAAATCAGCGAGTACGAACATAAGAAGCGGGCGACAGGCCAAACAGCGCTTACGCTCGAGCCCGTCCAGAAATAGGGCCAGTGTTCCCACGGCGCATCGCGAGCGTTGCCCAGCCAGGTGCTGAGGTACGGATTGCGGACAATCAAAGGAAGGACGGGAGGCGTCAAAGTCGAGGCGCTGGCCATCACGGCGGCGACCAGCAGCGAAGAGAGGCGCATGGTGGAGAGAGCGTCCCGAGAACCAGCTCCGACAACAGACAGGAACTGCGGATCGGGTAGTCGCCCAATGAGCAGAACTTATCACAAGGGGACGGGCAACTGGTCAAATATGAGGTAGAGGATAGGAGATATGGGCGCGCCTCCTTGCGATGCGAAATGAACAAGGGCGCAGGAAAAGAACCAGCGGCAGTTTTGCACAGAGCAGGAAGAGAGAAGATCAGGTGGGGTGAGGTGAGGTGAAGAAATGTAAGAAGAGGATGTCTCGGACAACCTGACCCTTCCTCGGCCCTGTTTTACACCAGCTCCAAGAGCACAAGCATCATACCTAAGCTCTACACTAGGCACCGCCAGCACACCAAGGAAAGGTATATGGTACCTAGATATGGCACGGGAACAGTTGGAGAAATCTGGGGTCGAAGCTTACGTGCCGGTCACAGGTAAAGCGGCATGTACGTCAGGAGCTGCGGGTTCGGCGGGTCAGGTGGAGGACGCTGCGAGAAACAAGGCTGGGCCTCCCGTCCTGCCGATGGACTGATGGCGAATCAGAAGAGCGGTAGGTGACTCGATTGGCACCAATCAAACACTAACTGCCGCGCCACAAGCCCCTGTTTTGCGGGACAGCGGGGCAGCTTTGTGCGGGGTTTGAAGAGCTGCCTCGAATCGAGAGTTCAAGTTGCGGATGCTTCCTCCCATTCGGCTCTGTCACCTGGTCTTTGTAAACTTTCGAGAGGAACAAGCCGAACTCATGTCAAACATGGTCCCAACGAGTTGGTCCAAAGTTCAGATGTGAGGTTCGGCAAGGCTGTCGGCCTTTGACGTGATCATATCTTGCTCGTTTAATATACACACACTTGCGGCCCTCTTAACATGCTCGTCTTAATAGTTTAGAAGAGCACCAATAAACAACTGCTTATTCCGCCATGGATGGAATGTTGAAACAAGACTCCCTGGACGACTGAGTCAAGGAAGGTTACTCCCTTCAAGACCTGCTATATGCCTTCTTGTTCTTCTGATACTGGAGACTTGGGGCCTCGGACACCACCGCTGACCATCATGGGGAAACCCCCAAAAACTCTCGCCTGCCTCGGTCCGGGTCAAGTGCATGCGAACTAGATGTTCTAGTTACAGATAAGTCATCCGATTGGGCAGCGGCTTTGCGTCGGAAATGCGGAACATTCTCCAGGCTCTACACTGCATTTGAGGGTTATTCCTCATGATGAGCTCTGGCCCACCTCCGTCCTTTCCTGATGCTCACTTTCTGGGCGAACTTATACCAAAATCTCGCACAGAGTCACTTTTGTAAAACATAGGCCTACTGATACCATGGCATCACTCGAAGGAAAGGTATATGCCTTTACTGGCGGTGCCAGTGGCATCGGTCTTGCAACGGCAAAGATTATCGCAACGCGGGGTGCCACGGTGTGCATTGCGGATGTCGACCCGGACGCTATGAAAGACGCCGAAGCCTACTTCAAGGAGCAGAAGACGCCCTTTTCCGTGTCAAAAGTCGACGTCTCTAAGAAGGACGAGGTTGAGGGTTGGATTGACGGCATTGTAAAACAGTTTGGCCGCCTGGACGGGGCTGCCAACGTGGCCGGTGTTATAGGCAAGCATCATGGTATCCGGGCCATCGCCGACCTCGAGGATGAGGAGTGGCACAAGATCATTGCCGTCAACTTGACGGGTTGCATGTATTGTCTCAGGGCGGAACTCAGAAACATAGCGGACGGTGGCTCCATTGTCAACGTGGCATCGATTCACGGCATCAAGGGTACGTCACGCCTCCTTACTGCCTGGTGTACGAAGCTCTCTTTCTCTGACCAGCTCACAATAGGGTTTGCCAAGCATGGGGCATACGATGCCAGCAAGCACGGAGTGATCGGGCTCACCCGAGCGGCAGCCAACGAGAACGGCGCCCGCGAGGTCCGCGTCAACGCCGTGGCCCCCGGCGCAATTTACACGCCGCTGATGGAAAAGGCCTGGAAGTTTCACAACCGCCCGTCAGACGCCGCCTTCGACGAGCCAACGGCATTCCAACGCCAGGGAACCGCCGAGGAGTGCGGAAATGTCATCGCATTCCTGCTCGGCCCAGAGAGTTCTTTCGTGAGCGGCAGCGTCTATCAAGTCGATGGAGCGTGGCTCTAAACCACATGCGGCTTGCCTAGGCCTGCGAGGGCAGGTAGCCCCGCTAGATTTAACGCTGGAAATGTTTTCACCAAACATCAGACGGGTCAACCTCGTGCTTCTCGCCATCGTCTCTAATGTGCTGGAGCTTCGTATCCCTCTTCATCGGCTTCCTCATGTCGTAAGCGTCCTCGCTGTCACGCGTAGGGTCTGTAGCATGGTCGCCGTAATAGTCCTTGACCACGCGGAAGACACTGTAGCCCATGCTCTTGTAGAATGTAATTGCCTTGTGGTTGCTCGTACGGACGAAAAGATCGACGAACCAGGCGTCGTTGGCGTCGGCGGCGGCTTCCAACTGCTCGGACAGTATTTTGCCAATTCCCAGTCTCCGCGCTTCTGGCGCAACGGTCAGGGCCGTAATGTGGGCGTGCCATGGAAGGTAATGTTCAGAGAATTTGTATACATCGGGTGATGATTCGAGCTTGCCCATGACTAGAGACTCAAGTCAGACAAGTCGAGCGAACCGTGAGTTTGGCATCAGACGTACTGTAGCCAATGATGTTTCCATTCATGTCCTCGCAGACCTGGAACATGGAGGGCCACTTGGCATGGTACTGAAGGTAGAAGGCAAGCTCGTACGTCTCGGTGAGAGGGTCGAGATTGCACTTGGAGAATTTGTTGACATCATCAGGACGAAATCGGCGAAACGTGGCCATGGCTATCGAGGGTGAAGATGGGTTTGGCGATCAGTCGCGGAGGGGTTTCGGGGCCGCAAGGGAGGAGGGGTCGGTGCTGAGGCTGTCAATAGTCGGTCGATGGAAGCTGCTGGGCGCTTCAGGACAACTATCAACAACAGGAGCCCCGGGTCCAGCTAATGCTTGGGGATTTTCCTCCGCAAAACAGCCGCAAGAGGAATATTCCTTTCAGAGCTCTTGTTCGCTTAGTGCCCGATAAGGGACGATAACGGGCAAACCTCAATCAAGGAAGATTGAAAGTGGGTTTGTGGTTTTTTTTTGGTTTTTTTTTTGGGTTTGTTGTTCGTTTCCGTATTGCTGACATAAGGCAGCGCGTAGGTACGCGGATTGTCGGGTGGGTCCAAAGCCTCGCCTGCGAGGTACAACCCCTTAGTGAATCGTACGGAAGGATACTTCGATCACTAGATGCAGGCACTATAAGGTGCCCCCAAATGTCCCTTTTGGGGGTACGCAGCGGTCAGAGGTTCCTGAGACGTAGGACAAAGGGAAACGGCAACGCAACACCATGCAGGACACTTGGAGGGCGGCAACAACTCGGCGAGCAGCATTTCGAGTTTCTTCTTCCCTCATTTCCTCCACAACAAGCCGAACCGTTCACCTTCAATCTCCCTCTTCACACGGCACACCATCCCCGGACCGACGAGGGTGACGCACAGGCATAGTAGCCAGCCCTTATTAAACTACAGTACTTTAGTACCCATACACGCATCGGCTGACAATCCAAACAACAAAGCAGAGCCCCCAAATTGCATTAACTGAATCACTGGGCGCCAGTCACACAATCATATCAGCCCGCTACTAAGATTAATAAGAGAGGTCACAATCTCAGGCTCGCCTGCCATTCACATTACTCTATCTATGACCTGGGAGCACCCGGCGTTGACCTCTGCTCCGCCCAAGTTTGTTTTTGCGCGACCGCTGCTCTTGTCTTCAAGCGCCAGTCCGTTTTGACATCCTTTCACAGCGCCCTCCACTTGGATGTTCCTTGTTGTCAATTTGATGCGACAACCCCTGTCGTTTGTTACTGTACCAGCAACCCCCGGGTCAAGCAAGCAACAACATTGCATACACACTCGACTGTTTGGATTGCCAGCACAAGTACGTCGTGGAGCGTCATCGACCAGACTTTTTCCCTACCTATAAGTGTCCTTTGCACGGCATTGTCGGACCTGCACTACACCTCACCCCCGACCGAGCGACCATCAGTACTCAGCCTACCTGTCACGATGCCGCAGACTCCGGGGCACTCTCGTAACCCTTCGAGCGTCGATGCCTCGTACCAATACAACAGCGTCAACTCGTCCCCTCAACGTAGACGGACATCAAGATCCTCCGCCAACGATCCCGCGACGCCTTTGCGAAGTAGCTTCAACACCCAAGATGCCCTAGATATCTCGTACGCCGGCGGTGGCATGGACGGTGGTGGTAATGGCTTGGGCAACCTCGCAGACGAGCTGGCCGACGCCTTCTCCGATTCCGGAGACGAGGGGGAATACTACGAAGAAGACAACGACAACAACAACAACAACAACAGCAACAGCAACGGCAATGGGACGCCAAATATCAACGTCCAAGAGGCCGACAGACGAGCCAGCGGGGCAGAAGGAATACGAGACAGCGGGGTCGACGTTGCCAGTCTTGGTGAAGCCAGCGGCAAAGCGAAGAATATAAATCTGGGTCCACCGCCACTCGCTCAACGCGGCCATCGACGGAGTGGGAGCGAGTACGACGGCAGCGAGTATGGTTCCGAGTCAGATCTCGACTCTCCCGGCATGCTGCCCAGTCTGGTGGCCAAGATGGACGCTGTCGAGTCTTTGGCTAGGAGAGGAACGGAGAGCAACGGAGGGCCCACGGACGGAGTTTTCCACCGTGTCACGGAAGGCTTGAGAGATCTGGGCTCTCAAGCTGGTGTCGAGGGTAGCGCAACGAGGTATGCATAAACTGACTTCCTTGCGATATGGTGCCTTACTAACGATTGCAGACTTATCACTGCCCACTCGGCCCTCACGACTCACCTCACGCATCAGACCCGTCAACTACACAACCTCACTTTCCCTCTTCTCTCGCCACTTGTCCCGCCCCCTGACTCCGAGACGATTGACGAACTATTGCCCCTTTTGATTGAACTATCCGAGTCGATGCCCCGCCCGACAACGAAAGCCTTCGACTCTCTGACAGCTCTCCATACCTTAACCTCGGACCTTGTACAGAGCCTCAACTATCTTTCAGATACGCTCCATATGTCCAGACAAACCACGACCACGGCCACGCGTCGCTTGAAAAGCGCCAAAGAGCTGGTCGCAGAGATTAGAAGGGAGGAAGAGCTTCGCGAAGAGGGCGAGCGATGGCTGAACAGAGGTAACTGGAGCGAAAGGCTGGCCAAGCGTGAGTGTGCCGGGGTATGCGGCGATGTCGTAGGCGGTTTCGAGGAGGTCTGCAACGGCTGGCGTGCCCGGCTACTGGAGCAAGCTGGCTCTGCTCAAGCTTGAGGAGGCTGAGCACAATTGCTTATTGACAAGGTCCAAAATGCGGACGATTGGATCACTACCGAAGCTCAATTCAGAGACTCGACAGGCTGATCACTCATGTTCCCAAGGGTAGCTGAGGTTGGATTTCGGAGTGGCATAGAAATGAGGGCGTGCTTTTGGGTAGACCCTGGACTTGGCGGCTTCCAGCACTCGCAAAACTTACTAGACTATATGAATTTTCACGAGTTGATGAATACGACAAGCAATGCAACAAGGGGAAGTCTTGCCTTAGAAACCAAAGCAAAGAAAGATCGACCCGACTCTTTCACTGAGCGCTGGATGCTTACTGATGTCTACGAGTCCGTATTTGTTGGTTGGGGCAGATAGCACAAGACTCGGGCCAGAAAGAAGACACAAAGCACGGTCATCGATGCAGTCAGTCAATGAAGTCGCATCAATAGGCCGGTTCGAAGTGTCCCGTCTGTTCTGTACAACTGGGGAAGGGTTTTCTTCGTGTCTACTCACGATAACAAGATTTCGATGAGCTTCCGCGATTTGCGGTTCCAAACAATATCATTATCTTGTATCGAGTGGCTAATATTGCAATACCGCATTAAAGTATATGTTATGTCTGTCTGTCTGTCTGTGTGTTTGTGTGCGCTGGCCGTATCCAGAAGACTTTGTCTTTCTGTCCACCATTCCAGACCATACATCAAAGGAACAACGTTACGCTTGGAAGCATTTGACATAGCGTTACCGCCCAGAATTAATCATTAGCAAGCAAAGGGTTGCATGGTATCAAGTGTAGGAAGAGGGCAACCCGCAGCAACCACCATTAAGAATATCAAAACGCCACACCTTTATGACGGCGAAGCTCGCCCCTAGTGTAAGACAGTGCATCGGGCACTTGACTTATTCATCCTCCAGCCTTACCGTGTACGGACTCCGAGAGAGCCCTCCGTCTAGGTCGTCGAAACTGCGAGGGGTCACGGGTCGACGTGACGCACTGACGGGCCCCCGGCTTAGCTTGCTTGATAGGCTCACTCGACTCGCACGACTCGGGGGACGTTCAAGTCCGTCTGTGTCAAAGTCGACGGCGGATCCGTCGACCTCGTCGCGCGCCCGGTTCATGGCGGCGAAGCCTGCGAGGCTCATCTTGTCGTCGACCGATGGGCGCGGCTGTTGCTGACCCGAGACGGGTCTGCGCAAACGACCTTCAACGGGGGGCGCTTCTTTGCGGCTCTTGACGCCGGCCTCGGTCTCGTCGTCAACGAGGATGACCATCCACACACCTACGGCACCGTTGCTGCCCAGGAGGGGAGTGCAGTGGATCCAGCGTATGCGACCCTCGCTGCTGGACTTGCTAATCCAGCGGACTTTGGCCGTGACGCCATGGCCGTCGGCGAAAGCGTGCGAGAGGCCCTCGCGCACGCGGTTGGAGCCGCCTATACGGTCCATGAAATTTGACTGGAGAATGCCCGGTAGCCGGAGGGACGGTGAGGCGAAAAGGATGCGAAGACTGGGGTAAGGGCGAACAAGGAGGTAGTGTTCATACACGCCCGAGAGCTTGCCGCTCGTCAGGGGTATTGCGGGATTGGATTGGTGAATGGAGGAGGATTCGTCCTGGATGAGGATGCGAGGCTTGTGCCAGTTCTTCGATGTTGCGGCTTGGTTCTCGTTCTGTGGCACACGGTGCATGTTCCCGCCTCGCCTGCGAACAGTCTCAAGCTCGGCCATGTTAAACATCTCGCTAAGCTCCTGGAACTCGTCCTTCTCTTCCTCTTCGTCCTCGTACTTGTTCTGCCCATTGCTGGCGGCGGCTGCAGCCTCTCTCTCGACGACCAGACTTTGTAGAGCTTCAAGGTCGGAGCTCTCCTTGGCGAGACCTGAGACGTCCACTTGGGCACCAATGAAGTAGCGGACTGTGCCGCGGCTATCGTATAGTGGTGCCACCATGAGGAGGTTCATGAAAGGCGAGCCGTCTCGGCGGTAGTTGAGGAACGTTTCGTAATGCTCCTTCCCGGCCAGGCACTTCTCGCGTAGTCGCTTCACGCTGTAAGGATTTGTCTTTGGACCTTGGAGGAAACGACAGTTGCGGCCGATGACATAGTTCATTCCATACTGTGTTGTTCGGTGGAATTCTGCCGCCATGTTAGCCAACGTACACATCACAGCCCCAAGGAGTAGGGTACGTACCCTCAGACGCCATGACAATGGGGTTGTCATGCCTTGACGGATCCGTTAAACAGAAAACTTCCGCCAATCCTTCCGACATCTCTCTGAGCTGGACGGGAAGTGTTCCAGTAATACGCCGCTTGATCGACATACTAACTGTCTGGATCCACATGTATGTAATGTAAGCGGGGAGGTCTTCTTGTACAAGGATGTCGAAAGCAGCCTCTGCTTTCTTCTCCAGCGAGGTGTTGATTGTGCGGTCAGTGCTCGCCGATGAGAACTCATGCTCTGGCAAAGCATCTAAGCCATTTGTAATGGCGTTTGCGTAGGCGATGGCACGTAGTGCCTTTAAACAGTCAAGGTAGTACGTCAGGAGGGGCAGCGTGTCAGGGCGGGAGGAGTGGAGGAAATCGGTAAACCGCTGAAGGAGGATATGGTTTTTGAAAATGGCCTTAAGGTGGTCCTTCGAGAAGAGGAGTTCGGACCGAGCCTCCAACGAGTACTGTCCGCTGTCGCCATGTGAAGGTACCACGAGGTCGAAGGAGCCTGGTTCAATCTCTTCCTCGGCCAATGGCTCGAGGATCTCGTCATCACCCGCGCCCTTGGTCTGCAGAGGCGGGAGTGAGGTGTTGTTCGTTTGATACGATGACGTGGTCGAATTGGCTCTTGACCTTGAAGATCGGGTACGAGGACTTCTCGGCGGGCTCGAGGACGTATGCCTCTGCTGGATGTGGATGGGCTCAGGAGACTTGACTCTTCCCCTAGAAGGAATTTCAGGAGACTGTACGGCACTACAATGTTTTGTCAATTTTTGCCGTTCTCGTGGTATCTGTCTCAGGTCCCGGGTTCTGTGTGCTTACATTTTGTCGTGCTTGTGGGCTATGGAGTTGGGGTTGATAGGCCTTTGATGTGTGGCCCAGTTCTTGTCGTCATCTTCCCAAGCTTCCTGGAATCGTGACGGGTTGAGTGCCTGATTTACAGGACGCTTGAAGGGAATGTCAGGAATATCAGCTCCGCCATCATCCGCATCCATTGCTCCCTGCTGCTGCTGCTGGTTGCGGAGAGATGTAACACTGAGAGAGTTGAAGCCGGCCATCTGGGGTTGTATGAGTTCGCCGTGCCTTTGTCGGCGATGATTGGTGTTGGTAGGAGAATCTTGAGCCATGTGCTTTTTGCGCCGGAACAGTGTTAGCACAGAACGTGGCCCAAAGTCACGAGCCGGTGATGGGACATGTTCTTGGGACATGGCTGCTGGTGGGAACGGAGAGTGGTTTATATTGGGCTCGCTTGAGGATGTTTGTAGGGTGGGGGAAAAGGAGCATCAAATGTCAAAGAACAGTAAACATGGGGCGTTCAAACCATTGGCCTCCACAACGTCATCCAGCCAGAGACAGGGCAGCGCCATTCCGACAGCGGGAAGGGTGATCAAAGAGGAGGGGCGCGGCAGAGACGAAGCTATGGCTAGGAGGGCGTGTGAGTAAAGATCAACGACTAGCTTCACCATTGACAGACGGGCGGGGAGAGTAGGCACAAGCGGTATGTCAGGCACATGTGCTTCGTGAACGGACCAGTTTATTTTGTCAGGTACCCGTCCGACCGTACCTTGTCTTCTGCCTTTAGCTCAAAGCAGGCACTCGTCGACTTCGGCGGCAAACGAGAAAAGGACACACACCCGCAGGGTGGTGTTGCAGGAGGTTGTGGGAGGGTAAATAGTCGCTACCAGTGGGACAGAGTTTGCCAGTCGACTTTCCGCCGAACACCAAGATCATCAACTAGCCGCCAAACTTAGCGTAGTTCCAGGCAGTACAAGGTATTTTTCATGAATGAAAGGGCGGCATCCAGACATCAACGTCAACGAGCCTTTGTTGATTTGCTGGCAGGCCTAGGCAGCAGGGGCGGGCTGGAACTAGTGTCGTAGGTATGCTTGATAGACCACACGAACTCTGCACGGCCGTGGGGGCGTTTGGACTGGATGGACAAACCCGTCATCCATCATTCATCATCCATTCATCCACGGTTTCTGGGTCCGTGGACACACCAGGATACCCTAACATGACCCTTTTGGGTTACGGGGAGGATGAACAAGACTTCTTCACCGGGTCTCGGCAAATGAGATGCAGGGTGTTTCCGAGAGCCTTGCTGCGACTCCAATGGGGAAGCATCATTGGAACCCATGCCCTAGAGGAAGAAGCCATGGTACATAGTAGTTGGCTATTTTCAGCCAGGGCAGAAACGGACCTGACGGGGAAGGACGAGGCAGCTCCTAGCTTCGAGTTAGCTTCAGAAGGTAACAAACTGTGGTCTTTGACACCACATGGGTTGTTCCCTTTGGCGCCGTGCCGATCGATACACTCCTCTGCTGCGGCCTGGACTGGGGCAATGCCAGTGAGCTATGTATATTCGGGTACGTACTACAGGATGCGGTCCAGATATTGTCACGATGTCCACAGCAATAGCGATGGCCATGACAAAGTCGGATAACCGCAATTCAGCCCGTCAGGCGCCGACAGAAAACGAGGACTTGTACAGGGATTCGTCGGTCGACCTTGTCTAGCGTGGTCAGGGTCGCAATGTGTACTGTATACTCTGTAGTATTCCGAGCAAAAGCGCAACGTCGTCTGTGCCATCGACGGGGATGTTGGTTCTGCGCTTCTCCAGTCATACAATTCTTTGCCATGCAAAGTCTTGCGTGCGAGTCTCGGGTGACATCGGACAGAAGTGGGCAGTGGGGGGACCCTCGAGGAGTCGATGGATTAAAAGCAACACAAAGCCCGCGCTTCGACTGATTCGATATCGGCCCCACTCGGCCGGTACACGGACCTCGTCCCATGTCCTGATTGGGACAAAGGGCAGCGCTCACAACCTGGTGAGTGGCATCTGGCAGATGAGCTAGGCCTGGGGCTATTTCCAAATCAAATCTGCGTATCCTGTCGCTTGCTCCAAAGCCTAGGGCCGGTAGCATAAGCCTGACTTAGCTAGAAGAGCCTGAACATCTGCTTCGATGCCCGTGCTCATTCGATCCCCGGAGCTGTGATGGAAAGCTCGAATCGGCGGTCGGACGACATCATTGTCAGAGATTAGCTGACGCCTGACTGTGGATTTGTAGGCGGTTGTATCTATCCCGAGGGGCGGAGATTGTCAAAGACCATTACCTGAGTCGCAGTGCTGGTAACGCGATTTTTTCTTGGCCTCCAGTGACACATTTTACTCGGCGAAAGACCTCTCGTAGTAATTGTGGCCGTCGCCATGAACCATTGTTGTCCGTGAGGATACAGGTGGCTGAGGTGTTCGAGTAGATTGTCCTTTGTCCCAGCCCGAAACAGGTAGGGCTATCACTTCTTGCATCTGTGAGCGACTTCTATCACATCCGATCATGTCTTATCCAGTATCTGCGCAAGGGCGGGGCCTTTTGCTAAAGAAACTGGCGGCAAAGATGCCTAGCAGTTAGGCTCCCACGCGGCAATTCAGAGCTTGTGCTTGGCTTATGCTGCTGGCGGCAGGGAGGCTATGCGAACAGATCCCAGTACCGGAGATAACCGCTTCGTCGGAGTGAATTTGAGTCGTGGCCGATATCAACGTCCCATTGTTGTTCTCTGAAGCTTGGATACCACCTAGATAGCGCCGAATGGGTCCATGACTGGACAACTGGAAGGTCGAAGCTGTGCCGAACGCAATTGGTCAGAGAGCATCAAGCCTCGACCGACCCAACTCTATCTGTTCTCGTCTCGCTCTTCCCTTGGCAGCTCGTGTGAGCGGCAAGATTTGACTCCTGCGGGGCCGCAGGAAACCTTCTGGATGGTGAATGGCTTTGTCTGAACTGAGGAATGGCAACCAGGTTCCGAGGCTTCGGTCCGTCGAACGTCCTCTCAGGGTTCAACATTAGACTGACGGCCAAACTAGACGTGAGCGTCTGTCAGCGAAAAGAGGTTGCACGTGTGTAGAGTAAGAAGCCAATTCTGTTCAAGTGCGTCCGCGCAAGACCCCCCATTCGTCGATTCCCAGCCGTTGCAAAAGGCCTGGTAGAAGCAGTCATGCAGTCGCGCAGTCGGTGCCTTTCGGAGGAGTGTGAGTGAGTGGTAGGGATGGGATTGTCGACGTGATGATTAGGTCAGCGATGGCCAAGGTTGGTCGGGGTGATGCCTTGGGCTCCAGGCGATGCACCTTACCATATGAGGTGTGCGAAGGAGATGGTGGCACTGTACGGGACAGAACCAACTTTACACGAGAAGGAAGAGAGTGCGGTGTTTTCACTTTACGCGTAAAGACGCGAAAACGACGCGCTCTTGCCACATCCAGCCGACGCTCAATCTTCCCCAGGGCGTCCAAATGACATACCCCCGGGCGCCCTTTGTAAGCGCCCAAAGCCTTCCCTCAACTCTTGTTCACCTAGCTAAAGTCAGTCGGCTCATTAGGGGGACCTGTTCTTCTCGACGTTGGAAATAATCCGTGAATGTTTCAGTACCACTCAGTTTCTCGTGCTCAAAACAAGACAGTACGGGCCAAAAGTCTAGAATGCAGGTCTCGCAGACAGAACAGGGCTCGCATCAACGGTCGAAACCTGCAGAATTGGGATTCCACGGCAAACACTATCAATGCGCAACTAGCGAGGACGCATTCCAATGCAAGCTTTGTTGTCTGGTAGGGAGATTCCATCGGTTGACCCATGCAACGGATACGGAGGCTGGGTGGCTTGGCCCTAGGTCGATTCTTTGTGGCAGACGCGGAACTGGCTTTAGGGGTCTCCCTCGACCAAAAACAGATGGCCAGCACGTGTCGGCTGGCTTACAGCGTGTCTACGTCGCGGCCCCTCTCCAGGCTTGTTGGAGAATGCCTGGGTGGGATTGGTCTATGGTGTTCCGTTGACAGCCAGGACCGACTTGTTTTCTCGTCCGAAACGGGGCCTTCTCTGAGACGCCGTCAACATAAATAAACAACGCCCTTCACCGTGTTGCCCCAGCCTCCCCCCTGGCCCCTTTGCCCCGCCAGGGAGGCAGGAAACACGCAACTGGAATTCCAACGCGGCTTCTCGAGACGGGGACGGTAAGGACGCGAACCCCCATCGCCTAGGGAAGCGCCAAACACGCAAACACATACGCCAGTTTGATCTGTTTCGGCACGGCTGCCATCCCATCCCATCCCACCCCATTCCGTCCCATTCCGTTCGTACCTTGCATGGCCGATTTTTTCTTCTTATTCTTTGGTGTGTTTTGGCATCTCAGGCAACGGACTGCGTACGTTCATCCTTGGGCAACTGTTCGCTGCCCATCATGAATCCAGCGCTTTCGAAATTGGAAATCCTCTCCACAGAAGCTGGGCTATCTTGTCCACAATACAGTGTTGCAAAGCTAGGGAATCCGACAATGTTGACGGGTGGCATTGTCTGAGGAACCAACCAGTGCAACAACAGCCTGTGTGGCCGGCCCACTGGGTAGTGAGCTGACAAGACTAACATCACCCTGTTTGCGCCTCACTGGAAGCATCAGGGTAAGGTGAGGTAATTCACGACAAGCCATGCGGTTCTAGAAAGTGGTTGAGACTTGTACCCATGGTGAAGACTATCATAGTCGCAAGCAAGTATGGAATAGTGCATTTGACGGAACGTCATGTATTTTCAGTTGGCAGCATTAGCTAGCAACATGGAGAATGTTGATATCTGCAGTATGGGCTCCCGTCTGTTTGTCTTGCCTCGTGTTATCTGTAGGTGCCCCGTTGCAACTCAGTAACATCACAATGGGAAGAAATATCGAGGGGGAAAAAGCAACTCTGGATAATATTTGCCTACCGCGTTGAGTCTTGAACCCCCTCATCCACGGGCCACTTTGGCGACGGGTTGTTTATTGTTATTCGCCCGTGACTGCCCTTGCTAATGTTATTGTGTTCTCCCCCACCCCCCCCCCCCCCCCCCCCGATGCGGTACGCTGCAGCACCAACGCCAAACGCCCTTTTGCCCCAACCTCGCCCGTCGCGTCCAAATGGATGGAAAACCCCCTGGAAGGCGACCCAGACAGCGGCCCTAGGGGACTACCGCCGTCGTGTTGTTGCTCTGCCGTCAACGCTAAGACCCTAAAGAGGCTAGTGCACTGCCTTAACCGCGACTCCCCCAGTTCAACCTTCCACCAGCGCCCACTTCTCGCAGTTTCTTCCTACAGAGTACTGAAGGTGACAGGTCCCCCGTCAACAACTACCCTGAGGTGCTTCACTGAGGATTGGGTGGCTACTGGACCGCCGTTGCACCTTACTGGCCACTGGGACGCACCGCGCCGCACCGCATCTCACCTCACCTCCCGTCACTCACCATCAACCGCACCTCCTTCCGCCGCTGGCTCTTGCCGCCCACCTCTCTGCTTTGCACTTCGTGGCCACTGACTATCTTTTGGATCTGTACACACTCGACGTCCGACAGCCGCCCTGCACGCCCCGGCGACGACATCTGTCTTGTGTTATCTGTATCTTCTTTTTCTTCTCCAACTAATCATTCATTCGACGACATTGCGCTTTGCTTTCCAGCACCTTGTTGATAACGCCCGAGCTCTTGCGACCAGTGGGAAAAGCATGCGAACGACAACAACCTCAACACCACCGTCAGGGATAAGGTGGTGATTCGTTTGACCGCGCCGACCAACCGAAACGACCTGCCGACCATTCGAGCAACCTGTAGTTGCTGCCGACGTTCGCAAGGACATCATTTTTCAATAATCATTGTTGGCCGCCTCAACTGCGATAACATCTTCGGCCCGCACAGGTGTTGCTGCTGGTGTGCTACTGGATCGGTCCCTTCCCCGCCATCTCCCCCCGACGCTCGTCCCAGCCGCCTTTGCTGGACCTCAACCTCCCGCGCAACCGCAACGATCCCAGCCGTCAACTCGACGCAAACCACCCCAAAATGACGATTCCGGTCGATTCTTCGGCGGCCGTTGCCGCCTCTTCTTCCACTAAGAGACCTGTAGCAGAGACAAGTGATTCCGCAGCCGCGACTCCCGCTCGCTTCGCAACACCTCCTCCTCCCTCCGATCGAGGGCACCTCGAGAACCGCCAAAATCTTGAGAACGCGAACCAGCGCAAGAGCCAACATAGTGGGAGACCTAGTGAATCGGCTCGTGCCAACGCTTTCGACGCCGACGCTGTCGACAGTGCTTTGCTTCGAGAAATGCACCACCGATCACAACGGGAAAGCACTCCAGGTGCCAGTCCACACCGAAAGCGCCAAAGGATAAATGGCGATAGGTGCGTGTGCAGCGATGCCTCTCATCCCGCAAACCGTTTCTAATATGGAACTGCTAGATTCATTCCCACACGGTCAGGCCAAGACCTTCAAGCCAGTTTCAGCTTGCTCCACGAAGATGGCTCCCCAGCGACACCATCCAAGCAAAAAAAGCGTACCCCTCATGGAGAGCTTCACTTCCAGAAGAGTGAGCTATACCTGCCCAGGCAGACGCCGATGTTCGATCTGACCAATTTCATCTAGCTGAGGAGGCAAACCGTACATTCTCGACCCTGCTCCGCGCTGAACTCTTTGAGGGTTCAATACCGCAAGCAACACCACCGACTCTGTCTCCAGACCGTTCTTTATCTACCGCATCCCACTCGGCGCATATACGGGATAGCACGAGGTCTCGCACACCCCCGAACAACGCTTCTACCAACTCCTTGCCATCATCTCTGACACCATCAACGCCCCACAAAAACTTGTTCTCTTACATGTCACCTCGACAGCTCAGCAACGCAGGTCATCTAACACCTTCAAGAACACCTCAAAGCCGGCATGGCCCCAACTTGGACACACGCTCCGAGATCTATAGTCTCTCTCCAGTCCGCTTCAATAGCCAGCAAATGTTACTCAGCCCGCGGCGACAACCCCGAGCGGTCAGCAAGGTGCCTTACAAGGTGCTCGATGCCCCGGATCTGGCAGACGACTTCTACCTGAACTTAGTCGACTGGGGCAGCGCAAACGTGCTGGGGGTAGGCCTTGGATCCAGTGTTTACATGTGGAATGCTCAGACAAGTCGTGTCAACAAGCTTTGTACGCTCGAGGATGACACGGTAACGAGTGTGTCGTGGATCCAGAAGGGAACGCACATTGCAATTGGGACCGGAAAGGGGCTGGTTCAGATATGGGATGCGGAAAAGACAAGACGACTACGGACGATGACGGGCCACACAGCGAGAGTGGGATCCCTGGCCTGGAACACTCACATCTTGACATCGGGTTCTCGCGACCGACTCATCTACCACCGCGACGTTCGCGCCCCTGACCAATGGCTCAGGAAACTTGTCGGCCATAAGCAGGAGGTTTGTGGCCTGAAATGGAACTGCGAAGACGGCCAGCTCGCTAGCGGTGGCAACGATAACAAGCTCATGGTATGGGATAAGCTCTCAGAGACGCCGCTTTGGAAGTTCTCGGACCACACCGCGGCTGTCAAGGCCATTGCCTGGTCACCCCACCAACGTGGATTACTGGCTTCGGGAGGTGGAACCGCGGATCGCAGAATTATTTTTCACGACACAGTCCGCGGGTCTGTCATTAACGAGGTCGACACGGGTAGCCAGGTCTGCAATCTCGCCTGGTCCAAGAACTCCAATGAGATTGTGTCAACGCATGGTTACAGCCAGAACCAAATCGTTGTCTGGAAGTACCCTTCGATGACGCAGGTGGTCAGTCTGACAGGCCACACGTATCGTGTGCTATACTTGGCGATGAGCCCGGACGGCAGAACGGTCGTGACCGGCGCCGGTGACGAGACACTACGGTTTTGGAACGTGTTCGGGCGAAGGCCGGGAGCTAGGGAAGACAGCGACGGCGGCCGACTATCCGACTGGGGCGTCATTCGGTAACGGAACAAAGATGGAGCACCAGTCTCCGCAGACGACATGATACGCCATCTCCCTTTTTCTCATCTGGCTTGGAGAGGTTCACGGTTTTAGGCGGAAACGGGGGAATGAATGGAGCGAGCACTCGAATTCTGTTTCATGAGGATGTTGATGGGAAGAGGAAACGTAAATACCCCGCTACCGGTTACATCATGTGCATGGAAACGGCGTCACGACGGGTTGGAAGGGTACAGGGCATGCTTGTTTCTTGGGTTTCTTCTCTTTCTGTTCTGGGCGTGATTTATAGGGTTTCTTAGCATTGTGACTTCAGCGGGTGGGTTTATGAAGAGGGAATGGCTCAGGGTAAAAGATCTCAAAGGCTTTTGGGAAGACAAGAGCCGGACGGAGGTGAGTGGCCTACGGAAAAGGAGAGAGGCCTTGATCATCTTTAGCATTGGGCTCAAGCGCAACATGGTATTCATCGCAGTGTGGGTTGGGAAGTGCGGCATGTACCAAGCCATAACCCTATCAACCTAGCGTAAAATAGGACAAGACAAATCTTGCTCAACCTATGTCTTTTTGTACTCTTTACGTGAAAGTGTCAAGCAGACAGCAGCAGTACCAAGCTGTCGATCCTCAGGCTAGTACGTTGGTAAATCATCCATCGCATCCAAGCGCCGTTGAAAGTAGGCCTACGGGTATCCAATATACACACATACAACGTAAACGAGGAAAGAAGTCATTTCGAATACTCCATAACTCTAAGCAACCATTTCGTCAATAGTTCAAAAGAAAAGGAACTCGTTGCGGCGCTGCAGACCTTCAGCCTCTCCTCCCCACGTCCATACTACCTTCTTGGAGTAGGTAGACCTGCCTATGAAATTCAACTTCAACTCGCCTTCCTCTCTCTGGCAACATCTCTGGCGCCCCCGTCCACGCCGCTGGCCTCAGCTTGAGCCGAAAACTCCTCGCTCAACAGTGGAATATGATCCGAGGGACCGCCCGCCTTGATGGTCTCCTCGATCACAGTCTTCTCATGTTCCAGGGCACTGACAATGTTGCCATCGCTCGTTGAGTCGTTGGTGTTTGTCAAGTGGAGCTCGCTCGGCGTGGTTCTCTCAGGGTTGGGCGTCATAAGGGGCGATTGGCCGCTCATCACGGGCGTGTTCTGCCACTGCTTAACCTCGGCCCTGAGAGCCTCAAGCTCCTTCTGGAAGCGCGTTCCAAAGACATCGATGTAGTAGGTTGCTCCGTTATAAACACTCCATGTGAAGACAACCGTGAGGAAGCCTGCCGAGGCGTATCTGCTCATGAACCAAATAGGACAAGGCAACATGGTAAGTACCGCATATGAGTACTGGATCAACATGAAGGCCGTTTCTTGTAGGGAGTCCGGTAGCGAAAGTACAACCTTGCCGATCCAGCTTTTGGAGTATGACCTGCGCAGCCACGTGAAGGATGTCGGCCGTCCTGCAGCAATCTTATCGCGTCTACGAACGGTGATGAAGAAGTAATAGGATAGCTGCCACACAGCGTATGGGATGGAGCTCCAAGCCAGCATGGAGATGACGTTTCCGTAGGCCGTTGGCGAACCAGCAGGAGAATGTTTGATCGTCCAAACAGAGGGGAGACGGCTGGCCTGAAGCTCTTCCGACCATAGATGAACGATGCAATGAAGTGTTGCGCAGGGCATGATGTGGATAAAGAGTGAAGTGACCTTGTCGAAACTGTGGAAGACGAGCGAGTTTCTCCACATGATGATGGCCACGGCGTTGTTGCCGAAAGCGAGGCAGTAGGTAGCCAGGAATAGTCGCTTTGAGCTAGGGAGGACCCAGATGCTTAGAACCAGGAGAAAATTGACGAAATAGCATAGATCCGCAAGGAAGTAGTGGTAGCCACGACGGTGGTAGGTGAAGTAGCGGATGGGCATGAAGTACATGACTTGGACCGTGTACCACAGATGGAAATACTCGGGCCAGCCTCCCATGAGAAGACCGCTCACGAAGATATTCATGACGCCAAAGATGAAGGACACCTTTTCGCGCAACGTGACTACCCTGGTGTCATTCCACTGCTTTCCAAGCTTGTCGACGCTGGTACGCATCCGCTTCCTGTATCTCTCAAGCTGTTCCTCGGCAGTGGGAACGCGGCGTCGCCATTCCTCTACCACTCGTTTCTGGGCATGCTGGCTCTTGTTTTTGAAAGCGTCTCTTGACTTGCGAACCTTTTGCGTCTGGGCGGAGATGCCCTTCTGTAGCTTCTCGAGCTGTTGAGGCAAGGCGAAGTTGTCGAGAAGGTCGAGCACAGAGATGCGGTCAAGGGGTGGGAACACATCCCAGTCCTCTTGATAGGAACTGCTCCCAGAAAAGGACGGGTTTCTCGAAAGCTTTGGGCTTCCAGGGTTGACAGGGCCGAGAGTTGGAGTATGGAGACCATCGGGGGAGGAGCTAAGGGTGGACTGGGCCTCGATTGGGTCGAGAGTGAAAGCAGTTTCACTGTCGGTATGGGCATCATCGCCTTTCGCGTTGGGTATATCTAGTGGTTTTGACTCGGCCATCTTGGACTGGGCCTAGCGCTGAACGGGTCTGAATTTCTCGGTCGTGATAGCTTTCTGTTGTTGATCTACAGCGTCGGCAAGCGAAGTCAGCCTTGGTTATTACACTCGTCGGACCATCACAGTCAAAAAGGACTATGTAGGAGAGGAAGCCGGACGTGGAACCCATGAAATAGCGTACCTTTCGGAGAAGCCACCCTTGGCCAAGACATAGAGTCCGGGTGATCGCTCGAAGATGTAGCTTGCGAGTGGTGGTTATAGGAAAGAAAGCTCAGACGGCCGTGCAAGGGCAAAGAAGGAATATGCGGCGATGGTTGTTGGCTTTCGCAAGTTTATCGGGATAGTCGGTTTTCAGTGTGGCAGTTGGTGGCAGACGAACGATCCGAGTACAGAGGGGCGCGGGATATCGTCTGGACTGCTAAAAAAGGTCGTTGTGTGGTGTCAAAGTACACAATAAACTTGGACAGCAACGTGACTAGGTGGACGGGGTGGGGGAACCAAATGACAAGATACAGAGCAGGTGGTGCGCTTGTGATGGGTGTGGTGAGTTGAGAGGAAACCAAAAGGTCTGGAACACGTTGAGGAGCTGGCGACGATTTACACGTGTTGGTGATTGACCGCCACAGTTCCTTGTCTTGTCGCGAGACTGGCAGGTGGCGCCTCACGCCTATGTACACTGGCCCTTAGTCTTGCCTGGCTGACGGGGAAGCTGGAACTACATTTCGAACAGGGGTCGCTCCAGAAAATACGTCACAAGACATGACCCTGCTCCGCCAGCCAAAGCTTATCGGGAGGATGAGCGTAGCCAGACCCAAGCGAGATCGTTTGGATTTGCATTGAAGTAACAAAGACAGCAACAACATTTGATGCTGGTGTTGGCCAAGACGATTTCCTGGCAGTGAAGAGGAAGATGCAGGCATGATTTGCCTGGCTTACATCTACCTAGACCAAGGGTGAGTAGAAAGAAATTGACAGCCCTTTCCATCAGTAGTCTCCATACTCGGCAAGCATACCTCAAGATGTGCACACCGTTAGCAGCTGGCCCGTAATTTGTGCAGGTGCTGTTGGCTGGCTCTCTGGTTGGCTGAGACTGAGAAGTAGTTGAGAGCCACGCGACTAACCAATCGAGACGTTTTAATTTAGGGAAAAAACCACAGCCGGACAAGTGTAGCGTTATAGTACTTATGGTTTTCTTATTCATCGCCATCCTAGTATTATGTTCATAGTATTGTGAGGAACCAAGAACAACGACGAAAGGGCCGGGGATCGTACTGTAAGGTGTTCGGGATGATATTACATTAAAGAACAGAGGTAACGACCAAGAGAAATATGGTGAGGGGGACCTAGTTTAATCCTGCCTCCACTGGAGGAACCTTACATCCCTGAGCTCCCATGCTCGGGGCTAGGCATAGCTAGCACTCGCCGTCATCAGGTGGACCTGAATTAGCATCGCGGTAGTTACTTAAGGCATATAAGTAGCTACAAGAGGTACTTTTATAGTCACGTGACTGTTACCGAAACGCCGCATCGACCTGGCTCGAGCTTCTGTACGCGCGACCGGGTCAGCCTCAGTGTGGCCAGGAGTGCGGCCAGTCAGTGTCCTGTCGCGTCCAGCTGCAGCAGGAGCACTCAAGACGCGCGTGGGGAAATTTGAGTGCAAGTGCCCCAAACCATCACGACCTCGCTGTCGCCAAACGAGACTCGATCCCTTCCGAGTGCCTCTCCGCCATGCGCCAGGTTACTTTGAGGCCCTCAACATCCGAATCAACTGTTACTGCATAGCCTCTGCATTTGCGACGTGCACCTTGTGGCTTGTCCGTCGCGTCGCCTTCCTGCCCTCGATCCTTTTTCTCGCGCGCTCACTACTTCGCGTTTGCGACGATCCTCAACTGAAGCACATTACCCGGCTACAACCAGATTCAAGTATCGTCGCGTGTCCCGCGACATCCGACCGACATAATGGGAAAGCTCATTCGTCTGGAGCTTTTCAGTATGTTGATGTCTCCTCCCCGGCCATCTATACTACCCTCAAGCTAACCGTGCTTCCCCGCCACAGATTTCAAGTCCTATAAGGGCCATCACATTCTGTTATTCGGTGACTCCTACTTCACTTCCATTATCGGGCCTAATGGATCTGGAAAGTCGAACTCGTAAGTCTACTCCGCTTCGCGCGCTGCTTCCGTCTGTCAACTGACGTACCGCTCTGGGCAGTATGGACGCGATATCCTTCGTGCTTGGCATCAAGTCATCGCACCTCCGATCAGCCCACCTCAAAGACCTCGTGTACCGCGGTCGCGTACTCAAAACCTCCAGGATTCAGGATGACGGTTCAGCCCAGTCGAACGGCCAGTCGAACGGTTACAGCAACCGTGATGGAGATGAGCTGTCGCAGAAGGCTTCCCGCAGCGATCCCAAGACCGCATGGGTCATGGCTGTCTACGAAGACGATGCGGGTGACGAGCAAAAGTGGAAGCGCTCTATCACGAATCAGGGATCCAGCGAGTATCGCATCAATGATCGCGTTGTAACCGCCCAGCAGTACAACGAAGCGCTTGAGTCCGAAAACATCCTGATCAAGGCTAGGAACTTCCTCGTCTTCCAGGGAGACGTCGAAGCTATCGCTGCACAATCACCTCAGGACCTTACGAGGTTGATCGAACAGATCTCCGGTAGTCTGGAGTACAAGGCCGAATACGAAAGATTACAGACCGAAGCTGAGCAAGCTGCCGAGAACCAGAGCTTTCAACTTCATCGCAGGCGCGGTATCAACTCCGAAATTAAGCAGTACCAGGAACAGAAAAAGGAGGCAGACAACTTCCAAAAAAAAACGGAGGAGAGGGATGAAGCTATCGTCAAGCATGCCCTTTGGAAGCTGTACCACTTTCAGCGCGGCATGGACGAGTCGACTGAAAAAATCCATGATCACCAACAAAATCTTCAGGAGTTCCAGCGCAACGTCGAGTCCTTCAAGAGAAAACTCGATGTGGCCCAAAAGGAACAGCAGGCAGCGGCAAAGGAGGTTCACGGTGTGGAAAAGGCCATCAACGCTAAGAAGAGGGAGTTTGACGAGCTGGAGCACAAACTCATCCCTATCGACGCCAAAATTGAAGAAAAGACACGCAACATCGAACAGTGTCGCTCACGGATGGAGCCGGTCCGTAAAGAGCGTGACAAGCAGGCTGAGCTCATCAAGGAGGATGAGGCTCGGCTCAAAACTACTGAGAAAGCCCAGAGGCATTTCGAGACGCAGCTGAAGGAACGAATGAAGAAGCTGGGAAAGGAGCTCAGTGAAGAGGATCGCAAGGAGTACAACACTCTTCGTTCTCAGGTTGTGCAGAAGTGTGCCGGCAACCAAGCAAGGCTCGATAACCTGATCCGCCAGCAGAAGACTGACGAGGTTACCGTGAACACGCTCAAGGGGAAGGTCGACACCCTCTCAGCCGCTCTGGAGAAATATGAAGGGGAGTTGGAGACTCTTGGAGAACGGAAGGCATCAACTGAGGGCAACATCAAGGCATTATCCCAGGAGATTGACACAAAGAAGAAGCAATACCACCAAATCCAGTCGGAGCGCGTCAGAACCAGCCAAAGACGCACGGAGTTGGAGGAGAAGCTTGAGACCGTTGCCAAGCAACTGCGCGAAGCAGATGATGGCCGTCGGCAAAACGACCGAGAAGCCAGGATGAAGGAGATGGTCAACAACCTGAAGCGGCTCTACCCGGGCGTTAAGGGTAGAGTGGGCGACCTCTGCAAGCCCAAGCAGAAGAAGTACGACGAGGCTGTCAGCATTGCTTTAGGCCGAGACTACGAATCAGTCATTGTCGATACAGAGAAGACGGGCCACGAATGTGTTCAGTACCTCAAGGACCAGCGCTTCCCACCAATGACCTTTATTCCATTGGACAACATCAAGGTCAACGCAGTGAACGGGGCTATCAAGGGCATTTCGGGAGCCCGGCTCACCATTGACACCATCGATTTCGATCCTGCCTACGAGCGCGCCATGGCTTATGCCTGCGGAAGCTCAGTTGTGTGCGATAACGAGCAGATTGCGAAGCTCATATCGTACGAAAGGCGTATACCCGTGAAGACGGTCACCCTGGATGGTTTGGTCATCCACAAGACTGGTATGATGACTGGTGGCCGTGGTCCAGAGCCTAAGGGAGGAAAACGCCGTTTCGAGAGCACAGACTTGGAGTCACTGAAGAAGATGGCTGCCAAATACAAGGAGGAAATTGAGAAGCTTCCCAAGTCCGGTCGTCGCAGCACCGCCGAAGAGTCTCTTCAGATCGAAATCCACGGCCTTGAGCCACGGTTGGCGAACGCGAAGGCTGAGCTGGCACACTTGGAGAAGAATTACGACAGCAAGAAAAGAGAGAGAGACAATGAGGAGAGACAGCTCAACGAGCTCGCGCCCAAGTACGAAGAAAAGACGGCTGAGCTCGAAGCAACTAAACGAACTGTGAAGGAGTTCTCTGACGCCATCGCGAAGGTGGAAGACGAGGTCTTTTCCGGCTTCTGTAGGAGACTCGGCTTCGGCGACATTCGTGCCTATGAGACAGAGCACCGAGACATGCAACGAGAAGCCGATGAGGAGCGTGCCAAGTTCGAGGTGCAGAAGTCTAGGTTCCAGAGCCAGCTTACGTTGGCACGTGATATGCACAGCAACCTGGAGAAACGACTTAGAAAGTTGCAGGAAGCTCTCAAAGCTGCTGAGCGTGACCTGCAGACCTACCAGCAGGAGAAGTCAGATATCGAGGATGCCACACACGAAGTCTCTGACGAACTCGACGCGCTCAGCGAGACACTCGAGGAGTACCGCGGCAAACTGGAAGAAAAGAACCAAAAGGTTTCCCAGGCCAAGGCTGACGTCCATAAGCGAAGCAAGGAGATCGACGCCAGACAAAAGGAGATTAACGCCCTAGAGACGGTGGTGCAGAAGAATAGCGCGGGCAAGTTCGCGTTGCTTAGGCGATGCAAGCTTGACCAGATTCAGATACCCTTACTCGAGGGCTCACTCGACAATCTGCCGAACGAGGACAATATGCTGCGGCAAGACGCTGACGCCATGGATGTTGACGAGGAGGTGGATGACGAGGAAATGATGACGGCTGCTCTCGAGAATCACGGCATTGAAGTCGACTACGACAGTTTGGATGAGGAGATGAAAAACGTATGTGTGCTCTCGATAATATTCCTCAGCAGAAAGATACTGATTAGCCACACAGTCCGACGATGCCAGTGTTGAGGAGAAGCTGCAGGACAAAATTGCCTCGCTGACCTCGGAACTCGAGAAGCTCAACCCCAACATGAGGGCGATTGAGAGGCTGGAGAGCGTCGAGTCGAGGTTGAAGAACACGGAAAAAGAGTTTGAGGACTCTAGAGCGGCTCTTAAGGCGGCCCGCGACGCGTTCAACCATGTCAAGGCCCAGCGGTACGAGCTGTTCAACAAGGCCTTTACGCATATTCAGGAACAGATCTCGCATGTTTACAAGGATCTTACGCGGTCAGAAGCGTACCCCCTGGGCGGTCAAGCCTATCTCGATATCGAGGAGGACACAGACACGCCCTACCTGTCGGGTATCAAGTACCACGCTATGCCACCGCTGAAGCGATTCAGAGACATGGAACACCTTTCTGGAGGTGAGAAGACGATGGCTGCGCTGGCTTTGTTGTTCGCCATCCACAGCTACCAGCCTAGCCCGTTCTTTGTGCTGGACGAGGTCGATGCTGCATTAGACAATGCCAATGTCGACAAGATCAAGAAGTATATCCGCGAGCACGCCGGTCCGGGTATGCAGTTCATCGTCATCAGTCTCAAGACTGGCTTGTTCCAAGACAGTGAGAGTCTGGTCGGCGTGTACCGCGACCAAGAAGTCAACAGTTCCAGAGCACTCACTCTCGATGTAAGCTACATGCAACCGCGAATCTTTTAATTAGGATACTGACAGTGGCACAGCTCCGGAAGTATGCGTAGTGCAGGAGACGAGATACTCAGGCGGCGCATAATAGAGAAAGGATGAGAACACTTGCTCAGCTTTGCGGGATGAGGGTGCGGGAGGTAGAGGGACGAGTCACGATACCAGCTCTGCGTTCTTGGCTTTTTCAGCAGTTATGGTTTGGGTGAAGGGGTGTGAGTAAGCTCTCGATATTTGCCTCACATCAGGTAGCTTGACGTTTCCCAAGACGGTTCAAGGGCAGCATTGCGGCCACGCAGTGGTCCGGCAGAGCTGCGACTGGAGTTTGGACTGTAATACGGCCGGTGGATTATTGAGTTCATTCCTGTTATTGCTGATTATTCTATTCCAGCCCTCGCAAGGAGTTGCTGTGTGCAGTGTTCCGCATTCGCCATTGTCTTCTCAACCTCCGCGAGTGCCGAGCTTACAGAATGCCCAAGACTCAAATTAAGGTGAGTTTGCCGTAGTGAAGTGCTTAGCTAAGATTGGACCTAAGGAAGGTGCCGCGTTAGCTGTGGATACGTATCTTTCCAGGGACCCTGGGCGCCCCATCACGATGCATGGATGCCTGTAGAAGAGCTGTCCGGCCTGCAGCTCAGTCTCGTCAGCCGCTAACGCCTGCACCTTTTCACATCCCAAAGACGAGGTGCAACTGCGCGTTCGCGAAGGACAGCAGCAGCTTCCTCTATCTCTTTTTCTCTCTTAGGACCATGTACTCGGCCTCGGCCACTTGAATTAACCATTTTTCTCGCGTGCCGGAAATACAACTCTGGTGTTCCGCAGGTGGCGTGCGCAATCGCAAGTCGCTGCTTCCACATCAAATCTGCCATGGACTTCGTTTTCTGAAATAGCCAGCAATTTCGTCCTCCACCTTAACCCGACTTCGCACACCACCGCCCAACATAGACCCGACAACATTGACAAGGAATACGGCAAGATGGCGCAACCGTTGGATCTCGCAAAGACACTCGTCAAGTCTGTTATGCGCGCTTTCTACGAAACGCGCCACATTTTGATTATCGACGCCTTGATCATTCACTCTGCGTGCGTTTTGCGCCTTCTGACCTGCTTTGCGCAATGTTGTTAACCTGTGACAGGCTTCGAGACGATGACTTGGCTTACCTGATGGCGACCAACACGAAGGATCTCCACAAAGCATGCGGGAAGCTCAGAGAGGACCGCTTTCTCGCCGTGTAAGCCTTGCGCCTACCTCTGACACACTCCATTCGAAGCTGACATTGGGCGCTCTTCAGATACACGAGATTGGAATATCGCGAAGACCCAAAGAACCCTGAAGCGAAACCTCGTCCCGTCAACCGAACATACTACTACATCGACTACCGCCAGACCATCGATGCCATCAAGTGGCGTGTGTACACTGTTGACAAGCAGATCCAAGGCACCACCGTGCCAGCGAGCGAACGCAAAGAGTACTTCTGTGGGCGCTGCAAATCGGAATGGACGCAGATGGAGGTGCTTGACAATGTTGGCCCCGAGGGCTTCGTCTGTCATCGGTGCGGCGCTCCCCTCACCCACGATCTCGAGCGCAACTCGACCGGTCACGAGCAATCAACCCGGCTGAATAACCAGTTCAAGTTTATCACTGAACTGCTGCCACGTATCGATGAGATGGTTGTACCGGACAATACATTCGACATTGCAATCAGCAAAGCCCTGCCCGTTGTCCGCGACGCAAGCTACCAATCCGTGACGACCATACCCGTCTCATCCTTGCAACCGACATCAGTCAAGGGTCTTGATAACGTCGGGCCCAAGTCAATGTCTGTCAGCATCTCCACATCTGATGGGCCGTCGGAGGCCGAGAAGGCCGCGGAGAAGGCGCGCAAGGAGAAGGTTGCGCAGCAGAATGCGCTTCCCTCATGGATGTCGAACAGTACGGTCACTGGCGAGTCCTTCTCAGCTCAAGCAGGCCCTACACCTGCTACCAAGATCGAAGAAATGGACGAAAAGGACGCTGTGGTTAAGTCAACAAACAACCCAGAACACGCAGAACTGGACGACTACTTTGCCCGCCTCAAAGCAGAGCAAGAGGCCGAAGCAGCAAGGGCGATGGAGGAGGAAGAGGACGATGATGACGATGAGGAGGAGGACGCATTTGAGGATGTGACGCCAAGCATCGCGACTCCAGCCCCAGCTATTAAGACGGAGCCATCACCAGACTCGGAAGAAAGAGTAGTTAAAAAGGTCAAGGTAGAAGCACCAGCGGATGGGGAGGATGGTGAAAGTGATGAAGACATGGAATTCGAGGACGTCTAGAAGCAATGGTATTTGTTGATGTATGCATCCTTCTCCCCTTGCAAAAATCGGGATATGCGTGGCTGGCAAGGTAGAATGCAACGATGCAAGTCTATCATGGGTTGGGGCCTCTGTTTCCCTATTCCAAAGATTCGGTGTATAGGTCTTACAATTCCACTATGAATAGACCTTTCGGATAGACAATCCAACTTGCCAATAATCTCCCAGGAGTTTCGCAAAATCAGGTTCAGCTTTTGGCAAGTAGCTACGCTGGCAGTACATTATATGCGCAAAGCGTTTTGAGTCGCAACGATGATGTCAGCGCCTGCAGCACTACAAGTCAAGCGGGAACGGAGGAACATTACCCGCGTTACTCGTATCCAACTTTACCCCCAGATACGACAGTCTTAAGTACCGCCACCTCGGTTCTGCGACAAGCCTCTGGTTCATGTGATCAACCTCCAGAAGCGAGCCGATTCCACAAACAATTTCTGTGGAGGTTTCCCTCAAGAAACACGCAATGTTGTCAACTCTTTATTAGACGAAACGTCCTCGTCTAGTATCCACCGCTGACTTCCACTTCCGGACCTCCCGTTTCGAACGATTCAGATGCTTTTATCCACCTCAGCATCGAACAACTGTTCTGCCGGCGGGCTGTAGTTCAAGCCACTGTGGATTGCTGTGACCAAGATGGTTCTTGAGCTTCCACCCGTCTATCTTCTTCCAACTCACTTGGAGCCGGAAGAACGGTACGACCTCGAAGGGAAGATTCCAAATTTGACATACAACATCCAGGAGGCCGAGATCGTCATTGGAAAGATTTCCAAGCGAGAACGGGCTCTTTTCGAACTTAGGCGTGGAAAAGTACATACCGATCCTATAGACGCGACTGACATGACCGAGTCGTTGTCTATGATACCTCGAAAGCGCAAGAGGGTATCGTCTGAGAGTGATAGCGACTCGACCATGTACATGGAAGATGAAGGCAAGTGCGGATCAGTTCCGCTGCAGCCCACAAGAGCTTCATCTCTTGCCAATAAGCTTGGTAACACTAGCACTGTCAAAGTTGTGAAGCTCGCGTGGCTCATGGACTCTCTTGCACAGGGTAGGGTTGTTCCGCTTCACAATTATCTTCTCTATGAAGGTCACAAGAAAGATGCCCCGAGAAGCCTGTCGCAGTCAAGCCCAATGAGATATTATCTCGCGCTGCAGCCGACGCTACTTCACAGACACAAAGAAGTACCCGCCTCGGGGAGAAGAGGAGCAAATCACCTGCGGATGTGCATCGAAATGTGCCTTCGTTGATCAGACAAACGACATCAGAGCACAATTCGACGCTTAAGCTGCCGCCGATACCATCGTTCCTCAGGACAACCTTTGCCTGTCAAAGAGCGACCCCTGTTCACTCCCCAAACGCTGTGTTCGTCGATGAGTTGAAGAAGATACGGACTACAAGAAAACTGATAGGCGACCAGATAGGGGTGAGGGCCTACTCGACATCCATGGCCACCATCTCAGCATATCCTTATGTAATTGCTAGCCCGCAAGGTGAGTAGGTGTTTCGCGCCTGGAGAGCAGAAGGATAGACAATGCTGATACTGCATAGAGGTTGCGAGGCTCCCTGGCTGTGGCGTTAAGATCGCCGAGCTATGGCATGAGTGGGAAGAAGCCGGCAGGCTTCGTGAAGCAGATGAAGCTCAAGCAGATCCCAAATTATCAGTGATACAAACATTTTACGATATCTGGGGAGTCGGCGACATTACGGCTCGGGATTTTTACAACAGAGGTTCGTTGCCATTGAATCAATAGCGGCCATTCGCTGACAAGCATCTGCAGGATGGCGAGACCTGGACGATGTTGTCGAGAACGGCTGGGAGAGTCTGAGCCGAGTCCAGCAAATTGGCCTCAAGTATTACGACGAGTTCAAGCTCATGATACCGCGAATTGAAGTCAAGTCCATTGCCGACACCATCCTGACACACGCTCGCAAGATCAATCCGGATTTCCAACTGGTCATTGTTGGTGGCTACCGCCGTGGTAAACTAGGCAGCGGTGATGTCGACGTGGTGATCAGCCATCCTGACGAGTCTGCTACAAAGCGCATTGTCGAGAAGTTGGTCTTGAGCTTGGAGAAGAGCCGACACATCACGCACACGCTCACGTTGAGTAATCATAATAGCGAGCGTGGCCAACGGCCCGTCAGTTGGAAAGGTAACGAGTCAAAAGGAAGTGGCTTCGACACCCTTGACAAGGCGCTTGTGGTCTGGCAGAAGCCCGAGACTAAGGGCGAGGGATCTTGTAGCGGAGCGGAAGAGAGGACGCACCGGCGTGTAGACATCATCATCAGCCCCTGGAAGACGGCTGGATGTGCAGTCTTGGGATGGAGCGGAGACACGACGTTCCAGCGGGACCTGCGTCGTTACTGTAAAAAGCAAAAGGGCTTCAAGTTCGATAGCAGTGGCATCCGAAGCCGACTGGATGGTAGCTGGATCGACCTGGAGGGCGGAAAGCTCGGGAAAGCCCCTGATATGTTGACTGCCGAGAGAAGAGTGTTCGAGGGACTTGGCCTCGATTATGTCCGCCCGGAAGATAGATGCACCGGATGAAGATGAGCATTGCTAGCGAGTACAGCCCCTAGTCGAACCGACGCTCTGGATCAACCGTCATCAGCATCTCCGGAGTAGTAGCAAGCTGTAACCTAGGAACCCCCCTTCAGCTTCAGCTGAGCGAATAACACCATCGCCTCAGCGCAGGATCCCAGTGGCAGATCGCATGGTGAAGCGGGAGTTAAAATGACGTGCTAAATCCAGCCAGCGTCTCATTGGGAGGAAAGCGCTCTAGACGCCCTGAAGCGCGGCCAACCGCCTATTGTGGCAGATAAACATGACAACCTTCAACGTTGGTCTGAAATTGTGAGTAACCCCACTTGCGGGTTCACCGTAGAATGATAGTTTTCATTGTTTCCCAGCAGGCAGACATCGGCGTCGACTGTACCATGATAACGGGAATTTGGTTATGCACCTACCGCTCTGTCCGATTACTAAGACTGATCAAAGTCCGCCTCAAAGTCCGCTGACTGGACATCGGACACGTCCTCCGTAGAGCTCCATCAAGAATGACAATTGGCCAGTCTCGGAAAGCCATCATCGGCATTCGGGGATTGGAACTGGCCGTCCGCCGACTCCGTCGGTGCGTTACTACCTTTTTCAACCCTCACAGTACTCGATAGCGCGCCACAGGCTTCAGATTGGCGCGTGCAATTTGGATAGGGCAGTGGGAACAAGCGGCTGCTAGCATACTCTGACCCATCGGCAAACGATGCGATGGTGGCATCCAAATCCGGACGTTTTCGTACTAGGCGAGAAATCCTAGAGAGCGGAGTGGAAGTCCCTGTCTCCGGACCTCCCTCCACCCCCCAAGCGGAGAATGGCCCCGGACCCAAACATCTAGCGTCTCGAGCCCAGTATGTTTGGTCTTTCCAATACGTAGCTGGAAAAACAGATTATAAGAACTATTGCCTCTGCTTCGGGGTTTATTTTTATTTTAAGCTTGGTTTCTTGTTAGATTATACCACTTCACAACCCCTCATGCTCCGTATCAATTGACTTTTTGTATCGGCCCATTGCAACTATATAACAACATAGGACCACCCTCGTACTTCTACCTCGATCAATCTAATTTCTCAACCCCAGACAACTTTCGAACTGTAACCCACATCAACAGTCGATCAACATACAACTCGTCACTATGCCTCTCACGCTCCAGGTCCCCAACGAGTATGGGTACGTGACGGCAGCCTCTACGCTCCCAAGGCCACCCTCCCCTTCCCAACATGCCAATGGCTGACCAACCACGCGCAACAGCTACGTCCTCCTCGTCGCCGCCTCGACATTCTTCATCAACACCACCCACGTCCTCCTGACGAGCAAGTACCGCAAGGCCAGCGGCCTCGTCTACCCGGCCCCCTACGCGTCCAACGAGCAGGCCGCCAAGGATCCCAAGGCCTACCAGTTCAACTGCGGTTCGTCTGCTCTCCTCGATTACCACCCTACCTTTCTACACGGAAGGATAGCTATTGCAGTCACGTTGGAACCCCGAGACTAATGTACCAATACATAGCCCAACGCGCCCACGCCAACTTCACCGAGAACCAGCCCTCGTTCCTCGGCGCCCTTCTCATCTCCGGCCTTCGCTACCCCGTCGCCAGCGCCGTCCTCGGTGCCGGCTGGGCCTTCTCTCGCATGATCTACGCCTTTGGCTACACGAGCGGCGCCGGCCCCAAGGGCCGCACTCGGTAAATACAGGCCCACTGCTTCCGTCTTTGTTCTCAGCGTCTCGTCCAAGTTTCGTGCTAACGTATCAATCAACGCAGTGGTTCCATTGGATCCTTCCTCTTCGACAGCCTGCTCAAGTTCACTGCCGTCTACACTTCGATTTCCATAATCATGAACTGGTAAAAACCGCTTCTTTTAGGGAGGACCTCCGACTTGGTACATAAAAATCGATTCCACGTACTCACAGCTGTTGCTTCAAAAAGAATAGAGACAGTGCAACTGCGTGCGTAGGCAGACACAACTCAGTTCTCCCAAGGAAACCTACCTATTACCTGAACAATCGCTGCGTATCAACGTGAATAACCGTGCCTTATAACAAAATACCACCGTCGCCGCAACGCCACTAATTTTTCACGAGCTAACATACATACGGCTTTACTTCCTTCTGAGACGTCGAAGCTCCAAGCTGCGATCGGGCTCCTCCGGCGTCGGTGTGGCAGTTCCAATCGACTTTTCAATACCATTGTTACCCAGCAAGTAGTCTCCAAAGTACTTCATGGCGCTGAATATCTCTTCCCCGACGGGGATGATGTTGTCTTTGGGCAGGAGGAAGCCGTAGCTCCCAGTATCCCTCAGCTTGATCTGGTAGCTGTAATGGGCATGCAGCTCGTGATAGAACCAATCAATGGCTGAGCCACCGCCAGTCTCGATACGTTTAGCGCCTTGCTCGAAGCCACGGCCTGCGACTGCCCCTCGCACGCTGATGTGACCGAGTATAACTCCCCATTAGACAAGCGGATCGCCTTGGCGAGTCCTGCCGCGAGCTCTTCGAGGTTCTCGACGTTGGGCGGGTCCACGTCGCAAGAATAGGCAAAGGGAAAAAGTACCTGCTGCGAATACGAGTGCAGGTCGATGAGGCCAATGAATTCGGTTGTATTCCGGGACGCATTTTTTGCCCACGTAGCCAACGCGGCGGCTTCGGTGGCCTGCCATGGCTCCTTGCCGCCGTAGCTTTCGGAGCAAGGATCGTTCTCGGAGAAATCACCCCACTCGTAGCCGAAGGCGTGGTCCAAGTCAAAACCACGGCACCATGACATGCCCGTTTGTTGCCGGGACTTGCGCCATAATCGATCCGTCGTCCAAGTGTATTCAACACCATCAGGGTTGACCACCGGGATGAAGACGAAGTCGAAATGCTCCAGCAGCTTAGTGATCATAGGCTCTCGGCCAAAGGCCGTGATAAAAGACCATGCAACGTAGTTTGTCGTGGTTGTGGAAATCCACTCGCGCGCATGCATTCCTCCCGTCACGACAACAGTCTTTCTTCTATCAGCACCCGGCGCTCGCGTTTTCGTTCCGACCTTGAGCCCTAGGATGTCTCTACCTTCGTACGATTGTCCGATGGTGATGACTTCGGTGATGGTCGGGAACATGGCCTCGGTTAACCGCATCCATTGGACGATTGTCTGGGCAGAGTCAGTTCAAGAGTTGCTCAGTACGGGCCACGAGTCACCGACATCAAGTTTTTGGTAGTCCTGAAAGAAGTAATTTTCGCTCCCACTGCGCGCCGGCTTCAGGTCCGCCCGGCGACCATCAACGCGATGAATCTGGACGGGAGTGTCGAGGGCCGGATAAGTGTCATACACTGCTGCGGCCAGATCTGTAATCAAGGTTGAATAGCTTGTCTTGAGGGACACAGGCAAGAGGCTTAGCAAGGATCCAATGTCGCCTTTGTGAATGCGAACGTCAACGTATTCGCGATTGAAGGTCCATACGTCGAGAAACGTCCGAGCTGCTGCAGCGGCGAAAGCAGTCTCTTCTTCGGCAGTGGTTAGATTGAAGCGCAACACGACTTCGTTGACGTGATCATCGCGAAGTCTCGCTTTAGCGTGAGAAGAACTGGTGGTTGCTTTGGCGGGATGAGGGCCAAAGACGAACTCGACGACGCCGTTGCGCAGCCTCTTCAAGAGGGGAATAGATCGGCATTGTTTGGTTTCGTACCCGGCGTCTCGTGACGGCGGTCTGAGTATACGTCGAAGCGGGCGGCAGAGGCGACGGGAGCAAGCAGGACGAGGCCGGCGAGGGTCAAGACGGATTGGGGACGCATGTCGAAGGCGATGACGATAAGAGTGGGATGGAGGATGCGGGCAGTCGAGAAATAACAGGCGTCGACTACCCCGACAGATCGGGGACTCGATGAATGGCGTTGTTGCGGCGGCTGAAGGCAAATCGCCGCTGCACCGGTGGTCTCGAGTGATGTTGCGTTGGTGGGTTACGATGATGTGCTTGGAAAGATTAAGATGCAGCAGCAGATAAGAAACTTGGCACGGCGGTGGCCTGCGGTTAACGGTCGCCCCAGGTTCAGCATGCAAGGATGGAAGGCGTAGGCAGCCGCTTACCTGATGGACGGCAGTAACTTTACCTTGCACCGGCCCTCGGCCCCTCGATCTACTATCTTGCCATTCCCAGTCATCATCTACTTTATAAATATTCATGAAAGGCATTCGGTCCACAGAGATAGGGACAATGAGGTGGACAATAGAGATAAAGATGGAAGAAGAAGAACCTCAACAGCGGAAGTCACACGTTCTATCTGGGTTGTCCGCCCTTTCATATCGGGGCCGTTCCCGAGTCACTGGCTTGGCTGCCCAGTGCCAACTGTGATGGCGGAGTACTCTAACATCCCACTTGCTTCGGCGAACCATGATTTTGTCTCGCCTGCTCATTTGAGCCTCCCTGCTCTATTGTTCTCTGCTGGATTTCCGAGTAGTTGCAGGCCAGGAATAAGCTATCTAGGAGACGAGATGAAGAACCCTCTTCGTGACATCGCTTGTGAGATGGCCATGATAAAAATATTCCAGACAGAAATATGCACTGTCCCGGCACGGTGATTTCTGGTAGTGGGTAGCCTCACACGAGCCGCTGCAACTCGAGTTCAATCTCTACTTCGACCAGCAAAGTACAGTGCGTACGTACATACACAGTTGTACAACCTATCATCGTATGGGTGGATGTTTCTGTACACCCATCACTAATTACATTGACAATACATCCCAAGCCCCCTCCCCCTATCTGTAAGGCAAGGTGGATTAGATTGCAGATTGGATGTCGTGGGGAACGTGAAAGATTAACGCGAATGTCAGCGAACCTTGAAAGTCTAATGAGGCTGGACCGGGCTGGGCTGAACCAGGACTTCCGTCAGTTGAGAGTTAAAAAATGGGACCTGGATGTTTATTCCCAGAGTTCCAGCCTCTCTTTCTCGCACTCTCACTTCAGAGCCCTGTGCTTTCATCTCACCTCCGTCCACTCACCAGATTGTACTTCCAAGTCTGAGCATCGCTAGGCCTGACCCTGCCAGCCCGCCATGCCTGCGACATCGTTTTTATTATTATTTTAACTCTCTCCGTTAGCCTTCATTGTGGGACTCTGTTCACACTGCGGCCAATACCTAGGTATTTCAAGTGCTGCGTACGTGAGACGGGCTGGGGCGGAGGCAGGCGTGTATAGTGTACTCAATCAACTCAGCTCAGTCCAGGGCCGCTACTGCAGGCAGGCCATCTCAGCTTGGGACCGGCACATCCTTGGAAAAGCAGAATGCGAAGGCTGCGACTTATGACTGGCCGAGCTCCGAAGTCCCTTTCGATGCAAGGCCAATTTGGTCCATTTCAAACCAGCCAGGCGCATTTGCACGCCGATCTGTCCGTGTCTGTGCCGTGCATACAGGCCCTGTAATCTGTGTCGCCCAGCGCTGTTCAGCCGCTAGAATTACTTGTGTTGTTTTTGTTGTCCTGGACAGAGAGAAGCACCTCGTGAGCAGGGGCACCTTTGCTAAGTCCTGTCGCAGTGCGTGCCTCCCTTTTTATTATTTTTATCTTTATTTTTCGAAACCGAGACGCCGAGACGGTGACTTCAGCGCCAGCAATTGGTCTGTGTGTGTTGTTTTTTCCCTTGTCTCTGCTGTGTATCCAACTTCATCCGGACAACTTCCATTGTTTCCTTCCACACGTTGCCCTGCACTTCGCTTTTACGCTTACCTTCATGGTCCATTTCATTCTATTTTCCATCTTTCTCTCAGTGTCACTCTCATTCTCTGGCTCATTCGCTTCATTCCATTTGTCTTGGAAATCTTCTCCACGTCCCTTCTCCTCTCGTTCCTCTTGATCCCCACATCTTTTCATGCTTGGCCTCCAGTGTGATCTCCCTTCAAGTCCACGGTCTCCCTAAGGTCCAAGGTACACGCACCCTGCCTTTGCCTGGCCTGGCCCGGCCTGGCCTTATTACGCATCCAATACCGTTATTGGATCCCCTACCCCCTCCATCGTAGTAGGATGCCCGGTCGTCCTGTCTTTTGCGTTGCACTGCGCCTAGCCTAACACCCTTACCTCACCCGACCTCACCTTACCTCACCTTACCTTAACTGTCCTCGCCTACCAAATCCGACCTCAACTCGACCCTGCTTACCTTCCTTTGCTCTCCCTCCCATCAATCCTCTTCTTTGTGTCGACCTATTTCCTCCTATTCTCTTCGCCAATGTGTCCTGTCGCCCTGCTCAACAACCTCACGCTGTGCTGATGGCCTAGTGTCCGGATCCGACGGCATCGCACAGCACCCCAACTTTGACCGTCGTCGTCATCCTCCCACCTCGACGTTGTATCCCTGGCAAACCATGACCCATCGCCGCCATGCCTTTTCTACGCCGTCGCGGCAACGTCGTCAGCGAGACAGATATGAGGCGCCATACCATTCTTGATACCGAATCCGTACCTCAGCTACCGCCGCTTCCCCAGCACTTTCCTCAGCAGCCTCAACCCCAACAACAACAACAACAGCAGCAGCAACCCCGACCTCAATCGCAGCAGCACCAGAAGCAGCCATTCGACCCCCAGCCGCAAGAAGCACCACAATCGCAAACGTCGTTACCACCATCGCAGGGGCAACAAGAGCTGCAGGAGATAGAGCAGGAGCAGCACAGTGAGGAACCGCGAGGCTCTGTGTCTGCCTCAATTCGGGAACCTCAGTCTACGCTCCTTGCTGTACCTGTGCAACTCGATGGCGACGCCGAAGAGTCTGTTGAGCAAAACCCCGACGACCCAGATGCCCGACCAGATACTCCACCCATTCAGGAAGAGACGCCGAAGCACCGTCGTTTCTCTATATTGAGATTTCGCAATGCTTCTGACTCGCAGTTGTCCCTCAGGGCTAAGCAACAGGCCGAGAAGCCTCCCCCTGTGCCTCGCCGTACGTTGCCTACCTATGAACTACCCCTACTAGTCAAACTCCGCGCGTCCTGCCAAGATCATTTTTCTAATCAACAGCAACAGCACCCGAAATCATCACAACAGCCCCTACCGCCGATTTCCAGGTTCCCCAAAAGAAACAATCCCGCATGCGACTCGCCGACCGATTTAGACGCTCTGGCGAATTGCCAAGGAACAGTGAAGACGGAGGCACCCGGCCCATGACGTGGAAATCATCTAGAAGAAAGACGGGATTGGAAGATTTAGCTTCGAGGAACCGACCGACTCTCGTGACTTTCGAAGAGCCTGGTCGTCCATCGTCGTCGAGAGCGCCGACCAACGGAGAACGTCACGATGTTCCCAACCTATCTCTCCCCGCAAACCGAGCTTCAGAGTCATCACGGTCCGACGCAAGCTCCGGAGAGCACCTGTACACCACAAACACGGCGGGCAACTCGCCCCCAGCACACCCAGGCTCTAGCTTTTTCCGTTTGCCTCGGAGGAAACACAAGGCTGCGGCTCCCATGTTCGACTTGTCACATCTGCCGCAAAAAGGCAAGCCTACGAATGGGAATGAAAACGCTGCGGCATCATCCTCATCGCTCGGCGCATCTCAACCGACTGCTGTGTCTACGTCTCGAGAGAACACCCCGCGTCCCCAGCAGGGATCGCGCCCCCAATCGAGTCACAGTGCGCGCGCCGACTCAGTAGCATCCTCTGCACAAGATCACCCAGCCAAGCCAAATGCCTCACCCGCTACCGCTCTCTTCATGCCAGGGTCAACTCATTCGGGCCAATCCTCACCGACTCGCGCCCGGTTACAGCGCCGAGGTAGATCGTCGACGATGAGCTCGTTAGGAAGGGAATCAACAGATGGCCATCTTGATCCGGGAACCGGACGAACATCGACATCGGTCGGTCGCAAGAGCTTCGGCGACCTTTTCGGGCTTAACCGTTTGCGCCAAAACTCGGATCTTGGTCAGGGGCGGCAGGGCAGCCTAACACCAGCTACCCCCGGCTCCAATACGTCGAAGAATAATTCTTTGCAGATTGCGCGCGAACCAATCGCCCTGCCCGACAAGCTCGAAGACGAAACACCTGTTAAATATCTTGCTCGGATTGAGGAGATACTCAGTCGCGGAGTGATTGCTAGCGCGCTGTCTAAAGGAAGCGATCCGTTCTCGATAGCGGTCCTCCGCAGCTACATGCGCCGTTTCAGCTTCTTTGAATATCCGATGGATATGGCTATCCGAAAGCTCCTCATGGAGGCCGAGTTGCCAAAGGAAACACAACAAATCGACAGATGTCTTCAGGCTTTCGCCAATCGTTACCACGAATGCAATCCCGGCATATATGCCTCTCCCGACCAGGCGTACTTCGTCGCCTTTTCTCTCCTCATCTTACACACCGATGTCTTCAACAAGAACAATAAGCACAAGATGCAGCAACACGACTACTTGAAAAACACCCAAGGAGAGGGTGTTTCAGATTCAATCCTGAGGTGCTTTTACGACAACATTACGTATACCCCTTTCATTCACGTTGAGGACGATTTGGACCTCAGCAGCGATCGACTTTTGGCAAACAGGGCCAAGCGGAAGACGCTTTTCCCGGGAGGCACACCAGAGACCGTCGCCAGGCGGTCAACTCGTGAGCCTCTTGACCCCTATACTCTTATAATAGATGGCAAGCTGGATATCTTGCGGCCGAGTCTCAAGGACGTGATGGAACTTGAGGACCATTACAACTACTTGGGAACGGCAAAGGATCTCAACGTAAAAGAGCTGCAGAGAACATTCTTTAGAACCGGTGTCTTGCAAATCGTATCGGCTAGGTCACGGCCGGATGCTTTCCGTGATGACAAGGGCTCTACTAATCCGGCTGAGGCAGCTCAAGGCGTTGTTGATATCAAGATCACCAAAGTCGGCCTCTTGTGGCGTAAGGATGCCAAGAAGAAGAAGACAAGGTCCCCGTGGCAGGAATGGGGGGCTATTCTGACCGGCGCTCAGCTATATTTCTTCCGCAACACCACCTGGATCAAGAACTTAATGCACCAATACGAGACCCATGTCAAACAGGGATTCGATGGGGAGCCGATTACTTTTAAGCCACCACTTCCAGAATTCAAGCCGGACGGATACCTACCGACAAAGGAAGCGGTTGCTCTCGTCGACGCTACATACAAGAAGCACAAGAATGCCTTCAAGTATTCTCAACCCAGTGGCTACGTCGAGGAAGTCCTTCTAGCCGACAACGAGGAGGAAATGAATGACTGGCTTGCCAAACTCAACTATGCTGCCGCCTTTACAACTTCAGGCGTCCGCATGCGGGGCGTTGTGGGCGGCAACTACGAAGGTCAGAGCCGGCGCGGTATCAGGAGACTTGGTAGTTCAGCCTCTGCGCAAGTAATTCAGACGCCCACCGGCGATGTCAGCATCGTACGCGGCAAGATCGACCACAAGGAGGCCGAGTCCATCCAGGCGCAAAGGCGGCAGACTATGATGGATGCAGTTGCCAAAGCTGACGAGGAGATCGCCCTCAAAGAGCAAGAGCTCGAGGTTCACCTGAGGAACGCCCGACACTTGCAAATCCTGTCGCCCATCCAAGCCAAAACTCGAGATCAGATCCTCTCAGCCGCGGCCCATATGGATGTCAAGATCAAATGGATCCGCATGGACATATGGAAATCAAGGTGTCATCGGGATGTCCTGTTGAAGGATTTGGCTGAGGAACAAAACCTGCAGGGCTTAACACCCTCCAAGATACAGAATGGGCACGAGCCTCTTGAGGCGTCTCCAGCTCGGGAGAGACCGTTCATTCTCGAAGCTGGATCGGCAAACAGTGTTGCGCGAAGACGCCGGCGGTCATCTGCTGCCGTCTCTACCATTCAGGGATCTTCCAAAACGCCACAGGCAGAGCCTGAATCGCCGGTCACTGATGCTTACCAGACGCCTCCAACAAGCGCGACTTTCAGTCCGCACAAGCATCAAAACTCTTGGGATTCCAAGGTCTCCAAATCGATGGAACATCTGCAGCGCAAAAGACCTGGCTCCAGCTCCAGCCATTCGTCTGCCGAGCCGACTTTTTACAGCCCGAAACAACATTCGACACCAAAGAAGGATAAGGGTGCTGAACAGTCTGCAACGAACGACCACCATGACGACGTCGACGCGAATGAGCGGGTACTTCTGGAGCAGGCCGGTCTTCTCGAATCAGGTTCCCGTGGTAGAATTCTGCCAGAGAAAAAGCGGACCGGGTCGCTGTCCGAGGCTGGAGATGCTTCCGAGTCGCGAGACGCTACTGGCTCAATCGATAAACAGGACAAAACCAAGATCCGAAGAAGCTTGCAACGCACGCTCAGGGAAAGCGCCGGTCATCTCTCGCATCACCGCAGCAGGAAGGGCAAAGAAATACTCACTGGCGGTGGTTCAGAAGACACTGGTCGCGAAGACGTGCTTACGAGAGGCTCCGGGAGTTTTGTGGTTCATGGGAAGAAGGCATCAGTCATCAACTTCGGCTCCGAGTTACAGCAACTTTCTCCGGAAGAACGTATAAGGCACCGAAAGCAAGATCAGCGGGACGAACCTGCATCCCCGACAAGCCTAGACGAAGACTTCCACGATGCTTTGAACAGTTCCTTGGCTCCTAACGAACGACGAGAATCGGCCGCTAGTGCCAGCACTGCCACGGCTAGAAGTTTCCGCGAACTTCATCGCAAATACTCCTCGGCACACGCATCCAGGCCACCCGTATTTGGCGGGCGACTGTCGGTGCCTTCTGATGGCGAGAGCGAAGCAGCAGTCAGCTTTTCGGAGGGAAGACGAACGCCACTGCCTCCTATCGAGAACGAATCTGGAGATGAGGAAGAAACTCAAGTCTCAGTCGACAGCCCCCAACCCATTGCAAGTCCACAGCCAATCTCTGGTCCGCCTCTCATCCTTAGCCCACGGCCCATACCTGCGTCGCTAGCGACCCCTTTCTCGACCCCCTCCGAGCCAACAACCCCGCTGGAGCCTCAAAAGGAGGCGGATGAGGACGACCAGGGGGCTGAGATGCAGCGACTACCCAGCCCGTCCGTTCAAGCAGTCAAGGCCTAGGTGACCAACATGCGCCACGGTCTAGGCAAGAAGGATGCGTTTGAAGGTGGCAACTCACGTGGGTAGGAAATGGGAGACCGATATTGGCTGTGTGGCGTAGATGGAGCTGAAGCACGGGCATCAAATCGTCTGGCTTCTATCCAGAGCGAGTCTAGAGAGAGAGAGAGACAATGGGACGGGGAATGAAGACGCATTACTACACCAGTGTGGGCGGACAGGGATGCATCTTCCCTGTCTTTCTTTACTAATTTCTTCTCACTGTCGAAACCACAACAAAACGGAGGTGCAGTCGATCTATAATGGCAGATGTATACAAATGTATGGATTCATGGCTAAGCGGGGAAAGGACACTGGACTTTGGGCATAGCATTGTGACGGCGACAAGGATCAACACAAAAAAAGAACCCCCAGGGCGGGCCAATATATGGCTAGCGGTGTAGAATAGAACGCACAGCGGTCCATGTACTTCTTCATTCAATGTGACCTTTTATACTACATGGCTTCCTCTTCATGCAATCAGCACCCATCAAGATTCGTAACATGAGATGTGGCCGACGTGAACTTTTGTTATTTTATATTGTGTCCCGCCAAACATGGCCTAGTGGATTTACCAAGAGGAGGGCGAGTGAGCAGAGACTCGCGACAGGCTCTTCATTTCTTGCCCTTCTTCTTCTTCTTGGACGATGAAGTTGGTGCCTTTTCGACCTTGACAGAGCCCGCGCCGCCCGCAAGCTCCAGAGTCTCCTCTTCCTTAACGAAGCCACCTTGCGTGGCCTCATTGGCCTTCTTCTTACCCTTCTTGCCCTTGGGCCGGTACGAGGATCGGTCGCGCAGAGGCAGCCACCGCTCCGGGTCCATCTTCTTGCCTTCGACGTAATCCTTGGGCAGCTTTCTTCTCCGCTTCTTCTTGTTGGCCTTCTCGGTCGGCTGCGCGTCAAGGCGGCGCTTCTTGGCCTGGCCGGCTGGCGTCGCGAGAGTGACGACGCCGTCTCTGACGAGCTGTTCTACGTCGATGCTGGACAGCAGGTCGTCGATGGGGGCAGGTCTTTAAGGTACGGCGTAACCTTGGCTCTGTTCGAGGTAGCGAAGGACGCCACGAGGCCGGCGCCGGCGGCGCGGTCTGCGCTGGGCTTCTGGCAGAGCTTCTCGAACGCGGCACCAGCGGCCGTGAGGTCGTTGAGGTCCGATGACTTGAGGAGCTCCGAGCCGGCGCCGCGCAAGAGCGAGTCGACGTGGCGACCGTCTCGCTTTTCCCAGAAGGACGACGCCTTTGCTAATTCTGACCGAACACTGCCGTGGCGGCCTTGTTGTCTATAGAGAGAAACGGTCAAGGCAACTAGCCCGGGAGAGAAGCGTACTTCTGACGTGCCCTGCTTCTCCATGTTCTGCAGGAAGGACTCTAGGACAGATAGTGCGGCGCCAGGATTGTTTGCTGTAAGGTAAAGCTGTACTGTGGTGAGTAGCAGGCCGACATCCGTGGGGCGCTTCTCAAGCAGGGGAAGGACATCCTTGACGTCGACCGTCTTGGAATGACGCAGGGCGCGGGCCGTAGCGTTGATAGCCGAAAGGCTGTTGGTGTCCACGGATACGGTAGGTGCGGCATCTGCAAGTACGCGGGATGTGCTCTCGTAGACACCGTCAAACTTTTGAGAATGCAGACCAAGGATGTACTTGTTCCGCTTCAGCTGGCTCTCTTGGTATCTGAACAGCTTGGCTTCCTTGCTCAGGGCCGCTGCCGCGTCAACTTCACGCTGGGCTAAGTATGGGTTCTTGACTTCGTTGGCAAGAGCCGACTTGTTGTTCAGAGCAATCAACCTAGACTCGGCATCCCAGTCACTACGCGGACAGTTAGTAACACTCTATGTTGAGCATGGTCTCGAGGATAGCTTACTCGGAGATAGACAAACGCTTCTGGATTTCGAGGGCTTGGTCGGCCTTGCCTAACCTCGAGTAGACGTAAACCTGTTGGACCATGATGGGAATCATCTCAGCTTTCTTGTCGTCCTCGGACAGCTCTTCGGATTCATCGCAAAGGCGCAGAGCCCTCTGAAGGAGCACCATGGCCTTAGACAGATCGCCGCGCGCAATGGTGCCGCAGGCAATGTTGTACGCAAGCTCGAAAGTGTCGGCGTCTTCGGCGGTAGGGATAGGCGTGTCATCGCCGTCAAGGTTGTTGGAGGACTTCCACTCTAGTTGAGCGGCGGATGCCAGTTGATTGATCTTTAAGTCGCTATCTTCACCCTGTGGTTCCTCCAACAGACTGGTGTAGACGCTGAGCGCATCCTTGAAATCCTCAGCTCGGTAGGCGACCTGGGCAACGAGGTGGCGGTAACTCCGCCAGGGCTTGGAGTTGGCGATCTCGCGGGCCTCTTGTAGCTTTCCTGTCTTGTACAGTGCGTAGGCCTTCTCCAACAGGGTGGTGTCCTCAAGTTTGCTGCCGCCATCGGCGATAGCGCGTAGGGCATCGTCGAAGCGATCGAGTTTGAGGAGAGCGACCACTCGGGTCTGTTGAGCGACGAGGTCCGTCTTTGAGGCTTTTAGAGTGGCATTGGCGGCCTTGAGGACTTCTTCGTGGTCTTCGATGGAGGCTGCGCGCAGCAGGGCGCCCAGGTTGGCGGCGGGGTCAGAAGGCATCGTGAGGGGACGGGACGGCGGCGGGGGAGAGACGTGGTGATAGTCTCAGCAGGACCAATACTGCATATTATGTCGGTCGGTCACAGCGCTGGTCGGAAGATGTTGCGATGCTTATGACGAGCGACAACCGGCGAAATTATTGAGGCGTTCGGTTGGTGTCGCTGGTGTCGCTGGCCTAGGCTAAGCTTGATCGGAGCGCTCAGGAAAGAGAAAGTCAATATCTTGGTGAAGACACGCTGCCGCCGGGTCAGAACGTTGAACGGGGATGTGGATGGTGGGGCAAGGCCAGTGACGTCCAGCGCTGGTCGGCTCAGGTGTCCCTCTTGTAACCCTCAAGCCAAATCAGGTGTAGCGGTACTTTGGGAGTACTTTGGGCTTGGGATGCCCTGACAGTAGCCAAAATCGGCCTCAAACTCGCATTTTAGCGGTAACAACAAACCCACATTCTATTTTTCGGGGTCTTCGACTTGATGAGGCTCTTGGGGTGAAATGGGAGAATAAACCTGAAGACTAGAGTAATACCAAGTCGCCCATCAATCTTCACTCTAATTCATTTCAGTTGGTAACTGAGTTCATCACTGCCCCAAATACAGTTGTATTTTTACCTCTGCCCACCATTCTGGATAGTTACCCTCCGTCGGTCATGGAATTACTCGAGAGGGCAGCGTAATACATTGTTCTACCTCTTTTATCCAGTATCGTCATAAATGGCGGTTATAGTTCCATCACACAATCCAGCTGTGACCTCCTACATGCAGCTCCGGTTATCTAAGTCCTTGTTGCTAAATCTCGATGAAAAAGCTTCCTGGCCAGGCTGCGGCCACTCTGTCGATTCAATCGTAGGAACATGGACCACTCGCATGACGACCAGCTCATCCTCGCCCAAATATCTTCCAGAATCTCTTCCGTTTTATTTCAGGCTGGTGGTGTGGTCTCAACGGATACGTTGGTTGTACGGTGAACACATCGGACGCCCCCGGGTTCTCCAAGAGTCGCCGGCGCAGCCTGTTCGGCGCGATCTCTCCTAGTTTGGTACTGCCTGATGACATCGTTGCCATCGAGATACGCTTCCGCGCATCCATTTGCTGAAGGTGGACGGGGATGTCCATGATGAAGGGAAGCGCTTTCTGCGGTTCTTCGTCTTCTTCTCGCCCTTGGAGAAGTTTAGGGGCTGAAGGCTCTTTGTTCTTGGACTTGGACGTCTTGGTTGGGGTGCTGGCCCTATTCTTTTGCTTGCTTTTCTGACCCGATGCCAATGAGGTCGATTTTAGGGATGGGGCACTGAGCCGTCGGGAAAGATCATTGATGGTCTTGACAGCATCAATTCGTGATGAGTTGGATAATGTTTTAAGTGAGTGGTAGTCGATGACAGGTTTTTGACCTCTAGTCATCAGACGAAGCAGCCGTGTCATGGCAGACGTCAGGCGCTTGATGACTTTTCTCAACGAAGACCGAGCTGTAGCTGCAGTCTCGTGTTAGCAAGATATACCTGGACCAAGCGTGTGGGAATACGCACCGTCGCCCTTTTCAAAATCACTACCGGCCACAGAGAGTCGCGAAGAGTATACACTTCGAACTTTAGATCGGTCGGAACGGATGCTCTTTCGAAGTTGCCGGGGCTCCTTGCTATTGTTCATCCCTTTCAAGCCCTTTAGGAGCGATAAACACTTGGAATATGTCTCCAAGAGCGAGTTGACTGTGTTGCCGAACCCGGCCATGGCGCATGAGGTTGTGTGTATTTTTGACTTCGCCGGTACCCAGGGCTTAGCCAGTATCGAAAATGTGAAGCTGCCTCAAGAGTGTTCCACAGGATAATGAACCCATCTCGAACTTCTCTCCCCGCCCTCTTTGACAAAGAGGGCTGGAATTCAAGGCAGGGGCGATGACTAGAGACGACGTGTTTTGGTTGGTTCCGTAACCGCCGTACCACCTCATCCTGGTTCCTTTTCGGCGCGCTCGACCAACCAGCCATTTGTCTGCCTCCCCCTAGGTCCTCCAAAACGTAGTCCGAGATGAGTATGTGCAGGAAGTTGCAAGGCATGCAGAACGGAATAACAAAAACGAAAAGACGACGGATACAGGCACCTACGTCTTTTCGCGATTCTACAAGTTCTGGCCACCCGCGGTTATTAGCGGCCGTGCGAGCATCCTATTTCGCCATGATGAAATCCCAGAGTTCGTCCTCAAGTCAAACAAGACCATTGCAACTTGGCAATTGGAGGTTTGGAAAGACAAGGCATGCCTTCGCTGATAAACGTGAAAAGCCGAGAAGTGTCATGGCTGCCGGCATGGCCAGCTTACTAGGCACCGACAGCCTACTCCATGAACAAAATGAATACATGCGACTGGCTGCGAGACCTATGTCGCAGCAAAAGATATGTCCCAGTTGGTCAGTTCGACTCAAGGCGAAAAGACGAAGCGGGCAAGTATGGAACATCGGCGTGGGGTGCGATAAGTAGATCCGAGGTTGCTGAGCATCCTGATGGCGGCGAAATGAGAACGCGCCAGATCGCCGCGGGATGGCGCGCCACAAGGTGACGCGCAACTTCGCCGTCTCGCCATGTTCTCTGATTGCAGTATGCCAGAACCACGTGTGAATCGTCAAGTATCGAAGCCGGACTGGCATCTGACTCCAGCCTGCTTCGTCCCGCATGGGCGGCCTCGATCAGCGGTGAGTCAATCCAACATATCGGATTGACATCCGCAAAGGGTTATTGATAAGGTAGGCGTGGTACCCCAGGGAGAGAAGCAGGGTTTCCTAGATGTCTAGTGTCGACAGGGTTTCGTCTGGGGGCATTGAGAATCTGCACAGTCGAGCCAAACCGAATAGGTGTCGGCACCGAATGGCATTTCCGCAAGGAAAGCAGTCGCCATTTTAGGCGCTAGGCCAATGGGATACTCGGGAGCCCTCACCGAGTCTTGCAAATCTGTCCGACGTCGGTGAAATACGTTCTAACCCAGTGGAGCTGACTTTGATGAATGTTGCTAACCTTCCTTCTTGGCCATGATGATAACAAGATTATAAATAGGCTGGAGTAGGCTGGAGTAGGCTCTCCGTGTCAGTCTCTGTACCGCATAGATGGGCATGATGCCCACAAGCTGGGAGGTATGCAGAAATGATGAGACGATACAGCGTCGCAATAGATGTGTCTCATTGTCCCATTGCCTAGACATCCTTGATTGGTCCGACAGAATGAGAACATCCCACGGGCTGCCGGTTGGATCTGTCTCGGGCGGCGATAGAAGCATCTGAACCGCTCGATATCTCGCGCATGTGAAGCTGCGTATGTCTTGTCCAGTCTGCACCTGTGCAGCACGGCAATGTACCCGTTGATCGAGGCACGCGAAGCAACGTCGAACAGCAGCAAGGTAGCAGCGACCGTATTTGTAAAGATCGGCAGTGCAACGGCTGGCGATCCCTTGGGCAGCGCATGTACAATGACAAAGGGGTCCGTGGCGGTTGACGGTTTACGGAACCAGCCCACACAGCTGTGGGAGCTTGCTACTCGTTCCTGAGTACTAAATAGGCCACCTCGGGGTACACCTATTAGAACATCACTAAGAACTAAAGAGGAAATAATAAATAGTAAATAAAGGACGCCTTCGCTACTGTTGAATGAAGCGAAAAATGGTATGCCTCGAGATGTTTAGATGCACACAAGGTCTGCCGTATCGAACATTACTCGAATTAGTGTTGGGGAGTACTCTGTACGTAACTGAAACGGGTTTACCTCGGACGGAGTCTTTGGAAAGTACATCTGCTCGATGCCTTCCCGCGGCAAGACGGTTGAACGGCTGATCTCAGGTATCTTTTGTCCTTCTCCTGGCTCTCTGTGCTAGTACGTATCTTGGGCGACACCTCAGCCTGACCCTGGCTGGCCAACGCCCGCAAAACCACGGCAGGGGCAATAGGTGACGAAGGGAGGGGGGAGGCAATGCGATTACACGTGTAAGCCAGATTCATTGAACTCCAGAGACGTAGGTCCCCTAATGCATACACTAGTATCCACGGTGCAACAGGCACGGGCTGCATATATCTCAGCGGGTGTGTCGGCGGGACGGTGGCTATGAGCACCCAAGGTACCCAATAAGACGGTCTCGACAGACATTGGGATGCGAAGAGGTTGCGTCTTATCGGGTTGGTCCCCCACATCCACCACTCACAAGCGGCCCACCGGCCATTCAACGGGCGCAGAGTGTGGGCTGCGACAGCAAAGCGTGGGAGGAGTCATGTTGGGTGGTATCTTGGCTCGCCTCCGAGGTATCTATCCAGACAATGTCAACTCGCTGACATTTCAACGGAACGCCAGACCTGAGCACGACATCGTCTTGCGGGCGTCGTGTGAGGGCAAGGCTACAGAGTCAAACGAAGAAAGTCAGAAACCTAGAAAACTTGAGCATCATTGCTGTACTGCAGCCCCTCCCCGACGATATGCCTGAGTATTGTCGGAAGGTGCGTGATCTGTACATTTGCATGGGGGTTTTTTTCTTTTTCCCCTTCTTTTTTTTCCCTTCCCGCGCCCAGTGCGTTCGCATGAGGCAAGACACCGAGTACCAAAGTACGGCGGTTTGTTGAGCTGATTGATAACTATCATGTAAAACGGCGCAACATGCCACGCTGCCAGCGGGATGCCATGCATGGTGAGGAGTACGAGATATCGGTTTTGATTGTCGGCAACATGGTAGTATCTTTCCGGGGGCGGAGACAGTGCGAGACGGGGGAGCCCCCAATCCCATCTCTCTCCCCACCCCTTCAAGTGGAGGTGTGTCCCTTCCCCTCTGCGTCCTTCCCCCAAATCCCGATCCAAAACCCACTTTCCCGCCTGCCGCTTCCCGCTTCCCCGTAAGATGTTGTCTGGGTCTCTTACAATAGTAGAGATTAAGCCAAAGCCCCCCTCTCTCCCCGAAACGAAAACACAACCCAACCCAAGGCCTTTGCGGCACCAGGTGCTCGCTCCTCCATCAAGCGTCAGGTACGGGAATCGTTCCCAAGGTGCTAAGGGTAATTAAGGTGCATGTATCTTGATTTGGGTCCAACTACGCACTAAGTGCATCCCATTCGCTGGACTGACTGCATCTCGTCTGCATCCAATTCCCTCATTCCCCCCGGTCCTTACGAATCTGGCCCCTACAGTACAACCGCTTCCACCCTCCCTTTCCCTCCCATTTGTCTGTCTTCGGATTTCGTTTCCAGTCTTGATCCCCTTTTCCCTTTCCCCGTCTCCTTCTTTTCCTTTTGCCCACCCCATCTCGGGATCCCACACCCCTGGTCCTAAATAGCAAAACTTGACAAACCGCTCTCCTTCTCGGCTTCTCCCCCCCCTAGAGTAACCCCCCAAATCCTTCTACCCCTTGCCGTTCCGACACAACACCAGGCGCCTAATATTTATTCTCTGGGTTTTTATCTCCATCCAATGCCATTCCTTTTCCGCACGCCCAACGTTTGCGTCTTCGCCCGCGTCCATTTCTTGGGTCCGCTACTCTCACCCTTCCAGTCGCTCTCGCTCTCGCCCTCGCCTTCAACTTCAACCTCGCCCGCAAGCGGCTTGTCTTGTCGCGTTCCATGTATCACAATCGCTGCCTTATCAACGACGCCAGGACCCTTCCAACTTGATTTATTCGCAAACCTACTGAATAAGTCGATGCAACCTTTCCAACCTTCGTCACTCGACCCTGTGATAATTCCGGCACCCACAGGCACGTCTATAACCAACACCCGCTGCCGTGTTACAAGTACTGTATAACAAGGGAAAACAACACATCCTCACTCCCCTACTGTCCTTGCTGAGGCCGTCATCCCGTGCTTCCCTTGCGTGCTACGAAATACAGACCCCGAACCTAGCCTCACATATCGCACGTTCCTAACGCCCAGCTCGGTTCCCATTTCCCTCACCCCCAGACATCGAACCCCGAGTCCACTTCGCCCAGACCTACACCTCCCGGTCCCGGTCCGCCTCCCGGCTCTGATCTCTTACTGCGTGGTATCTAAAGGAGCCGCCCCCGCCTACCCACACGACATCCGCAGTCTCTTCCCGTTTACTCACGACCCCTTGGCTCACCAGCTGTGTGTGTCCAGTTCTTTTTTCCACCGACTGCGGCACTTCTAAACCGGCTGCTGTCGCCGCCCCCAGTAACCGCACTCTGCGTCATTCCATGGACCGTCTACTCATCTGCACCGCACCCAACTCTCAGTCTCGCGCTCGACCCTCTCGGAGTAGTGCTCATCCACAACATTGTTTCCGATAGCCCGCACATTCGTCCACAACCACGTGCCATCTTCTTGGGTCCTGCTGTTTTATCAGCCGCCGGTATCGCCCCAAAGGCTTCCTGCGCCAACCGATCTTAGTCACCTTGATGTCGGCGACTTCCTCTCCCTCACCGTTGCAGGGCCCCATTGGCCGCATCGACGAAGAGAATCTGCCTCAAGGCCAGTGCCGCTATATTCTGCTGGTCCCCGGCATCAAGGGCCAACGATGCGCATGTGTGCACTTTTCTCTCAACCGCTCAACGCCCGGGGCAAGCTGTGATTGTGGACACATGGCCTGCTATCATGTCAAAAGCCCGGAACCGTCATCCACTCAGCAAGAAGTTGAGCTGCTGAAGCAACGTCTTCAAGTCCTCGAAGAACAGCTGGACCAACAGAGACAAGGCGGCCTCGGAACCGTCGTCGCCAGGGTGAGCGAACTGGAGGAGCTTGTCGACAAGAGTCGGGAAGAGATAGGCCAGGAAATCAAAGGGTCCTATCGCAATATCAACAGGGTCTGGCAGTCCGTTGAGCAGCTGGACCGGCGAACCTCCTATTTGCAGAAAAGCCTGCACTCTCAGTCGGATCTTCTGGATAGTGTCAATGGCGAGTTGAAGAACGTCAGCAATCGGCAGATGGAGCTTTTTGATGCCGATGAGAGCATAGAGGAGAGGCTAGAGCAGTTGGAGTCTGACCATGACTTATTGGCCAATCGAGGCAGTCAGCACCTAGACGCCGAAGCTGAGACAGCTTCAGTGCGTACCGATGTTCAAAAGCTTTTTTGCTCACGACAGCCTCCTACTGCGCCCCCTATTCAGACCGAAGCTCAAAGCCGTTGGGGGGTACGTATCCAGCGTTCCATGCGTCGCCAGCCGTCAGCGCCACTGAATCCAACGGCAGTTCCAGTACTTGCGGTGCCTGGACGGTACACATCTCACTGCTTCCGACGGCCTCTCAGCCCTTTCCATTCGAGAGGGATACCAACGCCTACAAGCGCTGTCTCTCTCGTGGCCTTCATCGGACGGTAGTGGTCGGTGGTTCCGACGGTACTTCCTTCGTCGAGGCCGTCACCAGGTCCTTCAATGGTCTCATCGAGGGGAGATCATGGATGCCTCTACAGGCGAAGCTTTGCGACGCAGAAAAGCTTCAAGGGCTTCCCATGCTACGGCCACTCGACCCTAAGCTCCTCGACAGCGACTACAATCTCGACTTCTTACGAAAGCACTGCGGGGTCTGCGAGCCCAGTGGTAAGATCGAGTCGCTGTACATTGCCATGCGCCACGACAAGCTTTCATGGCACTTTCTACGAAACTCTCCGAGGTTTATGGACGGTCTGGAGAACTGCTGGGTCTATGATCCTTTTCTAGACCCAAGTGACCCCACCGAAGATGACCGTATGGATGAACACGATCGTCCCTCAGCTGGTGACATCGTTCCGAGTCTTCCGAGTCTCAAACGCGCTGCATCCGAAATGTCGCGAACAACCGGGTTGGCACCCTCGATGACAGCCACTGAACCAGATTGTCCGCGGAACAAGAAGTCGAGGACGACTTGCCTGCCTACATTAGTTGAGTCGCGTAGACGGCTGGAGACTGTGTAAGACGTCGGCGATATGATTCTTCCCGCAGTGAAAATAGGAATTAGTGCGTAGTAGACGCACGGTTGAGATTCAAGGACGGAAAAGCCCCTTTAGGTTAAGGCGGAGGTGGATGGTGTACAGATGTACATATGTACAGATGTACAGGTGTTGATGGCGAACTCCATATGACGCGAAGGACGTCACTCAACGGGCACGTTATGATAGAAGAGAGATCGGCTGGCCCAGCATTTTAGAGGACATTTATACCCATTTGAGTTAGTTTGGTCCAAGGACGGTTTACTTATCTACCATGTTATTGGACAAGCAAGTCTAGAAGCAGAGAAGAAAAAGGGCCCAATTTTATGGAATGTCAAACTGTCCTGCTCGTGCACTTGGCGTGAGGGAATACGCTAATTGTGCCATTAACGCAGACATTCTGCGTTTTTATTTGATTGCAGGTTCTGTCTTTATGATCTGTCAGTGGCTAATGGAACGCCGTCTTCACTGGAACCGGTCGGCCGGCACCTTTCGGACGGTAAAGTCCGGAGCCGAACCATCCCAGAAGAAAAGTTAATTGACTTCGGGGTCTGACCATATACCCTTGTCCCAAAACAACAAGGGCGCCGTCCACCAGCCGTCAGCCTCATTGTCCACAGCCACTGAGCGGCCGAAGCTCTGAGGGCCATTCAGCGCCGATCAGTAACGTTGCTCCGTCGCAATCCACCACAAACACCCGCTCAACGCCGGGAAACCAGGCATCTGCCGGAGACATCACCTGGGAAGGATCGTTTCCAACCCCTCCTGCTTTTTCTCGAAAGCTCAAGAAGCTTTTCGCTCGCCCTCTGTGCTTCTCAAGCTTCTCTCGATCTACCTTTTGCATTCCCAATCTTACCATACCCCTTTCACCGTTACATTTCACAGCTGGAGTCACCATGGACTGGGACCTTGATATGGACGATGTCGCCGAGGGCTTTGCTCCTCCCACCGCGACAATTACCGATAGCACAGTACGCAACAGCTTCTTGCATCTCCCAGATCTGGCTTCTTTCTTGCTAACACCGAGCGTCAGCAGAACGCTGGAGTATCCATCACGGCATCCTCTACCACGGCCGACCACGACCTAGAAAGCTCAACCCTAGTGCCCAACAAGGTCCACATCCGAGGGCTGGAGACGTTGACGACGGACGATATCAAGACATACGTGAAGGATCACTACGGTCCCACGAACAGGGTCGAATGGATCGACGATGAGTCTGCGAACCTGGTCTTTGGATCCGAATCTTCGGCGCAGGACGCGTTGAAAGCTTTGAGCGCCGTCGAAATCGCCGACGTGACCCAATTGCCCATCAACGAAAACATTCCAGCCAAGGCCGTCGCATCCAAGCCAGAGGTCAACCTGCAAATCCGATTTACGGTCATCTCCGATAAGAAGGCGCCCGGTGCGGCCCAGAGAAGCAGATTCTATCTTTTCCACCCCGAATTCGACCCCGAGGAAAGAATGCGACGCGAGGGAAGCAGGAACAGGTACCGCGACCGCAGTGGAGACGATCGCTACCGCCGTAACGGCCGCGGCAGAAGCCAAAGAGACCGAGAACCAAGCGTAGAAGTATTCCACGCGAGCATGTACGACGACGAAGACCCATCAGTGGACCGCGGCTATAGAACTACACGGCAACGGAGAAGATCCCATTCCAGAGGTTCAAGCTCGCGCGGAGATCAGTCCTATACGTCTCGTAACCAGGAGAAGGAGCTCTTTCCGGGTCGAGGATCAGGAGCAGGAAGGGGTCAGCGAAACCGCTCAGCGTCGCCCATGAGGGATATCGACGGCGACGCGGCAATGGACGTGGAGGCAGCACGTGTATTGAGACCCAGCAACAGAGAAAGAGCATCTGGTATCAGGGAACGTCTGACAAAAGACAACAGAGCAAAGGAGCTATTCCCCACCAAGAGCTTATCAGCTGGCCAGACACATATGGATCGGGTCATGGATGGTGCTGAGGAGACTACACGACTCATGCAGCGAAACCTATCAATGACCTACGACAACGGCGCCAAGAAGGACTTGTTCGACATCCGAGGCAGAGCTGAGAAACAGGGCGCCAACCCTGGCTTTGCCATCAAGGGCGCAGCGGGCGCAAACGTCAAGGAGCTGTTCCCGGATCGCTTTGGGGGCGGCAACACAGGAAAAGAGCTCTTTGCCGACAATTTGGAGGGCCGGGGCCGCAGGCGACAGAAGGCTGAGGATCTGTTCTCTTAGCATTTCAAGACCTGGTACGCTCCAGCAAACATTTTGCCGACGAGAGGAAGGGAGTTCCTTCTCCTAACAACTTCGGAAAAGCATAGGGCAGTAGTGGTTCATTGAAGTTCATAGTTACTCGGAATTAAGCGCAGGGTAACTTGGTTAGATGCCAAAATCTATCAGACCAGATAACCGCATCATGATGGATTCTACTGTAAGATACGAACGACGTTCGTCGTCTTCCCCCCCCCTCTTCTTTTTTTTTTTTTTTTTGGCAAACGGCCTATGGGAGAGGTGGGGGGCCTTATAGATCTGGCGAAGGAGCTACACATAGTAGGTTGGATGGCTTTCGACGATGGAGGAACTGGTGATGCTCGATCGAAGAGACTGCGATTAATACGCATATCTCCGTCTGCTCGGCTGGTTGTATTCGAATGCCCTCCGTGTATTCGTTTCTGGGGTAAAAGCGCAGCGAATTTGCGGCGGGAAGGGGGGAGGGGGGGGCTCGCATAGGACATGTACTGCATTGCGACGAGGAAAGACTACCAATGAATGGGGGCACCTTCTCCCACTTGAACCCAGGGTGAATTGCGAAGAGAGGGGCAGGTACGCATATGCAGTCTTGAGATCAATCAACACCTGCCGAATTTTACGCGTCAAGTCGCGACCGAAGTAGGCTTTCCTTCCTTCCCTGACTGATTCACGGTTAGTCCCGTCGGCGATGTCTTTACCGCCATCTCGTCTCACTCACGCAAACTCGTCGCTTCCTATACCACCTGCGATTTTTCCACATCTTCACCCCTCATCACTCTGCCTTCGTTGTCAACTCGTGAAGGCACGTTGCCAGGATTCACCAGCAAGCTTTATGCAGTTAACACCCAATGCCACTACTCATATGTCCCGATCTTTGATTTGACGATTCGACGACCTCACCCTGCGTATCGCCCCACGACCTCGCTCTTCTCTCGATCTCGACTTATCGAATCTGATTCAGGGACAAGAGCAGTAGCATCGACCGAAAGACAACCACGAGTGGAGAGATATGGCAGATCTCTCTTTCAACCCGTTACATCCTCAGGGAAGAGGATCGGATATGAATCTTGTACAACCTGACGAGGACTCTCCGGCACATCTAGATGTCCAACCCCCCAGGTTACGACAACGGAGAGCCATTACGCGCATTGCGAGCCTCGATGTTCTCAGTGCTTCCAGAATAGGCGGAAGTGCCTGTCCCAGTACCAGGTCCGACGGTTCGCAGTCATCTTCTCGCCGGCTATCGCTCTCGCCTGTAGGGCCAACTGAGGTTGTCTGTTATCAGGATCGAGATCAAACAGAAGCCTCAATGTCCTTGGATCAGATGGTTGACTCTTTGCACTACATCATGATGACCAAGCCGGTTGTTGACCCAGTGCCCAGGGAGTACAACTCATACATCTTACACTTGCTGGAGGGATATTGGAATGTCCAGGATCAGCTCAAGAAGACGAAGCAGGTTCTTGCAGAAGAGACGGAAACCAAGCAGCGCAGCCTCGAGGAGTTTACGAAAATGTCGGACGAGTGGCAGGAGAAAGAAGCTGCCTTCCGTGCCGAGATCAAACGTATGGAGTTAGTGCTCGCCAAAAACGCCCCTGACGGCGTTGGTGCCGTAGTCCTGGCCAGGTCCGAGAGTGTTGTGGACAGGAGCGCCAGATCCTCCAGGGTTTTCAAGGCCAGAATTGAGAAGGTCAGAGGCAGTCCTGGCAAAGGTCAGTACTTATAAGTGGTCAATATATACATGCCTCCAGCCACTAACCGATAGAAACCTGGCAGGAGGGAATGACTCCTACAGTACGGACAGTACGGGGAACTCGCGCGTTTCGAAAGGCTCCGGGAGCCCACGCCAGACACATCAGACATTCTGTAAACTACATTGTATTGGCTCAATCCGCTCCATGTATACAAGCTAACAGAATAGTATCGATGCAACCGAACCTCAACGACAACGCCGATATTGAGTTAAGCCACGAGCTAAGGAAAGCTCAGCGACGACGGCCTTGGACCATCAAACATGGAAGACAGAATATACCCCTAAATCCCGCAGACGTAGTTCGGGCTCTTGACACAAGCTCATCAGAAGAGGATGATACGTTGAAAAGGTTACAGAGAACAAGCGACTGTCCTGCCAGGCCTCAAGCGGCTCAATTGTCTCACCGATCGTCACTCGTACAAATAAGCGGAGCATCGCATGTGCCGAGATTCGCTGTCGATAGGTCGGAGGAGTCTGGGAAGCTAGGGCAGCAATCTGGCAACATCCCCCGAGAAACCACAAGCGTTAATCCAGCGGAACACAGAGGGGCTATTCCAGATGTGGCGGCTGGTGAGCGGTCGCCTCGTGCTAGCCCAGATGTTATGACAGCAACATCCGGCAAGCCCACTGAACCTTCTGTCCAGAGAACCTCCGAAACGTACCGGCATAGGCGAGAGTTCTCGTTTGACTCCGGAGAGGGCAGTATTCTGCTGCAAACTTTTAGGGCCGGGGCGGAAACTGCAAGCAGACAGGACGCCAGCATGGACCAGCCAGGTTCATCAACCATCGGAGAAGCCCAAACGTCGAAGGCAACGACCTCTTTGTTGGCAAGCAAAACAATACCACAGGTTCAACAGAACTGGGTGGCCCACAGTGACACACTGGCCCAACATCACGGCACTCAGTGCAGACCTCCAAGGACCTCCCACCCAGAGCACATTGGTGGAGAAGACGACAAGTTGAGCCATAGATCAGACTCCTGCGCCCGACAACGCAGTTCCCATACACACTACTGATCCTACGAGTGTTCTGTCGGCGCCCAGCACACTTCCGATGTGGAATCCGTATCAGATTAAGCACTGCAGAGGAGACTCGAGAGCCAGTCAGGAACGGATAGCGGCTTATGAGACGCTGAAGCAGACAATCTGTCAGGTACTGGGAGGCAGCAGGTCCATGGGATAAACTTCGATTATTGTGTAACAATGATACGTTGTGGGATTTTACAACCGCAGAAAGGCTTTAGCAGACATACAGGTGAGGGGCGAGCCACAGATAGAGGCCATGTCACCTTTTCACACACCCCCCCTCCTTACCTCAAGCCTTGGCTATCGCCGTCCCTTTTCTGATGGACTGTGTTCATAATTTATTCGAGATATATTTCACTCAAACAACTTGATGTGGTCGCTATGCTCGAGTTTGTATCCCCTTATGCCTACGCCCGTTCCTCGTGTGTGCATGATGCCTTATTTTTGGCGTTGTCGTGTACCACACCACTGGACCACAATATGAGTGACGTGCAGTGTGAACCAGAAATGCGAAGAGGATACCTGGAGTCTGCAGCGGTTACGAAGGTGGAGGCCATCCGGAAGAGCTCGGCAGCCAAGCGAACGGGTCAGGGAGGGGATATGGTCCATCGCTAGAATACCTGAACTGCCAAGAACTGTTTCCTCAAAGTCTGCATGGAAAGCTTGAGTCGTAGCTCTGGAATGCCCCAGACCAGTCTCGCGATGATGGGCGGGTGGTTGCTGGAGGAAGAGCGGTGCTACCCGTGTATCTTGCACTACGTACACCAACGGAGCTCGCGAACCTTTCACTACCAGAGCACTGCAGTCTCCGTGTCGTTTCTGTACCGGTTCCATTGACAGTTCTGTCACCAAGAAGAGGCGTTTTAGGGTTGGTAAACTAGACTTAGCTGCACCATGTCCGTGTTTGGTAAGAGATGGACCAAGGGTGGGCGGAAGAGGACTAGGAGGAAGATGAGAACAGATGATCGAGGAAGATGCCACGGAAACCACCTACCAGCCTTAGACGAGGCTACGAATACCCATCGCTACTAAACATCTACTATCCCGCTAGCCTCCAACTCTCTCAAGGTTCGACCTAGAGCCCGGTCTGGCAAGAACGTTCACAGCTCTGTTGGATCACCACCACTAAGCACACCTGCAGGGGTACAGATCAGACCTCAGGTCTCCCGTCAGGCATAAGCTAACCATGCGAACACCCGGAGAGAGATACAAATACAGAAAGGGCATGGTAAGCCAAGGTGGGAACGGAAACGGAAACGCAATCATGACATGCCTCGGAGCGGTCGAATGGGCAGTCATTTCTGCGACTAGATCTTGGGGACTAATGTTGTCCCTTCTTACTCGCTACCTTTCTGTCCACAGTCTTTGGCACCAATTACTCGCAGATTGCGCCTTCGAGGGGCCGCACATGATACAGTGTACATGTTCACAAGGTCTACGTTGGAGGACTATCGGAGGGACACCTCCTTCCAGCCACTATACATCCGTTCCGCACCCGTCAAAGCAAGTCGGTCCGACGTGGTGGCTTAAGGCCACCAAAAACTATTAGTGGAGCATATTTGCCTTCACCCGTATCATCTCTCTTCTGGCGTTATTTCTGACGCGGTGAAACTCGTGGGCCTCAGAGCCGAAGAAGCAATATGAAGGGCCACAACCTTGGACTCCTCTACGGTACGGTATGCGTGACTATGCCAATACGAACAAAACGCAGTTAAAATCTAGAGCAAGGCGAGGAATAGACCATCGGAGGAAGCAAAGGAGAAGGCCCAAGCCGGTCTAGTTCCCTGTCTCGACTCTCCACCACGTGGGCTAGTCAGCCGTTGAAACCACGAGCCACAGGGCTGTAAACGGCTGGAAAGAACCGCTGTCAGGAGATCCCAAGGGACCATCGTCGGAAGAGAGACATATGGCTTGATTATACGCCGGCCATAACCATCGGGAAGCCCTTCTTGTAACCATTCGAGAATGACACCTAGACCAATGCCACGGTTCGCAGTACGCCACAAATGGCGTCTTCGTCGAGAGTCCCTTTTGGCACACTCAAGCCTCGGGCCACAATATAAACCACTGCGTGAAAGGCGGGGGAAGAAAACACCTAAGCCGAAATTCGGTATGCTGTGACCTCTTGGGGTACCGTGGCTGCCTGCTCGTGCGAGTATCGCCACACCTGAGTCAGAGTAAACTTAGGAATTTCTTGTGGGAGAGGGGACAGGAGTCGAGCACCAGTACGTCCAGGTGCCGCTGTAGGGCCCTGCGGATGAAGTATAACGTCTCCACACCGCAGCAACACGGAGGCGCATTGGGCGAAGAGCTTGGAGTGGCTCCTGTCCCGATGTCCGTGACACACTGACGTACCATGTTCAGGGAGGCTTGAATGCTGCTGCCACTGCTGCGTCAATATCACCCTAAGTCCAGGCCACAACACAATCCCGGACTGCAAGGTGATAAAATAATCCTTCTACGAGTACATGTATACTCCGAATCGATGCGGCTTTCTAATCCTATTGTTTGTGGCCTGCTGAGGCCGGGGTCGTAGGTTGTGCGTTGAGTCTCGAGTGGCGTCTGTGATGAGCTTCGTCGTCGTCGGTCTGTGCCGTTGTATCTCGGCTCGTATATTCCGCGGGTAACAATGTGCAATGACGCAGACTGTGTGTGTCTTTCGAAGACGGGACGGTAATAACCTTTTATATAGAAAATGATAAAAATAACCCCCCCCCCCGGAAAGACTCCCCCAATATTAACGAAGATTACAAATCTCGGAGGACCAGATAGGAAGAGGAGACGAACAGAAACTAAATACGTGAGTTAGCAACTTGTGGGTTTTGCCCAAGAAAATTAAAAGAGAATCGTCATCGCGACCGCAAGAGGTAACCCATCACTCTGAGCGCAGTGCATAGGCTATGCGACTCCCGGGTTTTCTTTGCCCCAACAGAAATACTCCACACGCACAATGAACGTAACGACAAGATCCCAGTGAAGGAACAACGGCGAGGTGGTGGGGGTATAGTACAGTGGCACCAGCAAGCCTGTGCAATGTATGAGGTTGTACTGGATCCCGCTGACGTTGTTAATGGTGGTTGATGGACGCGAAAAAGATTAGCCAATGAACGACAGGTGTCCCAGAGAGATGCGGAATGCAATGCAGCCATATGAGGCGTCTTCCAGCGGTAGTATACTGTGTTCTCACCGTGTCCGTGCCGCAAGGTAGCTGCTCCTCTCTCATACACACTCCCCGTCGTCGCCATGAACAGCCGCGTCCTCTAACACTGCCACCCGCCTCAAGCCCGCCAAGGCTTATTTTGATAGCATGAGAGGCCGGTACAGGTGGGCGAGTTTACGGCATGGAAGTCGCACCAAAGGGCGTGCATCGGTTATGGTACAGCTACATGCTGTCGAAAGGTTTGTGATATGAGAGAGGTGAGAGTGAGTCGTGGCTTCTGGCATTGACCAGGGGTTTGAAAGATCTCCTACGTGCACGGTACGTGCCCTGTCTGACCTTATTCGGACGAGAGGCGGTTGCTTGAGAGCAGGGGGCAAAATGAAATTTGTCATGGTGGATTTCTCGTCCAATACACATCTAAGCTGTCTCGCTCTATCTGCTCTGTTCAGCAATGGGCTTCTGGGGTACTGCAACCTTACGCCCTGACCTGGGGCTTTACCGATGGACTGTGTGCGTGTGGCTTCGACGGCCGAGGCGAAATACCAACAAAACCCCACTGTCACTACCCCTCTGATAGACAAGGGTCCTAAGAGACAAGACTGGCGAGGGACTCGCGTAGGTAGCACTGCCTTCAAGTTCGACCGGGTAATACGCCCGCATACCCTATGCCTAGGGGAAGAGTGCAAGAGTGGGTACACAGGAGGAATCCTGTGTGAATAGGGTAGGGCGATGGAGATGCTCGAGATATGTCCATATAAATGGAACACGGTGTACAAATACACAACTTG